CAGTTGAACCCGAAATGTAGTGACCTTTGAAGCTGGACAGAGTTGAGCGCGCTGTTTCCTCTGTGGAAGGACGACTGCCAGACGCGTCGGATAGATAATGTCCTCTGTAGCTGTAGCTGTTACAACAAACTGGCAAACCGGCAAGCCGGCAAGCCGCAGAGCCGACTGACCGACTATAGGATCTCGGACGATCCTGCAAACTTCACAACAATCATTGAAGGCACCAAGGCGCAACAGAACGGGGTGGCCGGGAGCGCCGATGATGGGCCGGGCCCAGCCCCGGCTCCCTTTGCCTTCGATGGATGGTGCTTTATTCGAAAAATTGGAGGCATTGAGAAAGTAAGGTTAAAAGTATTGGAATGCTTCGAAAAGACTTGGCAACGACTTATAAGCCAACAACAGCAAGCGAATTAACGATTATAGGTATTAATTGGAACAACAAGTCTAGCTGTAAAAAAAATCCGAAAAAAGATCGTGTGTTTGCCATGCTGTCCAAAAGATCGGTCATCTCCGTAACATTGGGCGCAAGTGAAAGAGCTGAAATCTTGGCTATGGAGGTGGGGTAATTTATAGATTTTTTGGTTTGGGGCTTAAGAAGGAGGGTTGTATTTGCTTTTCTTTTTGATAAGGTTGTGCAAAGATTCACTTGTCAATTTGTATTCTGTGTAGGCCTTTGATCTTTGCTGATTCAAGTCAGAACGATTCACCCTTTCCCGGTCCATTCAACTTCCTATTCAACTCTCTTCAATTCTCTTAAATACAAGTCTATAAATACTACCCATCTTCTTGCAGCAAACACCCCGATCTAACAACTCCAACTCCAACAATAACAACAACAACGCAACATGAGTCCCACCACCGCTCCCTCATCCGTGTGCTGCCCGAGGTTGAGGTCTCCGGGCCAAGCTAACTTCCTGTTGGATGGGGCTAGTGACTTTAGGACTGGTTGAGAAATGGGCAGTGAGAGGCTGGAAAGGAAGGGGATTGGTTGTCAAGTAAAACTTGTTGTCAACCAAGTTTTGCATTTGAAATACAAGTGGCAATACGAAGATAACGGCGCATGTCCGCCATGCCAAACAAAGTACAGCTGGTCCCATTGCGCTGCAAGTGGTTGTGAATTCCAAGCTTGCTTTTGGGGATTAAGCGGAGTGTATTTGTTTTTATATGTTATTTTCGATACGATATTTCACTGGAATCAAATCTGAATGCCGTGCACGTCATTGTTCTCTCTTTGTCAACGTCTGAGGATCATTCACCTCCTTCATAATTGGTCTACCTATTCTCACCATCTTCTTTATCCTCAGCTATAAATATCTCCACTCTTCCTTGTAAGAAAGACACACGCGAAGGGAATCGGTCAATTAAATGGGGGTTTCCAGTCGAGACTTTAATTCACTCGGTATAGCCGGGTTGTGTTGGCATTGCTTGCTCGCTCGATTACCCGGGGCTCTTGTAGAGAAGATAGGAAACAGGGAGAAGGGAGAAGGAATTATTGTCAAGAATAGCTTTGTTGTCGATTGAAGACATTTGGATATTGAGAAACCGAAGGGAGCAATTGAACAAGAAGAGCAGCTGCGACAAAATGCGCGGGTGGGCAATAGATTCCGTGTTTCATGACCAAAGATTCCTTTGCCGGGACTCCGTTGCGCGAACTCTCTTATTGCTTGCTTGTAACATAGAGGGGGAAAGGAAGTATTTATAGTCTTTTAGTGGAAGAAATACGAGAGAGATCTGGGCTAGCGGAGTTGGGTCGGACTTCACTCTTATCAGGTAATCTTTCTGCCAGATTCCTCGTCAAGTGCAGGAGATGGGTATGAAAACACGCTCTCTCTCTATCTTTGCAACAGAGTTCGAAAGAGAACTTTGAAGACCTAATGTACACAGACTTGCGTTGTTACCGGAGTTCTGGAATACTGTGGCTCAGCGTTTTGCAGCGTGGGTGGAGTTTGATCTGGTTAATGTGATGATTTGTATATGTTGCGAAAGTGAGAGAAAGGAGCAGGATTGAATTTTTGCCAAGTTAAGATACGCTGTCGATTATCATGTGTCGCTTTGAAAGCGGCCTGTTTAAGCAACGGCAATACAAAAAGATGGCTGAGAACTAAGACTCGGATAGGTGGTTCGCGGAGATCAGTGCACACGATAACCCTTTGCTTTCACTCAGGAATAAGTCAGCGACCGCCACACTTCAGAGTGGCTGGTTTGACTTCCATATTCCATTCTTACTTGGCTTAGATCTCAAGGACACGGGGAGGTATTTATATTTTCTGTAGGATACGGGAGAGAAGGGAGGATGGAAGGTTTGACTCACGGTCTGGTATATTGCTGGCAGTGACTACAATTCACCCTTGGGCTTGTTTCATATGACGAGCGCAGGCTAGAATTGGGGATATAAATACGACTGTTTCCCATGCCGAGAAACTAGGACTAAATCTTACGAGGCAATCGACTCATTCTATGTGTTGTTTCCGAAATTCAGTCTTGCTCGGGAGTCCTGCCGGGATCAAGTTTAGGCTGTTGATATTGACACGGAAGATAGAGGCAATAGAGAAATAGAAGTGAAAATTGTTTGTTGCCAAGTAGGAGGTAGTTGTCAAATGGAAAGGTTTGATTGAGTACGCAAGGCTGAACCAGAGAACTGGCAATTCAAAGATGAGGAAAGATTGAGAGATAAAATGTGAAAAGATTTCTGCATATAGAATAAAACGGTCTACATGCTGCTGAACATCGGGAGGGTTCCATTTCTTTTCTGCTCGGGTTGGTTTAAATCTTAATGTGGTATTAGGAGGTATTTATATCCAGTTGAGGCTAGAAATGTTGAAGTCGGGAAGCGATGCGGAGTATTAAATTCACTATTGCGCTGGAGCAACATATTCTCTCAAGTCCAGGTTGCTTTTGATAGTGCAGTGCTAGATTCACTCTTCGGAGAATTGAACAGTTTTCTGTTCCAAGCTTGGATTCCAGTCACTGAGATGGACGGTAGGGTATAAATAAGGCAATTTCGTCTTCTTTTGATATTCCACTGCAAAGAATCTAGGAAGGTGATGTTCCTCTCACGTCTTCAAGATCGAGTCTGCTGGTTGTAAGACACACATATTGACTTTCATATTTTCAAGTAGTCTATGGTGCGGCCGTGAGTCCAGCAATCCCGGTGACGACGATGGCTACGCGTAGAAAGATCTTGAGATTCTGCTATCATCGAGTTCGGGTTATCGTCAACTAAAACTCCCATCCAGGTTGGAAATAAATAAATGAAATAGTAGCAGAAATGTGGAACTGAGTCAGTTTTGGTAGAATTCAAATCATCAGAATCTCCTTTGGGATATGATACTCATATGATACTCGTAACCCACGAGGATCCGAAAGAGGGTAAGGCCGTCATAAAAGCTTTCAAGGTTTCTTATGTAAAGCTTAGATACTTTGAAGCCCGGCACTGGCTTCTCTCCATGATTTCTCTCTTGATTCGGGTGCTTTTGAAGAGCAATATTCATGGAAGCAGGTGGCGTATTTATATATGGTAAAGATTCGAAGAGTCATCATGAATGTAACTAATGAATTCTCCACCTTCGTTCCTACGTCATCGTCTCGTTACATCGTTGGAACTATCGATGATCTCCTACTTACAGCCCTCTTCCTTTTCTCTTAGAAAGTCCAGCTTGTTCATCAAGAGTATCAAGAATCACACATGCATAATCCGCCACTGCAGTGAGCACAGTCACTTCGCCCGTCGGATTTGCAAGCCCTCCGATGACACCCAACTCAAGACCTAGTAAGCTTGTCCCATATCTCGTCCACCCAGGGCCAGCAGAAGGATTCTTGGCGAATCCAGACCAGACGCCTTGCATGTAACTGCTGAGCTGGATCTGAGCAGTGGTTGCCCCAACGGTTGAGTAAGTGCCCCAGACCTGAGGAATTTCAGAGCTGTGCCATGCGCCTGCATTGGTAAACTTCTGTTCGTTGGGAATATCTGCGTTGTAGTAGTAGCGCCAGACATCATATCCATTATTTGCAGCTAAGGTAAAGAGTGATGCGGTTGGACAGGTGAAGACTAGATCTGTGATTACCCTACAAGGTTTCACTGGTCAGATTTGGTCCTGTTCATGGTTGAACTTGAGCACTGTATACTTACTGGCTAGCGAACACATTGACGGTATCAATGATGCCTGAGCCGTAAATCGAAGTGAGCGCATCCACCAGGAGTGAAATGTTGAGTCCAGTAACTTCATACACGATTTCTACAACGGTTGCACCGTTGCTGGGATCTAATCTTTGGATATATCAGTAGGGCATTTGATAGACGTTTTTGGAACCGAGAAACACACGAGCTCGTTTTCAAGAGACGGTAAGTTCAGGGATGAATCTCACTTACTCTGTAACAAACGGTGTGCCTTCGTTGGAGTTTGTACCGATGAGAAACGGCACCTTAGCAAAGGTACCTGCTTCAATTGCAGCATCAATAGTACTGGAATCCGCACACGTAACACCATCGTAGCCCGGCAAGAAACTCAGCGAGTTGTCTGATATGTACGTCTTGATTTCGGTAGCGCTTATTCCACGCATACATTCGAGCTGGGAAGCCGCAGTCGTACATCCAAATTCTGCGGCGACAGCGTCCCATCCGGTAGAATTGGCTCCAGCAGATGCAGCTTCGGATTCCATAATAGCTGATGCATAAGGGAGAGGATCTGGAGGGAGAGCTAGCAGCTGTTTAACAGCATAGCCACCTGAAGACTCTCCAAAGATCATGACTTGGTCTGGATCTCCACCAAAAGCATTGATATTGTCGTGGACCCATTGGAGAGCTAGGCGCTGATCGAGGAATGCGAGGTTTGATTCAGCAACACTTAACTCTGGCGAGTTGGGATAGCCAAAGACTGCGAACAGTCATTTCAGAAGTCTCCCACAAGCGTATCAGACATTCAAGAATCTGGATTTACGTACTATTATTACGATATCCTGAAGCCACTACCACCACGTCGTGGTTCACGGCCAGCGAGCTGCCATTGTAAATGAGGTCTCCTTCCCATCCGAATTGGGGAGCTCCCTACAAGGATTTAGATCAGATCTATCACAAGTCCTGTGAAGACGACGTACTCCATAAATCCAAAACATGACTGCTTTTGCATTGCTAGAGCTGGCATCTTGTGGTGCGAAAATATTAAGATACAAGCAATCCTCGCTTTCTTCTGGAGGCGGGCCTCCAGGATTATCGTACAGATACTCAAGAAAAGCTTGATCAGCGGCAGTACCTTTTCTTTGTCAGTGATTCAACTGTTAATATCAGACGGAGGTGTAACTTTACCAGAGAATTGCTGAATACAAGCCGGCTTAGATATCTGAGCTACGATTGGAGTCGGCCACGCACTTTGAGCGCTTGCTGGAGAGAACCGCTCTGGAGGGCTAGCGAAGGGAACACCCAAGTATGCATTGACCAAGCCAGTTACGGTTGGCTGATTAATGACACTTGTTGCAGTCCCAATAACAGTGCCAAGTGAAGGAACAGTGACCGTTGGATTGGCTGCCCGCTTAACCGGTGGTGCTGCTTCAACAATATAGCAGAAGCTGATAGCGAAAAGTATGTTGAGGGCAACCATGGTGCACCAGATGCTTGGGAGGGGAAAGGTGAATGCGGATAGCAGCTTGACTTTTGGCGCTGATTCTCGATGTGGTCTCGAGAGATGTCTCCAGAGTTTCACCAGCCCACTGCAACTCTAAGACCCAGTACAAAAGATCGACGACATATAATTTCTTGATCTTGGTACCCCGCAAGCTTCACGGGCATTGGATTCCCATCTCGGAAGCTCCCGAATGTAGGCCCCTGCTCGAACCTTCACCTATCAGGAACGATCTGCGAGGAGTAATCAAAATCGATATCCAATCACCGACGCAATGCATATGCCGGGAAATTCTCAATACCGAGGTGAAATTGCTTATCTTGAATCAATATTGCAGCATGTGCACGTAGAAGAAAGCCAATCCAACTCAGCTGCCGGCCTTGCGATCACGTGGGATGCTTCCCCTCCCGGCTCTTGTATAGATTGTTCTTTGAGTTGCTACATCTCAAGACTTGACTTGATTTCCAACTGATATTAGCTCTGGCCAACACGAATATCTATAATTCACGTTTGCTCATATATTAAGCTTCCTTAGCAGGCGAATCATTGATGGCACTCCTTCTCTCGTTAACTCCATTTGTGTCTTCAACTTCCTTCTTCTTCCTCAGATTCCTCCAGGGGAAGCAGCACGCAAGAATCAACGACATAGCCGAGAGTGCAGCAGACAAAATAAATGCATCGTGTAGACCTTTGATATACGCCGCTCGGATGCCTGGTAGTTGCGCGGCTGTGAATTTGGATTGTAAGTTAGTTGCTCCGACAGCAACGATCTGTGCAGCTGGGATGGAAGGAGCCGTTCTGGAGAGGGTTTTGAGAAGAATGTTTTGGAAAATTGATGTTGCTGCTGGCAGGATTATCGTACCGCCAGTGGATTGACCAACTGAATTATTCGTCAGCAATTTGAGCCCCTCTGATTCGAAGGTAAAAGAAAAGCACTTACAGATTACGACTGCTGTAGCAAGAGCTATGTCTTGAGGGTCCATGATAGCTTGTGTAACGATGATGGGAACCGTGAGGCCCGCGCCTATGCCGATCCCAGCGAGGACTTGATATCCGATCCATACGCTATGGCCAGCATCCGCGGAAACACTGATCCAAAGACCGGAGGCAACTGTACTTAAGATTCTGGACAGAATGATGAAGATGTTAAAGTGGCTAGTAACGCTAATGACAGTGCCCACTATGATTTGGAGCAGAGCTGTTCCTGTTAGTCGCTTGGGTTAGAAAGTGATTCGGTTTGACTCACTGATGGAGAGAATGAGTGGAACTTGTCGAATGCCCGATTCGATTACATCTGTCCCTTTGACCGCCTGGAAATATACTGGTAAGAGAAAAAGAAATATATAAAACACACCAGCAAGACTATTGCATCAGATTTACTAGTAGAAATTCGCCACTGGAAGGGGCATGCACAACAACTTACAAGAAACAGTACAGAGCCACCAAAACTATCATTCGGTTCTTGAGAACACTTCTCGGGAGGAAGGCTCTGTCCCCTTGGTAATACTCGCGGATAATAAAAGCCAAAGCTAATACGACAAAGCCAACCAACGTGCCCACCACATCTGCAGAAACCCATGGCTTCGTAGTACCGCCCCATTGCAACGCAAACATATAGCAGAGCATAGCGCCAATACTCAGTGCTACCCCAGGAAAATCCATCTGCAGAACCTTCTCCTTGAACGACACTCCCGTAACCTTGATATTCGAAGGTATGCGAAGAAACATGAGCACAAAAGCTGCTGCTACTCCACCACAAGGTAGATTGATGTAAAAGCTGCTCCGGAACCATGAATCAGTTTTCAAGGGTGAGACAAAGAGACTTGCGCATGCTTACTATCATCGCCAAGAAACTCGATCGGTCAATGCCCCGCCAATCAAAGGGCCAATCACGGATGCTACTGCGTATGCTGCAGACAAGAGGCCTGTGAGAGCTGGTCGCTGCTTGGCTGGGGCAGAGACACCAATTACAATATATGATCCAGAAAATGTGCCAGCGGCTCCAAGTCCCGTTATGGCGCGACCTGCAATGAATGTCGAACTATTAGGCGCCACAGCTATTGATCCTCAGCAAAATAACGTTTCAATCTTCTGGGGATATCGGCTGACCGCAAACCAGGCTTCCCAATTCAAAGGTGAAGATGCTAAGAAGGTAGATCAATTTGATGTCGAAGTATTTGAAAGCTTTGCCCCAGATTCCTTGAGTTGTGGCTACAGTCAAGAGTAAGACTGAGCTGTACCAGGCGACATCATCGAGAGCATAGAACTCGCTGGTGAGGTAGGATATTACGGTAGCAACGATCGTCTACATCAAGTGAGAATGAAGCACATTATGTCCGGATTGATTCGCTCACCAGATCAAGTGAAGCCTGCCAATTGCAGGAGACTTGTCAGCGAAGTCGAAAGACCTCTGAGAAAGATTTCGTACCAGAAAGATGCTAAGAATGACCGAGAAGGAAATAGCCAAAAGCTTCCATCCTGCCAATGTTGCAGCTTCTTCTGTAATCGCATCATCGTTGCCCAGAATATCTTCCGGTGTTCCGATCTGCCTGGGAGTTTCCGACTTCTCGTTCTGCGATTTCTCGGCGTCCGCAGAGATGGACATTGCGTTTTTATCAGACATGCACAAGAAACACAACGTGAAGCAATAGCACAACTCCGAAAACAAAGATCGTTACGAGGGACAGCAGAAGGTCAAAACCTTATACCATAACATGGAAACATGAAAGGCCGATGACTGTCGCAAATCATCCAACCAAGAAATTAATGAAATGGTCAACACGTTTATAACCAATGACAAGGACGCATACAAGCAGCGTTCTGTGCCTCCGTTCGTTGAAATTTACCAATCCCTTTGCTTAGCCGGATAAAAAAAGAGTCTTCTCATTGGAGCCGTGTACGATCTCCCAGAAAATCTCCACTTTTAACCCCACCAATTGGCATCGACACTGCGCCGCATTTTGTTGCAGTACTTACTTCCATCGTCTACCCAGTCCAACTCATCATTTGTCAATGTATTGGCTGAGAATCATGCCCCGTACGAGGAGGCTTTTCTTCAACATCAGTACAAGGTACTGTTCCTGAAAGGTTTCAAATTAATATCGATTACCACATCGGTAAGTGTAGGCTAGTCACCTAGTCTGTGTGCTTATTTTCACCCCGTCTGCATCATCCTCCAATTTTTTTATCTATAATCCAAGGTTATTTCTCAGCATCGAAAGTCATGGCAGCGGTCAATGATGCTCAGATCGCCAAATGGAAGGCTTATTTCGATCCCAAAATGTTCCCCGGAAACCTGAACATCGACAGAAGGAAGTGCAAACGAACTGTGCCCATGCAGGTTCTCAGTCTGGGAATGTCGCGGACCGGCACTGCGTGTAAGTGGTATATCAGTTCTTGAAATTCTGGACTCGACTAAGACGGCGTATAGCACTGAAAGTGGCTTTTCACATTCTGGGTTACCATGATGTCTTTCACAATCTGAATACGAGCCAGAACCTCCGCGAATGGGACATCTGGAATGAACTCGCACAGGCCAAATACGCAAAGGACCCAGATCCTTCGACAATAGATTGGAGAAAAGAATTCGATGGATTGCTGGGTCATTGCGAAGCAGTAACAGATACCCCACCAGCATACTTTGCGCCAGAACTTATTACCGCCTACCCAGAGGCTAAAGTGGTCATCGTGCAGCGAGATTTCGAGGCATGAGAGCAAAGTTACAAGCCTCTCCTTGAAGCCATGTGGAATCCTATCTACAAGGTCCTCGCCTTCCTCGATCCGCAGTGTGTGGGTAGAATTAGAAAGAGCATGAGGATCACCACCAAAGGCAAATGGCACGCAAGTAACAAAGAGGAGATGAGGATGAATCTACGAGCTGCATATTATGAGCATTATGATACTATTCGAGCGGTGACGCCTCCAGAAAGGCTACTCGAGTACGAACTGGGAAGTGGATGGGAGCCGTTGTGCAAGTTCCTCGGAAAGCCTGTTCCTAATGAACCTTTCCCTCGTGTGAATGAGAAAGCGGCGTTGAAGGAGTGGATTGCTATCACGACAAGGCGAAGCATGTTCAACGCTCTCAGGAGTATTGTAATCGTAGGTGGGAGTTTTGGGGCTGTAGTGTTTGGGCTTTATTACAAGCTCAAGAATTGAATTGCTTCCTGAGGAGTAGCTTGTTTCGAGAAAGCTTTTCACTTCGAGTGGATCAAGCTTGTGAGAAGCTGTATCTGATGATTGCATCGTTGCTCCGGTGAGCAGACGAAATAGCTTTGCGGTCGCGTTGGTGTGGTGAGATGCGTGGTTCGAAACGAAGTGGCTTGTACATTCCGACAGGGATAGCTCTTTGCGCACCGCAGGCGCCCTGGAATGCTGGAGTGTCTAATTTCATTTAACCAATGTACAAGCAACTGTCCCGTCTTTCATACTATCAGCCAAGTGGAAACGATATCAGCCACGATGAAAGTCCTTCCATTTTGCGTCTTCTGCCTCGCCCCAATCGCCCTGTAGGTATTGTCCATGTTCGAATTGAATCCTTTTTCCCATACCCCAGCTAACTTTCGTAGAGCACTTCCAGCCACCCCTCCTACTGCTCTGAAGGAGATAGCAGCACTCCGTAACCTTGTCAGAGAGCCAGTTGAGCTGCGGACTCTCAGGATACTTGCTCCTGATAGCGCGGAAAGCCAATTCGACTGGAGAGATGCGTCCCATGAAAGTCTTCCACCAAGAAATCGATATGCTGAGGATTCACAAGTCCTCTCCACAGAAAATCAGTATTTTAGAGCAAGGGAGGCATCCGATTCACAACTACGCTCGCCAGAGAATCAACATCTTGGAGCACCAGAAGCATTCAAGCCTCGATCCCGATCATCCAGGAAAGCAATCCCCAGCCGAGACTCTCCAAAAAAGGAACCCGCAGCCCAGGCTGACAGAGAAGGATCACGCAGGACAGTTGACTTGGATGTATTCGGGGGTAGAGGGGCGATAGACAGCTAGTGTGGGATAGTGGATACTGTGATGATGATGAAGTTAGGAATTGCGAAGCAGAAATTTTTCAATTCAACGTGCTGTGGGATCTCTACAAAATGACCAATGGACGCATGCGCAATGGTTTCATTCACTAGAGAAAGGCTTTACCGTTTTTGTTTGTCAAATCATAGTATTCAAATCGTTGCTTTTGATTCCCTATCCGTGCAGAGTCGGGAAGCATGAAGTTCTTCCAAAGCCTTTTCCAGTCTATCAATCTCTATCTAATTTTGCTTGTCCTCAAGAACAAAGCTTAATGCTACCAGATCTATAGTATATATTCCCAATCAAGGCCAAGTAAACATCCCCAAACCAAATGACACCATACTCCACGAGCACTACACGCTTACGATGATAACCAACAAGGTTGCAGGACCCAATACAAAGAATTACTCGTTTCTCGTATACACAGACTTCTGGCGCCAAACTGATCCATAACGCATGACTAGCATCGGCACAGGAATCAAAGCTAAGAAGATACCAGCCACGAGTACAAAACCATACCCCAGCCCAAGAGCATCTGTTAAAGGAGGAATGGCAAGTGGAAGCAGAGTTCCTCCCAAACAACGCGCAATGAGAATCATCGTCATTGCAGATGCCGAATACAATCCGAAAGCGTCGACGATGTATGAAGTTAGAGGCACCGAGAGGAACAACAAGGCGAATCCAAGCAGAGCGACAGCCAGGAGAATTACATAGACTGGCCAATGAGCATATGGTGCCCACCCATAGAGTGCCACAACGACTGGCATAAAAGTGGCTCCTCCAATCATGAATGGCAATCGAAATTCCGGCCGAGCGCCTCCGTGAGATTTTCCGAGCTTGATGTAGATATCATCAAGATAGAGATTACATGCGACGATGCCAAACGATGCACCAACACCTTTCGAAGTCAGTATGACGCACGGATTTTTGGACTAGAATGCTTACTGAAGGCCAAGAATGAATACCCAATCAGAGCTGGAGAGAAGCCGTAGATGTCTTTCAGTATACCAGGGAGAGTTGTCGCTAGGACGTAGTATAGCGTGAAGACCAAACCTCCATAGAAAGCCATGATCTTGAGCACAAAAGAGTCCCACAACACAATCATTGGGCGTGCAATAGAAGTTCTTAATTCGGACCACCACAACGCCATTCCTCCGTTCTCTTCTTCCCAAGCACATTTTAGCGACTCATCCATAGTCTCCTCCCGCAAACGGGCAGCTCTTCTCTTCAAAATTGAGACTTTGTAAGTCTCACGAAGGAGGACGAGAAATAAGACCTCACAGACGATGGCAAGAATCGCACTCATCCAGAGGATCTTTCTCCATCCAATTGACTCTGCGATGGAGCCTCCAATGGCGGGGCCAATTGCCCCTCCGATCAGTGGAGAAAGCATGACGAGCGACATTGCTGAGCCTCGTAACTCGGATGGGTAGATGTCGCCTATGATAGCAGGATTGAGCACATTCGCAGCGACAGCGAGTCCAGTCAAGAAACGAGCTAGGATGAAAGTGTTTGCCGTCTGACTCAAGGCAGCCAGTAGAACTCCGAGGATGAAGATCATATTCGCCGCGTTGAACACAGGGTACCGTCCATAAATCTCTGATAGTGGTGCAATGAGAAGTGGCCCAGCTGCTTCTCCAAGTTCCCAGACGGTGACCAGGAGGATGCTTGCCGACTTGCTCTCTTTGCCCTGCAAATCAAAGACGATTCGTTCCGCAACTGGCACAACGCCAATACATGTGAATGTTCTGGTTCGAAGGTTAGCAATTAGATGAATTGAATGATCTGATTTAACTTACGTTGTGAAGGCCATGAAGCTCAATAAAGATATAACGCCGAGCTTGTATGCTTTCGACCACTCCAAAGGGTTGTCAATATCACCTTTTGGGTCGAAATCGACCACCGGTTGATCTGTCATGGGGCAATGACCTTGGTCGACATGGTGCAGCAAGGGTCTTTCCTCGTCCATGTTGAATGTGGTTGAGGAACTGCAGGAGAGAAAAATATCTTACAGTAGGTACTGGTCAAAGGTGGGGGCTTTGGTAAAATTGTTCGCTAGTAAAAATTTTGTTAACGCCGATGGACGAGGATTGCGATGAAGATTGTCAATAGAAACTTAGAGAGGTTTCAAAGTGAAGTTATATGCCAGAAATTCAGATCCAGAATGCTGATAAAGGTGGTACAAGGTTGTCATGGACAAAACATCCCCGCGCCCTTCCGCTGGTCGACGAACAAAGGCGCTGTGTGATTAATAACATGTGGGGATGCAACTGCCCTAACTAGCCAACTCTTCCCTCCAATACGCTAGCTTTGCGACATCAAGCATCAAAGTGAAGTCCAACAGCTGGCCAAAGATTGTTCCAAGACATCTCCAAGTATCGCTATACCATCTCAACGAAAACTGTATCACTACTCTCTCCTACGGCCCTTTTTAGCACTAATACCAATTCATCGATTCCACCGAAAAGCTGTACAATCGCATTCAAGAGAGCAACATATTTTCTGAGTCCTTCACCGAGACGATTCTTGACAAAGAGTCCCTCAGCACCGCTCACACCTTGCGCAACGGATTTCCTTGCAAGTTTCAAAGATCGAGAAAGCAACGGAGTTGGCAATACAGCAGGCAAGGGATCTCCAGACTTCAAAGCTTGTTCCAACACGAACATCACTGCCATCACCTCCGCGATCAATTCTTCATCTATTGCTCCTATAGAAGGAGTTATCTTTAATTTCTGGTCTTCCGGAAGCCGAACAGTGCACAGTAAGAGCTGGGTGACGCTTTGATTGAGTACCATGCAAAGCTGGCAAACTCGATTAAGGGTGCTTGAATCAAAGTTAGAAGTCGAGAACTCTAGCCTTGTGAGCTTGATGGGTCCTAAGATCGATAGCAAGACTTCTCCAGAAGACAACGCTTCAGTTTCGGCAACTTGGCGTAAGTCAAGCGCCGGATACTTCCAACTCGATACAAAGAGAGCATATCGGTCCCTTATACTCCCCAGGCTGGCCGCCAGTACTCGTCGGTAACGACGGTTAGCCGATGGAGGTCTTGGAAGAAAGTTGACAACGAGAGCGGCAGCAAATCCCACGAGGACGAGGATAATACGACGCCAGAATATGTCATAACCGACACCAGAGTTGCCGTAGCTTGGCATATGGGTGTTGATCCAACTGTAAGCAACAACAAGATAAGCCGTGGCAGCCATCATGATTCCGGCATTCATCAAAGCGGGAGATCTGAAGAGACGCCACCACATGAAGATGACAATTACGACAACCATAACTGCTGCCATGCCATATGGATTTCCAGGCCCATGACCAGCACCAATATACCATGCGACTATGCCAACAATTCCACCAATGATTGTGCCCATTGTCCGTACAAGAACTCCATACACTAGGTCTGCGGTGTAAGGCACCATGGAGAGTTGAGCCATTATGACAGCCCAGAGACCTTTCTCGCGATAGTAGAAGCCTGCGCTTGACTTGATGACAGCTGGAACTGTAAGTACAACGGTCACAATCAACACCCTTAGTGCATAGACTCCTTCTGTGCTGCTGAACCAATGTGTAACGTTGAGCAAAATCCGACCGATATTGCTTCTCTTACGACCGTTCGGTTTTCTCATAGAAGCTAATTGAGCTTGGGCTGATTTGGGTTCCACATTTTCGTCCATCTCCCCTTGGGATGTCGCCGATGTTAGATAAGCCTGGGTGTTGAGCTTTGTAATCGGGTTGGCAAGGAGGTCCTCTCGGGTATCGGTCCTAAAGATCCAATTCACGAGGCCCATGATGCGGGCTGGAAGCCACAGTCCAGTTCGTGTCCTCGTCGACTCTAGATTTACAACCCCGGAGAGCATGGCTTCCAGTGCATCTGAGAGCTGAAACAGGCGTTCCTCAAAAAGAAGACCCCACATCAAGCCCGACAGAGGTGGAGGGCCATCTGCTTCAATCTTCAAGAGACCATTGTCATCGAAAAGATGATCATGTGATTCCAGAAAGTGCTGAGCAGTCAGCCCCACAAACGTAGAGCGATGCTTGCTGAGTTCTTTCATGGTGGCTTGATGTTTCTGGAGCATCTCTACACTATCTTCTGACTTTTGGCGAGACTGTGACTGTGCTAGACCTTCAACAATGCTAGCCAAGGCCTCTTTGCAGGCTAAGATGAGGTTTTCGCTGGAGCTGGCCAAAGCATGTGCAGTCTTTTCCATTAGATCGTCACTAGTCGGATGGATCGACTTGATTCGAAACTCCGCAGCTCGGCTAATCTGGTGATGGCCAAGTTTGACTTCTGTTTTATTGTCGACAAGCTGAATTTCGGTAGTTCCGGCAGCTTTTGTTACTTCTTCATTCTTTTGTCTGTGTTCTTCCTTCACTCGATGTACCTCAAGTAAGCCTAGGAAAGAAATTACAATTCTGCGAAGAGGCTCCCTCAACGTCATCAGGTCTGCAGAGCTCCACTTTCCAATTGTTGCATCCATCGGCAGAAACGTCGAAGGCATCTCCAGTGCTTTGTAGCCCATTATGATTTGTAGCCTGGTTGTCATCAGTTTCTCGGCGTTCATGATGGCGCGAGGATTCTTGAAACTAACAAGAGATGCATCGAGAAAGCCAGGCATCGGTAAAAGTAGCTTTTTCATGCCATCCACAACTTCCGAAGACGCAGAAGTTGGAAAGACGAGGATGTTACACAGAAGACCAATTCCAGATGCAATAGCACATGAAATCGCGAATGACTTAGCAAGTAACCCGTCGAAGGTTGGAAGGAGGGGCGCAGAGGTGAGGAAGGCGTTGGAAACAATGACTGCGAGTAACTGTACGGCGACAAGCTTTGGAGCAGCAACACGAAGCCGAGCCTAGAATAATATCAGCTTCCATGTCTGCCTGGAGAAACACATAACTCGCCACCAAGTACACAAACAACCCCATCATGCAGAAATACGTGATCGTGACTCTCGTGTCGAGGAAGAATCCATTGAATATCTGCATCTGGATGTATTCGCTTGCACTTGTAGCTTGTCCCGTGCGGATGGCATCCCTCGTCATATTTTGCAGAAGAATCGATTTCTGTTCTAAGTCGGCATTTGATCGAGTTGTCAAGGCGACTTTCATGGTAATGACACCCCAAGCCCAGCTGAGACCAAGGCCGAGCATGATTGACACGGCAGCTATTAGTTGAATGAAGAGGATGTTGGATGGCGGAGCCAAGAACAAGACGATACTAGAGTTTCATGAGAAATGCAATAGAGGGTATTGGAATTGATACTCACCATCCAACGAAAGCTACAGGACCCAGTACTCTAAGAGTTGGATTAATGAGAATAAGGAGAGTTTGAATCCAAACGGCGAGAGAGCATTTGAAGAGCGTTTTGAGATCTTTGCCATTGAAATGATCGAGCCAGGCTGGGAGCTTCCTCGAAGACTCTGAATATTGGGTTGCATTGGTGAAGTAGGGATTACGAATGGCCTCTAGATCTGCCTCCTTTGGCACCTCACGCTCATCATTCTCTTTCTCAAACTTGTGCGAAGCTGGCAAAATCGAATCAGCCATAATAGTGCTGAACAGACAAACATTCAAAATGAACCGCGAGGACTAAGGAGTGAGCGTCATGTTGTGTACATGAGGGAAGTATAAATGAATCCCGAATGCAGCATCGTCTCGGCTCCTGCATGCAAGCCAGGGCCATGGTAAAGTTCTCTCGTATTCTCCTTTGGTGACTTGAGCGGCACGGCCTTATTGCATAGAATGAGGATGTGTCATCTGGTAGAAAGCTTCAAGGCTAGATAAAGAATTCTTGGCGAATGAGCACTGCAGCATCGTAAATTGGGAAAGAGCAATGCAGGTACGATGAATCAGTGGCTCCCAAGCTGTGAGATGCGGAGTGGCCACGAAAGATTTGTGGAGTCTCGGTGCAGCATCTGAAGTTGTCATTTCGCTACGCCGCAGACATTGAGGGGTGTGGTGAACAGATACGATCGTGAGAATAACCAATGCGACTTTTAGCTCCATGGTGGCTGAAAGCGTACCGTGCGAGTCGGATCCTTCGACGTATTGCTATGCGATGCGGGTTTTCATACTGGTGATAGACTGTTTGGAATGAATATAATATGAAAGTCACTCATTCTCAAAACTTCGCGTTTCCCAATATCAAATCGGCTGAACAGACTTTGTGAATATGCACAGTTGTCAATCATGTCAGACTCTGATTCCACCTACGAAGCGTATCGCTACAATCCGTCTCTTGGTGCGGCAGTAGCTTTTGTTGTCTTGTTTACATCGACAACGACTTTTCATTTGTATCAAATGATTAGGACGAGAACGTGGTATTTTATACCCTTCGTTGTTGGAGGTGCCTGTAAGCTTTCGCGCCTTTCGAGTCGCTTCAATCATCACTAGGCGCTAATCTTTACCTTCCAAAGTCGAATTCATAGGCTACATTGGACGAGCAATATCAAGTCAACAATCGCCAAATTGGACAATTGGGCCTTATCTTGTCCAGACACTCTTCCTTCTTCTTGCGCCAGCGCTTTTCTCGGCGAGTGTATACATACAACTGGGTCGCATTATCCTTCTTGTGGACGGAGAAGATCATTCAATAATCAAGAAGCGCTGGCTTACGAAGATCTTTGTGACTGGAGACGTGCTCTCCTTTCTAACGCAAGCAATTGGTAGATCAATCACCGTTGTCAATAACGTCCCGCCGCAAGCTAACGTTTACATCAGGCGGTAGTATCATGGCATCTGGTACATTGAGCGCCATGCACACTGGTGCACACATCATTGTTGGAGGACTTTTCATCCAAGTGGTTTTCTTCGGCCTCTTCATGGTCGTCGCCTTTGTCTTCGACTTCAAATTGCACAAATACCCGACCCCCGATCCCGCTATACCATCCCAGAAGCACCTCAAAACCTTGTACATTGCAAGCATTTTGATCATGATCAGGAGTTTGTTTCGAGTTGTTGAGTACATCGAGGGCAATAATGGATACTTGCTGCGTCATGAGTACTATTTGTATATCTCTGATGCAGTGCTGATGCTTGGGGTTATGGTTCTTTTCAATGTGATCCATCCTAGTGAGGTTCACGCGCTTCTTCGGGGAGGGAAAGTCAGCAAAGGGTTCAGGATGATCACTTTGAATACCAGTAAGCTTTCTTCGACATCTTCTGATGAGACTGGTGTAGTTTAGAAAAAGAGGATGGAAAAGCATACAGTAAAGAGGAATTGTGTCTTTGTATACCAGGTAAATAGATCAATTGGGCTGCATCAATAGTCTATAACAACCAGAGTATCCAATGCTCCCATCTCGCTCCAACCCTACAATGAATGGTTTGAAGCAAATGCCTCCTCATCCCGTGCATGTACCAGATGTGATCCACTGGATTCAGTAGTAGAGAATAATGTGCAAGTACCACCAGTGCCTCTGGCACCAGTGCGGTCACCATGGCAAGAAACGCTTCTGGTACTCTGATCGGCCATCCTAATGCTATTGATATGAGATCAACCAGCCATTCACTACTTGACGATATCACAAGCCCGTAACCTTCATGCAGTAAGCCCAAGGTCTCGTTGAACGCTGCGACTTCTACCTCACTAAATCTGGCAGACGATGCAGTCCAAAGAGAGCTGAGTGAGCTCAATTTTGAAGTCACATCGGGGCTGATCTGCTTTGCAAGCTCGCGGTCCATAGCGAAAGAGTACAACATTACGCCAAGAGATCCTCTCGCAATCCACTCCCCGGCAGTATTCAACAAAGTTTGCACCCCACGAAGAAGACTTGACCATCCGACTGTTAGTCTTTCCCCAGTGATTGCCTTGTCCGAGAAAAAAAGATCAGCTGTTTGGTCGGAGGATGCCCAAGTATAAACGACAATGATCGACGAGTAAGCAAAACACGCATCGCAGTTCTGTGGTGATAAATCCAACATGGTAGATTGGAACATCCTCAAACCAATATCATGATGCATCGAAGCCTCGGCATGGAGCGAGGCTACACGATCTGGTTGTAAGCGTGCAAGGTGCATTGCAGAAAAAGCCATGATGCCATGGAGGAGAAAATGGTGGGTAAATGCAATTCGAGGGACGACTTGTTGCCAAAGCAAATGACGTTCAGGAATAGTCGAGACTGTGAAGCATGTTGTTCCAGTGTAAAAGTGGAGCAGTTCCAGTTCCTTCACTCCAAATAGTGGCGTGCTAATTTCCTGATGAAGTTCGGGAATCGATACTCGCGGTGATTTTGAGGTCTCGCGTGAAAATCTTCCGATCCTGAAGTCGGAGACTTGAGAAGATGTTGACGAGGTTGCGCCAGTATCTAGGTCCGAAGATGTACCAGGTACGTCGAGGTATGAACAAGCCAATGGATTCTTCTTACAACGACCACAAGAAGGCTTGACTTCATACACTATAAATGTGTCAGACTTAGTCAATGTAAAATGGTTGTGATATGTTCGAAACTTGAACAAATGAGAAGATGGTTCCATTCAGGAGCTGCAACATACAATGTCCGAGATCAATGTGGGGTAGTAACAGACCTTGACCTTCTTTGACTTGCATTGTTGGCAGCCCAATCGAGACTTGCGATGCGGTCTTCTCGTACCCGATCCTGTACAAGCCGCCAACATTTCTACTATTCTGGCATCCCTTTTCAGGACTGATTGAGTTGTCCTAACGAGAGAATGAAGCAAGTCGGGATCCTATGTCGCACTGTAATGAATCCTTGTCATGTCTCCGATCACCTAAGCTGAGAAAATGCGAGTATGAAAGTTCGAGGGAAATCGCTCTTGAAGTTCTCAGGCTGCTGTCAAAGAATTCGCCGTCGCAGATACAGATTCACCGCTATGGCTGCTGACAGAGACAGTAAGCATGCTGTAGCGCTGCGGCGTTCACCAAAGACCCCAGTACTGCTCCGCTGTGACAATTTCACGGCGCCGTGATACGCTGCCAAAAAGATGCTTAACTCCACTCCGGACATGTGTTATTTCCGATTTTGAATCCCACCAAAGATCTTCGGTGATCGGATCTGCACCAAGGTCCACTGCACAAAGGCTTTATCATTGTCTATAAATATATAAGTATGGTTTATATAAGACTGTGAAGCTGTTCCATTTCTATCAAACAACAAGTAGAGGCAGGCATTTCGAAGTTATGAGATAACAGCCACCACCACCGCTGACAGATGATGAAGTAAGGCTCCCTCATGAAGATTTCGGTTCGAACCCTGCTACTTTGCAGCATTTGCCATAAATAGTTGTTATTACTGTATCTCAATATATGTTTTTCCGTCAAGACATGTGTTGATACCAACACACCAGGACATTCGCTCGGGGCAGTGTCACTAGTCGTCCAGGGGCTCGCTTAAGAAATTGGTGTGACCAAAACAATTTACAATTGGAATACAATGCGGGCATATTCCTTCCTTATAGTTCTAGTACAAAATCCGTCCTTGTATCTGTTCAGCTCTTCTTCCCCTCTTATTTAAATGTCCAGTCTTCTCTCTCTAGATTATGAAATGATTCCTTTATTCCTAGAATTGAGCTTCGGGGGCAAGGCACCTCGTATCCGTCATTGCACTGCTTTCGTTACTCTTCTGATATGTACTCGGTATCCTAGGGCACGCCATGTACGGAAATGCACAGCAGTTTTTCGATTCCTGGTTTCATTTGACTAAATCCTCATCGTTGATGGCCAACAATTCGTCTTCATCCTCGTCATAGAATGTCTGTCTGGTAAGCAGTCTTGCCCTAGCAGAATCCGCAAGTTCTCCCACAATCCCATCTGTTGTGAAAAGTACCTTGATGATGCGCTCACCTCCCGATGCCTTTGCTACAGCCTCGCACAAAATAGTGACGAAGTCTTTCAAGCTTTTTCGAACCAATCCACTCAGATTTCTGCCACCGAAGAGTTGCAATCCGTCCACAATACAGAATTGCAAGCGAGGTCCAACTGTGATAAGATCTGCTAGGAGGTGGATCGCTTCTGGAAGTGATGAGACGTTCTCGTTCAACTTTTGAAAGCGAGCAGTTGAGAAGTCACGTTCCACAAGCTCTGGCTCTAGCCTCTCTGGCAACACCTTCGCCGCTTGATATATGAACGCGTAAGTCATCTTGAGGAACTCCTTCTCTGCATTCCAGGTTCTCCAATGTTTTGGATCGTACTGGCAGAAGTCTACCATAGCGGGAATTTCGACCCGTCTAAGATTCCCCAAAATGAATGCCGATATGAGAGTGCTCTGACTCGGTAGAGATGTCCCACTCGGACCTTCAATCCACAGAGCTTCAGAACGATCGCTTGTGATCCATCTGTGGACTGTAGCAGAGATATCGGTATTAACATCGATAGATCGGCCGAGCTCAACCAGTTTATCCACATCCTCCGCGGCTTGGAGATACGGCCTAAAAGCCTCGACGTCTCTCATGATGCTATCTCTTGTCCACTTCGGGGCTGCAGCAATAAGTGAAACAACATCTTCTGGGGCCACGTCTTTCGTTCCTTCGAATGCTTGCAATTTTGAGGCTGGAAGAGGTGGAGGTCCCATTAATCGATTCGATTGCAAGGAGAACTCATTGAATTTTCTGTCAATGTCCTTTTTCATTTTCACCTGAGCCTTGAACGTTGATTGCATGATAGTGCCGAGCGCCATGAGCTGCCGGGTATTCAACTCTCTGGTCATGCGTGCATCTTCGTCCTTGACCCGTTGTGTGTATTGAGAGAGGGTTTTCAGGGTTCCTTGAACTGTCGTTTCCAAAAACGAGCTGCCAAAAGACTTCGAAAAGCGGGTCCATGACGATTGGTACCATTCGCGCATGACGGAGATGAGGAAGCCAAACAACTCATAGTAAAACAAAGCAATGTGATATTTGATATACATTGATCTGGGATGAAGGCTAACAGCGAAGAAGAACGAGCGCACTTGATCCGATATCTCGTCAAGACTATCCGAGATCTCATTCGCTATTTTCTCATGGGTGGCCGTTGCCTTTCGAATACGGATCAGTTTTTTGCACTCGGCTTGAGGTTGGTTCATACCTTGACTATTGCCGAGAACGCACCTGTGAACACGCTCGTGTACTTGTCGCCGCTAGGTAATAAGTCGAAGAGATAGTTGTGGTCATCCAGACATTGGATACTCTTGGTGAAAAAGGCTTTCACTTTTCCAACCTTTGAACTTTGGTCCTTCTGAATTTTGCTTTGCGCACTGTATATAGCAGATCGCACGATGTTCATATCGGGCTTTGAGGTCGCCGCCACCTTGCTGTCGTCCACAAGCTTGAGTTTGGTGGAGAATTTCACCCATGTCGTCTGCAGCTCGAGGCTCTTTGATTCCAGATCCAGAAGCTTCGTGGCACAGATTGATTCATAACTTCACAATGCTGATTAGAATATTATCGATACAGGGATACCAGTGTAATCCCACTTCACTCACAACTTTGTGTTAATCGCATCGTCTCCTAAGAGGTTCATTACTGCATCTTCTGCCAGGAACTTTCCCTTCTTTTCTCGCTCGATATCTGCGTCTACCTTTGCTGCCAGCCCTTGTGACAGGGGCTCATCGGACATTTCATCGCGGACAATCTCACTGTATCGGCGTACGAGATATAGATTCTCGGCATCATCTTGAGAAGTCGTCATCTTGCGGACAGATGTCGCAGAAAACTAGCCTCACGGCGAGTTGGAATATTATAGATAAGTGTGCGATGCGACCCAGAAATCGCGTGGAAGTAGCACACACAGCTCACAGCCTCTCAGTCTTCATCGACCGATGAGAAAAAGGTGTGAGCGATCTGTACTCGGTCGAAGGACTTCGTACAGCATGCTAAGTCCTCTCTTGCATGATCATACGCACGGATTCTTGCGGGTGTGCAGGGCAGGGCAGGAGGATCACATAAGCGGATCGACTCTTTGGTGCAGTTGTTCAGCCCACTTTAATTCCGAAATTGAATAACGCTCAATAGGTTCTCCACTTTCTTGACATTCCAATCAAAAGCCCTGAAGCTGCAGTATTTGTGGGGCTGAGCATTGCTGGCAATGGCCCCCAAATTGCATTTACAGACCCCAACTCAGTCACCCGCAGGAGAGAATGATTTTTCTTTGGTCATTCAAAAGCCGCCTCGCCCCTGGTGTGTTTAAGAGGATCATATCCATGCTATAATACTACAGGCATGTTGATTACCGGCCGTGAGATAGGAGTTTGTTTCGCCGCCAGAGCCTCGAGGAGCTGAACGAGGGGAAAGCTGCGGTATACCCACAAGGATGGACGCAGGCGCCCGCCTCTTCTGCATTTGAGGCTCACCCGAGTGAGGATGGGGTTATTATCAGCAAGTGACCTCCTTCATGGTTCTCGAGCCAACCCGCTTCTCTTCTTTCTTACATCTCGCGCATCTATTCTTGTCCCTACTCGATTGTAAACTTCACTTTACACTTCGATGTCCCAAGCGTAAGTGCAAATTCCCCAAAGCTTCAAGGCCTCATAATGTGACAGCAATGATGACAACCTAATCTGTAGCTGAAGTCGCAGCCTCGTCTACCCTAGCTGTCCATGCCGCCCGAATCACCAGAAATGGCGTATGCCTATCGATCGGGATCAGAGCTTACACCAGGGCCAACTCCACGGAAAGTACCAGGAAGCCCAAGAACCATGAACTACATACACCAGGAATCGTCCAGTTCAATCACGCTCAGTGAGGACAACTCTGTGGATGGTAACACACCAAGCACTGCACCATCTACTACAACAGGCATCTCGGTAGCCCCGTCCCGTCCAGACGTCAAGATCAAATACTCGCTCGAGGTATACGATCCAAACACACGGGAATCGCTGTCGCTCAATCAAAATGACGAACCTTTTGAATTCCCTACCAGCTCTGGCGAGGTCAGCGGTACCCAGGTTGCTACTTCAGACCCTCCTGCAATCTTTGAGATCGTCACAGCTGCCACTGGTTATGACAGACGAAAGCGCAAGGGAGACGATTTCTTCGAGATGATGGGTATGGGGAATGATGACATGTCGACGGTCCAGCTCGATGAGCCATTGAAACTGGAGCACATCAAGATCAATAGGTTGAACGAGACAAGGATGGAAATTCATTCTTCGTTGCTAATTGAGGCTATCAAAGAAGTTGTCGACTACTATCCCAAGTACATCTGAATCCTTGCCACAACATGGATTTCATCTAACTTTTCACAGCCAAAATCTGATGGGCGATGTCTTGATCATCCATAAACCGTACTGGGTTCTGATTCACCACGAGAAGGAATTGAAAGAGAATCTCGCAAACCTTCTCGAAGAAGCCAAAGATCCTGCAGTCGAGGAAGTGGAAACGATTACAAAGAAAGCCGATCATCTCAAAGTGATGCTAGATTTCGTTCAACCCGAGATAGATCGATTGGTTCCTGCCATTGAGCGCCGACTCCAAAAAAAAATCCCTACCATCACCTTCGACTCGCTTTGGTATCTTCTCAAGCCTGGAACGTTTGCTTATTGCCAATTCGACAACGAATGGATTGGCTGTGTCATCATGCGAGTGAAGGGAAAGGTCGGCAAAACTTCCGAGATCTCTAGATGGAATGTACTTGTCTGGTTCCTTGACTACAAGCATGATCTTTCTCGAGCATACACTGAGTCGAAAGATGAAAAGAAGCACGTCATTCATCGATTCGAAGGAGAGCAAGATGTCATGTCGCTCAAGGTGATCCCGAGAGAGTTGTGGGATGCTGTCGATGGTGGCGCGAGACGAGCACAATTCGAGGCTCGAGGTCTTCGGAAGATACAGTTATTGTCATGTGGACACAAGCAAGTGAATTACAAGGGAGAGTCGCTCGAGACTAAGAAACGAATGGTAAGAGTTCTTCTAGCTGGATCGCCAGGATGGTTGAATGCTGAATTGCCCCTAGTACCACAACAGACTTATCCTCGATGACTGTCAAGGTCTTGACACGTATGATATGCCCAATACCCTGTGGAAATGGAGTATCAACGAAGACCTTAAAGATGACTCGTGGATGAATTCACATGGCGACCCTATCACGAGTCGGAAATTGTCAAAGCTTGCACAGCTGGTCATACTTGAGGACAATGACGCCAAGAAAGTCACTAAAGACCAATGCTTCTTGATAAATCCCAGCATGTTATGCTTTGCGCTTAACATCAAGTCTTGGTGTAAGCTCACTCCACTACGTGCCCATGAAGTAACAGCCTTTGTAGAACAGAGTTGTAACTGACGTTACATTCTAGACATGGCACACGTCGAACGCATACACGAAATGGAACCAGATCTGTCTCCAGTTATGCCTGTCATGGAAGAGTCTCACCTCCAGATTATCAGAGCTCTCTCGGACAGCCAGATCAAGTCCAAGCCGGCATGGGCTGCGGACTCGATACAAAACAAGGGTAAAGGTGTCATCATACTTCTTCATGGTAAGCAAGCTCGCTGGAAGATACACGGGCAGACTAATGAGACTTCCTAGGACCTCCTGGCGTTGGAAAGACATATTCAGTTGGTAAGCCTTGGTTTGCTCCTTGCTTCAGACAATGAGACTGACTTCAATGAATAGAATGTACTGCAGTAGCCACTGGCCGGCCACTCCTCGCCTTGACTATCGCAGATATTGGCATCCAAGAAGACAGCATTGAAAGCGAACTTGCGTCCTGGTTCTATCTTGCAGAACGATGGAAGGCAGTCTTGCTGATCGATGAGGCTGATATCTTCCTTGAGAGACGCAAACATACAGATCTTGCCCGCAACGGCATCGTGTCCGGTAAGTCTTCACCTCCATTTCAAACACGACGATCTTCGCTCAAATAACTTCAGCATTTCTTCGAAAGATGGAATACTTCAGTGGCCTCCTGTTCCTCACCACCAACCGCGTCGGTCACATCGACGAGGCCTTCATGTCTCGCGTACACGTCGTGATCGGCTATCCTCAACTTGACGACGAGAAACGCCGCAAGATCTGGCAAGGCTTCTTGGACAAGATGAGGATCGACACCGGTGGCCAAATCAGACTTAGCAACTCCGCAAAACAATTCGTTCTTCAGGGCGAGGAGAGTCTGAAGATCAAGCTCAATGGACGAGAGATCCGCAATGCTCTTCAGACTGCGATTGCGTTGGCTGAGTTTGAGGCGAAGGATGATCCGGATTATAAGGAAGGTGAGATGATCAAGGTGGAGAAGGAACATTTCGAGAGGGTGCTTCATTTGAGTCGTTCGTTCCGCGATTATCTCGACTCGATTAGGAAAGACACGGCGGAGGCACGAGCTTCGAATTATTATGGACGGAATGATTATAATGATGGCGACGAATATGACCACCGCTTGGGTGGCAAGTGATTCTATAGAGTTTCGAAGAGCAGGGAGCATGTGTATGCAGAAGACTTTGATAGATTCAATACATCGCAACTTTTGTTTATGCTTCGATGTGGTATGTACCCTATTTCCGACAGTATATGAACAATCTGCCCACTCGCCGCTTTCCATGTTTGAAAAGGAGACCAGCACGGTGATTCTGCAACCACAGCCAAAGATCCAGCTCGTGCAATTAATAATCCGCAGAGCGCAATGTCAGCAATGATTTCACGGAGCGAAGCTTCTTCTCAAGAACTGCCGACTCCGGGCTTGTGGATTTTGGATGATATCTCTGCCTGAACTTGGAGATTAAGCGAGACCCTGGTGCAGAAAGGGGACCGAAAGCGAGCCGAGACCGACCACATTATTGGAACTCGCTTCTGCAGGACATCGCCAGGTACGAGATATATATTGGTTCTACATTGAGTTCTTTGAAATGCTGCGATTAAGCTTCATGGCTAAAAACTGCACGTAATGTACACGTATATTTAGGCAACTGCACCTGTGGTGGAGCAAATGAAGCTGTTGATTGAACGAAGAGATGGAATAACGCTGAATATCTGGTGCTATAAGAACTGAAGTACACACCCAGGTATCTACCATATCGATCATACCTAATCTTCACTACGCGGATCCAAAACATCAATTCCACGAGTTCTCGAACAATGCGTTTCCTCTTCCTCACCGAGGCTCTAGCCTTCACATCACTAGCCACAGCCCACCTCATTCCCCGCCAAGCCCCAGCAAGCGTCTACAAAGGCAGCGGCTGGATCGAATTTCTCGTCGTCCGTTCCAACGGAGACCTCCTAGTCAATCACCTCGACAAGCCAGAAATCTGGTCCCTTGACTCCACAACCAAAGCGGCGACAAAACTCGCGACTTTCGCCAACGCCACCAGCACTACTGGAATCACCGAATATGCTCCTGATCAATTCGCGGTCGTGACAGGCAGCTTTAATATAACGAACATTTCGTACACTCAAGGGTCGTGGGGAGTGTGGAAGGTTGATTTGAGTGGGGCGACTCCTAAGACAACGCTTGTGAAGGAGGTTCCCGAATCCAATTTTTGGATTGGGATTACGCCTTTCAATAACGATACCGTGTTCATCGCTGATGCGGGGAAGGGAGCGATTTACAAAATGACGCTTTCGACTGGGAATTATAGCATGATTCTTCAGGATCCGACGATGATAGCGCCCAGCGGATCGCTGATCACGGAGGGTATTCATGGGATTGTGTACAATAATGGGTACGTGTACTACAGCAACACATTTGGGAACGGATTCTACAAAGTGAAGATCGATGCTACGACGGGGAAGACCATTGGTGCCCCGATCGCAGTTGTACCATCGATGTCGAATCCGGAGGGCTTTACTTTTGGGCCTGATGGTTCGGCCTACGTTTGTTCTGTTGGAAACAAGAATATTGCAAAGATCACTCCCTCGGGGAATATGACGACGATTACTGATGCATCTGGTTGCTCTTCTGTTGCGTTTGGGAGGACGGCGAAAGATAAAAGTACCTTGTACATTTCAACCAGCACTGGTGCTGTTCTGTCAACGACTATCAGCTAAATAGTAAACATGGGCGTGGGTATCGGAAATGGTGGTCAGATGGGTCAGAGCTGAAAACGTAATTGTAGATATTAATTCAAAGGCGCTTGTGAAAAGGGAACAATCAATTGGCAGCTCCAGGCGACCTAGACACAACGCGTTGACAGTGAATGTAAACCAGAAGAAGCAACGATGCGCAGCAAGTGAAAAGAAACATCGTAAGTAATTGTCGATATCAAGCAAGATCATGGATCGAGACGGTCTGGCAATAGTCGCAATGTATAAGACAAAGACCATAGTCAGCAGCACGATGAAGAGAGGAAAGAGTTGTGGTCGAGGGTATTGTACGAAGAGGACGCTTTCCTGGCTAGGGACTTACCAGTGACGGAGGCCCAGCGTGTTCAGCCCTAAAGCCAGCCGCTAGGGGCAAACGAGGCTGGCGAATGACGAGCCAGAGCGCTAGAGTTTCACCACAGCCGAGTGTTCCGGGCATCAGATCTGACACTTCACGATAAACATCATTCCTTCATACCCATCACTTGAACCATTCTCCTCTCATAATAAAAAGTAAATACATTTTCCCCTTATATCCAAGATGATAACTCCCCTCCCCTACACCCTCCACACCCGCTACCGCTCCATCGCCCTCGCCTGGACCGTCATCCTCATCCCGCCCACCATCCTCAACATCGGCCTCTTCTACGACCTCTGGTTCGGCACCTCTCTCGATCGAATCCTCGGTCCGTCCCTTCCCTCCCCGTCCCCTCCCTTTCACCGTCATCTAACACGTGACAGTCCTCACGCTCCCGACCGGCATCCTGGGAATCTTCACCATAATCGCCATCATAGAACGGATCTACAAACTCACCAAATCCTCCCCGGAATATAGACCTTTAAACGGGTCTCGATTTTCTCTAGATGTTTTTCAATGGGGATATTTCGGTGCTCTGATCTTGATTTCGGCGTTAATTTCTTCTGCTCTTGCACGCGGGGATGTGGATGCGGATGGGCATGAGTTGCAGATTAGATTAGTGTCTCTACCTGCTGCTTTGTTGATGTTTTTCTTGGCTGTGTTGACTCTTTTGTCGTTGGTTCTTAATGGGGTTGGGGTGAAGCTTCCGTTCCGGTTTGGGAGTGTGGAGAAGGGGAACGTGGTGAGGCCGGCGGTGTTTTATATTGTGGAGGATGTGGTGGCGGTTGATGGGAATGGGGGAGTGGAGTTTAGGGAGAAGTGGGGGGAGAGGTATGAGGGAAGTGTGGTGTTTAGAAAGATGGTTTTGGAGGTTAGTGTTGTGTGGATGGTGGCGTTTTTTGTGTTGAGTGGAGGTAAGTTGAAGTTATTTCGTTTTCCCTTTGAGGTCGTTGTCGAGGAATGGTTCGACTTGTTGTCAATATACGCGGTGCTGATTTGTTGTAGTGTTCACGGTACTAGTTATGTGGCTGCCAGTAGAGGCAGTCTATGCCGTAGGGTGGGCTGGGCCATTTCCTATCGCGGGCTTGATGGCTGTTTGGACGATCTACTACGTCAAGGCTATGTTGAAGGCGGAGAAAGAGGCTGAGGGAGGGTCAGTAGAGAACGGGAATGTCAACGGGAATGGACAGGCTCCTAGACAAGGTGGAAATGAGACGACTCCATTGTTAGATAGAGCTTAGGGTAGCAAACGCAATTTGTGCAACTTGCGCGATTCGCGCTGGTTGCGCCATCTGCGCTACCTGCGCTGTTCGCGCTGTCATCGCACTTTTCATCGACCCAATATCTCTTTAGACGTTCAGAAATATTCCTTGCTATAAACATTACACTACTCAGTATGCCATCCCATTTCAAATATCCAAGAAAGCCCAACTCCCAATTTCAACCCCATTACATCACCGTACACCCACAACAACAACAAGCCGCCGTACAACCTGCGCAAAACCCCAACGCAGCATCCTCCTTGCTACTCCTCCCCTGATTCACCACCACCACAGTCGTCTTCCCATTCGGTCCTTGTCCTTGCCCTTGACCTTGGTTGTAGTAGCCCGGTTGTTGTTGGGATTGATACACAGGTTCTGGAGCTTGATGGACGTGTTGCGGACGTTCCCAAGGTGACTTTGGGGGTTCGGGTGTCCAGGTTGGTTGTTGAGGTTCGAGGTGGATGGGTTGTTGGTTGGAGTAGGGGTGGCCGGGTTGAGGGGAGGGAGATTGATAGTAATCTGCTGCTGCCATTTTGAGGGGGGTTTTTGGGGTTTGATGTTGAGCTTGAATTTTGTGGACTGCTGGTTTGAGTTGAGGATCGTTGGAGAAAGATGTCCGAGGAAGAGGAGAATATGGTGTGACGAGGCTGCGCCTTGATTTGTGCCTTGTGCCTGGTTCTGAGAAGGAGTGGTTTTCTGACTCGATTATCTTTGACTCCAATACCGCAAACGCATTCACTCAGCAAATTCCAACAAAATCAGAACGTCAAAAATAAACTAGAAAGAGAAACACAAAATAAAAAACGACAGGAATGTGGTCACATCTTAAACTGTGCCGCCCTCATTTCACTCAACGAGGCTGAGCCAAGCATTTCTTCCTTCAGAAGCACGCCCCAATTCGATCGTGGCGCAGACCCACCTTCACGATATTGAGCCAATTGAACGGTTGAGAGATGAAATGTTCCAGAGGTATGCGGGGAGTAAGGTTGAATATGTTTCATGTGGCGCCCTGTGAGACATGGATATGTGCAGGAAAAGTTGGTTCATCGGCAACTCGTGAATTCGGTTGGGTTGTCGGTCGGTCACCCGTGGATTGGCCTCAAATATCGGACGAGTCAGGACCGGATGAAGGACGGCAGAGGAGTCGAAGAAAGCAAGAGTAGTGATGCGCAACATGGAACGAAATTTGGCGATGCTCTCCTAGTAAAAGTTTTGTTGCAATTGCCACTTACAACTTCCACCACATTGGATCTCATTGATACCGCTGATGGATCCTCGTCGATACATCTGACTTAACAATTCGACGATTGCTTCGAACAACAAGTCCATCTGGGGTTGCAAAAAGCAGATTACTACTTTACACCTGGTGACATAAATTTCGAGTCTCATTGAGGAGGTCCCTCGCGACTACCTTGTCCAAATCACTCTGATCGACTTCGTAAGATCTCAGGAGGCATTCCAATTTCTCTTGAAAATGGGCAGAAATTCGATGTACAGAGAACAGAAATGCAATTGTAACGGGATCTGTAATCCTCCGAAGGAGTAGCTAGCAAGTCAACAGCGCATACAGAACCCCAAAACGAAGAACAGAGTAGCTGAACGTCCTCGCAATCGACAGACGTGTCAAGAACACGTATCGACTTCGATCACAATAGTGCGTGTTTCCAGGACTTCTATGCTTTTATTGCTAGGTTGACTCGATGTATGTGGTGTTGTGGATACTTCAAACAATGCTTTGTGGGAGCAAGATGCGAATATGTTGGACGGTCGAATTCCAGTGCTGGAGACTTGGCTGAAGATTGCGGGGAAACAGGTTTTCGTCCAAACGAGAGAGGGGAGATGGAGATGGAGATTGGAGGAAATGGGAAAGAATGATGGGAATCGGGATGTCAGATGAGACGAAGAAACGCATAGAGACTTGGTGGGGTTGATGCAGGGGTTGGCCGGAGGCGAGGAAATACTCCGAGATATAAATCGTTCAAATTGGTGTGAAAGCCCGCCACTTAGCGATTTCGCCAGCTTCCGTTGTGATGTTGTCACCGTATACACTTTTGTCAATGTTCAGCTCGTGTTTTTTCACATACTTTGTATAAAGATGTAAAATAAAATAAAACACAGTCATGTGATATCGTGTCAGATTAATCAGACCCTTGGCGATAGCTTGGCGATCCTTGGTAACGATCCTCGTTTTGTGACGTCGTGTGCCCAGCAAAATGCTGCAAGTGCCAACTGCCAACTCTGAGAACCCTCAGGTTCCTGAAATAAACGTTATGCTGCTGGGATCCGACGTGGATACCGGCAGTCATTGTGGAGGTAGGGGATCATTCGTATTTTAATTTGTTCTGCTCTTGTCCCTTCAAATCCTTCCTGTCCCTACTTCAACGATGGGCGAGAGGAGCAGGTATTCTTGAAATTCTCACTCCTAGTATACTTACAACTAGTATCCTTCATTGTTTTCGAACTTCTCTCGTCCTACGCTCTGCACGATGTCTGATTCTGCCGACTTCGACCAGGAGGCAGCTCGACGAGACTACAGAGCACCATACTCCACCAATCATCCAATTCCTACCATTCAACGATATCGAGAACATCGCAACGAGCTTGAAGAACGACAAAGCCATGCTGAAGCTGCTCAGCATACAGAAGAAGACGATTCGAGAGCGAAGCGGGCCTTCAGCTCTGTCAAGTCTATAATCAAGAATGAAGACAAGAAGGATCCAACCGGAGACGCATATCCTACCTCGAACCGAAATACAGAGGAGACTGCTCGCGAGCCCGACCAGGACGATTCTGGGATACCATTAGTTCCGTCTGCCAGTGATGGTAAAGGACAAGTTGACGGGCAGGATGGCAGCGAAGATGGATCTGCGAAGCAAAATGGCACAATGCAACATGGCACACACCAGAACGGTAGCACTGATGACGGTGACAAGAAGGGGCAGCAGAAACAGTCGGCTACCGAGAAGGTACACGGGCAGACCGATCCGAAAGAGAAGAGGAAAGCTATGAAGCATAACAAACGAGACGATGGAGGTCGTGAAGTCACAGATCCCGTCACGCATCTGCCATTGATTATACGAGACTCGACAGCAAAAGACCTACGTCGAGCGCCCGAGAATGAACGTGCTCCCGGCCAACAAAAGAAGACTGTGACAGGATTGAGTGGAGCATCAAAGTCGTCGAGTCAATTGAGCTTGGAGCAGGATGAATTGCAGGAGAATTACGATGGAATGCAGAAGATGTTTCCTCCTCCAGCGTATGATGATGCTCGAGCTGAACTGGCTAGGACATTTCAGTCTGCTTTGACCATTGGATTGAGTATCATACTGGCACTTTCAACAATCGTTGTCTTGCTTCTTGTGTTCGTGGCCTCGACGTCGCATAATAAATCAGATGTGCCATTTTGGAGGAAGATTGGGACCGAAGATCGGCATTCAAAGAAACTCTACATCACATTGGGGATTGTGACGGCAGTTTCATCCGCAATTGGATTCCTCGTCATAACTCAAATCCGTGGATGGCTGGGGAATAAAGTTAAAGGTATCTGGGAAGACGAAGTATGGGATGCTGCTAGAGTCGAGGAGGAAAACACTAATCAATCGAATGAACGGCTACCAGAATCCGTTGCTTGGATGAACAGCCTTCTCGCTTCCGTCTGGCCCCTTATCAATCCAGACTTATTCGCTTCAGTTGTCGACATGCTTGAAGATGTCATGCAAGCAAGTTTACCAAAGGTCATTCGGATGGTCAGCGTTGATGATCTTGGGCAAGGCAGCGAGGCTATTCGGATCCTTGGTATCAGATGGCTTCCAACTGGTGCTGCTGATAAATCAGTTGATGATGAGGGTAAATTGAAACAGGCTAGCAACAAGGAAGCCAATGATCGTGGTGCTCCCGGAGAAGGTGAAGAAGAAGATCTCGAGAAAAAGGACAAGGATGATGAAGAGGAATCGGATGCTTCGAAGAAAAAGAAAGAGGAGCAGAAGCAGAAAGAGCAGGAACAGCAATCCATTCGTGAAGGCATGGAAGCAGAACAAGGAGACTTTGTCAATATGGAAATGGGTTTTGCTTACAGGGCCCGCTCTTCGGGCAAGTCTATCAAGTCGAAAGCCAGGAATGCACACTTGTATCTCAAGTTTTACCTACCTGGTGGCATCTTTGTTCCGGTCTGGGTTGAGCTGCGAGGAATCATTGGGACTATGAGAGTTCGCTTACAACTTACACCCGACCCGCCATTCTTCAGTCTCTGCACATTGACTTTTCTTGGGCAGCCGCGAGCTGACCTGTCCTGTACACCACTTTCGAGACATCTTCCGAATCTAATGGACGTTCCCCTCATCTCATCTTTCGTACAATCGGCCATTGATGCCGCTCTTGCCGAATATGTAGCACCCAAGAGCTTGACCCTAGACCTCAAAGACATGCTCGTCGGAGATGACTTCAAAAAAGATACTGTGGCACGAGGTATTCTCATGATATATATCAAGGAGGCCAAAGGATTCAAAGAAGGCGATGGAAGCATTGGACCTATGAAGGGCTCAAGCGATGCATATGTCACCTGTTCTTGGGGCAAATTTGGCAAGACAATTGCGTCAACCAGAATCATTGAGAAGGATCAATATCCAAAGTGGCATGAATGGGCATACATGCTAGTGACGCCGGAAGAGCTCAATGCTGAGGAGAAGCTGCGAATTCAGCTGTGGGATTCCGACAAGTATACTGCTGATGACGATCTGGGACGGGTTGAAGTCGACTTGAAGGAGCTTATGCATAGTCCGAAAACGAGGAATGCGCAGTATGATCGAGAAGATCGATTCCGAGGACAAGATCCTTCTGAGAAGATGCCGGGAACGATTTCCTGGTCCGTTGGCTACTACGAAAAGACAAGGATCACTGAGGATCAGCTGGCGAAGCAGACTGAGGACGATGAAATCAAGACGAAGGATGATCTGAAGAAGATAGTCTCGGAAACTGCTGAGAGGAAGCTTCGTGAGGCCACTGCTCATGACGAGTCAAAAGAGGTTCATCAACAGAAGACGCAAGATTACAAAGAGCGTGAGAATGCTTTGATCTGCTCTTCTCCTCCGGATCCGAAATATCCATCAGGCATATTATCCATACAGATTCATAACATTACTGGACTTGAGGTCGAAGCCTTACAGAAAGACAAGGACGACGAAGGCGATCGAGAAGATGAAGCAGAGCAGTCTGATGACTTACCCAGCAGCTACTGCACCATCATTCTCAATCACAAGAAAATTTATATGACACGCACCAAGCCGAAGAATGCAAAGCCGTTCTTTAACGCTGGAATCGAACACTTCATTCGGGATTGGCAAACGGCAGAGATCATGGTTAGCTGTCGAGATAGCCGAGAACGAGAGAATGATGCTCTTCTTGGTATTGTTTATCTTCCACTTGCCAAGATGTTCGAGAAACGAAGTCAGATCATGGACATGTATCCACTTGTCGGCGGTATGGGCTTTGGCCGAGCACGCATCTCGATGGTATTCCGCAGCATCGAGCTCTCTCTTCCCAAAGAACTCCTTGGCTGGGACTACGGCACACTTGAGATCAAATCACCAGTTAAACCAAAAGGAAATTTCCCTCAAGATCTAGCACAACATCGGATCAAGCTTCGTTCGAACATTGGACGTATCAAGATGCAGTCCAATGATGGCCAGTGGAAGTCTAACAACGATGAGTCCGCGTTCCTCGCATGTAAAAAGCGTTACGCAATGCCTCTCATCGTCGAGTTCCGGACCTCAAGTCTTGTGCACGATTCCACGCCTGCGTTTGCTGTCTTCTGGCTCCGAGAAATCCCAGATGAAGAGGACCGCACAATCACAATGCAAGTCTGGGCTGGCGGCAAAGAAAACTTGAAGCGCGCCACAAGCTGTGCCGGCTACAGTGGCATGGAGGAAAACGAACAACCCCTTGGCGAAATCGAAGTCACAATGAAATTCTGGCGTGGATTATCTGGGTACCATAAACGGTATGCGCAGAAAGATAGAAGTGAAGACATGAGAAACGTCATGGAGGTTCTCGATACTGTAAATGACGAGATCAAAGACGACGACGCCATGGACGACGGTTATTCCGACCCCTCATCGACCTCCTCATCCGACTCGGAAGACCGGGAAAAAAAGAAACCCTCTCGATCCCCCACGAACAAGAAACTAGCAACACACACCAACCAATCCGACTCCTCCCTTTCCAGCACCAACACCTCCGCCTCCAAAAACCCGTTCAAGAAAATCAAGAAGGTGGCAACGGATATAGTGACAGGGCATAACGACGAAGATGATGGCGAGAGGGGCGTGGTGGGCCAGGTGAGGGATTATAAGGATCATAGGCGGCAGTTGCATAGGAGGCATCGGGGCGTGATGCAGTGGCGAGCGGCCAGGAGTGGGGATTGGGCGTTGGGGAAGGTGAGGCGGGGGGTGGGGAGGGTGGAGGGCGTTTTTGAGCATGGGGAGAAGGGGGAAGGGGTTGAGACTGAGGTTTAGGTGTGCGTTTCGTGGTGTTTTGAAATTGGAAAAGAAGAGTGAATTTGGTATATTGCATTGCGTTGCCTCGCTTAGGAAGGGATGAAATGGAAAACTGACTTGATATGGAAAAGGAGGCAGTCTTGTGGGACCGGAGGCGTTCTGAATTTGGATTTTATGGAGGGTGGGCTGGAATTAGTATTGATATCAAGCTGTGCTTGAGTAATGGACGAAAAAGTATACCCTTTGTGCCGACTACGCTTCTGTTCATTTCATGTCTCTACGTTTTGGGGCACACGTAAAGCCCAGTGGCTTAAGCTCCTATCTGCGGCATCCCGTCCAGTATTTGTTGTGCCACCTCTGGCTGCAGTGGTACTAGTGCGCGTAATTGTTACAGCGCTTGATATCGCATAGCGGTGCGTTCCGTCCTCCTCGATGAAGCAGATGTCACAAGGAGGCATGCGATGCGAGTTTCCGTGTTCCTTGGCTTTGCTTTCCGAAATGAAATATTGTCTTACAATTGTTTCAAGAAGCTTGATGACAAGCACAGAATTCCTATTGGTCATGCTTCAGTTATTTACGAAAGAATAAGCTGCCGTACCGAAACTCCATCGGGAGGAAGGGCCAAAGAGCAAGAAGATGCATATTTTTAAGATTCCAACGATATAGAGAGACAAAGAGAAGATCAGACTCAGGACGGATAGCGTAGATGAGGAATAGGCATGATATCTTCAATTTCTGTTCTCAATCTTCAACTAATCACTTCCTTGACAGCTATCTCCCCATCACTTGCAGCTGTATCCTGTCGAGCAATATCGAATATTCTAAGCGAACCCCAGAACATAAAGTCTCCACATTCCCGTTTCATTCCACAAAGGCCCACTGCATGACTCGCGCCCCTGAGTTGTCCATCGCTTCTATGAATCAGTTTTATTTTTATTTACAAGGTTCGTCCACCGTTAATCCTATTCTTAAGCGCCTTCCGCCCCACAGGCTTCAGCCCCGAAAGTGGTGCTGCCAGCAACCCAACCAAACTTCAGCCCTGCGGCAGTGAATTCCAATGATCGACAGTACTCCTTCCCACAGTTATGAGAGTTCTGGTTGCTGGAATCATGACATCAAAGCCTCGTGTCTTTTTCGGATTTTGGAAATACGCTGACTGGTCCACCTTCCATGTTCTCCGAACTCAGAGAACGAGTGGGTCTCCTCTTTGGGCCGCTGCTTGACTTTTCGAAAACCTTCGACACATTTGCGGGTTTTTGTTTAAGTAATCAAAATGATTTTGTAAACGGGAAAAAAGAAGGTCTGACGAGATGTTCCAATGCACGCTGTATAGAATATGGTAGATGTACGGCAGATCTCCTCAAAGCTCGCTGATTATTCATCTCATGCCTCACATCTTCTCTTTTCGGCCGATGCCAAGAATCGGGATCCCGAAACAGGAGATTGCAGCTCCGACAGGACTCTTGCGATTGGATGAAGCAGCCCAGAGGCAAAGGCAAGATGAGTTTTGTCGGAATTTGGAATATGGTGTTTTGAGTGTCGGGCATGGCGGGTCAGATTCCCGGTTCCACCGGTTCCGAGAGTTTCGTTGTCGGTGCTGATTACTTGTGCTCTGACTTACGGTTAACTGGGTCTCGACTTCGAGACTGTGAGATTAGACGTGGAGAAAATCTGACAGGCAAGGAGATGGAAATATTATTTCTGATAATTTGCTGGCATTATGTTATGCTTGGCGGGGTGGACCTGCCGCGTGGCTCGGTAGACATCTCCCTGGGCTGCGAAGGAAAAAAAATTGACTCTGCTTGTTATGTATCAAGCACTTATACTGAAATGTTGAGGTGTATCTAAATTGAATACATTGAAGTCGTAAAGTGGTATATACTTAATAATTCAAGCCCAGCCCGGTGGATCCAGGTGCTTATGACGCCGAGCGCCATTTCTATCGCTCAAATGTGCTTCAACTTTTGGTACAAAAGAGCGTTATGAAGAGGAGCTTTCATTCCACCATTGAATTATTAGCTACCCTCATGAATACATACATATATTGCGTATACAACGGACAGACTATCACCGCTCGTCAGGGCTGACGTTGTTTCCTATACTCTCAAAACCCGAATGCTGATGTGATACCATCGTACTCGTCGGACTCCACATCTCAGCTGGTGAGCTCTGCGTCCCATAGTGACTCTCATGATCCAATTCCGCCGGATGGTTGAGATTCGTATCACTTAGTTCGCCGGGTTTGCTCTGATCATGTAACTCTGCTCCCTTGGGCGGCACATCCGGTTTGTCTTCCGCCGGCCATGTTCCTTGACTCGTTCCTATCATTGCTGGTTTGTTGTCTGTTCCATCCTCTGGACTTGTTGCTACTACTGCATTTTTGCGATGTCGTCGGTAGAGAAAGAATAGTCCTGCTAAGATGATTACCGCTCCGGCAATGGATCCAATCGAGGCCCCAACCTTCACGCCTGTCGATGTTCCACCCGACCCCGAATTGGTGTTCACGGCATTTTGGTGGAAAGTGGAATATGGTTGGGCACTTGAGGGGTTCAGCGCGAAAACCATTCCATCTTCACATTCGGTGCCTTGTTTTGAGTAAAACCCTGTCAAGTGTTAGTACGAGCATAGATCGAGTGATTACTGTCCATGCTTACATTCTGAATTTGAGCTTGTAACACTGATCGTGTAATTGGGAGTAGTCGTGTCTGCATTGTTGACATTCGCCTCGTAGCCAGAATCGAGACCTCCAGATAGTCTTTCGCAAGGATTGTCGAAAGTTGACTGCGTTACTGAGTGATTCCCAGACTCGAACAGGAACAATATCGAATCTCCAACACTAGCATTGACCGAACTGGGCGTGAAAACAAGATCAGTGTCCGCAAGAACCTGTTTCTTGTCAGAGAAAATGGCTAGTCAGTGCATATTGGCTTACTGTGTGAGTAGTTGCCGCGGTTGCTGAACTTGAGGCTGCTGCAGATGTGATACTTGGCACTTGAGCAACTCCGAAAGCATATCCGTCAATGGGATACGCATATGCTTGAGCATTTGTGACCGTCGCCGAGAATGTCGTAGTTGCCGTGATTCCAGATGATCCATACGCTGTGACTATAACAGGAGTCGCTTCGAGTATTGGTGTATAACATGTTCCTCCAAAAGCTGGTCTGTCAATGAACACGGTCGATGTTGGCTGGGCAAATGAATATCCGCTACAAAACATCAACACTATTCCTCATAATACGTTTATTGCACCCACCTCGGACAACATGCGATGTAATTTGATGTATAGGGACCAACAGCTTCATAGTTTTGCGGACAGATGAGCGGATTGAAGGCAGGTTGCGTGACGGCTCCGGCGGACAATAACCAACTCGTTATATATTGACTCGGATAACAATCTGTGAAAGTCGACCCTGGAACCGGCACCGGCATATTATTCCATATCTCATACTCCCGATTCGCCAACATCGTCAACCTGTTTTGCGTACATGTCGTCGCTGAAGGGGTGAAGGTCGTCGTCAGTGAAGGCGTAACCATTGCGAGACTACTCAAACTACTAGCAATCGTTGCCGTTGAGGATATAGTACTGGAGACAGACATAATTGGTGACCTGTATCCCAGAGATGACAGTGAAGAACGAAGCTCGGAGGGGACGGGATCCTCTATATTTCCCTCCTATTGATCGCCTATCGCTCTTCTCTTCTGGGTGTCCACATATGTTGTGGAACACAGGCAGGGGTGGGGGCGGAGGGGCGCACGCTACTGCAAACTCGGGGGTCCGTTCCTGGCATGCCTTGCAGAAAATGGGTGCGGCGCAGCCTTGAAAGAGCTGTGCATGCTGCAAGTACTTTGGCAGAATGAGATGGCGTGCTTTCATAGGCTGGATATGTACAAGATGTACAAGGTGATCTAATCCAGACTTCGGGGTCAGAAGTCGGGTTTGATTCGAGGAAGTTTCTCGTCAGCCCATGTGGTGAGATGTCAGATAAGCGTAAGGTTACAGCGTTGTACATATTGACTGCTGACTGTAGTTTTCGCAGTTGGAAGTGACAGCCGGATAGGCGATACCCGTAGCAAATACAACGGTGCTTGGTCACAAATGGCGGTACTCGTGGCTGAGAGAGAGGCTGAAGCTTGGTGGTACTTCGTAGTTTGGCGTCAACAGATGACAGAGATAACCTTATGTAGATTACAAATGTGCAAGCGCTGGACCCCATGCCCCTAGTGTTTGTCCCGGGACGGCTCGATGTGGTCCGTAGAGTATCTTGATTCTAGCTTAGAATTTACCACAAAAGCAAATTCCAGTCCAGGAACTGAAACCTGTACCGTAGTTGCGTAATGGACCTGTTGTTGGCAGTGTCACGGACCCCACGCGTGATGGTAAAGGATGGAGTTCCAGCGTCTGTACAACGCTGACAGCGGCCGACATCACCATGCCCTTGGTTGTCGTCGGGAAAAACACCTTCTGTCAAGGAAATTTTATTAGTCGACGTTAGTGCCATGCGTCCGTCCATGAACTCAATTGGCTCCGCCCGCACTGCGCGCAAGATGCCTTCTCAGGTCATAGACATGCCGATCCGGCAGAATTGTGGGAAAGTGGACAAATGTGCCAATCGGAGAGAAGTTACAAGGAAGAAAGATTTGTTATCGGATGAGGAATCATAGAGTTGGATTACTTGATATAAGTGAGTGTAATCCAAAAGGGGTCGCCAGGCGAAATCTTGAGCGTTTTCGACAAACGCAAACATTTACAAGCCTACAAATTGATCTTGAACACAAATGACTGACGGTCAGGAGCAACAGTAACATGCATTTGATGCAAATTATTCTTGATTGGCATTCGGACGAGGCACAGTCTCATGACCCCACTACACTTTTCGTGCGTCGGGAAAGCAGGGTTCTGGCATGGCAGCATGGATACTGGGATTACTTAACCCACATGCATCTGGGATGTTTGCCAAAAGAAGCAGGCGGTGTAGCGGAAGAATCATGGGTATCTTTCCAAGGTTTGCTGAATAAATTAATTTTGGCCCCCAGCTCCTGAACCATACATATATTGAAGAAACCACCTCTCTCCTGTTTCCTTTACGCGCCCAGCCAAGAAGCAGAGCCAAAGCTGAAAGTTGAAAGCTTACGATGTGTGCAAAGCTGAAGCTCACGATTACCACAACCCGCGATATCCCCAGCTACTCTCACGTGCTACTCACCAGCTTGGAAGTCGACGATCCTTCTTGACCAGCAACCCTGCAGACAACGGGAGAGAAAGTACAGTGTAGTTTGCTACTTGGTCATAAGTCTTTCGTCGGCGATCAAAAAAAAACCTCTAGAAAAGAGAGAATAGGAAACCTGCCGACAAGATCAAACGGCGAGTTTCCAGAGGCGTGGTTGCGTTCCGGTTCATCCTTCCCGCCCCGCATGAACATGGATTTTCCGAATCCTTGCTCATGTACGTCGTCTGTTTTTCAATTATCGGGTACTTAAGTGTCGTATCTCGCATGGTATGCTTGCCGTTGGCCTTCAAGCACGGTCAAAGTCGCTGGCTTCTGACGACAAAATGTTGTAACATCGATAGCTGTCTTCCCTTTTGCGTTTTGTTTTCTGGCGAATGGAAATTAGAGTTGTCAAACTCTGGCAGAGCTAGAAATAATCCAATATGTTTGACTTTCTGCTTGCGCCTCAAAATCCTTCCATATTCGCTTCTTGACGTGTCATCTCGTTGCTGGGAATTACCTGTTTTATTCTAGCATCCTCTCCTCATCTACGCCGACGTGTTCGTGTTGCCAAGTCTTTCGTATTCCCATACTAAGTTATGTCAAAAACTTTAGATAGGTGCCCATTCTTGGAAGTTCAAAGTTTATGACAAAGTCATAGCTTCTGCGCAATCTTCCATTTGTAGACTTGATATGGGCTACAAATTGACGACACCAAGGTGCACGCCACCGATTTGCCATGGGAACGTAGCTAGAGGCGCACACATCACTTGATTGCAACGAAGAACACATTTCACATAGCGCAAGTTTGATTACTTATTACTTACAACACATCATCTACTACGTTACTGCTAAGAGTATTTGCCGTGATCTCTTCTCCTTTGTCTAAGACCTAAAGTTAAACCAATCTCTCACAGCCACCAGATCGTCAACATTCAGCACACTCACCCCCAAGCCCACCAAATTCTCCCACACCTTGTTTCTCAAAACCTCTGGGGACCCAGGCGCATCCCAATATCTAGTTTTTAGCCCCAGTGCAGTTGCCTGCTGAACTTGCGCCACAATCACTGAGTTCTGCCCTGCACTAAACTGCTGTCCAACTCCTCCAACTGCTCTCCCCATGGCAGTACTCGCATAGTATGAGTTTGTGTTATCATATTTACCATTGCTGTTTGCCAAATCTCCTAGAGGTGCGTCAAAGAAGACATCACGATAAGTTGTGTTGGCGATCACATCGTTCAGTAACGATGCTCCAGTAACCACGACAGTGATAGGTCGCTGAACAACGCCCGTCTCAGGCTTCCAATACGTCAACCAGTCCTTCTGCCTGAAGTCATCCAATTGACTCAAGAATAAATTCCAAGTTTTCCCAGCACTATCTTTGAAATCGACGAGCAGAATAAACGAAGTCTGAGGAGTTTCGTCAAAAATCCCTTTCACTACCCCGGCCGCAACATTCTCAGAATTTCCATTCTGGCCTTCCAGAATTGCCTTCAAAGGATCAAGATACAGACTTCTCAATGTCCAGGCAGAATTGAGTCGACCCCCATCATGACCAACCAATAAATCCTTCCCACGGACGAAAATATCAACCTCCGTACTCACACAGCCGACTGCCAAGCTTTGATAGAGCGGGATCTTTTGGGCATAGTCGTTATGTGAGTGACATTGAATTGGATTTATTCCGGTACTGAAGTTGGGGAGCCAGGATGGTGAGATTGGGGTTGTGGAGGTTGTGGAGGTTGGTGGAGTATAAGAGCTGAGGATCTGGGACAGGCCGTTTGGGGGCGGTAGGGGCCGGATTGGGCGGCTGAGTGCGGCTGATACGAAAGCAAAAACGCTGAGAAGGTAACAAATACGCATGATGATTACTCATGAGCGAGCTAGATGCGTCTCGTTTGCCGATAGTATTCTAAAGGAATAGCTTGAAGTAGTTCCACAACTATGCGCTGTCGACTGTTGAGGCGAGCGCTCAGAGATTGAATGAAGTTGGTTGCTGGGATTGATCGAAGATGAGAAAAACACCTCGAGACCCCGCAATAATTTGTATGCTTCCATATTTACATCTCGACTGGGAAGAAAGTCTCTCGTCCTCCAAAAATGGTATAGGTCTGGTACATGATTGAGGAATTTGGTACCGAACGGGAGCTTGTGAACGGCCAGCTTAACTAATTCCACCAAAAGCAAAGCCACGAATGCACAAAGAAATTTTTTCGCACGATGGACTTTATTGATATTTGCTTATATTTCCGGTCTCTCTTGACTCATTTCCATGGCTTCTTCATTTGGTTTTCCTCCGTATCAAATCCGTCCCACCATGAATTGCCATCCACCAAGTTAAGTTTCTCGTCAAAGAGTACCCCTTCACCCTTCAACAATCTTAGCTTCTCCACCTGATTAATCTTTGAAGGTGCATCTTGAGCATCTCCCTTGAATCCTCCAACCGACTATGTTCTCATTAGTACAATTTTGGTCTTCGTAGGATGTTCGACTCACTCCATCCGCGCAGATAATGCGGTGACATGGAACCTCAGGTGCATACGGATTTCTTCTTAACGCACCTCCGACCGCTCGAGGTGACGATGATAGTGCTTTTGATAGAGCGGCATAAGAAGAGACTTTTCCACGAGGGATTTGGCATAGAAGAGCATAAACTCGCTTGAAATCGGTAAGTATACTGATGCGGGGTAGTGGGGTACAGTAAAAAGCTCTCAAACCTCTTGATATTCCGTAACTGCCATACCGATGATATTTCGTTGTGAACTTGAGTGAGATTTGAAAGTACGCAGCGCTGAAAGCACAGCTTATATGCTTCTTGCGAGTGACTGAGTCCGGTGAGGCCTGTTATGTGATTGTGCTATGATTGGTCACTTCTGGAGCAAGGAGCTGCTTAGTCAACCGTGGCCACCATCTTCGTGATATCTCATTTGCGACTTCCACCGCAATGATCCATGACCAAGAATCGCATTCATCTCTGACTCACAAAGGCATGATATGGAATCAAATCCCTTCTTCTGATCAACTTCTTTCTCTTCATACATACCTTGCTTCCAACAATGTCTCCGTTTGCCACTACAAGCAGCCGCTGGGCAGCTCTCCAATCTCGAGACCCCGCTGCAGCCAACGCATTCATTTACAGTGTCACTACAACCAAGATCTATTGTCGACCGACTTGTCCTTCGCGTCTTGCTCGACGAGCCAATGTTGTCTTTCACAGTAGTCCGTCTGAAGCTGAAGCAGATGGGTTTCGTCCTTGCAAACGCTGTCATCCCGAGGTCACCGCGAATGACGGCGATTCCCAGAAACAAGCCGTTGCGAAAGCTTGCGAATTATTGAAGAAAGATGGTGAAAATGGGACTAAAATGCCTGTCAAGACTTTGGCAGCCAAGGTGGGGTTTACAGAGTGTCATTTCTGTCGAATATTCAAGAAGGTCATGGGCGTCACGGTCGGAGAGTATAGGAGGCATCTTGAATCTCAAACAACGGCAAACACCTCGAAGGTGGTTATGTCCTCCGATTTCGATCAAGCGTCCGTTTCGAATATGAGCACTCCATCGGACCACCTCATTACACCTAACGAATTCGACTTGATGTCAGCATTCAATACCATCACTCAAGCAGAGCTCGATAGCCTCAACAACATCAACTACAACATGCACTTCCTTGAATCAGCGGACCCAAACTATTATGGATTTGAGACCTCTCAATTCTGCCAGCAACTGCCATCTGAGCCATTACTCATTGGGCCAGGAGAAGATATCTTTGGATTCGTGGATTTCGAAAACCCGAGCTCTCTCTGAGCATTAGTCGGATGCCCACCACACGCCTCACTTAGACTATTGTGCGCCATACGTATACTAAGTCACTCGGTCCCATACTTATGTCGTGGCCGAATATGGCAAAGAACATTACGGGAGCGGGCCGCAATGGGGGCACACATTTGTCTTCATGCCAAATCCTAGATCTCTAGCGGCCATTTTTGCACGATCATATCAATTCTCGAATTGCTGTCTTTCTGCAGTCCACGTCATGGAAAAGATGCCTAAGACGGTAGGAGGAAGCCAGGTGCAGGTTGGACCTTCAGAGACTCAAGAGGCTGGAAACTTTGGAAATCCTAAGATACCCAAGTGTACGTCAACGGTTACAACATTGAAGTCACAACTATCCAAAGCGAAGGACAAAGTGTGTCGACGATCGCCACTTTTATCATTCCTTCAGCTGCCAAATGAGTTGCTGGTGAAAATCATCACAATTGCTTTTACGCTGGAGGAACCACGACGCATCATCATCAGCCGACCTCCAAAAACAAACGACGATATCATCGGATACGATATGGTAGGGCTGTACGCATGCCCGCACCCATTTCAGTTGGTCAGCCACAAATTTCGCGAGATGACTTTGGTGGCTAGGAAACCCCTTTTTGCTGTTCATAATTCTCTTGGAATGGTGGTTGCGCCTGGACACATTTCTTGCGATATCGAGAAGGATGAGATCGTAATCCTCCAGTCTGTGCTAGACTATGGAACTGAATATTACGTTCCTGATTTGTTACGGATGTTGCTGGTTCAGATATACTGCAGAGAATATCTCTCCCCTTCGCAGATCAAGACGATCCACAAGTTCCCAGATGTCTCTAAAGTCATATTCATTCACGAGGCCTATCGTCGCCAGTACCTCCCAGTCGGATCACACCACTTGGTTCAACATGGGTTGCTTCCTTGGAGAGAGCAACTAATTAAGGATGAGATAGCCGAGGATAGTATGGACCATCAAATGAAGTATCCCAATGATAACCGTCCTGGTTTTGTATGGGCCAGGAAGTCGAGATTCTCACAGGGCAAAACTCCTACTGAGCCATTTGTAGAACCCATGTATATCAAGATGAAGCTAGCTAAGGATTCATTCAAGATGTGGCTATACCCTAAGCTCCATCCAGAGTTTGGCGAAGAAGAGGTGCGGCGACGCGCTCACTGGGTAGCGACTGGACATTGGAGCAACAGAACCATCTGCGAAGGCAAAAGTCACAGATGCAAATCGAGAAGTCGGTTTCCCAAATTGGGCATCTGAAATGATTACTGCAAGGAACTACTATACACGCATGGCTCCCAGAATATGGCCGTCACGCTCCTTCTGTATCAAGATCGCCATTTCCAGACCGTGTCTCTTTTCTGGCAACTCGAATCTTTCAACACCTCCTTCCCATCTTCCAATAAGTTGAAGATCTCGAACAACATTTCGATGCGGGATCGTTACCCCACGATTTTCGCCTCTCAAAACCTTCACTGGAGCCGGCTCAATTTCGTACCAAACGACTTCTACCAAAGCTGCGCCTGTCTCACTTCCATCGACCTCAACGGTCTTTCCTCCTCCCATGGTTGAATTCGAAATCGCCAACTTGACCATCTCTCCTCCATTCATTTCCCTCATCCCCAAAGTCTTCTCAACGTTCCACCACCCTCCGTCCAACTTCTTTGCACCACCATCGACAATGACCTGCGGGGTAAAAGGAGATCTCAGGCCCATTGCACGAACATAGTTCCGCTGCCGTTCATCCCATCGCGGATTAGAGAATGTATCTACCCAGGAGAGGTGATTCCAGTATGTCACTTCGTACGTTAAGAGGAGCGCGTTGGTGGAGTCTGATTGGATGGTATTGAGAAGGTGCGTGTTGGCTGGCGGACAGGAAGAGCAGGATTGCGACTGAAAGAGTTCGACGACTGTTAAATCTCCCTTAGTTTCCATCGCTGGGTAGTAAGTTGAGGAGAATGAGGTTCGTTGGGGAGCGGGAGGTGGTGAGATCGCGTTCTTGAGTTTGCGGAAGGGGTTCATGGTGGTGATTGTTGTTCGTGTGTTTGGTTTTGAGTTTCGTGTTCTGTAGATACTAAGGCAGGTTTGCAAAAAAGGGAATTGATTTTTGTGTTGTATCTATAGTTCATGATGGTGGTTGATTCCAAGTTGTGAGGGCTGTGTGGCGCGGTGCAATTGATGTGGAATCATCAGCGCTTACGCTAGCAGGCTCAATGATGCATTGTTCAAGATCTGTCAAAACTGATAATTGGAATAGATGTAAATTTATCTTGACAGATCTGCTAAGTGTCAATGATATCAGCGACTTGCTGCTGAAGGGTGATTCAACCTGGCCGTTGCTCAGATGAAGGTTGGAGTGGCCGATTGCACGTGACCCGAGATTGTTCCCATAAATCTGGAAACTGGAGACTAGAGCTTGTAATCTCGTACGGAGCTCTAATTTTCGGTTGACTAAAAAGCGGCTTTCTCTCTGCATCTTTTCTCCATGTGATTCTCGATGAATAGATCAGCTGAAGGTAATATGGGATGGGGCTTGCCATAGTCCCAGGAGGGTTTATGAAGCTCAGTCAAGGTAAATGAGTGAACGGCAGAACGGGAACTAGAAACAATACAGAAATCGAGGTAGAATACATGAACATTCTATGTTTTTTATTGCCAGCCGAGATTGAGAGACTAATCATCGAATGCGACCTCAGATCGTCTGGCTTGCAAGCGTCAAGAAACAGCCCAAAGCAAATAGAAACCCGCGAATGAAAAATGCTCATGAAAACAAGTTAGGTCCTCACAAAGTTCCAACAGTTTGGCCCAGCCCCTCATTTTGCAACAAAGAAACGACCGTAATACTAAGCAGCGGACTGGCCAAGGTCAAGAGACCGGGCCCAAATCATTAGCCAAGTGAACCAGTAAAGCATAAACAGCAGCGATACCCTTTCCCGCTCTCGCGCTCTCGAGACGATAACTCAGTCGAATCAGTTTCCTAAGCCACCATTCTATTTCAATACCGAGTACCATTCACAACAAGAGCTACCAATTTGATCTCAGGCAAGGCATATCCAAGCTCAAGCTCGGCCTCGGTAGGAGGGTCTTTGCCCTCTCTCTCATGTTGAAGTTTGATAGAATACTCACGTTCTCTGACTTCGAGATCCCATGTTTCACAGAAAAATTGCTTGGCCTCGTTGAGGACTCTCCATTCATTAGAGGTGGCATTCTCCTCGGAGATATCAACAAAATCGAAAGGGCCTAGGATGATTGGCGGAGCTTCCGAGTAGTATAGCAGATCTCGTCAGGGGCGTTCTTGGGCGAAGAGAGAAGTGGTTCGAGAGCAAACACTTGGTCGGGTGGGAATACGTTGAAGGCACAAGAGGATGGTTTCGTCTCTGCAGACCATAAAGCGAGAACTGCTTCGTCACTGTACCATCCCATTGGGCAGACCCGATCCATCGTAACATTACTCATGATCTCGGGTTGGTAAAAGAACATCAGACTGTCCTGTTGGTAGCCTACTTCAAAGCTCAGCTCGAAATATTTACAGGTAGCAGACCGCGATTCCTGGTTGGCGAGAAGACATCCAGGGAATTGTGTCGTTGTATACTGGAAAGTTTCTAGCCACTTATCGGTTGGAGCACCGTGAACTTCCGCCGAATACGTTACTTCCCCGGTTTTCGGCGCCCAGATATCAAGATTCCTAGGCAGGTTCGCAACCTTTTCCCATATCGCAATTCTAATTTCCGGTGGAAGTCGTGGAAAGCAAGTGAAGGTGCCCGAGTCTGCCATATCGTTGACAATGACTTCTGAAAGTCTGGAGGGAATCGAGCTTCGCAGATGGAATAACCAAGGTATCGTCAAGCAATCGGATGTAGGTTTTGAGGAATGGAGGTTCTGCCGTTGCAGCGTCGAATTGAAGATTTGTTTGTGCTTGTCTGTTACGATTAGCTGTGTCTGAAGTACACACAATATTACTCACATTCGATCAAAGTGCTTTATCTTACTCCCCTCCCAAATGCTTCAAGTTCATAGTTTGCATAGGGAGGTGAGGTTAGTTTAGGTGACGAAATTAAATGATACCTACCGGCACTAGTCCCACTTTTTTAGCGTGTTCAACCCCGTCCAACGGACTCACACACACACACACACACTCACCTCGCTTTGAATTTATCACCGATTCAGTGTTGATCATTCAAGATTTCTTCACCTAGAAGAACTTCGAACCGTATTCCTTCGTTTCCATCATTCATCAATGAGTCGCTCGATCTGTGTGTCAAGTCTTGAAAGTATTGTCCTAATCAGTTCCTTCGTACTGAGGGGTAATCATAAACCCCTCATATATCCGTATTTTCAATCAAAGGCTTCTGAAAAACTCCTCCAGCGTACTATTCACCTCATCTTTCTTCTCTATTTGTACCCAATGCCCACTCTTGTATTCCACAACTTTCAAGTTCGTTACATGCTCCCTCATCGCATTGATAGCCAAGGCATTGGAAAGAGGATCCTCTTTCGCCACGATCATGAGGGCAGGCATGTCCAATTTTGGATCTGGCTGTCCATTTTGCTCATCTGGGAGATTAAGGTCTTGACCTGCGCATTTGTACCAGTTCATTGCAGGACCGTAGTCATCCTTCATGATTCTGCGGTGCGTGGCCATTTCCTACAAGTCCAGTTTAGTACGGCAAATTTCGAATCGCAATGAAACAGCGCCTTACCTCATCAGTCACATATGCACCTCTCTTTTCTATCCGATCACTTGTTGCGAAAGCTTCGACCGCCCCGAGTGGGGCGATGTGCTCCCTCCAAATAGAAGGTTCTGCTGGATACAAAAGCGACAGAAAGGACTCAATCTGGGTTGTTGTTACTCACCATCCAATGCGAGGGAAGTTTGACTGACATGTGCTTTCAATATCTGAGCAGCATCTTCCTTCTCAAAAAACTTCCGATAGCCATACATTTCGTAGCCCAGCTTCTGCTTGGTTAATACATTGATAGGATCGGCGCTCATACTTCGCCCTGGGGCTATATATGGTACGGCAAGGAATGAGCAGCTAAAAAATCGCTCAGGGTAGTAGTTTGCGAATCTAGAAAGCATGAAGCTGCCCCAATCATGACCAACTCCATGGACTTTGCTGACTTCCACGTGATCGAGAAGCTCGTTGATCTCCGCTGCCATCTTCTTGCCGCGATAATCGGCGAGAGTGGTGGGTTTCTCAGTTTCCCCATATGCAAGCAGATCAGGAGCAATCACACCAAATCCGTGGGAGGAGAAATACGTGACTTGATGGCGCCAGTCGAAGCTGCTGGAAGGGAAGCCATGAAGGAAGAGGACTGTGGGGTTTTGAGCCTTAGCTGGAATGTGGGCGTAACTGTAATTTGCGCCTGAAGGTAATTTTACCACCTTTGAGTCGTCAGGGAATGCGATTGTTGCCATTGTGGGTTCTCTCTAAGTTTGATAGTGCAAACAACTTCCAGCGTCTCGAACCCTAAGTAACGTTGAGGCAAGGGATATCCGATGTTTTACATCGTGATAGCATAGTCGTTCCGAGGTTTTCGCAGCCTCGGCAGTACACGTGCGAATTAATGGAAGTTACGTGATTGCAGGTATGTCTCACGATTTATGCGGCGCAATTATTTTTCCGACGCTTGACCTGCCATTGGAAGCCCTTCCGGCAACTAGAAGCCGAGTGAGAAGATAAGTCACTAATCAGCGAACACCGAGGCAGCAGAACAATTTGACATGGAATAATGATTCTTATATTCACACGAGAACAGACAAAGAATCACTAGTGGCAATGCTCTGATTCGAATGGGTAATGTGTTTGGCCGTGATTCATGTTCGGTTACTTAAGCGAACCCCTGACCTGCCCCTTATTTACTCCACCCCCACTACTTGCATTTCACGCATCAAGACTCTAATCGCGCGCTATCATCAAATACCACGACGCCGACGAATGATGAATGACTAGCAAAACGAATTGGTTATCCGATTTCCATCAATGCTCATGATCTGTCGGGCCATTCAGTGGAAGTGTTGTCGCATTCTCAAAAGGCAATCTTTCGCAAACATTGGCGAAGCCGAATAGAAAATAGAATGACTTGCAGAAGAAAGCCGGAATTTGAGTTCTTCAGGATTCTTCGCTATCAGCCGTACTCTGATCACTGTAACTAGAGTACCAGAAAGCGAGAAGTATATAATACTATCCGGTAGCCGCAGGGTGCTTTGCTAATTCGATTATCGTCCTTGACACTGCCCTCGAATTCTTGAACCAAGGCTGAATCATGTCTTAACACTATTGCGAAATGATGAGCGAATGATTTATCTATATTCCCGCCCCAACTCCTACTGAAACACTTTGTGTTCACCCTTTTGGAGTCCCCGGCATGTACATATATATACATAGCTTAACCCTCCCCAATCCCAATCCCTATTCGCTCAATACCAATTCACCCCAATCTCAATCCACTCCAATTTCAATTCAACCCAATTGCCCACTAGTCGCCAAAAAGGTCCACTAGCTTTCAAAGAGGTTTAGCTCCAAGCGCAACTCGAGGGCTTAGGTATATAAAATTCTTCTATCCTTGTTTTTACACCTTCTTCTTCCACCATCAGACAACAATACTTGAAAAATTTGTCATTCAATTCGATACACTCCATTCATCAGCGACTTAACACTTAATGCTAACAATCAACAAATACCTCCCGAACACCTCCCCCTTCACATTTCTCGCGCAATAACAGCTCACGATCGCAATTTCCATCACCATCGCCTTGATCATCAAGATGGATTATCGAAAGGCTCTTGTCACGACCCAACAGGAACGAGATACCGAGAAAGCACGAATCGATGCTGAGAAATCCCGCGTTGAGGCCGAGAAGGCGCGTATCGCATTGGAGATTCACACCGCTTTGGAAGCTAAGAACATTTTGAAAGTACTCCCAAGAGGTTGATTCCCTGCCATTGTTCTTTCTTACCAGCCATTGACTTTACATACAGAGATCAGAGATATCATCTGGCGATATCACCTCCATCGTCCCGCAGCAGTTCTGCCTGGCTATGTCCAACGTTATTACACCACCGAAAGAAAGGTTGGTCATCAGCGCTACTAGCACAACTTATGCACAGCACGAAACTACAAGTATCAATGGGCTGAGAAACGCTAGGTGTCGAGAGATACTCCTGGAAACACGTATTGGCCCGAGTTCTTCCCTGGTTATTATGTGGATGAGAAGGTAGAATTGACGGTCGAGATCTTGACAGAGCCAACTTCGGAGCAGGCCCGGCTCATTGCTCTCGGTGAGAGAACTCTGCCATTCACCTTCGATTCAGAGTTCGGAACACAAATTGGATGCGATGTCATGAGCCGCGGACAAGGAAATGATAAATTCTACCAGATCATAAACCGTATTAACACAACCGTCGTCCGCTTCACGGGACTTGCTCTGCTGCAAGTCTGTAAGCAGATATCGGCCGAGTGCAGTCAGATCCTGTACGGAGAGAACTCGTTCGTGTTCAACACTGGCACTGAGACCACTATGCGATACACGGGCCTGCATGAGCATGATGAACTTGAACATTTTCCCCATTGGATCCCCGGAATGCCAAGAGAGAACGGCTATCCTCGAACTTCAAATCAATTCAACAATGCGATGAATCGCATGTTCGACCGCGATGGCTTCCTCCCGAAATTTGTAGCCAGAAACCCAATGCTGCAATTCTTCCACCGAATTGGACCAGTCAATACCTTGTTGTTGACCAAGATCAAGGTCGAGGGCCAAATGAAGACATTGTACAATCATCTTCCCGAGGAGTCGGAATCAGATAGATCTCTCGGATTTGCCAGATTCCTGCCCATCCTCACAACGGTCCTCAAGGAAGCCTGTCCGAATCTGAGAGAGCTCACATTGTATATCGAGGATAAGAAATTCCATTTTGACTACAAGGAGTCCAGATTGTGGGACAATGATCCATACAACAAGAGTCGCAAGTCAGACGAAGATCGTATCGATGAGGTTGTCGAGAGAGTCGTAACTACATTGGACTCTTTGCCAAGTCTGAACTTGATGCCACATCACTGCTACGATGGCTGGGATAATAGTACCGGCTTCGTGTCCAGAGATACATTTGTGGACGAGTGGGAGAAGTCTGTCAAGTGGATGAAATATGTCAATCAAAGAGCGAGAACACAACAGATCAAGAGAGCTGGGGAAGTCGGAATCGCAACTGCCTTGGGTCAGATTGTGATACAAACGACTGTTGAGAGTACAGCACCCACTCTGCACGCTCAACAAGCAAGTGTTTCCAACTCGGGTCATACAAACCACTCTTCAGGACCATCGGGATCAAGCTCGAGAGGCAATGGAAGAGGCAGGGGTCAAGGACGTGGAGGACGAGGACGAGGGGGCCGAGCAAGAGGTCGTGGCGGAAGAGGCGGAAGAGACACTTCGCATTAGGTGTTGTACGACAGTATTGATTTTGGAGAGGCGCTTTTTGGTACATTGGTACACGTCAGTTGGGGTCTCGTGGAGGAGGTATGACTGCGATCATTTTGCCAGTAGCTGGATGTAGCAGCGAACTCCTAGAGTGAGAAAAACTGCATCCACAAATCCTGAATTCTTTTCATGATGTGTTCTGTGAGAACTGCGCATGATGATGACCATAAATGAGGTGTCAGACTATATGATTACAATTTTACCCCTGATCTACCTCGTTTCCAAGAGCTGATACACGCTAGCATTAGTGACTCGCTCCTGCGTGCATATGTATTCCTTGGGAAACCAGTCATAGAGCTTCCCATCTGGCCTCCCAGCTATGTTAGACGCTTCGATTTCTGCTCTACCCATAACCATCAATCCGAGGGCCACGCCACACAACCACGCATTCACCATCCCCTCTCCATTATACCCCGCTGATATCCATTCAGCAGGATTTGTCATAGTTTGCTTGCGTCTTTGGAAGGAGGAACCTTTGGCAGAGCACGTCCAGTCAAGCTTGGCTCCAGCTTTCCTACGAATGGCATCATATCTGCCGTCAGGCCTAAACTACCAGACCATAAATTCTTCACTCTTCCTCCTGGAGCATCCTCACCCCAATTTTCGAATCCAAATGCCATGGGTAAAACACCACTGAGGTGACATCCAGCAAGATAGTTGGTCTCAGCATCACTAGCTATACCAAACTCACAGAAGCCTTTCTTGCCTGATTGTACCATGGCGCCGCCCGTCATAATTTCCCCTCCCTGGCTATCAATCGAGTCAACCTTCCCTGGGCGCTGGGTGATGTATTCGTATCCATGCTTGTTTATGAAGCACCATGATCTGGAACCTTTCAACTCCGGAAAGTCTTTCCCAGGTCTCTGAGCGCTCATTGTACCACGAACTGGGAAGATTTTACCACGAAGACCAGGTACGAGATTTGAAGTATGTGCATTAGTCGCATGAATGACATGACTAGCAAGGATATCACCCCGCGAAGTGTGGACAATGAAAGGCTGGTTAGGGTTTCTGGTTGTACTTATACTTTGAGCTGCAGTGTGTGTTTCGAGGGAAAACTCAGACGGATAGTTTCGGAGCAAGGAATCCAGGATGCATGTAACAAGACGGTAGGGCCATATCGCACCGGCTTGGTAGGTGATCGCTCCGAAAGCATGCTCACCGAGTTGATATTTCTATACCACCAACAGTATCAGCACAATTGGAAAAGAGCCTTTTCAGGAGAATAACGTGCCTCTCGTGCAATCTCCTTTTCCCAAAGTTCAACACCTTTCGCTTCATCTGGCATTTCGCGTCGATATTCTTCCACCATTTCCTTCCACTCAGTGAACCTTTCCTCATCATAGAAGACGTCAAGAGTCTCAACCTCACGAGTTTCCGCCAAATTCCAGCCTTCCTGCTTCGCCAGGTCAACCAGAACCGGGAGATGAGACATTTGAAAGTTAACAAGGAATTTTGCTCGCTCAGCCCCAAAATGTTTCTTAGATTCATGGTAGGACTCAAAGGGCGTGCACTTGATGTGACCACCATTTCTCCCCGTTGCTCCACTGCATACTTGTCGCGCTTCAAGCATCACCACACGCTTCTTAATGTTCATGGAAGCACATTCTGACAAGATCGTGCGTGCAATACTCGCACCAGTGATTCCCGATCCAATTATCACAATGTAGACGGTCTTGGGTAATGTTTTGGACTGGGCATCCACAAGATCCGGAAATGGAGGATTTTTCAACCAAAAAGAGGTCGTGGGATTTGACACAGGAATTCCAGGACTGGCGTTGATGCGGTCCAGTAGAGCGGTCAATTCCGCACTGTCCTCCGCCGTGTCTTTCAGAAGTGTTTTGAGTCCGAAGTAACTTTCGCGAATACTCGAGAAGAGAGTCGACATCTTGTTGATTGATGCTTAAGGTCAAAGGAAATGCTGCACGCAAGCCTTCGGGGATATCAATATCTGCATAAGAATAGCCGACAATCATGTCCGCTGCATCGACCATTAGTGCATGACCCCACAACCTGGCAGTTGTCCGGCACGTCGCTTGACAGATAGGCAAGCACGGATATGATGCTATACGATTAGCTTCGTAACGAGCTGGAGAACCTAAAGGGAGATGCTAGTGAACACGCAGTGGATAAGGTTAATTGTTTTTCGAACAAGTCATCATATTCGGAAGGTATCTTAATGGTGTCGGCACAAGCATCGTCGTACGAAGTATTACCACAAGACTCCAATATAACGCGAGTACGATATACAGAGTTTGGAAATCAGCTTGGCTGTGAGGAAGAAGAAAAAACACCATTCCAGCCACAAAGCTTATCAACCTCGTTTCCCCGCTACTGGGAAGACTTTTCAGAATTCAGAAGGTCCAGCCTGTGGTGTCGGGGGCTTGTTGAATGAGGAGTTGGGTCGGGATAGTTGAAGGAGTGGGGCTTCCAGTACCAAGGGTGGGCTGAAGATAAGCATTCACCCCTGCAAGGTACGCGGCCCGGGCCGCTGGAGATAAGCTTTGAAGTTCAAAGGAATGGGGAGTGGTCTACTTCCTGCGCTCGCTGCGGTGGTCTTTTGACCCGCAGCTAGATAACACCGAGAATACTCCCCAAGTTTGATTTGGTGAATTCGTTTTTCATCCTAATAGTTGCGCATATCCACGATCCTGATAAGCGAAAGCCGAGGCGAATTAAGCGAGTGAAATAGGAGGGCTGGGTCTGGATTCCATACCTGTGTGTCCGTACAGTAGGCCGTCAAAGCCCCACTTATGATACTGCGACAGGTCGCCGATAAGCTTCTGCAATGGTAAGTTCTGTCGATCTGAAGACAGGTATCTGACCATTTGTACTTATTGACACGCCAAGCCCACTTTCACTAGTCGCTGGTGGACTTGACATTACCCAATATCTACTGTTGAACTCTGACCTCGTTTGCGAAAGTTGGTCAGCCTGTCTCACAATGTCAGATGAGAACTTCCTTCCAGGGACAAAGCGATTGTATGACGAACAAGGACAAGCTGTATCACATCATACGGAGCTGAAAAAGCATGGCGACATTGTCCTTGCACCTCAGCCAACAGATCATCCAGACGACCCTCTTCACTGGTGAGCATAGTTGAATCCTCACTTGGAAAATGAATCCTAATGATGTTTCAGGGGAATGTTGAGGAAGTGCTGGCATGCGCTTCTCCTCCTTCTCATTACGGCCCTGACTGGAGCGACAACGAACGATTCTGGCTCAGCCCAATTTCAAGAGAATGCCCAGCTCGGTATCAGCTACGACTCCTTCAACGTGGGAGCAGGAGTTTTGTTCATCGGAATTGGATATTGGACCCTGTTGATTTCTCCAGCTGTGTGGCTATACGGACGCCGGATATCATACCTAGTCTGTCTGATGCTTGGAGTCATTGGCGGCATCTGGTTTGCCAGGGGCAATAAGACTTCGGACGCCATTTGGAATCAGCTCTTTGTAGGCGCCTCAGAGTCTTGTAGCGAAGCGAATGCGCAGCTCTCTCTCGTGGACATTTTCTTCCAGCATCAGCGTGGTGCTGTCCTTGGTGCTTACATGCTGGCTATTAGTGTGGGAACCTTTTTGGGTCCCCTAATCGCCAATAAGGTAGCCAGTAGCCTAGGGTGGAGATGGATTGGTTGGTTTGGTGCAATTTTCAATGGCTTGTTGGCAGTTGTCGTCTTCTTCGGACTCGAAGAGACATCTTTCGATCGAAATGCGCACTTGATAGTCGAGGGAGTTCAGAGTACTCTCCCGACTGGGAATGTTGAAGAGCAAGGCGTGTACGACAAGGAAAAGGCCGCCTTAAGTACTGCTAACGACAACGATATAATTCCATCCATTGAGACCCAGACTCCTCCGGTGCCTCGGAAAACATACCTTCAACGTATCAAATTGATCACACTGGCACCTAATGTACGAGGTACAGGCTTCAAGCAATACTTCTCGCGACTATTTCACACCTTGCGGGTGTTCACCTTCCCCGCAGTATGGTTTGCAGGCCTGCAATGGGGTGCTCAGGATGCGTGGCTGACCTTCTACTTGACAACTGAAAGCGACAATTGGACCTCGAGTCCTTGGAACTATGGAACTGGAGCTTTGGGTGTGATGGATATGCCATGTTTGATTGGTGCTGTGTTAGGCTGTGCTTATGGTGGATGGTTTTCAGATCCATTTGTGCGGTGGATGACAAGACGCAACGGCGGCATTCAGGAAGCCGAGATGCGCTTGTGGCTATTGATCCCAGCTACTATTTTGTTTCCCACAGGTATGCTTCTATTTGGTGCTGCAACCACGTACGGATGGGCGTGGCCTGTCCCATATGTGGCATTGGGCTTCATTGGCTTTGGCTGGGGCAACGCCGGAGATGTTGCCATGGCATACCTTGAGGATTGCTATCCGAATATGATTTTGGAGGGAATGGTTGGAGTTGCAGTCATCAACAATACCATTGGAATGACTTTCACCTTTGCTGCAGATCCATGGCTTACTGCTGATGGTACTCTCAACACTTACATTGGTTGCGGGGTTTTGTCATTTGTATTCATGGCGACTACGCTTCCTTTCATTAGATATGGGAAGCTTTTCCGACGATGGACAGCAGAAAAATACGAGCGCTTCTTGGTGCTGAGGGATGGTCTTTGAATCACTAGCTTTAGCTGACGAAAGATTCAGCGTGTTTTGTCTTGTTTCTCTTGGCATGAATATAATGTGCAGAATTCCAGGAAGTTCCAAATTTTTGACGGGCTTTACTAGTCACAGGCTACTACAAACATCTCGATATCGTGATCGAGAATTATTTGATCGCGAACTATATACAAAATAATACAACTCAAATGCGGCTTAATGAAGCATTTGCTGGCGCTTGTTGACGGACATTCAAAAATCCACGGGAATGCTTGTTGTTAATGGGGACTCAAACCAAAAAGTCCTCCATTCATTCTCAATGTAAAGAGTCAAGACCTTATGAAGAACCATCCCCTGCACTGATGGTATACTTGGAGTTTCCTCCGGCACCGCCCCAACCCTCTGTGGAAATTGTTTGGTAATCCATTGTCCCCAAATTCATGCCGAGCTTGGCCCATGCTGCAAAATGGTTTGCGGTAGTGACGGTACCGCTTCCAGTGCGCTTGTCTTGTCGAACCGAGATGTACTATTGTTGATTAGCGCCGCAAAGTTCTCAAAGGGAAGAAAATTTCCAAGATTGGACTCACCTGATTGAAGGTCGTGGTACCTGAGATAGATGGTTGGTTGACTTGCTGATGCTTCCAGATGTCGTAAGTGGATCCATCGCTCTCCAACGTTCCAAGTTTGGTACCCTGAGCGGCGCCTTGTCCGTTGCTGTATTCCTGAATGTAGTATTCTACCAGTGGGTTTTTCGACCAGCCGTAGACGGAGACAAGCACGGTTCCAGCAGAAGCGGATGTGCTGCCAGTGAACGTGATGTTTCTGAATGTTACGTCAGCAAGTTCATCAAAACTTCAGTCAGAAGCAGAAATTGAAAGCAATTCATCTTTATGAATGAGGTAATTCTGTAACTCGATCGAGCACAGATATAAAGTGAAGAGAAGCCATTACCTGTCCGTTCCCTTACTCCATCCCTTTCCCACAACGAAGTCCTGAGCTCCAGAAAAGGTTACCGAGTAGCCATTCGTGGATGATTGAAAGTTGACGCTGCCGCCAGTTTTGTAGTTCTGAGTATAGTCTTGGCGGGCAGCGAGTCTGTCACCTCCAATCTCAAAGTCAAGGAGGTCATATGGCGCAGGAGCGGCAAGTGCGCCAGTCACTGCTGAGACAGCCAGGAAGAGTTGAGTGAAGCCAACCATGATTGCAGCGATATGCGGTAGAACTGAGGTGAAGGTCCTGTAAAGTTGAGAGTCTGGTGAGAAAGGGGATCCGGGAGATCGGTGGACATCTTTATATTTCCCAGAAACTCGGTTGCTTGGATAATGTATCCTGGGAAGAAACTCTCCGGATCTATTTGGAACGTGCTGCCCTTGCTCCGCTGTTTATTGAGATCGTTTGTGGTATGACCCTGTCATGGAGCAGATGTACAGTAGACCAATGAACAACCCTGCGTGACTCTGTTTAGGTGATTTCCAAGATCAGAAATAGAGTTAAAGTAGCATGCCGGTAGACAGGGCCGAAAGTCTAACTGCAGGCAATTGAAGAGGAAAGTAAGTTGTTTAGCCCTCATTTTGAGTCTGTGGCTAAAAGCCACCAAAGCCAAAAACTGGGGAAAAGGTGGGGGAGGCGCACAGTACCCCTCAATTCAGGGTTTCTTGCAATATGGAAACAGTCTCGGCTAAGTTGTTTTCCACCTTGCATGGTGTGTTTCAGTTGGATAAAAAGGTCATATGTGGTACGAACAGTCAGTCGACTAACAGAAGCCTCGGCGTTCACTTTGTATAGATTATTTTGATGCGCCAAGATCAAAGTTTCTGCTTTGACCCCAAACCTTAACATGACCCCTCACCATCTGAATTCGTTTCCTACCGTAGCACTCGATTTTTGTGGGGCTCAGTGAGCTATGGTTGTTTTAATTACTGCACATCAAGTCTGCGATACGACTAGCTTGGCACTCTTAGCAAAAAGCTGATAGACAATAGCTCAGATCTCACGCAGGCTGGCCGTCCATCACATGACACTATTTCTTCACTCGAGGTCTGCATTCTTGCCTACATTCCACAGGTGTCCGCTTGCTTTAGGTTGATAAGCCTCTCTCAGCATCTCAGCTCTTCAAAAATGATACCCTCTTCCGAGCCCTCACGAATTATCGTCCCATATCCCACCTGTCCGTTTAAGGACACAACCACATGCGTTCGAGAGTCGACCTAGTATTTTGCAATTAGTCCGGGATCACATATAACTGCAAGTACCACGGTCCGAAAAACTCGTCTCGTGGCCTGCAATGACTGGGAAAGGGTCTGCTAGAAACCTGAAAGTCTGGGAATACAGAGCTTAAGCGAGAAAAAGGGGGCGAAGCTCGGCTGTGCACAGTCACGAGCAAGAAGTGAATGTAACCCAAGAATAAATTCGGAAGCAGTGGATAATGTCTGTATAATCTCTATATGATATGTTGGCTTGGCGACATATTCTTTCAACTCACGACTCATCTCCGTCAAGATGTGCAAATTGAACCCATCAACCCAGAAAGATCTGACAGCCGACCCACGCAACGCTCGAGTGGTGCAACTGGAATCTGTGAATGAGGATCATAGAGGTGGATTGAAGCGCTTTCTTGATATTCCAGATAATCCGAAAACGGCAGAGAAAAGGAGTGTATGGAAGAAGTTAGGTTTCGAAGTTGATCATGATTACGGGTATGTTTCTCAACGAGGTTGATTCTTTGGGCTTCAGATACCGGTGACTAATAAAAGGTTTATAGAAATACGAATGCCTCGTCTTCTCGTGGTTTTGGGGTTGGGTAGAACGTCGATGCTGCGGGTGATCTGAGACCTTTGCGTTCCGCCCTTTGTTTCTGATGAGGCAATGGTAATGGTGATATGAAGGAGGATTTTTCTGAGTTGGGACCATTGATTGCATGTCCCTCCTCTACCGTTATTGGGTATTAATTTCCTATCGCTATCTTGGTAGCTTGTGTTTGGATCAAACTGCTGGAGGGGGGATTACGTGAGATCTATTTCGAATTACCTCTATCTATTTGCATTGGATACCTGATCAAGGCGAATGCTTGGATAGTCTATGAGCGATTAATGTGATGAGTTATTATTGAAACATCAATTATTGCAAGCCTCAATGATTCAGCTGAGCAAGTTGAAGAGCTCGCAATACTTCGCCCATTGTGTCTTAGCCTTGTCATGTAACTGACCAATCGTCGAAACATTATCCCGACTTATGTATTCCTTCGCATCTCGTTTCCTGATAATGGCAACTACGTCAACCACCCGAAGCGGCATTTCCAGAAGTTAAAATGGCTCCTCCCTTGGATTGGATGCGGGAAGATTAATTTATTTGCTTACTCGAGAAATCTCCAAGCATCAACGTATGATCCGGACGCGCAGCGGTGGTAGATCTCGAGCTCCAAAATTGCTACCTGAAAAATTACAAACTGGTATAAATATTTATTGAAAACCAAGATGGAGAGAATCTACCATCTTTCCGAAGAGCTTTATGCCTTCATCCCCACTTCACCACAGATTTTGTTCAACACAACAATGGCAAAGCTCTCATCTCTTGCACAATTCGTAGCCCTCGCAGCTACAGGCATTGCTTGGTCAAGTCCAGATTGCAAAGCCGTCCCAGGATCTCCTGGTTGGCCTACCGAAATCCAATGGTCAGGCCTCAATACTTCTCTCTCTGGACGACTCATCAAGCCTTCACCCCCAGGTGCAGTCTGTCATCCCACGCAAGTAACGTTCAATGCGGCAGAATGTCCAGCGGTGCAAGCGGAATGGTTGACCGCTGCGTGGCATACAACCAATCCTGTTAGTAGCATAAGGAATAACTGGAACAACGACACCTGCCTGCCTATTGCGACGGATCCTTGCAGTGGAGAGGGCTATCCCATTTACGTTGTCAATGCTACTTGTGCAGAAGACGTGAAGGCGGGAGTTGACTTTGCAAGAGAGAACAACATAAGATTGATTGTGAAAGGAACAGGACATGATTATATTGGAAGGTATAGGTTTGTTCAACTTTTAACAGAGCTTGCTTACCAGTCACAGGTCCTCAGCTCCCAACTCTCTATCAATCTGGACACATCACATTACCGGACTTTCGTTTCATGATGGCTTCGAGCCAAAAGGATGCGGATTCTCGATCGATGGAGCCGCAATCACGGCAGCTGCTGGTACTCAAATGCTTGAACTAGATGGACAAGCTCACTTACGAAATCTCACCATTGTATCAGGTGGATCAGGAAGCGTCGGCGTTGGTGGGTATTTGACAGGTGGTGGCCACGGTGCGTTAAGTTCAACCTACGGAATGGGTGCAGACCAAGTTCTTGAAATTGAGATGGTTACACCGGGAGGAGATATTGTGACCGTGAACGAATGTCAGAATCAAGATCTCTTCTGGGCTATGCGAGGAGTAAGTCACCCATCTTCTCGACATCAGCATTCAGACTGCTGATGCAACAGTAGGGTGGTGGCTCAACATTTGGGGTCATGACATCCGTGACTATCAAAGCATTCCAATCCTCAGCTTTCCATACTGTGACGGCACTGATGGCTACGAAACCAGGAACAGATGCATACTGGAGCGTGATAGCAAATGTTCTGTCGCAATTCCCGACATTAGACGAGATGGGGATCTCGGCATACTCTTACATTGCACCAGGCTTCACGAGTGCAGCTCTCAACATCACTACTCCCGTTGATGGATTTTATGGTATCTTCATGCTACCAGGATTACATCCAGAGAACACATCAGACTCCCTCACATCTGCTATCAAACAGCTTTTCAACACCGCCACATCCTCGTTCCCACAACAATTCGAAACTTTCACAAACACAACATCGTACCCAGACTTCTGGAGTTATTTTGAACCTAATTACGGACCTCTGAATGCAGGTGATGACGGAGTACTCGGTTCGAGGCTACTTGACGGCAAGGCATTGACTGGAAATCTTACAGCACTTGCAGATGCGTATAGAGTTGCTAGCCCAGTGGGAAATGAGATAAGTGCCTTTCTTGTTAGTGGGAAAGGCGTGCACAATGCAAAACCAAGAGGAGGAAGCAATGCTGTGAATCCTGCTTGGCGGACGGCATATATACATTCAGGTAAGAAAGTTCAAGACTTATTGAAGCTTAAGACTGACGGTAGAGGTAGTCTTATCAGTAGGCTGGGAACCTTTGAACGAACAGCAGAAGAAAAATCAAGAGGGCAATCTAACAGATGTATATATTGAAGGACTGAGGAAGCTGGCTCCCGATATGGGTGCATACGTCAACGAGGTAGAATCACTTGAATCCTGCATTTGTATGTTTACTGATGAGTTACGAAGGCTTATCCAGATGAGCCCGATTGGCAACACACATTTTGGGGAGACAACTATGAGCGCTTGCTCTCCATCAAAAAGGACTATGATCTAGGGAATGTATTATGGTGTCATCCTTGTGTGGGCAGCGAGAATTGGGAAGTGGTTGACAATGTGCTGTGCAGCAAGTAATAAGGGAAATTGAATGCGGACAGTTGTAGGTATGCATTTATAACCAAGGTATCATTTAAAACGTAGATTCGCTTCTTCGTAATGCCGTGTCTTCGTGCTCCATCGTCCATTGTCCATGATTCTAGGAATGGATTTTAGGGCAATGCTTCAAGTCGCAGTTCCTTCTTCTCTGCATCGCCCCCGTCTTTGCCTTGCAGATGCGGTATCCTTCCACAAAGAAATGCCGCCTCATGTGCTTGTACCACTCCTTGACCGGCATCGGTTCAGTCCACTGTTGATTGTACTCCCAACAAATCCAGCATCCTAGCATTTCCTTCCTGGCTTCGCCCTCCTTCTTCTCTACTGCAACATGTGATTCCCACCTGAAGTTGACAGAGGGATCGACCCAATCCAACCATCCTGTCTTGTAAACTTGTGGTATCTCATCACCGCAAACAAATCCGCAGGCATTGCAGGGCTGGAAGTATTCTGCGGCAGACATTCCACCTTTTGATACAGAATTTGCTTGTCGTTCTCGGAATGCAAGCTCGCAAAAGCCTGGATTGGTGGTTGCAGATTCGTGATAGGGTGGAGGAGGTTCGTCTGAGGAAGATGGTGCCGCGTTCAATGCGACCTCGGAGGTTTTCTCTGCCATAATAGCCTTGGGAGGAAGCTGTCTGGAATCTGTAGGTGTAGGCAGTTCCTAGTCGTAAATAGAACGATTGATGGTAGCGCTCAGAAGAGTGCTTGAGTCGTGGTACGAAGTAGGGAACGGTGAATGGGATGCAACGAGCAAGCGGGCATTGTCATCAAGTAATGTCTGATAAACAGAGAATTATCAACCTTGCCTTCAGCCCCATTTGAAAAGATTTCCTTGATTCTGGTGACAATTGGTGGCGGGGTTGGGTCTGAATTGAAGGCTGGAAAGCTGAAAGAAAGAGAAGGCTGGAAATGGTGGAGCAGACCACGTGATTCCAGCATGAAGAGACAAATTCTGAAATTTTGTTATAGAACATTGAAAAAACCGATTCTTGGAGAGTTTAAATGCTACAATCTATTTTTACATACTTCAAGATGCCGAAATGATGAATTAAACCTCTTGTTGTGTTGCCTCTCGTTTGTTAAAGCTCGCCAGCCCAGCCTTGAGCATCGGCCAAGCTTCAACGCCTCTTCTGGTCACTCTGACAGACCGTGCTCGAAGACATGCGATCAGTCGTCTATTGTTGATGTGAATCGTAGCCGTCAACATCTGAAACATTTAGCAATGCTGTGCTTCTCATTTGCTGCAAAACAGCTGCCTAGACGGCCTGCGAAGTCTGTCGCGATGAAGAAGACATTCCGAGGACAGTGCGCAAAGAGGCAGCCATTTGCTCGCGCTGCGCTGACGTATTGAGTCAATCAGTCAAGGCTCCTATCATTCATATCTTCAGAGTTCTCTGATGAAATCCAGGTGCTTCCGGAACAGCAGCGACATCATGATTTTTGGCGGGCGTCGAACCAATACAGATATCAACCCTTCCCCCTTTGTTAGATGTATCCCACCATGGCAGATTCCTTGCTCAATCTCTCGAACCTCTTGCTTGCACTTTCTCCGATTACCATCAGAAATTCGACGCCTAGTTTTCTACCATTACTTACTCTCCCTGAACCTTCCAGATCACTTCTTCCATCACCTCACATTCCTAGGATACTGGGGAAGTTCATCTGAACCCGACTCTACTCAGAAGGATGCTCGGGGATTTGATCTCGGGAGAAAGATAAAGTGGGAGATCGAATGTCTCTTTCTCATCAATCGGCAAGTCCACATCGAAGCAGAAGATGTGCTATACAATTCCTTCATATTTTACGTCCATCCTCGCCATCAAACACGACACTTCCGCCAAGCATTATATGCTCGAAAAGAACTTGGATGGAAGATACCTCGAGCTCCTCGGTTGCCAGAAAGGGTCCAGAATATACAGATCAATCTCGCCTTCGGTCAATCCATTTCAAGTCTTCATTGGGCATCTCAGCAAGGATGGCGTGGATCTTGGCTACATTTGGCTGCGGAATTTCCTCATCTTCGAAAGGTTGGTCTAGCGGTAGACTACGATCCTCGAAACGGAGACGAAGCATTGAGCAAGCAATTGATGGACATGGTCTTGTGCTTCATGCGAATATTTCAGCCAACTTGCATTGTCCAAGTCAGGTTTGCGGGCGTGAAATATGACAGCTACGCTCGCCTCTCACCTGCTTCAGGACCCTTGTATACGGATATTATCGACGAGGAAAAGAAGTTGCTTCAGTTGAGGGATGAATCGAAACTTATTTGGCATAAAGTCGCGAGACACTTCAACGACCCTCGCTCTGAACTTTACTCGGTGGCGGGATTGCAGGCACGATACCAGCGTCTTAAGTTGCGTCAGATCCAAGCAGCGATGGAGGTCGGATTTTTTGAGAGAATGAAGGAGGAATTGACAAGGAGTCTGCTCGAATAGGACGGTTCAAATGTGGAGAGTCAAGTCACCACCGTGGAACGATAGTGTGACTCTGATAATGGTCCCACTCAACAGGCATGGTTCTACCAGTCACAAGAAAGTTGACGCTGAAGCTGGAACGAGGGAATTCATATGTACTGCATGAATTTTTGATTCAAGAGCTTACGACTGATGCTCATGGAGGATGAGGTATAGAAAAATATAAGGACAAGGGCTACGAATGATGACATGCTATTCCAGACAGCTCTCCACCACCACATGAGACATTATGAGGAGCCAATTCTCTGGAACCTCGAAGGAAACCACAGTAAACAAATTCTTTCCATCTATATGGTTACCAACTTCTGGTGGCAATGCCACACGTGACTGAGAAAGTTGGTGAAACTCAAAGTGCCGCAGACAATTTTTCCAGCCTCATTTGCAACCGTCGATCATGATGTAGTCTCGAGGTATCCAGATGTTCAGCCTACTCAATTCAAATCAATATTCTCCGAAGATCGTCCAAGCTCAAAGTGCCGGCTGCTCGACATTCCATCTCCAAATATATCCGTGTCGACGGCGTTGAGCTAAGATGTCTCAACCGATCTATTGGCCCCTCCACTCGCATCCCCTCTTCCATCCATGTGCATTGCAACAAACGTGCACGCCTCCAAACACTTGTGAAGCCCCAGGAAAAGACGATTCTGAAGATCGGCAGCGAATCGGCGGCTCTGCCCGTAAGTGCATAATGTTTCGAAACGAACAGCCACTCGCTCTGTCTCAAAGTCATCATCGCGCGTCTTGGCAAGTTACACACCTTCCACTTTATCAGTTCTGGTCCCTTCCTCAGGCCGTCGTTGTCGATTCATAGTTTTTTCTTAATCTTTCTCGTTGATATTTTCTTAGAAGGTATTTGGGGTTTTGGAACGTCCGAGTCGTACCAGTAATGCTTTCCTCTACCATTCTCGCCGTTGCGCTCGCTGGCGCCGCAATTGCGTTCACTCCCTCGGGATTTCAACCTTCTTCGACTCAGAACATGACCGTTGTGTTTGGGAACACATTGGCAGTCAACGGCAAGGAGATGCAAAAAGCAGGTAAGCAGTGATTATGCTCCACAATGCGAACTCCCCTAAAGTCAATAGATGTTGCGAAAGCACCCACGCTTGGCACGGCGCAGAGAATGTTCGGTACCTACACAGTCATGATGGTTGATCCCGATATCCCTCCTGCAACAGCGGGTGGAGCTACGAGCGAGCTTCTTCACTGGATGCAAGCCGGGCTGGTCTCTTCCAACACAAGCACAACAGTCGCAGGTGTTACAACCTTTGAATTGATCAATCCCATGAATGTCACTGCGTTTGCCACCTATATCCAGCCATCGCCACCCGACAAGGCCCCCAACACTCATCGATACACCCAACTTCTCCTCAATACCACTGGGAACACCAGTGCATTGACCACCTTGGCAAGATTCGCAATGACGAGGACGAACTTCAGTGCTGTTAATGTGGTCAATTCTGCTGGTGTGAAGATCATTGCTGGAAACTCATTTGATGTCTCCAACGGCACCCTCGTTCAATCCAATATCACGAAGACGACTTCTGTAGCTGGTAGTGGAGCGAGCGCCACTGGCACGGGAACTGGTACAAGATCGAGTGCAACTTCGTCAAGCAATGGAACTGTGAGCAGCACCGGTACTCCCAAGAGCACGGGCGGTGCTTCGGAGTTGACGACTGGAGGAGCTTTGATCGCAGGATTGGGAGCATTGGCTGCTGCCTTGATAATGCTGTAGATGCCCCAATTAGAAAAGAGGAAAGATGATTTATGTGCATCGTGGTGCTCGAGAGCCAAAGTGAGATGTGCTCAAGTGACTTTGAAACTTTAGCCCAGTTTCGTAGCTCGCCCGAATTATGCATTTTTCATCCTAACTTCACATCTAGCCCCACTCCCACCATTACTGTGCTTTACTACTCTGTTAGACAATGAAATTTGGAATCATCTCATCCAATATACCTCAATTTCGGAGTCGACACACTTGCTACCGGCTACGACTAGTTTGATCGATACAAAAGGTTTAATGGGAGGATACAAGGTCGCACGTCTCATCACTTCTGTGAAGTATACAAATGAGGAGGCAAAGATGAGCAACCTACTTACCCTGTTGCACCAATTTCCTGCTTTGCAGACCCTAGATGTCGCGGTACAAGATGAAGATCGATACAGTACGCCGATGCACTCAAACAGCTCAATCTAGAGTAGGGGTTGCACCTAGACTACTGAAAGAATCCCAAGTCTCATTCGGGGTGGAGATGGAGCAAATAAATTGGTTCAGAAGGTTGAACGGTGGCGAACGAATTTTCCATTCTAATCTTGTATCCATGGAGATGACCTACAGTCCAGATGAGAAATGAACCCCTGCAAAGGTTCAGAGCGTCTGGGGGACTGGTTGCCAAGGTATCTGGGCGGCTCGCATATCTGGCTTGAACCGGACGGACCTTAAAAGTGCTTGAAGTCCCTTGCAGACATGAAATCAGAATCTGAAATGGAATCACTAGAAGATGAACTCAAAGAGCTGTGGATAGGGTGGAGAGAGAAGCTTGCGAATCATGTACCGGGGCTGTTGGAGGAGTTCGATGAGGAAGATCGAGAGCTACCGTACTGAGAGAAGCAATGTACATAAAGAAATAACAGATGGATGTGCATACAGAATAACACCTCTAGTTGATACATAGCAGGAAACGATAAACTTCGAAAGGAGCCTCAAAATATCGCCTGCAGTGCCGTGTAACCATTCGCTTGGCATCGATCCTGCACCCGAACTCCGCCACGCCGAATTTCTGACAATCAAATCACATCTTGCACTAAAAGTCGAGCGTTGCCACGAAGACGATGAGTTTATCCAATAAACATTAGATCATGTGTACGCAAAAACTTTGTTGCAAGTCGCAGTTTACCAGCACGTGTAGCCACGTGGAGAACCCTTGTCACCGCTCCTGTTGTCCTGGCGCCAGCAAGGTAAGACGGGAGAAGAAGCACACCGCTTCTTGCAAACTTGAAGCGATTGAAGCTTTAAGATCGGAGTGACAATCATGATACTGGAAGAGAATTTACCAAGGTCTTTCTTCTCTCCGGTTGGTCTGCTTGGATCCTCATCACTGATCGCCCGCAGATATTCCCAGCGCAAGCTTGACGCATCTCCGAGACCCAATTTTCTTATAGGAGCAACAGAACAGAAGCAAGAAGTTCCCCAAGAATTCTTCAAAGAGAGTCAATGGCATATTGCTGGATTTTCAATGTGCCGAACGATAGAGAACACGGAAATTTGTCGTTTGATTTGCATATGGTGTGGCTGCTTTATCCTCGCAAGGAAGTGAGCCTAGCTATTGCCCGAAGAGCCTGAGCTCAGCTTAATTGGAGAGAGCAAAAGCAGCGGAAACCACTAACCGAGTTAGGTTTTGGGCCCAAACCTTAAAAAGATGCTTCTTAGATAATACTCAACTTCAGAGTTTCCATGACTGCTAGTGCTTTCCTCCGTATAGATTGAAACATCGATATTATTCATGGGCCGGTTGCAATTAAGTAGGTAGGTAGAGAAGAAATGATGCTCATCACGTGATCATCTGTCATGCTTAAAAATAGCATCATGTTGGATCTTTTGATCCAACAGAACACGTCAAATTCACAGCCTCACTCATTCTATCGGACTCATTGCGACTGCATAGGGGAACATACTCAATCTATTGGTCTCTGAATCTTTCACTTGTTCTGCAGATACACATACGATGCCATTCCCTTTATTCGCCGCACTAGCCGTGGAGCTTCAACAGAATGTAATGCAACAGTGTGAGAGACCAGAACTCCTCAAAATTGGTAAGGTTTCCTAGACAGGTCTGTGCTAAGCTAAATGGATTAGCCCTTTGCTCCCGAGACATGAACCGTCTCGCAATTTCAATAATTTACCGGCACGTGGACCTCAGCTATCATAATGACGAAGGATTGTTCTCAGCCATACCTTATGAGAAGATGGTTAGAGGGGACAATCCTGACAGGCGTGTGGGTGTGCTGAAAGAGACAATGTTCCACGCACAAGAACTTTTCATTGACACAATTATACAACACCCATCATTCGGAGCATATGTGTCCTCCCTCGTTTGGACATATCTATGGGTGATCGATGAACTTGACATCAACCCACAACGGCTGTGGAAAGCTTTCCAAAGCCTAACAAATGTCAAAACCATTGATATTTGCTCCATGGACCTGGAGGAGCAATACGTCGTTCCTCCCCCATTATTCCCATCCGCCACAAAAATCCGAGTTGGTGATAGAATACCGTATGCGCTCTTTAGAGCCATTTTAGCCTTTCCAGCTCAATTGACGTCACTCGAAATCGACAATGTCCATGGCTTGGGTCAGGTCTCAGACGGCATGAAACTCTATTACTCCGATACGTTGTATGAAGCCCAAGAAACTGAGGACGACGACTTGGTTCCAGTGACGCGGCATGATGGGCCCATGAAGGGCCACTTGAATCTTCTGGTCGGGAAATGCACTAAGCTACGATACTTGTGCATCAAGACTGTTGGCCAAGATAACTATCCTGACACACGATGGTGTGAGAAGAGGGAGCAAGAGCGTTACGAAGAAGTTGCAAGATTCATTGATTCTGTCAAGCTGACGCTGGAAAGTTTAAATCTAGAATACGGAACGGAACCTGATCAGCCATTTCGAATGCCGTGTCGAGGCTTACTGCATGCCGTCCCGCATGTTGGTCGGCCAATGGATCGAAGGTTCTTTCAGTACATCTTGCCCGCTTTGTGTCGTGGAAAGTGGCCAGCTCTGAAAGTGATTGCTATTCTTGGAATCGGTGGGACGCCAACAAAATATGCACTGCGGAATCGATACACACCTGAAGATCGTTCTGTTTTTGATAACGCTGAGGAGAAGCTCAGAGTAGCATTTGGGAACAATATCACACTTATATGGCAAAGGGAAAATGCCTCCAGTTTCTACTTGTTGGAGCATAGAGGGCTTGCATACATTACGACCACATCTTTATGATACTGTCAACTTCCTAGAAATTGAGTCAGCTACCTCAAATGTGCTAGATGGCGTGCCCTGACCTTTGATATATTTATTCCACTGATTCTTGATAGGCTTTGAATATAAATTGCCATTCGCGTCAGGAGTGGAAGGCCAAACATCGGTGTTACAGGATGCAGCTGCTTGGTTCGGTCCAGAGTATTTGATTCCTTGGCAACCATCTACAGAGTTCCAGAAATTGTAGATCTTGATGTAAGATTTAGTCTTGTAAGCTGGCCATAAGAGTTTGGTTCAAATCTGTAAAAGTCAAGGACTTACTGCCATCCACGCATAATTGTCTGCGTTCCGAGAACTCTGCGACTTGGTGGCTGGTGCTTGATTGACCAGCCCAAAGGCTGCAGAAAGTGTTGATGCCACATAGAACCCATACTTCTCCGGATTCTGGTCCGAGAAGAAATTTGTGTTCAGAACCCACGGAAGACTTTTTTGTTTTGATAAGTGACGCAGTCTTTGGGGAGATATTTGTGAATGACTTACTGGGTTACTTTATGTAATAGTGCTTGTGCGGTGGAATTCAGCATATTCAGATTATACATCGTTTCCTTTGGGACATTGCCGTTTGACAGCTCATATCTTTGACTCTCCATTCTCGGTAATTGGAAGAATGGTGGACAGAAATGTATAAACCATGCGTCTTCAGACACCAATGGATTTGTTGCGAATTCTTGTGTGCCACTAGCGGCCACCGTAAATGCTGCATTGGAGTCAGCATCTGATTCTCATTGCATTCCGTCTAGCATACCTTGAGCGCCATTATTACAGATATTATCTCCAGCGAGATTATGTAGACCCGGACCCATGGTGAGATACAACAAATTGCCTGCGCGGATGAACCCTTGAGCACCTGGATTTGATCCCCCGTCACCTTGCAAGTTTTCCGTTTCTGTAATTATTCTTTCGAAATTACTGACAACTAGATTGCCAAACTTAGAGGTGGTTCATTTTGCACTTAGAGAGCATCCTTACTTGTTGAAATATATTCTGGATCAGCGGCAAAAAGTTGGCCGTATGCCAGGTTGTTCGCAGCAAGAAACGTGCGATAGCAGAGCAAATAAGCGGGCGTGTTCCTTGTTGGGTCTTTTTTCATGACCTGACAGACTCCCTCTGCTATTGTAGTCTGCTCTTGGAACAGTTGATAAGCTGCAGTGTCTGGTAAGAGGGCCGACAACGTTTCATTTGCATATTTAGCCAACTCCATCATTTCCGCCCATGCTTTGACAACGACGTCCCTGAACCATCTAATTAGCAGCTATAAAGGTAACAAATACCGAGAACTTTTTACTGTGACCATTCATCCCGTTGAACACCGTTCGCACCCTGCCAGACTGTCGTTGGAGGGGCTGTAGTGTCGTAATCATACCTTCGCTGCAAAGCAAATGAGGTCTAGTGAAAATTCAGTTTACTATCATATGAGGGTATCGATCATTTCACCTTATTATGGAGGGATCCATGATCTTCGGTCTCCTAGAAAGGGTCAAGGTAGTGCTGATCAACCTTCAACCCTTGCGAGAAGAATGAAAGCTGGCTCTGGGTGTCATCCAGTGCTGACTTCAAGGACGGAGCTCGAAAAGAAGGAATAACAGAGGCACATGCAAGAGATAGGGGAAGAAAGTACTTGGGCTTCATTGTAAATCTGGGAAGTCTGATTCTTCTTAGGACGATATGTATTCAAGCTGGCGAGAATTTCTGTTGTTGAGCTTGTATAGTTATGTATATAGCATCCCATCACCCCTCCAAACCTCCTGTCTATTTTTAGGGAAAACAGAAGGATGACTACCTTGGAAGCTATTTCCAGATAACCCTAACCCTTTCCAGTATGCCTTGAGGATGTTGAGTGTGTACGAACTCCAACAAAGCCAACAACTGCAGCCAAATTTCAACCCAGAAGTTTACAACACGAGCAGACAGAAGAATCATAACCATTCAAGTGTAGCAACAGCAATCAGCCACATATCTGCATGTTCGCAATCAATGGGAAAATGCTTTCGTAGTGAGCCCGATGGCCAAGGAGGCCGCGGGATGGGTCTGGTTCGCCGCCAACAAGGTCGGGAAGGAGTAGCCCTGAAACATAACATGGCAGAGGAGACTATGTTACAATCGATTTCCCCAACACCAACACATACATCGAACCAACACATCCCATTTCCAGCGTTGCTCCTGTCCTCGTAAAGTAGACATGCGCATTCGGGTAGCTGGGTTTGTAAAGATAGGTCAGAGTGCCTCACCATTCACGGCCGTCACATTATGTGGTGTTGGCAAGACTAAAAATATCAACGAGGGAGTTTAATACCCATAACTAATGTGTTTGATCTATTTTTATGACTGTGGGAAAGATGTACTATGAGGGTTGTCAACCGGGGTGACAGGTCAACCTTCTCCTATATGCAGCGATCGCCCGGATACTACATTGCTACTTGCCAAATATTCTCGATATTGAATTTTAAGAGACTGGAACTAAAACCTTTCCTTCGAGAATCATTTTCACAATCAGAATTCAAAATGCGTCCTATCCTATGATCCCTATGGCTCTTCCCATATTTGGGACACAGCACGATCTCACCTCATCAGACGAGAGCAGCGCCGACAGTAAGCTTCAAATGAGTAGTTGCAAACAAATCGAGCTATACCTAATTTCTCTTGCAGCTGCAGAATCGTTCACCACCCTCGAGTAGTGCAGTAACAGTAGCACCTCAAACCGCAATCATCACGGGTGTAATGCAAACAACCTACCTGGCTTATTCTGGCGAAACTGTCAGTACTTTCACAAAGTGCTCAGACAATACTCAGCTAACGAAGCTAGACAAACTCAAAAGTGACTGAAACAATCGACGGCACAGCAACTGTGCTGCCTCTCTGGTACTGCGATCCATCGTTAAGTGCACCAGTGTGCCAAGGCTGTCCAACTAGTACAACATCTGGCCAAGAACCTTGCCCAACCAATTTCAACTTTATTCTGCTCATGCCCCCTTTGGCAATCATTGGGGGACTCATACCTCCACCAGAAGGACTACCTACACTTTCTATAGGACCAGATGGCAACCCAACACCCGAATCTACCCTCTTGCCGACTTACACCTCAGTTCCTCCTCCCACTATTTCAGACAGCGATAGTAGCAGTACTAGTAGCGACAACTCAATCTCTGTTTCCGTGCCTTGCACCATAGCGCCAATCACTGCGAGCAGTTTCGCTTTCTCGCCTGTCCCATCACCGGTCTGGACTGCACCAACCGGCTCCGCTGCCCCTAGCCTTACCGAAGCACTTCCAGTCCTGTCTCTCACAAACGCAGATCCAGCTCATCCGAGTATTTGGCAAGCTTGCAGACCAGGAAATGGGGATCCATATTACAACGGCGGGTTCATCCAATTTGGAGAATCATTCAGTAGAAACGCAGGGCTTGACGCCGTCGGGAAATTTTGCAACGATATGGTCTCTTCCAGTATCGTCGTTGGGCCTCCGGGAGTCACTGCGACGACGTCAGGAGCTTCGAAAAGGACTGCTGTTCCGGAAATGGTCAGATCATACAATGAGCCGGACGGATCTGGAAAAATAATGCTAATGGTACAGTCTGATGTTAACAATATCAATGGCAATGGTCCGACTTGTCCAGACAATTGGATCTACGACATTGCGAGTGGGGGCTATGCAAAATGTAGACAACTGTTTGGCCAGGTGAGTTTGTTCTTGTCTTGAAATCTGATATTCAACGCTAACTTTTAAACAGAGTATTGATTATTGCGTTGTAAATGCGACTCGATCTTCGTCAGACATCACTTGGTTAGTAGAGTTCTTTCGCCTATCTCAGTAAAGATATGCTAATTTTATGGAGGAAAAATGGCGGAACAGTCTTCACTAATTGTATGTACTTTAGCGTTGCAGAAATGGCCAAACGGAGGGCCAGCAGACATAAACCTATAATTTCAGATAAATCAATGGACATGAGATCTGCTTTACACTCCGATACTCATCACTATTCCACTTTACCAAATCCCTGATACATCATTACTGCGACATCATCCGGTCAGTTGAGACCCGTGAGCAGCATAGGTGGGGCTGTGGACTTTCTTGCTTCCCCTTTTCATCCGGCTAGCGAACGCAAGCCTCAACTCCTAGTTTATCCACCGTAAGATCAATTAAGACTACGGCACTGCATCTGACAAGGAGGCTCAGCCCACCGGATCTAATGTCGCGGATCGCACCGTATACTCGTATCAAAGACCGGCCACACGAGTTGACCAATGCCATGCCTGTTATTATTTATGTCTTCGAATGAGCCACACGAAGCTTTTGATGGTTTGTCTTACTTCGCCATTCTGGGGTGTTATAGCACTTTCAAAAGTCTGGTTACAGAGGAGTATAAGTGAAAAATCTTACTTCCTTTGTTTTCTCAACCAAAAAATTCATTGACCACCATCCAAACTAAATCCTAATCATCGTCAAATTCAATCTTGAACAACATGGCAGTCATCCTCTCGCAGATCATTCCACTCCTCCTTCTCATCGCTCAATCACTTGTATCTGCCCTCCCAGACGTCACGGCCATTAACCTAGGCTCAAATGATTGTACCCAATATCCCCACTACATCGGCGGCCCCGACAACCATCGCGACATGACCGAACCTTTCGTCTTCGTCCCAGATCAAGCAGACAACAGCGCCATCAATGGCCTCCGAACTATCATGATGCCTTCCAGTAGCTTAACTATCAGCACCATCCCTGACGTGGCAATCAACCTCTTCGCATGCACCAATGGCAGTGTCACTGATTGGGGTGGATCGCAGAGTAATGGAGAGGTTTTCTTATTTTCAACAGATCCCGAAGATGAGGAATTAGCATATGCGGCACAGGGATTCAAGCCAGAGCCGTATGCACATGAAGTTGCGGGCGTGAGACAGGATGGAGTGTTTCTGGGGGCGCAGAATACCACGACTTGGGCTTTCAAATTCTTGCCGTCAACCGGGCTGGCGGGAAGTCGGGATCATTATCAGGTGAGGTTGTTGGGGCCGAAGAGTTCGGGGTTGGTGACGGGGGTGGTGGGAGGATTTGTGAAGATCGTGAGCTATTGAAATACAGCGAGATTTGTAGTTGTGGAATTAGGAAGATATAGAAAGGGTGATTGTCCTACAAATTCTTGCATGCGTTGAGAATAATATATTGTTGAGGTAATATTCCTACTTTCGATTGGAAGCTTTCCGGATCGCTCTAGAATGGAAGCAAAAATTGTTCAGAGCTTACAGGAATCATCACTGAGTAAGAATAACTGGGATCTCCTTTGACATGCGTAAGCGAAGTCAAATGAGGGGTAGAGGGGAGGGTTGCACGAAGGCTCAGTCGAGAAACGATGTACAAAATTCCTACTCCCAAATTGCTTTCCAGGCACCAATCTGGATACTCAATATCGAGGTACGAATGAATTGCCACAGGACAAAATTTATATCTGCCTGTGTGAGCGGCTGCAACGTTGGGATGATGTTCGGAACATATCCCATGCCGGCAGACGCAAGTCCCGCGGCCCCATCTAAGTACCAACCAGGGTCTACGGCACCTGTAGGATGTGCTGTACTAATCGGAATATCAGATTGAAGTCTGGAGAATAGAGGTGTGGTGTACAGCAGATCACTGTCAGACAGTGCCTAAAGACAAATACTTCCGTTACGATTCATACATATAAAATGAAACAATTTGTCCACGATTTGGTACATACAAAAGTACCCAGGAGAAAACGAATGTATCGAAGATACTTTCCATTGCCACAGACCAACACCGACAATGTCGAGCAAATTCCCATATGCTCTCCTTTTGGGGTACTTGATGCTAGCACTAGTCTCAGCACAAAATGCAACTTGCGATCGGTCTTGTTTGGAAGGTCTAATATCGAACTACTTGACTGCCTTGACTACACATAACTCCTCTCTTCTAACAACAACACCAAATGTCAAATACGTGGAAAATGATCAAATAGTGCCATTTGGGGCAGGAGAATGGCACGTTTCCACAACACTTGGCAAATACCGCCACATATTCTCTGATCCCAATGCGGGGCAGGTCGCAGCCATTACAACAATAGTTGAGAATGGTGTGGGTGCCATTTACGTCGTGCGCCTGAAGGTTGAAAAGAACCAAACAATCAGTGAAATCGAGACTGCGATTACGCGCGATCCAGGAGGCGCCGCCCGTTACGAAAATATGACCAAGCCAGAAGCTGTTTGGCTGCAAGCAGTACCACAAGCTCAGCGTGTTTCCCGTGCCACGCTCATCGCTCGAGGCAATATGTACTACTCGGGCATGGAGCGAAATGATCCCAAAGGCAACTACTCGTTCTTCTCTAAGGATTGTCTTCGGATCGAAGATGGTCTTCAGACTACGGAAGTGAAGACCGGTGATGCCTACGGCCATTCTAACGACACCGTGTTTGCATCTCTGAGCTGCGAAGAGCAATTCCAAAGCGGATTCCTTGGATTCGTGACTGCGGTGCGTGAGCGACACTTTTCTGTTGTGGACGAGGAACGCCAAGCTGTCTTCGTCGTCAGCACGATTGATCAAAACGGAACGGTTCGATGGCTGCCGGATGTGAATGGCACGTCTTCGCCCATCCCTGCGTATTTTGATGTACCCCGTGGAGAACAGGGCATGGAGGCTTTTCAAGTACGGGACGATAAACTGTTCCGTATCGAGATGACCATGATTGAAGTCCCTTATGGCATGCGTGCCGCTTTCCATATAGGTTCTCCAGTTGATCTGCGAGGATCCGGTACCAACAAGACCATAGCAAGTCCATGCGATGATTCTTGTCTCAAGAATGTATTGAAGCAAGTCCTCCAAGCAATGCAAAACCACGATGCATCTGCTCTCCCTCTCGCTCAAGGTGTACGTTATTCAGAGAATGGACAGTTCCTGAGCCTCAGTGACGGTCTATGGGGGACTCTTGGTCATTTTGATGCCCCAGGTCAAGATGACTACGGTGCAAGTTTTGTAGATTCGGCAAAGGGAGTAGTTGGATACTGGGGTGCTACCAAAGAGCAGAGCACTCCAGGAGTTCTTGTACTCCGAGTACAGGTCGAGGGAGGGAAGATCACGGAGATTGAGGCCATTGATGTGCGTGCAGAGTCGTCTGGTGCGAGATTTGGTACCTTGACCCTCATGCGTCCACCGCTTCCGATCGAATGGGAGAGCACTCCTCTTGGTCGTCTAGATTCCGCATTCAAGCAGAACAGCAACACGTCAACGGGCATTCCTTCGGTATTGGTATCTGCGTACTTCGATGGCCTTGAACGGCATTCGAGCGCTGGAGTGTCGTTCACAACAGGTTGCGTCCGTCGAGATATGACTGTTCAAGGAAATCTCAGCTGCGCTGCACAGATGGATGGGCGTGGAGCAGCTCCAAATGGGCTGTTCAATGGTACGATCAGTGTTCGAGATCGACGAATTCTTGTCGCTGATGCAAAAGCCGGAGTCGCGTTGGCAGTTGTGTTGATTGATTACCCCGCAGCAAGTCCTCCTCCATTGCCTGCGACCCAGCTCGTACCCAGCACTTATATGGTGCCACAACTGATCAAAATTGACAATGGATCAATCTCTCGTGTTGAAAGCATGATAAAATGGATGCCGTTTGGATATGTTTCCTCGTGGGCGGAAGAAAAGGTTTCTTGATACAGTAATTAGAATTGGAAAAAGGTATCGAGTGGTTAATTGGTATTCGGGTCTAGAATGTCACGGGAAAGACATTGTAGTCATCGGGGACGATGATTCGAGACTCTTTGAAGGAAAATATGACTGGTTTTCGTAGTGATGGCCAGTCTTTTGATTTATCCTGATAGGATTATGTTCCTGGTATCGTGAGCCTATGCAAACACTGTAACACAGCTCTCTACACGTATTTTGGGGTTCAGGGAACGTTCGTGTCAGAAAGCTGAATTGGATACCTAGTCTTCTCTAACTTCAAAATCGTGTTAAGCTGCGACTTCTGCCACTTGTACCACGGCTATACGTCTTCCATGATGTTCAGGCGTTTGAGGAACATCCCACGCCCTGACTACATCCGGCGCATTGTGCCCTTTCCCATGACAGGGACATTTCTTCACAGAGCCATATAATTCTGGTAAATCCTCATTGTCTGCTCCCTCCATGATAGCCTCCAACTCCTCAGATGGTATCAACGGAGGAGACCTCGGTTCATCCTCCTCATCCTCATCCGCCCCTTCCACATCTTCGATCATTCGTGGTGGTTTAGCGGTCGCAGATTCGAATCTTCGCAAGGAAAGCCCTTCCCCGTCATCTTCATCATCTTCATCCTCGTAGGCATCCTCGTCTTCGCCTTCCACCGACTGAGGCGGCGGACTTTTGTTCCTCGATACACTAACCGGCTTTGCACCACTGTGGAAGCTGACTCGTTTTGCTGTTTGCGTTGTGGCATCGGCACCGTCGTCGTCGTCACTGCTGCTTTCGCTCTCGATTTCTACCAACCGTAGCATAAGCTTGTCGAGGGTGAATGCGTGCCCAAGGATGAAGCGCAAATTGCGATCTGGTTTGTCTGCAGCCATGCTGAGCTTGCAGCGGGCCGTATGCGCAAGGTAGTATGTATCTACGTCAGACATCTTGTTCGTGATGGGTCTTGTGGACTTCGTTGAGTGAGCTGAAGTTTCAACAACCTCTGGAGGCAGATGGAGGGGTAGTCGATCGTTGATTAGTAACCTAGGTGCAGCTCTCGGTCAAATAGCATGCAAAAGCCTCTCGACTTCTAGGACTAGTGGAGGTGAAGAATGGAGTTAAAAGCACAAAGAACTTCGTTTGGGAATATAGTTTTCTTACTTTGGCAGATACTTCGAAGACGACCCAAGGGGAGTGTTGACAAAGAACGTCCCAAACGCAGACAAGGACGGATAGGGATTTGTAATCATTTACGGTGTTGTATGTAACACTTTGATTGATAAGTTGATTGATCAGCTTATTCTATTAGACGTCGAATGGATCCAGGCCGCGAAATCTTCGCGGGGGCGAGTGAAGAGATGAACTGATAATACTTGTAGGTGCATTGAGAAAATTGGGATGGAGGAAATAACTGGAGGAAATCAGTGGCTGAAAGTGTGGCTGGTAAGTGGCTTGGGAGAAGCTGCACTATTGTCTCAGGCATCCTCTCCAGTCACCAGCGTCATAAGCTTTCCAACACAAACGAGTAAAAGAACATCATGTAACTTGAATTCCGAGAGACAGCATATCCACCACTATGGATTCCGAGTATCGCCTCAATTTTGGCAGACACAAGGGGAAAACGCTTTCGTCGGTCCCCTCAAGCTTTATCGACTGGCTTCATGAAGATAACGTAGCTGCAAAGCGCCCAGAGCTCAAACGCGCCCTTCAACTCCTTTCAAACCCCTCGAGGCAGACACCACAGAAACGTCTTCATTCGTCCTTAGCTGATGAAGATACGCCCTCCAAGAAGGCAAAGAACGAACGAGACGCGCCACAATTGACCCCATCGAGCGAGAACAAAGAAAATGATCTGGACAAGCAAGAGGAAAAGGAGGACAAGACATACGTCATCCACTTTGGAAAGTACAAAGGCGAAAAGCTATCGAATGTACCATCTGGCTACCTCATGTTGTGGATGAATAAGGGGACCTCAAACCCCTTCATGAATACCCCCAAATCAAAAGCGGCCTGGGAGCGGTACTGGAAAGACTACTCTCCAACTTCTCCGGCACTCGTTGAAGCTCTCCGGAAAAGTGGTTGGACCCCTCCTGCCCTTCATTCCGCTCCTGCAAAATTCCGAGACGATAATTCAGATCCATTATGGGTTGCGGAATTTCACGCTAGGAAAACATTTAGCGTTATACAAGGATACTTGGATACGCTGCCTGTTGTCAACAAGAATGATAACAGGAAGGGTAGGTACTGGCTATACCACATCTGGGATTTGGTGCGGTTTACCAAGTCCGAGGCATATGCGGACACAGCGCTGTATAAATTCAAGCAACAGCACCATGAATGGATTGAGGATAGATGGGCCGGCATGGGCTTGGGTGCTTGTCTTGTGTGAGAGATTTTGTGAGGGCTGGCCGCTTCAAAATAGATGCGCGGCCGGAGACTGGCGTTGCCGAATATTGGATCTTTAAGCTTAGTTCTCGTTGCGACCTTTGACCTCGTGAACAGATTCATCAGCACGCCACGGCATCACAGAAGGTCCGGAACGAATATGGAGCTCTCTCGCGATTTCCACGGTGTATCTTCTTCAGTGCTCGCTCTGATTTCCGAAGAGCCAGAGTACCGCTTCAATTTTGGGAAGTACTCTGGCAAGCCGCTCTCCGTTGCGCCTCCCAGCTACATTACCTTCCTAATTGAAAAGAAGATACCGGCCAGGCGACCAGAACTCAGAGTCGCCCTCGAAAGGAGATCTACAATAGCAACACCTACAAGCGCCACAATAGCCACGACCTCTCCCCTTGTTGCGGAGGAGCGAAAAACACGTCCTAGATCCGCATCACGTGAAGACGACATGCCTCCACCAAAGATCCAGAAAACCTTGCAAGAGTCAAGGAACTCTAATCAAAGTCGAGTATGGGCCGAAACCCCCTCTAGCTCATACAACCGCATAACATCATCCCCTGCCTCTTCATTGTCTCTGTCGAAGTCCCGACCTACAACACACATCCAGCAAAACAATCCGAATTGGTCGACCTTTATGGAATGCAAGGTTCCGCGCATACAAACCAAACACTGAGCGATGCTTTAAGGCAGTTTTCAGAGCAGACGAAGCCCATTCCATCAACACCCGCAAACATCCCTTGTCTTCCGAAAGTTCCACCCAAAACTCTCGGCAATCTAAGCAGGGAGTCCACGCCCATTCTCACGAACACTAGTAATGGCAGCAATCTCTCTCCCCAAGCCGTTCTTCCAGGACCTGTCAAATGGGACCCCAAGACTGCTCATCACAAGGTCTTCAGAGACCATTATGGAGAAGTGTTTGAGTGGATTCACGGCAGAGATGCACGGACTTTATTCGGATTCACCCCCAATCACATCAATCAGCTGACACCATATGACAAGACGGACAAGGAAAAGTTCTGGTTATATGAAGTTCGAGACCTGTTCGCTTTCAGCACTTCGGAAAAGAGCGCTAACGCAGCAATGAAAGCTTTCATGGCAAAGAACAAAAGAAGTACTAAGGATATCTGGGCTGGCTTGGGATTAGGAGCCGGTGCGTGTAACGAGGAAGGCATGAATGGTCCACCTGTTTACGACGATTACGGAAATGCTATCACGGATCGGGATTCCTGGGGTAATCCAAAGGTGCCGGCAGCTACGAAGGCTATGAAGAAGGATATTAGGCAGGCTGCGAAAGTTGAGAAGGAGAAGGTGAAGAACGCTGAAAAGGCGAAGAAAAAGACCGAGAGGGAGGCTCTGAAGAAAGGTGGGAAGAACAGTACCAAACGACTCAAGAAAGAAGCGTGAGTGATCCCAAACCTGAGCAGGAGTCTTCACCTGTTCTAGTTATGCATACCGCGTATTGCCCTGATCTTTTGGAAATCCGCCACTCATGTGGTACTTTTATGAGTGTATGATTGTCCCTCAAAATCTTGAAGACTTACAGCACCATGGTTGGGCCAGGGCAGGGGTACTATATAAAAGATACCGACAATCTTTGGATGCGCAGCACTAGGATCCGAAAGTGAGTCACATCTCTGGATTACTTTATTTATTTCGCCGTGTCGTTTCCGCTAGGTATAGAAGAAGACTTGGAGCTCTGTGGCATTTTAGCAATGCAAAATGCTATTTAATAACTTTATATACTTAACCTCATTTAGTATCTACAACCCATTATTCTCCTTCTTCTAAGTAAATCAAACAATAACAGATCTTACTATCATAAATTACGCAAGCCAATTTTTTATGGGCAGCCAAATCCAGAAGAGTAAAAATGCCTTTCCTCAAATCTACGGTCTTGAACGAACGTGCTGGCCATAGGCCGCGCTCGAATCGCACACAGAAGCATTGAAAGCTTCTATGCAAGTTGCATAATTCTCCTCTGATAAGGGGATTGACGAGCTCATTATCATCTTTAATGATGGATGAGCAGCTGTATTGCGATTTACAAAGCTTCGATTTTACCCAAAGCTTAGCTTTTCCGAGCAAACCATGTGTTGAGATATAACCAAACGCTTTAGATTTCGGTGAAGCTCTTGAATGTCAGTTCCACATTTTTCCAAATGCCAACCAGCTGTTGTTGGAACTTTTCTGCCTAAATCGTCTCGCGTCCAGTATATCGATGTGTGAGATGTGCCGGGGGAAACCATAGTTCGGTAAGGCCAGTTGAGAGCAACGTTCTCTAGCGGCCACCCAAAACGGTTTCTTTTTGGGTAGCTGGGTACCAGCATCATTGGATCGGATGCACTCAGGTTGGAATCGAAGATGGAGTACTCAGGAGGTGATCCAAGATTCATATTCTCTGCTACCAGGTTGGAAATGAATGGATCATACGCTGTCTTATTCAGTAATTCATCCAGAGAATATGGGGACCGTTCCTCACCAGACCCTCTCGTTGGGTTCTGCAGTCTTAGACTAATAGAGTAGTTATACTCGACATATGTTTGAACTGCTTGCCAGGACTCCACCAGAGTAGAGACCAAGTACGCAGCCATGTTGTACAAGCAATAAAAGTATTCAGGTTTGGTGATTGAAAAGATGTTAAAAACTTTGGGTATGACAATTTCAAAGTACTACTAAACGTTCTAACTTCTGACATCAAAATTGTTTGGCATGGTCTTAGAGTGGCTCCAAAAAGCGGTAGCGAGGATGATCGAAGTGGGACTGTGACGATTTAAGTTTAAGTAGTGTCATGTGATTAAACATCTCATCTCAGGGCTGCAAGATAACTAGGTATGATTAAAATCAGAGCTTCCTCCGAGCGCTCGTAATGTATTTATTTATCAGCCCTTAATGTAGCTTTCAAGTTCCGAACGAGGGAACAAATCAGTCTCTGATCAACGGTCACGTGGTATCCTCACACCGCCTTGTTTCACCTCAACTCCTTTCGATCCTTCTTCGCGTCTACTGCACTACTTCGATCCTGCAGGAAAGTTTGTTCTCTGCCGAGGGGATGAAGGGAACTGTCAAGTGGTTTCGCCCTTCTTTTGGTATGATTGGCTGTGTACCTCGTCGCCTTCTTGGCCTTGGTGGCCCCCAAATTGCGGTAAGCGCCGACTTGCCCCGCTTGATACCTACATAATGCTTAATGCTTCGCGCTTCAACGACCCTCAACCATGCTGTGACTTTTGCAAGTTTCTACAGCTCAATAATTCAATATGTCCGTGTCTACTGCCGAGGTTGTTTTGTGCGACAAGTGTGTAATGTTCAAACAGCTCGACGCTATGTTGAGCCCGAATCCTTTGGACCACCATACAAGTTGGACTGAGCTCTGTCGTTCAGCCAAGAATGGTTGCCTTTTATGCGCCGCTTTTGTCAGGTGTCAAGCATTCAAAGAACCTAGAGCCTTGCCAGACAATTTCGATGAGCATATGAACCCGGCAGATACTCAGATCAGTTGGCGTGCACATTTCGTGCCAGAAATGCTCATACTGATGCAAAAGGGGCTATTCTTTGCTCCTTATGATGATGTTGTCAACACGTGGGTAGAGTTGTTTACAGAGCCCGGTAACGCATCTCATTCCTCGTACTTGGTTTCTTTGTCATGTTGCTGATAAATCAACCTTGCGCTCTTGTCATGATTGCTAACCACTTCCAGATGATCCACTTGTCGTTATACTTTCTGGTAGGCCTATTCAAACAGATTCGAGATCCGATGTATCTCTCGGGCTTATCCGCAAATGGGTTCAAGATTGCCGGAAAAACCACACGGATTGCAATGCCTCTCCCCTTAAAGTTTTGCCCACTCGAGTCGTAGATGTTGGGCGTGAAGACCCCCCTGTGGATCCTTTCGTGTTTGTCTCGGAAGGAGCTCTGGGAGAATGGATTACCCTTAGCCATTGTTGGGGAGGTCATACGCCGCTTTCGACAACGTCTGCCAACATAAAAGAGCGACGCAGAGCCATCCCACTTGACGAGTTTCCACCCACGTTTCGCGATGCCATCCTCTTGACTCGAAAACTTGGCTTTCGATATATGTGGATTGATTCTCTTTGCATCCTCCAGGACAGCCATCAAGATTGGACTCAGGAGTCGAGCCAAATGTACCAAATCTACGCTGAGGCATTCATGAACATCGCCGCATCCAGTGCTCGGAATCCTGAAGATGGAATATTTGCTAGTGGAAACCGGCGGCGAGATCTTGCCTCCCCAATCTTTTCACTCGCAACGTACTCTGCCAAGCATGATATAAGTGGAATCGTGCGCATTCGACCTTCTATGCCCAGCTACCCTTTCACTTCGTTGGATGACGAGCCTTTGAACAAGCGCGCTTGGGTTCTACAAGAAAGTACTCTGTCTCCACGACGAATCGACTTTGGCTCGTCGGAACTTCATTGGTACTGTCGTTCCTCTTCGATACGAGAAGGCTTCCCGGGCTCAAATGACATTGAAGTATCGTATGCGCCAACACTCATAGGTGGGCAAGTTGACCTATTCAAGATACCGCTCTGCACATCTCCTTTCGACCCGACTGTGAGCGTTATGAACCTATTTTCATCTGACCCTCTAGCCTGGTGGTACACCATTGTCTATCGATCTTATAATAGTCGTAAAATTACTATTCATACAGACATTCTTCCAGCCATTGCTGGTATCGCAGAGCAGATTGCTAAACGAACATCCTATCACTATAAAACTGGACTGTGGTTAGAAGACATTCACAGAGGATTGTTGTGGCAAGCTTCATGGACTATAAACAGGCCACCAGCAACCTCTTACCCATCGTGGAGCTGGGCATCGGCTATTCTTCCTTGGCGCGATCGGAATTTGAGCCTTCACTCCTACGAAGATGGCCCACGGGCCGAGATCGTGGACGTGAGCGTTGTGAATACGGCTGACAACCCCTTTGGCGAAGTCATCTCCGCAGCTCTGACTATCAAGAGCCGCTTTCGGACCTTCGACCACTGGACAGGCAAGAATTTGCCAATTTATAACAACACAGAATGGATTGAAGACATGAAAATTGCCAATCGCTGGCGTGATCCGAAAAAGAACGTAGATTGTGCCACAGCTCCACTGGGTAGGGTCATTTGCACACTCGATGAGAGACCACAGGATGTTGATGCGGCCCACAAGAACATGCTACGGCTAGGTGTTATATGCTTGCAAATCGGCAAATTTGGCCATCGTGACTACCCAGAAGATCCTGGGGAGACAGTGTTTGCATTGGTTTTGCAACCTACGGGGCGGGAAGTTGATGAATACAGGAGAATAGGAATCGCAGAGATACCGGCAGAAGATGGAATGGCTGATAATTGGGACTTCAAGACCGTTAAGATTGTTTGATTGGTCATGGAGGGGCAGATATATTCTCTACTTTCATAATGTCACGCCGCTTACTCTGGCTTGATCATCTGCATTACATTTCTTTTCTCGTTTGAAAACTTTACGAAGCTGTGTTACTACTGCAAGCCTTTTCTCCAAAAATTTTGTTCCAGCCAATCTTTTACTCCAATTGTACAAGAGCGTAGCGAGAGACCATCCTAAGAGCCTTGTAGAAGTCGTCTAGTGACTTATTTGACCCGCATTATGCACTTCGACAGAAATTCGGGTATACGAGATTGATTCGTGGCAAATAGTCAGGTTGATATGCGCAGGCATGTGACATTTATGGTGTAGGTGCCATAGCAGGCCATGAACCTGTTACTTTCCTCACGACTCCGTTCGGTCCCCAACTATCATGTGTCAGCTTCTCATCACCTCAAAGACAACCTTGGTTGAGAACTCACCAAAAATATCCATAGCCGCATCACAATTATCGATCGCATCTTTTAATGTGGCTAGAGTGAAAGTGACGTTGAAAGGGGTTGCTATCGCGTTATCAGTCGAAGTAGATAGTCAAGATCAATGTCGTTAAAGATTGTGCTCCAATTCAAATAGGTTGTGGCCAGATCTTTAAAATCATCTAAGTCTATTGGGATCGGTTTGATGATATAAGGTGGGTTGCGGGATTGAACAGGTGGCGATGCCTCAATCCAGTTCACGACACCTCGACCATCTGACTTCCATCTTGCACTGAGTTAGCTCATGTTGTGCTCAGGAGAGGAGAAGGTTTATCTTACCTGAACAGTTCATTTCTATCATCGGCAGTCTTGAGAAAGTCTCTCCACTCCTGGGTAGTAAGCTGAATGCCACCGAACAATAGAATATGGTTTAGCAGTGTGTTCTCCGGCATGTCAAAGTTCATTGTATCAAGACACAAACGTCCTTGGCCACGATTTCTCAGGAGATAGCCTCTGATCTCCTCGTATCGGGGCAAGAAACTTGAACACTAGCTTCTGTGGGTGGCCCGGTTCCGGTTGGAGATGAGACGTTGAGATTGGGATTATTGACAAACAATACTCTTTTATCGGCCCGACTTGTCGCTTTGTCGGCAACAAGTTGCGTCATTTTCGCTCTGCGGCGTCTGTCGTTCTCGAAGTTTGTTGCAGATAGTACAGAGGGAGACATTGAAATATCCAGGTCAATCAAGTCCTTATTGTGTTCCTGGGTATTGAAAAGGTTGACTGTTCCATACTGAACGCTAAATCTGCTACCGAGGCATTTCGGACCCATTTTGATGGCATCGGTATAACTTCTTGCATGCACCGTCCAGAAGTCTTTATGGTTCAGAGACTCGAAATAAGGTAGTGGTATTGGATAAAAATCGACGACATCCAAGTTTTTAGGGAGAGGAGGAACTTCGGGCCCAACCAAAGTATGAAGGTGAGTATAGTTGTTCAGCCATGAGTAGTTATAGCAGCCCGCAGAGGAGAGTCCGTTGCCGGCATTGTAGGGTGGTATTTGGATCCCTGAAGTAATAGAGTCGGTAACGCCACCTAAGATCTGCTCATATTAGCAGAAGAACAATCGAATATGGGGCAATATTGTTTAGACTTGCCACTTCTTCCTTGGCGAAGCCCAACTCAGCTAAGCATTGATCCTCAAAATACGGCTCAACATCATCGGCCGTTTTGCCTTGTAGCTTGCAGATTCTTTTCCAGACTCCATGCTAAGATATGTTAGCAAGTTCTTTTCAAGACGCAAAATTATACGCTTCTTACGGAAATCTCATGAACAAGAATAACCGCTACTCGGAACTCGTCAAGCATTCGTTCTGCAGACAGGAGATCATCTCTCAGCAATGGCTCCAAAACCTCCAAAGCTAGCTCAACCACTGCTCGATCAGTTTCTGATTCGTGTCGAGTTCTGCCATAGGCAAACGTATCATCCGGTAGACCGGTAAAGATCGATGTTTTTCAACTTTCAATTGTAAAATCGATCTCCTCGAAAATATCCTGCAGTTGTGTCCTAAACCCTGGCCGAATACCGCCTTGAGAATTCTTAGCGGCAGGAGGCGCCCGAAGACGAAGGAGTTGGTTTCCTTTCCACTCATCTGGTATGTTGTTCTCTATGGAGCTGTACTGCCCATCAACCATGGTTGACCACCTGAAAACTGTGAGTGTTACGAGATAGCCATAGGTGGAGAAAGATTACCAAGAAACGAGCTCGTGCTGTTCTATGAAATGACTTGCCAGTCTCAAGCTTGGCTGTAAGATTCTCCAGACTCGATCATCGCTAGCCTAGGGAGCATGAGTTTAGAAATTCAGACCAGGTTGCAATAACTTACACACCAGTATCCATTAAGATTACCAGGTAAAATTTGAAATGGAACACTTGCAACAATCTTCGAGCGCCACTTGTCTCGCGTAAACAGAGGGTTGATCGGATTGTTAATAGGCATCCCGAAAGTGAAATACATGGGCGCAAATGCATTCATATCCCGCAACTCATTCGTCGAGAACTTAAGGAACGTGGCCCTCTGATAGTTCTCGTATTTCTCATTTTGCTTTTGCTGATTGGCAGTGGTGGCTAATGTCGGAGATGGAATTGGTGTGAGGCCAGACTTTCCTGTCCCCGCAAGCGGTTTGTGCTTTGGACCAGTAGGATGTACATACTTGCGTGCCAATTCTGTCAAAGCCACCTTACGTGAGGCTTTTCCTGATGCTGTATTCATGATGATGCAGAGACAGTCTCGTGACCAGAGGAGATCGGAAATTTCTAGTCCACAAACTGTGTTAAGTCAAGTTATCTTTGCATCAAGGATGCTAGGATGATCTGTTGAAAGTTTTAATGTCTTTGATCTCATTGTACACATGTCAATGCGTTGAAAGGAAGATTGTCGAATCCAATTCCGGTAGATTGGCTACAAACAAAGAAACAAGTTTAAATCTGACAGTGATACAAAGGATTCAGCAAGAACGAATATCAATAATCAAATGGGTATCAATCAATACATATTCTGTCTGATCTATAAACATCAAGATCGCTCCCGTTTCGCCGGAATGTCCCCGAAAAGACATCCTAATTAAGCGAATCTCCATCTATCACAAGAATTCAAATAAAATCTCTATCTATCTCTAAGAATATCACAGGCCTATAGCAGCTCTCATTACCCTTCCGATCCTCTGCTCATAGTTCCCTGCCGAATCGCTCTCCCTCTTCTCCACACCAAACTTCACATCCCCGTCCGCGTCCAAACTTCTCGGCACGGAAGTTGGCTTACAAACAGAAGTCGTAGAAGTCTTCGTGACATACACCACACTTGTACTCGTTACTTTCGCTGTACTAGTCACCACTGAGGTTGACGTAAGCGTCATTCGGGACGTCTCTGTTGTATGGGATGTGGATGTGCTGGTTACCGTCACGTGAGACGTTTCTGTGGTCCGGGACGTCGAGGTTGTGTACGAAGTTGAGGTCGTGACGCTGGTACTGGTTACAATATGTGTAGATGTAGTCGTGGAAGAGCAAATTCCTGAGGTGTGGATGGAGACTGAGGTTATGTAGATTATGGCTGTTGGTGTGACGCAGTATCCGGATGATATTGATGATGCCTTTGACGATGTTACACTAGGATGGGAGGAGCTGGATGTTTTGGATGATGCGGGTGATGATCCAAAAGATGTTGTCCACGGAGTTGAGGAGCTCAGTGAGAGAGTGCTGGAAGCCAGCGATGACAACACTTGCGAGCTTGACGCTAAAGACAAAGACGTTGAAGATGAGGACAGAAGTGAAGAGCTACTAGCAGACGAGAGTGTCAGAGAAATGTAGATAGATAACTTCGAAGACGACAAGCTCGTTTGGAGCAAGGTAGAAGACTGTAATAAAGAGGCTTGCGCGCTTGTGGAAATCTCTGTAGAAGATATGCTTGAAGCCTGACTAGTTGCACTAGACAGAGGTATCGTTTGGGAAGTCCCACTCGAACTGAGTATTTGAGACGTCATCGAGGCTAGATTTGAGGATGTTGAGAGCGAAGATAACGTGCTACTTGGCAATGAGCTTGAACTCAGCGGAAGGGAGTTGCTTATCGAGGTAGAAAGAAGACTCCACGTGGTGCTGGCAAGCGAGGAAACTATAAGAGAATTCAACTGTACTGACGTTGAAGGGGATTGAGTAGAGCTCAACACCACACTACTAGAAAGAGAGTCAGCGATTCCGTCAATCACCGGAGATTCTCTGGAAGAAGACAAACCTGGAACTGGGACCCGGAGTACTCAATGAGGTTGAAAAATCAGATTGACTTATTGAGATTTGGCTCGTGCTTGTCGGGATAATTGAGAGTGCAGATGTCGAGATGGAGGAAGGCAACGGGCTGATGACCTCGCTCGTACTTGTCGGCATAGACGTATCGGAAGATGTGGATGATAAAGGAACAGTCGTCGTAGTTGTTACCGTACTAATCAAGCTGGATTGCACTGCAAGAGTGGAACTTGAGCTGGCGGGATTACCCAGGGAAGAACTCGGCAGGGAAACCACAGGGCAAGATTGGACATTGACAACGTTAGTGTCCATCGTGACCGTTGCCTCTAGAGCAAAGGCTCCCCCATTTAAAACAGCAGCCGTGTTCATTGTAATCGAGGCCCCTGCAAGTATGTTTCCTGAGAAAGAACTTCCAGCTCCGAGCGTGGCGGATGTTCCCACAGCCCAGTAAACATTGCATGCTAGAGCACCACCTGAAATCACGACACCCGAGCCTGCAGCGGTAATGAGCGAAGTTCCAATCTGAAAGTACCAAGCATCGCTGGCAGAACCAGTGCCCGCAAGCGTCAAGATCCCAGTGATGGCCGCGGACGTGCTGAAACTGTATGTTCCTGGAGGCAGGCTCGTGCCACCTAGATCACCAGTGAGGATAGTACCTCCACTCAACCCAACCAGATCGTTGTATGTAGAAGTAGCATCGCTGAGTGCATTCGTGGTTTGACCGCCAATGAACTCGGTCCCTGTGTATACACCTGGTGGAAACCCTATGATAGAAGTGCCCGCTGTACCGATGTCGCCGGTGATACTCGTTGGTCCAGTATTGGTGATACTAGTCTGACTGAGGACCCCGAAGGACGCTGCGGATTCTAGATTTATCTCGACTTGTTAGATCCTGAACAATTAAAACAAGGGTTGGGTATACTTGAGCTGAGCTCAAAGCTGCACTAGCTAAAAGAATTGAGAAGGCTAATCTCATGGTGGACTTTTTCGAAGAAGGATGTTGGTTATTATGGGGAAGAATCCAAAGTGAGAGGGATAAAGCTTGCTATGAGAGCAAGGATGCGCAAGCAGGCCACAACTTATAGAAGGGGCAGACATCATGTTGGACGTAAACTGGCAGCAGAACGAAAGAAAATTTCAATTGTTTAGACGAAGGCATATGGTAGGTCAATTGCTCGAGCTCAGATACTCAATATTGCTAGCCGTGATTGCAACCAAATGCAGACAGCTTATCTCGTATTACCGCCTGCTTCACTCCTGCAAGCGTAGTGATGAAGATAAAAATCCAGTTGTACGACTGTCTGTAGAACAAATATGTCTCGACGACAACATCGAATGATGCTGTTGCGTGGGAATTTGCCAAAAGTCTCATTGGTTGAGACATTTGGCGCATGCATCTTTTGCAGAGAGAGTGGTGTTCTCGAAGATAGCTTTTCGGAAAGAGGATACAAACGAATACTTCAGCTGCACATTGTGCTCAACAACTCAATTAGGGATTTAATCTTATAACTTGCGCTTTACGACGCCAACAGTCAATCAAGGCATCACTCGCGTGAACCTCGAGGAAGATCATCAGGTCCCGTAGATTTTAAGCCCAATGAAAATGGTGTGCCTTGAACAACAAGCGATTTAACCAAATGGGACAGAATAAGAGGGGCCCATGACATCACTTAGGTCTCAGACCCTTTGAATGGCGTTTATCGAAAAGTCCAACTGAGACATTCGATAAAGCAACATCGAGAATCTCGACGGCTCAATTGAACGGTGAGCAGCATGCGGGATAAAAGCACCAACCGTAATTGTCATACGGTCTTCTGGCAATCAACAGCTGAGATGGGCCCGTTGCAACAGGTGCCGTAAGAATGCCGAAAGTAAGCAATTGATGGAGGAGAAGTGGGAATGCGAGAAATGAAAATTTTACGTCTCGGCAGCCTTGGCGCCTGATTCAAGGCAAATCACGGGGATTTGGTAAAGTACATCAAACTCGCAAAGAAAACAGAGGGCATACTAGAGTCATTGTAAACGGGATACTGGCGCAGAACTACTCTCTTATGTGATAGGGAATGAGTCTCAAAATGTCGAATCAAGCACGTGACATGTCCATCTTAGAGGCACGCTCGGTTTGTCTCGAAGTCAACCGAGGACCAATAAAAAATAGAGCCTCTTTAAGAACTCTCTACAATTTATTGCACGTCGACGTTTAGAACTTTATTGCGACTACTCAACTCCAGAAGAAGGCTGTGTCTAATTTTATTTTGGGTTGTAGATTTATTAGTACAATCCTTCGAATCCAAGCAATCGAGCATCGCGAGCAGAGGAGGTTCCTAGGAATTCCACCAACTTGCTAAATCGTATTTCATAAAATACTCTCTGTGTCTTGTTGCGACTCACCACCGTTGGGAATAGTAAGTAATTGACTGCTGCTGGTTCTTACTATTGTCTTCCCTCATAAATTCATCACCCCTGAATTAAGCGAGCGACCCTCCTATTGTCCCCATCCTGCTCGCTTATATTGACGCCGTAATAAACAGTACGAAGCTTTACAACTCACCAAATCGAATATTTGACAATGCTAAAACCACAGTATTGTGAGAAATCGGAGCGCTGCGAGCATTTCCCTCCAGATAATTATATAATCTCACCTGTTCTCACCTGTTTCCCTCCTTTCTCCCAAGCTTCGACAACACTCTCAATTCTCATACCAGCAGCAAACTCAAAGCACTCCTCACAGCCAACATCAACCTCACCACCATCCAATTCTCTTCATACCACCACCATCACCACCACCATCATCATGCCCGTCTCAAACAACACACGATCGAAGCACGCCGGCGTCTTCCTCGTGCTTCCCAATCCCCCCTGACGTCACCGACAACGAGCCAATCCACGCTCATCAGAGGCAGCGCAGTCACAGGTACCAGAGTGGTTCCAAGGTTGGAAGGGGAGGATCCATTGGGAGGAGTTCGAGTGGGACGATATGAAGGAAGAAAGATTGGCGAAGAAGAAGGAGGAGAGAAAGAGACAAGCGAAGAAGCGGGGGATCATTGGGGCGGCGGCCCGGAGCAAGAAGTGGAGGGAGGGACGACAGGGAGCGATGGTGGCTTTGTGTGGACGGGACAGGGGAAGATTCGTGAAGCAGTAACTTTTGGGAGTGGAATGAATAGACTGTGCTTTCTGTGCCTCTGACAATTTGATATAAAATATGCATGTGAGATCGTGAAATGCTGTGCAAAATCCTTGATTGCTGTCTTTCCAATGCAAACCTGATAATCCAAAATAAACCTGGCCGCAAGTACTGTACCATCACAATCCACTCACCATCAACTCCAGATGTCTCGTCAGCCCACGACCAAGCATCGCACTTCAATGCTTTCACGAGATACTGCTCAACCAACTTGAGAAGGATCGCGAAAAGAAGCATGAGCACAACAGTTTCCACCCTCCGCTCTGCTATCAAAACACTGCAACAGAAGCACCTCATCCACCTTCATCCCACTCAAGTACCAGAACTTCTGTTCATCCCTATGCTTCACGCCATAAGTCTCTCCAATCCGATCTGGATAGACATGGGTAATTTTAATTAAGTCCTTTTTTCTCATATTTTTCGAATCCGCAACTGCAAGGTGATACTCCAGAACTGGCCCTTTGAGAGGTCTCCAGATATTGATGAGCCGAATCCGTTCGCCTTCGAACTTCTTTCTTGTTGCTTCGGGAACATGCATTTCGTAGCGCATCAAAGCTGCCTTGGGTGTTTGATCCACATGGACTTTGTTGACAGGCCGCTGCTGGGAACGATCATTTGTAACTTTGCGGATACAGTGATCGAAGATGAAAACTTCTTTTGCGCCACTGACTTGCTTTAAGATAAGGTTGATGATGGCGGGGTAGTAGGATTCCTCGACCTGGACTGGATCATCGAAGTCGAGTTCTATGTTCAAAGGCTCATGCACGGGTTGGAAAGAGTTCTGGTCTAAGGAGAACTCGGCTTCGTGGCCTCGTATGTCCTGAATCATGACTTCAACTTCATCATGGCCGTAGTTCTTGGTTCCTGATCCTGAAGGGTGAGTGACGTGGAACTCTGGCTTAGATCCATCCTTTGGAGGAGCGTAAAAGTGTAACGTACTTCGGACAGAGTTTGATCAGACCATTGGAAGTGTAGAAAGATTGGTAGCAAAGTCTTCTTGGAAATACAATGATTTTAAGTTATGAAAACATTTGAAAGAAGTAAGGAGACGCGACTTAAGCTGCCAAGCGAAGGAGTAGCTGTGGTAATTGGGCCCATCTTGTAAGGTGAATACCTTCCGCAAAGAGGACCAGTGCTCCAAAGAGAGCATATAAAAACCATTTGGGGATCTTGGCTCAAGCTCTTCAGACAACTACCTCTACCACCAAGAGCCAGCTTCGTCTTCAAAACTCTCAAATCAGCTTCTCAAACAACACATCTTCACAATGTCTTCAAAATCCACCCTTCCCTACGCAACCCGCGCAAAGTACCACTCCCACCCCGTTGCAAGACTCCTCTTCAGAACCGCCGTAACCAAGAAATCAAACCTAATCCTCTCAGCCGACATGCTAACTACAAAGTCCCTCCTCGACCTCGCAGATCGTAAGTCCTCTTTCCCCTTCTTCCTCCCTCCCTCTAACAATCCCCGCAGTCCTCGGCCCCGACATCGCCGTCTTCAAAACCCACATCGACATGATCTCCGACCTCGCCCCCTCCACAATCACCTCCCTCAAAGCCCTCGCTACAAAACACGACTTCCTCATCTTCGAAGACCGGAAGTTCATCGATATCGGAAAGACGGTCCAACACCAGTACCACGGTGGCGCTCTCCACATCTCCGAGTTCGCACACATCGTAAACGCCAGTGTGCTCGGCGGCGAAGGGATAATCGATGCGTTGGAACAAGTGATTCGCTCTCCCGCCTTTCCGTATAAGGATGAGCGTGCGCTGCTTATTCTAGCGGAGATGACAACTGAGGGATCGCTGGCTAAGGAAAGTATACCAGGGCCAGTGTTGCGATTGCGAGGAAGTATCGAGATTCCGTGATTGGGTTTGTGGCTACGAAGACCCTGAGCGATGTTTCTGGTACGAGGGACCACGATGAGGATTTTGTGGTTTTCACTACGGGTGTGAATGCCAGTGTTGAGGGAGATAGTTTGGGACAGCGGTATCAGACTCCAACACAGGCTGTGAAAGGTGGCTCGGACTTTGTGATCGTTGGGAGGGGTATCTATGCTGCTGAAGATCCGGTTGAGGCTGCGAAGATGTATCAGAAGGAGGCTTGGGATGCGTATTTGGTGAGGACGGGTCAGAAGTAAGGCGACTTGCTTTGGAGGTTCTGGTAGTGAAATAAAAGCGATGATTACACCAGCTTAATGAGAAGTGTAAAGTGAAAGAAGTGAGATGGCTGTCGGTTTTGGTGCAATACCCTTCTGCTTGGGTCCCAAGCTGAACAGCGCACACAGCGCACATAGCGCAGATAGCGCAAATCAGTGCAGAAAACTGAAACAGAAGGGAAGCATTTCTCGAGGCATGTCTATCTATATTAACACAAAATGTGAGTCTTGACGTAAAAGAGGAGTTCAAGCAATAGGATTCTTCGTCACCCCCCCAAGCAACTCACATAACTTCATCATGTCATCACATCCATCCAGCCCTAAGCACAATCTCTCAATTTCGTCCCTTGTCTCATCATCAATAACTCCCTTCATCAACCCCCTATACTTCTCCACGATCTCCCCATTCGACAACTCAGGATCCACACCCCTCGTACTGACAACATGCGCTTGAATCGTGGTTCCATCCTTGAATTTGAGCTCCGCTTGCTGCTCAAATCCTTTCCACTCCTTATTCAGCTTACACTTCATCTTCTCAACAAGACCCCAAGTGACGTCGCGATCAAGCATATCTTGCCGGAATTGTTGCGGCATGACCTCCTTATCAACCATCTGAGTAACTGCCACATACATGCAGCTCATCTGTGCACCGACGCTCGTGAGTGGACGCTGGACCTCGAATCCACCATGGGAGTACGACACATCACCCATCTCAAGCGTGATGCTTTCGATATTATCGAGGTCTTGCATCTTCTCTTTATCCTGCTCTTGGAGGTTCCTGATGCAGTCAATCGTAGGATGTGTAGCTGCCATAGCTGAATAGGGTTTCAGCTTCACGTTCTCTGTCTTCCATACACTTCCCAAACCAGCTGTGAGTTCATCAATCTTGAATTGAGGATCATTCCCATTTCCTTTGGAGAACATGTCCAGAAAACCTCCGAATTCGCGCTCGTAGACTTTCTTGATACCGATATAGCCACCTCGAGCGAGAAGTGCTGCCATCAAGCCGTTGCGCGAAGGAAATCCGTGTTGCATTCTCTTTACTTCACTTTCAAACTGTGCCGACATGAGTCCGCATGCTTGGGTGCAAGCAATACCTAGCGCATCCTCGACTTGCGCAGCATTAAGGTCGAAAAGCTTCGAGACTGCAGCAGCGGATGCCGAAGGGCCAAAGACGGCGCCGGAATGCCAGCCTTGAGTCAAGATGTATGACCCGTGCAAGGCATTGCCCACACGAGGCCCAGTTTCCAGACCAACAAGGTAGGAAAGGAGAAACTGAGGACCCGAGACTGGCGACTTGAGCACCGGAAAAGACGCGAATAGAGCAGGAAGAAGAATCGAGTTGCTGTGGAGCGGAGCTTCGGAATGCCAGTCGTCAAGTTCAAACCCCTGTATGAACGTGCTATTGAGCAGAGCAGCTGTGAGAGGACTAATTTTCTGTGGTCTTGTCAGTATATAAACACTTGGATTCTGAATAAGCGACTTACTTTGTCCCAGCCAAACAGTGCACATTGACCAGGGGTTTCGATATCGAGGAAGACATTTACAGCTTTCTCGGACCATGGGAGATGAGCACCAACGAGAGCGCAGCCTATGCCATCGAGGATAAGGTATTTGGCACGTATCTGAACACTCTCTGGGATATCTGACAATTGGACAGAATCAATCCATGAACAAAGCTTGCCTGTAGGACCTTCAGGATCCATAGGTTGACTTGACTGTGCCATATTGAAGATTTCCTAAATTGGAGAGAATCCGATGAGCGAAAATTGAGGAGAGGATGCGATGTGTAGAGCTTCGTTGTTTCTTTTGCTTGGATTGTGAACCCCAAAGTGGAGTGCTCGCTCGGTGACCTAGAGTGAAGAGCGTTGGTGAGTGGTGATGAGTCCTAGTTAAACATACTTCGAGTTCTGGAAGGACGATATATATCCATTTCTGTATATTCGAATCGTGAAGGAAGATACGGCAAGCCGGAAATCGTCATAGGCGAATGTTTATGTCAAGCACCGTTCGCGGGCCGAAGTATGGGTCACATGACTGAAGCTTGAGCAACGAGCGGAGAGATCGTTGTGGTTAATCTATTCCGTCATATCACTGAGTTGATTTATATTGGTGTTACTACTAAGTTCCAGCCTAAGTAGCAGTCCAGGGAGGATACGAAAGAGAGTTGGAATCGATGTCGACGGGAAGGAATGCAGGAAAGCCAACGTCCCAAATCCAATCGGGGTCAGGCATCCCAAAATTGAAAGGATCATTCCCCAGATCAGGTGGTATTCCGTCTGGTAGAGGCAAGTGTCTAATGGAATTCGATTGATCTTCTTGGTTCGGCTCACCATTCAGATCATCGCCAACTTTTGCACATGGTCAGTTTGTAATTGATGGAATTATGGTGTATCTCACCAGAGACTTTGGACTCCATCGTGACTGGATGCATGTCGGATCTTCTTCCAAATTTCTCTCTCCATTGCCAAAGCGCATCGTGGAGTATGCTAGCTCCGAGTCTGCTTTTGACACTGAGACTCGGCTCTTCGTCTTTCCTCACTGATATTGATTGATGAACACCCCACAATTGTGTCAAAACAACGCAGACTCTGTATCGGACGTCGTTTTCTTGCACGGAGGCACTTTGCATCAGTGAGATGACGGAATTGAATGCTCGCTCTCCTTCATCTGCATCGATATATTTGGCATAGCTTGAATGAATGATTTTCATGATCAACATGGCTGCCATGGACAAGATATGGTTCCATCCGTCGGGTGCGTATCGCGTAAAGCCCCAGGAGCTTTCTGCGTTGGCACATTTATTTATCAACGTAAGTGCTGTGCAATACGCTTTTAAGATACCCTCTCTGCGAGCTTCCGGATTGTGCTTGACGAAGAAAAAATACGTTCGGAGTTGTAGTGATGCCATCAACAATAGAATTTGGTGAATTGCTAGAATACATCAGAATCGATACTTGGCTTGATGTCTGCAACCTACATGTAATTTTGTGGCCAATTTGACGTTCCAGATCTGCAAAATCTGCCTCAAGCATTGCTACGAGGATAAGACCTTCGTTCTCATCGGATTTTCGTTCGCGTTCAGCCATCACGTTGTTGGCTTTGGCAATAAATTTGCAAATGAGAAGGTGGTAGCGAAGATTATCAGGCAGCGTATATTGATTATCCAAAATACATGCTTGATCAATGACCCAGTCTGAAGGCAAGACGGACTGCTGACCTATACTTGCGGAGACACTGGATCACACTTAGCATTGGCTTCCAACACAAGAAGTTTGACCTACCATTGAGATGCAATATAGCATCCTGCCCACAGTTTGACAGCTTTTTGAAACTGCACTGGATCCAGTCGAGTCTTGACACGAAGAAAGTCTTGGACAACCTCTGGACGGTGAAGTCCGAGCTGCATCGAAGCTGTTTTCGCCATGTTCACCAACATAAATGATATGTCAGTAGTCATGGAATTCGTCGGGAATGGCCACAAAGATATGAGCAAGATAGCTTGAATAGTGTAGCGAGAATGAGGCATGACTGAGATAGTGTTCCAGATTAGACTCGTTACATGTTGACTTAGAGACGATAGCAGCTTCGGTCGTTTATCATAGTGTCGAGCTGCTACACTGATGATAGCCCAGAAAAGTAGAGGCGATGAAGCATAGCATGATTCGGGTGTAAGGGAAGAATCAATAATGTCGAGAAAATGATGATGGTGCTCGAAAAATCTAAGCTAATCAATATTTGGTCAGTGCATGTGGGGTGATGCTCACATTTGAAATAGATCCTTGATTTGTTCGGGGGAAAGCTGGACAAAACCAATACTTCTTGCCTGATCTGCCGTGTGCCTATCTTGTGAGATGTCTCTTGGTGGCGAGAATGGTCGCTGTCCTGGAGGAGCTGTGTTTAGGGAGACTTCTGGTACATGGATTGGAGAATCCTGTGGTGATTGCCCCTGTTGCAGATGTGGCGGGTCTACTATCTGGCGAGAAGTGTAGGAGAGTCCAGGCCCCAGTATAGGCTGTGCTGTTGATGCTCCTGATCCAGTGACCGATGAACGTAATCGTTCAATTTCCTCTGCGAGATCGTTGATTCTGCTGTGGGTAGTTAGTCCAGGGTCTTCACGATGGAAAGGCTAAATGAACGAACATTTTCTTGTTGTATCTCTTGTATTCTGTCTCAACTCGACATTCCAAGGATAGTTTCCGACATCGAGCACAAGGTTCAGCTGTGTTTGATGACTTATCACATTTCAGCTAGAAAGTGAGAAGCTTGCGGTTAGCTATTGGATCATGGCCATTGAAGCGTTGCTCATCGGGGAGAGCGTTCTGAGTAATCACCTTGGCTTGCCGGCACTCTCTGCACGCTATGCGTTTCTGCTTTTTTGGGTTACTGCGGTCGGGTTCTGGACTTGATGATGCACGTCTTCGCGGAGACTTGGAGGCCAGGGCTTGTGGTCTCCGAATTGAGTCTTCCATTTCCAGTCACGAGAGAATGGACAAAGGAGATACTACTGATAGAGAGATGAAATGCGAATGCGGGCCGTAACGCTACTAGCAAATAGGACGTGGACTAGGAAATGTAGAGGAAGACCAGAAGATAACAAGGAGAATAGGAACGGCGTGGTGATGCCCGAAAGCGGCCCGAGAACTCAAGGGCGAATCATACGCGAAAGTTTCTATACTGAAGAACAGTATCGCGGATCACTGATACGGGACTGACTTCCTGTCATTGAGAAAAGGGTGAAAACAGATGAAATAAAATATGTACTGCGCATCAGATTGGTTGAACAGTTGAAAGAGTGATTTGGTGAGAGTCAAGTCAAGTGAGTTTAAACTGTAGGTGCAGGGGCTCTCACCGCTTTCGTAACCAACATGATTCTGCCAACTCGCCGCGATTTTCGATTTTCCAACATCATGTCGAGCAAACGACAACACTTTTGGAACAGTCGGCCCAATGAGGGTAATGAGGGCCTTGCGACTTGTGCCAAGCAGACGCCTCTCTCCCACTCCACGGACGTTAATTGGATCACCATGTCGCCTGACATCGATGCTATCCAATGCTGAACGATTGGAATCTCGTCCTTTCTCATCGACGGTCGTTAGGAGCTCCTTCAAAAATGGACGTGACCAAGAATTCGAAAGGCTCGCGGAAGATTTCAAAGCAAAGAAGGAGCGTAAGAAACGACGAAGGGAATGGAGGAGGTATTACCTGTACATGGGATTTTTTGTCCCTGCCGGGATTTTCTGCCTCTGGTTCGATACCACTTACGACTCGAGTATCTGGAGAGGCCGAACACCCACCCCATTTACGATTGTCAAACGAGAGAATGTCTCATCAACCGCTTTCATACTGACCGTCCGGCCGCAGGTCAGTCAGCACCACCTACGCGACAACGATCCATATTCAGAGTTTTGGAACTTTGGGACTTGGGCTGTAAAGATCGTGCAACCCGAATTGCAGATTTCCAGATACTATACCCCTCTTCCTCCTCTCGACACCGATAGATCCGAAAAATTACGATTCTTGATACGTAAAATAGAAGACGGAGAGGTCTCGGTGTATCTGGATCGCCTGTCTGTTGGAGGGAAGGTGAAGCTGTATGAACCAACCGGCACAGCTGGGTTGAACAGCTCGGACGATGTTACAGATGTCGTTTTTCTAGCTGGCGGTACTGGCATCGCACCGGCAATGGGCTTTGCGTACAGCTTGCTAGAGAGGAAACATGCGAATGAAGGTCCAAGGATACACATTCTATGGGCAAACAGGAGAAGGGAAGACTGCTTAGGTGGTGATAGCCATAGCGGTACAACACCAAGGGAAGGTATTCGAAGGAATCGACTCGTCAAAGAACTGGACGATCTGCAACAGAAGCACCCGGATCGGTTGTTTGTGGATTACTTTGTTGATGAGGAAGGAACAACTATTGATGCGAACAGAATTTGGCAGGCTACGAAAACCACATCTGCCCAATCTGGCACGCCAACCAAAATGTTGCTTGTGTCCGGTCCAGAAGGCTTTGTGGATTATTTTGCTGGAATGAAGAAATGGGAAGATGGTGAACATAAGCAAGGGGATGTAGGTGGCTTGCTTGGTCGAATGAGACTGGAGGGTTGGAAGGTTCTCAAACTTTGAGATCCATATGCAATATGAGGCGAACAAAAGTCACTCGCGAAACCCAACATTTGGTCCTCAATTTCAGGTTGGCGAACCAACATTACTAGACATAGTGAATAATGGTTAATAGAGTCTGTTATAGTATGCCTGAAGTCCTTTCCACCCACCACCCATTTAATACTTTCTGTGCTTCGAGTGCTGACCTCGTTCTTCCGAACTACCAGATCCCCTCAATCCTACCATGGAATCGGTCCATGCCTATTACTATAAGTACCCGTCTCTCCATCCTTCCCCGCCGTCGCCAACCTCACCGCATTAATCGCTCCAACCTCAACCGACTCTCCATGCTCAGTATACCCATTCAAATTCGTCCTCACCAACCCCGGACACGTCACATTGATTTTCCACCCCTTCTCCCTATACCTCGCCGCATACACCCTCACCACCATATTCAGCGCACTCTTCGTGCTCCGATAAATCGGATACTCATCCTCAACCATCATCTCCCCAAACGAGCCCAGGATACTCGTCACAAACACCGCCCGCGGCACCTCAGCTTTCTCTAGCAGCGGCACGAACGTCTCGAACACTTGCATCGCCCCAAAAACATTCACGTCGTAGTTCTCGCGCATCACTTCTCGAATCGAGGATCCTGGTCCGGGTTGATATTTGTGATCGATGGCAATCCCAGCGTTGTTGATCAGTACATCGAGGCGTCCGAATTTCTTCTCTACTAAAGCTGCGGCGGCGGCGATGGATTCGTCGCTCGTGACGTCGATAGTGATGGGTTCTACGTTCTCTGCGTTGAGTTTTGCAGCGGCTTCTGAGCCGGACTTGGGATTGCGGCTCCCAAGTAAGATGTGGTAGGAGGGCTGTTCTTTTGCGAGTTTCTTAACGGTTTCGAGGCCGATTCCTTGGTTTGCTCCTGTAACTAGGACGATGGTTTTGTTTGTTGTTGTCATTTTGAAGGGTTGACTTTTCGACTGCGGATTTCTAGTGAATACGTTGTAGTGTCTTTCTGAGACAGAAAACCAAATGAGGTTCTATCAACAGTTTGGATTATCTTGTATTTATACTTGTTACTTGCTTTCTTCCATTTTCCCATATTCGGTGTTACCCGCGTCAGTGGTGTTGCATTCCATTCTGTGCTTTCGGACATAAAGAAGTCCTTAACACCGCATTAGCCTAATACTTGACAAGTGACGCTAATGATGCATCCAAGAAGGCATTAGCGAGTGTAACTCCGGACGATGACTAAAATTCAAAGACGGACATATCACTTCGTTCACGGCCGCAAAATGGGGAAATTTTCGCGAAGTTCCGTGACGGATTGCCAAATTTCTCGCCCAGTGGCTCATGGAAAACTCAGTGTGGTGTTATCGACCCTCTCTTCTCGTCTTCTGCCTGTTATCAAATGATTCCATCTTTTATTCTTTTGCTGGTAATGAATTTGGACAGACAGAAAATTCAAGATTCTAGATCTTTGCACAAATATAACTTCGCCGGAGCGATTCACTTCCTTTGATATGTTTGCTTGACAAAGTCAGCTTCTGGCCTTCAGCGCCTGCATCAGGATCCTGCACCAATCTCCTTGACATGTTCATCTTCTGTGCCATCATCGACTCCGTTGTATAGCAATCAATTCCTATCAGCAAGTCCCAATTCTAAATCTAAATCTATCTTTTTTCTAACCAAAACCCATCCTTCTAACACTCCTCTAACAACTCTTCCTCCTTCTCCTCAGCGCGCCACTCACTTCCTGGACTACCGCCTTCACTTCACCCTTCGGTTGTATCTCCCTCACAAACCTGAAAACCTCCGCCGCCCCTCCAAATATACCCTTATCCCAACCACCCTCCTCCACAAAACAACTCTCAATCTCCTCCATCTCGTTAACCCACCTATAAGCCTTCTTCTGACTCGCCACAATAGCCCCATCGATCACCCTATGCAGCGCCGGGAAGTACTTCTCCATATAATCCCCCAACTCTTCCAGGACACCCAGATTATGCGCCGTGCTGTAAGCTTGGATTGAGATGGCAGTCAACCCTTTGTTGATGGCCGAGAAACACATTTTGAGCCCAGATGCGGCGCCGATTGATGGGCTGATATGGTGCATGTTCAGGAGAGAGGTGAGTTCGGATGTGAATGGAGATGAAGGGAAGTCGGGCCCAGAGATGGGAATTGAGGGGCGAAACCAGGTACCGTCGTCAAGCTGCTTGGATGGATAGGCGAGGATGCTTCCATCTATGAATGTGACTCCGGAATTTTCGATGACCAAAGATATATTCCGTGCGAGAGAGGGAGAGATGGCGTTCAGATCGATGAAAACCAGTTTGTCTTTTCGATCACGTGAGGCGATGCCGATCAGTGATGCGGTCCTTTCTGCTAACGACAAAGCATGACCTGGAGGGAGGACAGACAGAACTATCGAGGCTTCTGAAAGGAGGTCGAGGAAGGAGACATCCTTGACACCGGCTGCTTCTGCGCGAGCTACTGTATTGGGACTTCGGCCATTGAGGTCGGTGATAACCGGGTACGAATACTTGACCAAGAGGGAAGCTATTCCTAAGCCCATGTCACCCATGGAAATGATGGCTATTGTTGGTCTTGGAACAGAAGCATCGATGGCGTTGAGAGGTGGGAGAGGCGTTACTCCCACGCCCGGTGCGAAGATGTGAGGAGCTGGAGGGGCATTAAGTGAACCCATGGTGAGAGGTAATGACAGAGAAGACAGAATTTAGGAGAGCCAATAATAGCAGTGTGGGTGAAAGACTGAACTGATGGACGCCAGACGTTGAAAAAGAAAGCTTCTTAAAGCATTTGGCAACACGGAATCAGCTAGATGACTCCGACTAGGGGTACAATGACTAACTCAAATTACACTCATACAGAAAAAGAGACACAAACATTTGTTTTGGCAAGGTAAGCATCGCCGTTTCCCCTTCAGATCGGGGTTGTCTACCTAGGTACCTAAGAAGTGGGAGCACGGCATGCTGACAAAGCAGAAATGTGGGGTTTCGCAGCAGAAGTAAGTTTCAAAAACACCTTCATCTTCCAAAACAAACTGCATTGAAGCAGTTCGCATACATCACGATCGGAAGCTCATCGACGATGTGTTTGTCTTACCCGGATATCGCTCTGGTATGGAGTCCAGCAGCCGGGTAGCGCGACTGAATCAATCACAATTCACATCGACAAGTAACCCCAACAGTTCCTTCTTATGTCTCTATCCGCGACACTGGTGTTTCTTCTTCGATGGCACGGCACGGTACGGAATGTGATAACGAGCTGCTTCACATGCTCCGTCTTTCCGTATTGAAACAATGCGGGGAAAGTTTACGAATCACAAGCTGAGGTCCTCGACTCCTTAATATATGTTGTTATCGACGCCACAAGCCGCCGTCGTCAGTGGAGTCCAGACAAACACGGGAGACCGACCAAGAAACAAGCAAGACCCCTCGACTGTGGCTTTCTCATGGCGTTCACGCACCAATTAGCTTTTCCTGCATGCAAACTCGCTTCAACTTTCTGGCCAAGATCCAATCGTCCAAAGTTTAATACCTTCCCGCCTGCTCCGCTGAGTTTGCATGCAGATCATCTCCTGCATCGGCAAGTGCATGGCGCAACCGCACAGTCCAGATCTCGGAAAATATTGGTTGACAGTAGCAAAAGCTCGTGCAAAACCGATCTGACTGGTCTGTGCTATCTTGTCAGTGATGCTTTTGCTGCCAACCAGAACCAACATTTCTCTCTCCAGCCGAAGTGTGGTCTTGGTACCTCTATTTTCACTTTAGCAAGACTACACTAGGGGCATCTTCCGAAGCGGGAAGAGGAGAAGGATGAACCGCCCTGCGTCGACCACGTAAGACATGGCAACTGAATATAAACTCCTGGTGCCTCTCATCAGTGCTGGGGCAGCTGAGTTCAATCGGCCCAGGAGCTTACTTACAACTCTTCACAATGGTCTACATCAGCCCCATCGGACGCAATTGGGGACCCATTGTGAATTGGGACTCCTTGAGTAAGCTTTATGCCTCAATTGCCATTGCTTGGACTGCCATCCTTACCTTGGGTTCGGCATGGCTAATCAAGAATCGCCACCTGCCTTTTCTGAGGATTCGCAACATTCCTTTGGCGATTGCATCCGTTTGCTTCTTGCACGTATATTTGATTAAGATTCTTCTGGCATATACGACCAATGGACATTTTCTCTGCTCCGCCGAGTTTTGGATCATGAGCATCTACCTCCCCTTCGGCATCGCTCTGTTTCAGGCCAATATGGTGCAGCTACTGAGTATCAGCACCCAGCAAAGAAAGCTGTTGGACGGCGATAGAGCGTCAATTCGAAAACGATCCCGGAACGGCCAAGGTATTTCTGGCCTCTGGTCCCGGTGGCGAGCTCTCACAGCTCTTCAAAAGACATATTTTGGTATTGGGACGGGGATGTTCCTTCAATTTGTCATCACAGCAGCGATATATGGGACGAGTGCAAAACTACAGGGTCACTGGGGAAACATTGCCAAGCCTCAAGGACAAGCTTTGTGTCGCAAAGGGCCAGAGTGGTAAGTTCTACATCAGATCATGCAAGGATGTCCGCTAATGAAGTCACAGGATACCTTCCGCATTATGGCAATTATTCTGGTGCTGTATCTATGGACCATACCTACTATATAAGATTCGAAATGTTCACGACACGCATTATTGGCGGACTCAGACTATTCTCTGCGTGGTCTCAGGGTAAGACTTTCCTGGGTTCAATCTATGTGCCTCATACTGACGTGGTGGGAAGGTTTCCCGGCGCACCACTTTGGCTTGCAGCCGTTTTCACTCCTGGCACCGCATGGAAATGGGTCAATAGATACTATATTCCTCCAATGTGGCTCGCGCCTGGAATATTTGTAATGCAAGCCTGCACAATTTTCTTCCCCATCTACGAAGCCTATCACCAGCACCGCCTCAACATAACCACTACCAACATCCTCCGCACCTGGGAAGACAACAAAACATGGGACGATACAACCCTCGGCTCGGGTTCTCGTTCCTCCATTACAAACTACCAAACAAGCCCCAAGAAATCCCTCTCGACTGTAGATTCATCCAATAACAAAGATCAAGACCGAGCCAGGATGCCAATGTCTCAATACCGGTCGAACGAAATGTACACTACTGCTGCACTCGAGAAAGTCCTGCTTCTAAATCCAAATCCCCTTCTCCATTTCGCCGCAACGAAAGATTTTACAGCCGAGAACATACTATTCCTCCTCGCTGTCCGAGACTGGAAAGCAAAATGGAGTCGTCTCCGAGCATCTCCCTTACCCGAGCCCAAGCCTCAAGTGAAGAAAATGCTTTGGCGAGAAGCGATAGAGATCTACGCATACGGCGTGAGTGAACGATACGCTGAGTTCCCAATCAACATCGAGTGGAAAATCAGAAGCTCGTTGGACAATATATTTTGTGATGCGGTCGAAGTGTTGAGGCAAGAAATGGTTGAGAAAGATGAGGAAGATCCTTATTCACCTGTTGTTCCATTTGCGAACTTTCCTCCGCCTGAAATTGCGATGAAACCTATGTCGCCTACTACGTTAGCGCGAGAGGTGAGCAATGATTCTTCAACACAGGCCTGTACTGCGAATCACGAGGATATTGAAGCCGTGGGGAAGGAGAGCTACGAGAGTACGCAAGCAAGAGATAATGACGATGAAAAATTCATGGCACCGGAGGAGTTTAATGAGGGTGTCTTTGACGCAGCAGAGAAGAGTATCAAGTATCTTGTTGTTACGAATACGTGGCGGAAGTTCGTCACTGCGATGAGGGAAGGCGATCCGAGGGTTTCGGTTGAGACTTTCTCTTGAGCTAAGTGTTTGTTCAAGGTGAGACTGGAGTCGGTATTCTGTATCTTTAACGGCGTGTATGGCGTGGCTACGGTGGAATTGCGCGTCCCATGAATTTGGATTATTGAGACAACGAAGGAGGATACTGTGTCCTTGTATAAGAATAGCCAAAATAGATCACGAACCACGTTCTGTTATTTACCTAGGTGGGTATGGTAACGAATTGGGATGAAAGTAATAAAATTCATTATACATTTACTCTCTGGGTGCTAAAACCTTCTATGGTCAAGACATTTACTGCTGTCAATCTTTTAGATTCAATTATTTCAGCGCCCGCGTGAGGTAGCTGTCTTCTTGGTCAAAGTCAAAGTATAGTGAGGCATCAGGGCAGAATAATTGTATGCCGGGAGAAGAAGCGCAATATGAAGACGGTCGTGTGAGTGTTCGTTGTTTGAGCAAGTACGAGTTTCCAAGAGCGGGTCTTTATATACTATCTCTGTGGTTAATCGAGCGTACTTGTCATGGTTTCAACGTCGTAGCACTGAAGCAAAACATCACATTCAATCGTACCTATCAAAAGTTAGTGAATATCGTCAGTTGACGCTCTTGTGTGACAACTTTTCACTGCTATCCAATAAGTTCCTCAACTCGGAAGAATATGACGCAGGATCAGCACGGTCAAAAAATGACCCCACGTTACCCCGCCATCAGCCCTATATAAAAACCCCACCTCACTCGCTTTACTCACCTCACTCAAACAACTCCAACCAAATATCCAACAAAATGCCCCCCCTATCCAAAGACCCCATAACCCTCACAGGCGGCTGTTTCTGCTCCGCAATCCGCTACACAATAACCATCCCCTCTCTCTCCTCCCGCCCCAAAATCCCCCCCATGCCCTCCCGCGAACTCCACCCCCCAACCGAAATCTCCTCCCACATGCCTATGATCAGCCTCGATCACTGCACCTCGTGCCGGCGCGCGCCCGGCTCCATCGTCGAATGCTGGCTCATCATGCCGCAATCCTGGATCACCTTCTCTCTGCTCCCGAAATTCACCGACGCGCATCTCGCGTCCGCGGAGGAGTATATCCAGCCGACGACCATCGGGCTGCTGAAGGGCGAGGAGGAAATTATCGAGAGTACGTGGTTGAGGCATTTTGAGGGGAATGAGGGGAGTCATCGGACGTTTTGTGGGAGGTGTGGGACGCATCTTACGTTTCATTATTCGGGGGAGCCGAGGGAGATGAGTCGGAAGGCGGATTGGGGAGCGATTTTTGATGTGGCGGTTGGGACGTTGGATCAGGAGAGTGTGGAGGTTGAGGGGTTGAAGCCGAATTATACTGGTTGGGCTGAGTTGGGGATTGGGTGGGTTAAGAAGTTGTTGGCTGAGGGGGAGAAGAGTTTAGTTGATTGAACGATATGTAGGATTTGGGGATGTGACGAATTAAAGTTTGTGAGGGAGAGACTATGGAGTCTAGGCATGCAGATCTAGGAAATTATTTATGAGCTGTCTCATATGATTTTCAGATACAACAGAAAGTTGGGACGATTTAGTCACCGGATTTCAAGTCCATGTGCACTGATTTAGCATCACTACACATTTGATGAAGCGCTGATGACTTTTTATTTTTTTATCTTTTTTAAACATCGAGTAACTTATCGTTAAGGAACACTGTCATCAGATAATCAAGTAGGAGCCGTGGAAAACGATTGATGTTTCCTTGCTAGAAACTTCTTAGACAGGCATTACATACAGTAACAGAACCAAGAACGATAACAAGAAAATCATCCACCAAACATTCTATGAATGAATGCCTCTAACAGCATTATTCTATGTGATTCTATGGCATAAAAATCACGCCGAAATAAAACATTAAAGCACGACTTGATTGTTCGTTATAGATTCAGCCTCATGTGTCCACAGCGCCATAGCCTCATGTGTACGGTACCTAGCTCCATCTTCTGAGGCTCATTTGTCACTTCCCCAGTCTGGAAACCCGCTGATGATAAGTCCGAATAGAAAGGATTGGGTGAAACAGGATTTGGGTGCTGATTGTACGAAATTCTCCCCTCAATAGAGACAGTGAAAGTAGTAAAAGATCTCCTCGTGCAGGTTACATTGAGGCCGGGGTATCGCAAAGAGGTCGATTCATTGGAGAATTATCAAAATGGCCCCCAACCAATCCTGCCCAATTTCCCATCTTGGATCTTGGCGTTATTGGAGGCTGAAGGAGAGATCGACCATTGGAGTGCCACAGCGCAACATGCTTCTCAAGGAACAGGAGACAAGCGGGAACAGGTGCTGTCAATCTAAATTTCAGCCTCTTCAGTCCCTCGTCCCTCGACTTCTTTCTCTTCAATTCCTGGCCTTACTGTCGCATCATTGTTTATCAATCGCTCAAACATGTCTATCCTGTTCCTTTTCTGGGTCGCTGTGACCGTTGCATCTATTGTCAATGCAGCCGAGTTCACCATGACAGCCTCGCAATATGTCGGTGTGAAGACTGGAACGCCTTTCGATATTACCTGGGCCGATGCGACCGGTCCTGTAACACTGCTCTTAAAGAACGGGGCAGCAAACAACCTTCAGACTGTTGAGACAATCGCATGTATGTTCTTAGCAGTGTTTCACTTCCCAAATTCATACGCTACTATCGACGCAAACTATTGCTGATACTTGGGCAGCCGGTCTGACTGGAACGTCCTATAGTTAGACACCAGAAGCAACATTGGCATCTGGCACGTATGCTTTCGAGATCGACGACAGTGGAGGACCGAACTATAGCATACAGTTTACACTGGCGGGATCAGCGGCAGCAAGCTCAAGCTCAGTCTCTAGCCAATCATCAGTCTCTCAATCTCAGTCAACGGTATATTAGGACACTTGCAAAACGATACTCAAACCACTAACAACAGCAGCAGCAAGCCTCTAGCAGCATAATTTCAACCACCTCCGATTCTGCCATTTCAACCCCTTCATCCTCCTCAACTCTTTCACCCTCTTACAATCTCCTACATCATCCTCGATAACATCGTCCTCCTCATCTACATCATCGTTTGGGACATCCTCGCTTCAATCGACCTCATCACAGTCATCAACGAGCAGCTCTCAGACTTCGGCAGCACCTGCAACATCAAACACCTCCAGCAGCCAAACAGCAGCCCCCACCCCTTCCGGGCACAGCGGCCTCTCAACAGGATCCAAAGCAGCGATCGGCGTTGGAGTAACCTTCGGCGTACTTCTGTTCGCAGCCTTCGGAGCTTTTGCATTCTGGTACGGCAAACGAGCCGCGAGTCGGAAGAACAACGATAGCGGGGCGATCACCAACGATAAAGCGGAGCTCGGATCGGGTGTACCGAGACGGAGGGAGTTAGAGGATACAAGTATACCGCTGAACGACGAAGAGAAATCTGAGTTGGATCGAAGACGGAGAGCCGCGGAGCTGGAAGCGGGGTCTTCTCCTATAAGCCCGGTAGAGACGGTAACGGAGAGAGCAGAGCTAGAAGCTCTTCGAGAGAGGGGTAATGCACCTATTGAGATGGATTGAGATAAGCTTCGATCGAATGCAATTAGGGAAGACCTGTCTCATGTCCCGTCAGATAAGTGAGGACCTTGGGAAGCAAAGCTCGGTAAGGTAATTCACATTGTCTGTATGTGAATTGTGTCTCCCACAAGTAATACTTCCTCTCCTACATGCCTTGAAGATTGCATGCGTCTTATACATATGCTTATCTTCGGTAGATCCGCAATCCAGACCAGAAGCTGCCGAATTTCGTCTTATGCTCCGGTCACGTGCCGTGCTTCTTCAGAGGTCGTACTTTGCCGTCAGATTTTGTTGCACGTCTACAAACTCATGACGACTCTCAACTCATAATTTCAACTCATATTATGGCTTTCAGTTTGAGTATGAGTATGAGTATGAGCAGCAATTATGAGTTTTGAAAATTACGATACGCAACAAAATCCTGCCCCTTTAATCCTTGCGAGGCCGAAGATGAACTGTCTGCAACTGATGTGTGTATATAGATATCGGACTAAAGCCGATCGCCAAGATTTGAGAGAGTAAATTTAGAGTGGTAGTCCTTTTGTACAGTATATAACACAATACATTACTTGTTGCCATCTCGTAATTGGACATTTGGTCGGGCTTAGCCCAAGAGATGGCCAATCAAGCTTATCCCGCACGTTTGAAAGTCGAAGATACTCCACTGGGTCATATTTTCAAGTAAGAGGTAGCAGCCAGGTAGCCGGACTGAGGAACATGACTACGAGAGCAACGACTGCAGTGTGATGCAACATGCAATATTCGAAACCAGCATCAACAGAGTACCATGTTGTGTCAAATAACCAACAAACATGATCTGCAAAATAGACAGTGGTATGAGGCCAGGGAGCGTAACGAACTAAACAGTGGTCTGTTGCATGGATATGAAACAAGAAGCGCTGTCTCACTGGAGCCTCTTTGTAGCGATTCGATATCCTTTCATATGCCAGCATGCTCATTGGCCTCGACCTCACCTTGAATCAACTTGCGCCTCCTCCTCTCTGTGTAACCAACATGGACAACAACTTAGAACTTTGTCGTGACCCGGAATCATGATCGTCATCCAGCCTAGCGCCTGGGATTCTTTTTGTTGGTCCAACAAGCCACTTGCTGGTGCTTCGCCTCCTCACCCAGGTCGACAACGACGGTCAGGGAACAAGTAAACTCGTCAGAAGCAAACGCGGAATAAAACATTACGATACCGCATTACTCAAACATGAAACGGAAGACAGCAAATCAAGCGCCAACCTCTAAGCGCCGCTCCTGAAACTCGAATGACTTGCATAAAAAAACAACGCGCGCAAAAAAAAAGAAAAGAACATGAGAACAACATCCCACCGACCGCGAAGGAAACAAAGTTTCCCCTCTCTTCGGAGAAATAACTGCGACATGCAACAAAGACAATTGAGCATGGCCAGTGTCAAGTCTCACCTCATCATTCATCATCATCGTCAATTCATGCGACTCTACATCCACGTCATGCCATGGCCTTCCTTCTCCACAAAAAATCCCAAACAGAACTTCGCCTCACTCACCACCCATTATTGACCCCGTCCCAACCGCTGTCCGCCACGCTCTCTCCTTCTCCGATGCCATCATCAATCCATTCCATTTTCTCCAATTCACGAACGAAGAAATCGTGTTCTTCTTCGAGGAGTTTTGTGTCGGCGCCCATCTGGTCGGGATATCGTTTGATATTGTGCCAGTGGGTTAATGCGCGTAAAGCTTGTTCAAGAGGTAGTGCCTCCTCGACTTCAGCATCTACATCACTGCCGGCAAGCCAGTCATCGCGCAGTTCCGGTCGACAGTGCAGATAGACTGCTGTAATGACGCGCATGTTTCCTTGTCGCCATTTGCGACCACAATAAGGGACTTGATTCTTGAAAAGCTTCAAGGTGTAAAGGCGGAGCTCGGGTTGGGGTATCTTTAATGACTTCTTGAGGATATTTGAAGATTTGTATTGTACGAGGAGAAGATTGCGATGAGCTTTGTTTTTGCATATTTTTTGCATGACTCGCAGAAAATTTATGGATGAAAAGAAGTTTCTCCATGAGAATTCGGTGATGGGTTCGGATGGTGGCTCGCTGGTTGGATAGCCAAGTTCATCAACTTCTGGCATTGGACGCTTGCCTGCGTGTTGACCTTCTTGGAATGTGAGCGCTGGCAGTTTGTCCTCTGCGCCGGCAACAGGTAGCTCTCGGCGCATTTTGATTGGCGGTGGAGCTGCCTCATCCTCACTTTCTTCGCCCTCGCGGTCTAATTGAAGTTGTTTTGCGGCTTGTTTACTGTTTGCGTTACAGAAGGCGAAGAAACTGTGGCATGTGTAAGCATTATAAAGTTGAAACATTATGCACACTGACCTCATCTCATCGCGATCTGTTTTGTTGTCGACAACCTTATCTATTTCCTGATGTGCGAACAGTTTCAGGACAAGAGGAAGATAATTCGAGTCTAGGAGAAGCTGCGTAAGGTACTCAAACTTCAAGATGTCTATCGCTTGTCAACAAAATCACTAAAGATGGACAGTAAGACGTACTGGAAACCTTGAACCACTTTAGCAAGATGAGAAGAATGCCAGACACTGCTTTTGCAGTGATCTCTCGCGAACGGAGGGCCTCAATTTCATCGATTGGCAGTTCCGACGGGTCGACTGCCATCGGGAGAGGAATGTTTGCCGGATCCTGCTGCCTATTCTGAGCCGGAACGCCAGTACGAAGGTTAACCTCAGATCTGAAACCGGGAGCAAGACCTGGTTGTTGTGCCATCGGTTGTGTGATTAATGCCGTAACGTTTGCCAAGACTGCTTTTAGTAATACGATGACAAGTGATTGAAGATGAGGGAGGGAATCTTGCTACACGGAGTTAGTAGTTGAAGCAATAGATGATTCTGTAACGTACGTAAAACAGTTCCACCAGATCCAGCTTTTGCTTAACCTCTTCTGGAATGTCGAGATTTGGACCATAATCGACTTCAGGTCGCACACGCTTTGGCTCATTCAGTGAGAGCTTTTTTGACAGGATAGTATCAAGGTCGAGTTCCTCGATGTCATCATCTTGCCCGTCCCATCCTCTTTCAGACTTCAAAAATCTCTCGCGTTCATCCCATAATTGGCGCATAGCTCTTGTCATCCTCATTCGTTTGGAGAAAAGATCACCTGCTTCGAGAATTGACTTGGGTATATCGCTTCCTTCCCATTTTCGTCCTACAAGAAACTCCTGCAAGCCAGCTGAGCCCTTACCTCCAGCACTGTTACTGGTACTGTCCAATGGTGGGTACATGAAAGGGAAGTTTTGATTTGTTTGATAGTTTTGTTTCTTTCCAGCCTTTCCGCCGACTGGTGGCGAGGGAGGTGGTGATGGGGCTGGTGTTGCAATATGAACAGGCTGATGAAGAATAGATGCGCCACTGCTGTTGACGTTCATAGGTGGTGGTATGATGCCATTGGCACCGTTTGCTCTGCTTGGTCGATTGGGGAGTGGCGGAAGAATCGAATTGTTATCAGGCTCGAGGGCTAGTAAGGGCGGAGGTGGAGTATATGCGGGGTACTTCGAGGTTATCTCTTGACGGAATATGTGATAATCGAGAGGTGAGGCTGTAATCAATTTACCGCCATCTCCGTCAAGGTGCTTGAACTCGCTCGTGGCCTTCTTGACTACGTCGATTTCTGGTGTGCCGCCGAAAACAAGCAGTATTGACTTCCAGAACAGTAAGAAGATTCTTGTTTGTGGAAGCTCATTTGCCTCGTCCCATCGAAGCCTGGCTGTAATGGTTACAAAATAATCCACAAGCCCAGGATTCATTTCTAAGACTTTCGACCGTGCACCGTCCAAGCCAACTGGATCATTCCTGATTCCCTCGATGACCAAATATATGATTGTGGTAACATTATCCAACTCATCTTGTATGAAAAGGATATCTTCTTCTAGAAGCTTTGTCTCTCTGAAGTCATCATCCCATAACCTCTTGAACGCATTTTGCATGACCTGTACCAGCAACGAAATGCCACCAAACCTTGCAACAGCCTTTATGCCTGATTTCATGTGCTCAAGTTGTGTCGGTGTAGCTTTCGTTTTGGCTTTCGCTACCTCCGCATCGGTTCCGGACCCCTTAACACCAGCTGTCTCGTCCCATACGCCCAGTATGATGTGTAATATAGTCTGCAGGCTCTTGCACCTTCTCCTTAAATCCGTAGCAAGGAGGCCATTGACTTCTCGTTCAATAAATTTCTGCTGTTCTGCCTCGTCCGTCTCCAGCCATGGCTTGCTAGAAAACTTCTGCCATCGCCTCTCGAAGGTATCTTGGGCGCGCTGTAACCGCTTGTATTCGGCATCATTGTAGGAGAACCATTCGTCCACTTCCTCTTCGAACGATGAGGAGTCGGCATATGTGAAGGCGTAGGAGGTTGGATCTATCTTTGGGAATTCGGTGACGATCCGTCGCAGTTGCATCAGCGAGAGGGAATCATTGGGATTGCCAGCTTGGGGCGCAGGAGGGGGAGGAGGTTGGTGTGGAGGGGGCGGCTGCGGCTGATTGCGCTGGAGCTGAGGACGTCCCATGGGCGTGCTCGAAGGTTGTTGAGGAGCTGGAAGGCCTACATCTGCGAGCCCAGTGTCTGCAACATCTGCGATGTCTTTCAGGGAGTCTGTGGAAGGCTTCCCAGGCCAGAGAGATGCCATGACTGCGAATCTAGGTTTCGAATGCGGGGTTTCAATCAAGTAGCAGCATGTTGTGTCTGAGTTGTCCAGTCGTCCGCTACTGGCGTTCAGTACGCGTTCATGGTAGAAGTCTTGTTTTGCTTGTAATTAGAAACAGCTTCGCGGTTGAAGGTTAACGCGACAAATATTCGCTTATGATAAAGATTTCGATAAGGAGCTCAGAGACATCACGACAAAGTGGGACATTGAGGTCATCGATCATGTTTTGCAAAATGATGGGGGGCCTTCAATCAAAGATTTGTTTTTGAGGTATACATTGTGGATATGAACTTTGATAAAAACTAAAATAAACTCTTCTTTCAAATTGCAAGTGCTGCTAAAACAAGCAGCTCATTCAAGCACTGTCTCTAATAAGCAACTAAATTCCCACTCCCGAAGTCTCGCCTGGATTTTGTAAGAAAACTGCAAAGACTAAAACCAAAAATAAGAATAAAAAGCTTCTATACTCCCATCTGCTCCAACAGAGTGCCACTTGTACTAGCTGAATAGAAAAGAATCCAAAAATTTTTTTCAAAGAATCCTAGATTCCATGCCAGGGAGTCGAACCCTGCGCTACCGCGGACTTGTGTGAACACTGAGAGGCGGAAATGTTACCGATACACCAGCATGGATTGCAGAGCCCGAAAGTCTTATGCAGATTCATACGGAGATTTGTGAAAAAGTTTGAGGACTTGGTTTTGATTCGTCAACTAACCCCACTTGCCGCAAATTTCCTCATTTCAAAAGATATATAACATGTTCCTCTACCTGTGTGTGTTCCTAGACTTGTCGGTATTATCCCCCTCCTTTCATAGCCCGAAAAGAAAATATTGTAATGTCGGTGTTGCGGTTTATTATCCTTTCAACGTAAGGACGCTTAGCTGTATGATCCGGGCTTGAGCCACTTTCCACAAACGCAGTGCGGCTTGGAGTGCATTATACGAGTCCTTTGAGTCCAGTACTTCACGTTCTTTTGTTCTTCTATTCTACCATTCAAAGCTGGCCTCTTACTTGGAAATTTGCTTTTCAAGTCACGTGCATTGCATTATCTTCCAGCTCCAGGTGCACGAATTCCGCGAATCGCGCATACCGTGCGATTTGCGCTATTATGTTTCTTCCAAGTACATCTCCGGAACATTGCTCCCAAAGGCAGAGGTGGACTTGGTAAACTTTCCAACTTCATTTGTTTCTCTTTCTTTGTTCAAGGAATTTTACCATGATCTGAATTGTACCCATCCTGCCTTCGACGAAGTTTAAGAGTAAATGTAATACAATGATCTTTTCTGAATGCTTGTACTCAGGTTATTGTGCATAAGACAGTAATGGAATCCCACTTTTCATTATGGGACATCTTCTACATTCAACTTAGCTGTGATGACTCGACTAAGGCCGCTCTCCAATTTATAAAACGATTGTTCTTAGCATGCAATAAGTGACTTCCTTAGCATCGTCCGTGTACTTCCAATCAATAAATCAAAACCTCCCATCTTCAAGTTACAACTCCAAAAGCTCAAGCGCACAAGCCGACGATACATGAACGTTACATCACAGTACGTCTACAACAACAACAGCTGCAGCCTCCACGACAACAAAATACACAGCAACCAAGACATATATCCCCAGCATTCAACTTCTCCTCATCCGCCCTCCTCCTACTTTCTGTATCTTGCTCCATCTGCGCATCAGGGTTCATGTCGGGCTTGCGTTGGCCTGGATTCGTTTGTTCTTGAAGCATGTGGGCTTCTTGGTACTCCGGTGGCAACAATTTTTTTGATGGTAGCAACGTTGAGGACATCTTCCGGTTGGTGAACTTGCTACCTATTTGACAGTATTGTGATGCCGTACAAGGAGGAGTGCGGGGTATGCCCCTTTTCTCAAGCGAGCTCCACTTTCTCTTGGCGAAGTGAGAAAAAGTTTATGGGAATTCGAAATTTAACTTCCAGACTTCGAAGTCCTCGCTTTATAGTTGATAAGGAGAATCTTTTGAAGAGATATCTCTTCGGATATCATGGTGTGACGCTTGAGGCTGAATTTTCCTTTGGCCAATGAGAAGGGCCGAAACTCCCACGCCTCTTTTTGGCAATCACGCGCCATTGACATCAGGAGGCTCCTTACACATGAGACAGTCGCATGATTGACGTACCCTGTGAGTATTTTGAAGCTTGATGACTTTTTATATGCCTATCCTAACAACACTCATACCTCTACTATAGGTCCGATGTAAAACTTCTTGGCCCAGAACAGGTAGTAGACTATACTAAATATTACCGCCGCTCCAAAGACCAACACACTATAGTTCATCGTAGAGGGAACAACTTGCGCAGTAGGAGGAAAGAAGCTGAAGAATATGATGATAATGAGCCAAATGCAAGCGAAGAGATTATTGGCTATGCCAAGAACACCTTTGATCCTCCAAGGTCCCCAAGTGAGCTTTTCCAAGGGTGAAGTCATATTAGAATCGTTGTCGTTTTCGATTTGTATGCCACCAGTACAGCGATGATAGAGAAGCAATCCGGCAGCTATTTCGTACGAGGAGAAAAGACCTGCTAGGACCAGAGACAAGATGTCGTTGAAGATTGTGGTGCTTCCGATGTTGATTAATGCCAGGAGACATGGCGACACTGTCACTACGACGATCGCAGCTAGCGGTACCGACGTTCGGGTGTTGATCTATGAAGCTCAGATCAGATACACGAAACTTGGGGGACTCCTTGGATGAGAAAAGAGGATACATACTTTGCCCAAGCTGGTCCAAAATGGTACTCCACGATCTCTAGCAAAAGCCCACAGTTGTCTCGATGCAGCAGCCACCGCTCCAATTGCCGTGAAAAAAGCAATGAAGACGACGATCGAGGCCATGGCAGTAGCACCTCCAACAGACTCTGTTGCCTGAGCAAAAATCTCAATAAAGGGATAACCTGTGGAGCTGGCAAATGCTGCGTCAAGATCTCCTGCGCAGTAAAGAACAGCGAGTAGCATTCCAAACGCCAGGACGCCGTTGATGAATATACCAGCAATCATTGCTCGAGGCACATTCATACGAGGGTTTTTGATTTCTTCGGACATCTGGAAACAGTGAGTCTTCTGGGATATCAATGTCAGGATGTGTGGCGACGCACATGAACAGCTCCGTCAGCGCCTATGAAAGCAACCGCATTTCCAGCAAGACCGATGAAGAAAGAAAGGCCTTGAGTAGGCCAATTCCCTCCATTCAAGAAAGTGGTGAATATTTCTTTGGTGTTACCTCGAGGGCCGAGATAGACAAGAGGAATCAGGACAGCGAAGAACCCTAGGATATGGATGATGAGAATGAATCCCTCAATCTTCGGCAAAGCTGGGCTGACAACGACATTGACAAAGATTGCAAGAAGGATCACAGCCCAAAAGATCAAAGTCTCTTGGTACCGCTGCGGAAAGTAGCTGCCATTGTTCTCGACAATCAACGCTTGAACCAAACTGCTGCAGAACAAACTCGCAGCAGCTACACTTGCAATCCATCCAATACAGGTGAGCCAACCTGGTCTAATCAGTAAATGTTGGTCTCCTCTAGGGTATTAGCGCACCAGTAACGTAGCTCAAGATCTTCCTGTAATTTTTGGGAGCCAACAGGAACACCCAATGGTACTGACCACCGGCAGATGGGATCATGGACGATAATTCTCCCATGACTATAAATACCGATGTAGTACCGGCCCAGATAAGCAAGAAGCCATAGATCAGGCCTGCTGGCCCTCCACTATGAGGGGTTAGCTGATATGTAGGTGGGGCCGAAACATCAATAGAATGGCAATTCACTTCTGATAGCCGACAGCAAATACACTGGAAGTAGTCAGTTTCTTGTTTCAGCTCTTCTTGATACTTTGACGAACTCACACAAGAATGCCTTCCCAAGTGGACATCAAAGTGCAAGCCAATCCAACCATGCTCATGAAGCCAAAGTTTCGCTATCAGGATCAGTAAGTGATCTGAAAGTACATCTGAGACAATACCTTCGTGACCTGTTGCTTCCCGATTCGTGCAAGATAGGATGCATCGCGGTCATTGGCGAGCTCTCTGGAGACAGATCCCGCTGATTTCGCATGGTAATCAAACATTTGGACCTCATCGTCGATGTTTCCGGCGGTGGCCATGTTGAAAATAATTTCTGGCACTCGAACCTTCGTATAATGAAAGTATTAAAGCCAAGAAGAAGAAGAAGACGGAATCTACGGAGTACAGAAAGCTTCAATGTTGAAAGTCCCAGCCCCCCAGCTCCTCACTTGCTGTGCCACTTTTCCGCTGTACTGCACTCGCAATCAATGCCAAAACGAATGCAGATCTAGCCAGGATCGCGGTTGCACTTCAGAAGACTCCGAGGTGGGTGGACTGATAAGCCGGGGTACATGGTCCCATGCAGCCTTCCGGCGCGAGTCATAAAAGCGGCGCACAAGCCTGCATGTAGTTGCAGTCCAAACAAGCATCTGAACAAGCATCTACTGTAGTTCCCGACGATCCCTGACAGAGATAGGCGGAGGTGAGATTCCAACTTGGAAATGAGTATCCCCCTTGCATCGGCAGTTGCAGTCGGTCACATGTATCGAGTTGTTGAAATTTTTGATGAACTCATTCAAGAAGGCGCAGTGAAAGTATCCCAGTACCAGTTGGAAGCACTCAATTTGAGCTTCAACAATGGACGCCAACAATGACGACAAGAGGATTTCGCCAGTGAAGGAAAATGTCGATTCGAAAGCTCTGGATCCGGGGGTATTGGAGGTTATTGCTGGATCTACGAACTCTATTTCAGAGAAGGCAGTTGATGCCAACATCGTAGACTTCAGCGGCGACGATGACCCCTCAAATCCTATGAATCGAACTTCGAGTGTGCGCTGGATGCACGTCGGATTTGTGTCTTTCATGGCATTTGTACTGTCAGAACACCAACAAACTTTGAGGGAGATTGATTTACTGATTTAATATTTAGAGCATTGGGGGACGTCGCGTTTGCGCCAGCGATTCCGAGTCTCCTCAAAGATTTCAACGTCTCAACAAACAGTCCTCTCTCGGCTGTGGTGATATCAATTTACTCTCTTGGGAGTATTCCAGGGAACATGCTCGGCCCTCCACTATCCGAATGGCAAGGTCGATTGCCTATCCTGCACACATCCAACTGTTTGTTCATTACATTCATTATCGCTTGCGCCGTAAGTCCAAACATACACGTACTTTGTGCTTTCAGATTTATCAGTGCAATCTTTGGATCGGTGGCGTACACTTTGGGGGGACCCATCATTGGCGACCTTTTCCCTCAGGAAAAGAGAGGCGCTGCAATGGCCGTTTTTTCTTCTGGTCAACTGATTGGACCTGTGGTTGGTCCAATATTTGGTGGCTTCTTAGCACAACACAAAGGTTGGAGGTGGATATTCTGGTTAATGGCTATCCTTGCCGGATCTGCATTTGGACCTTCACTTCTTTTGATGCGTGAGTCGTATGCTCCCGTAGTCCTCGAGCGGAAGGTGAAAGCTTTGAGAATTTCCACCGGAAACAAGAACTTGCGTTCGAAGTTCGATATGAGCGATGAACACGAATCTGCTTGGACTGGTTTCATACAGAGCTTGGTACGACCCGCGAAGATGTTTTTTCTTCTCCCCATGGTTACAAGCATATCTCTTTACTTCGCTATGATATATGGATTTCTCTATATCATCCTGACTCGGATGAATCTGATTTACGAAACGGTCTACCACTTTTCGGACGGAGACATCGGTTTGACATACATTGGTCTTGGTAAGGAAACTCTTTTAAAATCACTTGGAACCCAAGTTAACTTGTGTAGGAATTGGCTTGTTGTTCGGGAGTATATTCTGCGGGGTGTTCTCAGACTGGTACATGAAGAAAGCTTCAGCCGGTGGAGAACAAAAGCCCGAATATCGCTTACCGCCTTTACTCTTTGGGACAGTCTTCATTCCACTTGGGTTTTTCCTGTACGGATGGTCTGCAAGATTCCACCTGCACTGGATTCTCCCATTGATTGGCACCGCATTTGTGGGCTTTGGCATAATGACAACGTTGATACCCTCTACCAATTACTTGGTCGACAGTTTTCCATTGTACGCCGCATCTGCCATCGCAGTAACAGAAATCCTGCTCGCAGTGTCTGGGGCTACTTTCCCACTCGCAGCGCCGAGTTTGTACAGAACTTTGGGACTTGGGTGGGGCAATTCTCTACTGGGATTTCTTACATTGATGTTTGCACCATTGCCATGGATACTGCTAAGGTATGGAGAGCGGATCAGAAAGAGGGGAAGTTCGGTAAAGCTATAATCAGAAGATTGTCCTCGCGAATCTTGTACTGTACACTATTCTTTGACCTAACATGCTCAAAGCCATCATCTGAAGAGCTCACATGCACTGATTCATTGAGTTTTGGGCTTTGTAACCCATGGCAGCTCCGTCTTTCCTGCCTCATAAATCCCACCATGAGGCTTCCACATCCACCAGAATGTCAAGCCCCTCAAATCAGACTCAAATCTTCTCCAAGTGTTGCTTGGATTATCAGTGAGAGTGTCGATAGCAAGCTTCTCGATAGTCCTGAAGCCAAACTTCTTGTACAAGTGAACACCTTGGTCACTAGCTTCCACTAGAACTTCAACCCCCATCTTCTCTGCAATGTCCATTCCCCATTTCATAAGCAAACTTCCATACCCTTTGCGTCGTTGTTCGGGATAGGTGAACATCATGTCCAATTCTAGAACACGTTAATGGAGACATTTTGATGACAGGGGTTATGAAGCTTACGCGCATGAGGACGCCACATGCGCTTCCCTCGGAATCCGTACACCTCATTGAGGATGTGGCTAGCGAATGCTCGACCCTCGCCTGCAGGATGCCAGACTGCCTCCAGCTTAGGCACACCATTGATATATGGAGACACCTCATGAAAGTTCCAATGCCCGCCACTGAGGACTTTGCCCGAATCATCTGTGACATAGATCCAGTGGCTTGAAGGATCTCCTGTGTGTATAGACCACAGACGTGTCTTTGACTCCGCGACGCTAGCGGCATAGCCTTCTTCGGTGGCAGCGAAGACAGGGAAAAGAATGTTCATGAATGGTGTATAAGGGTCGTTGTATGATTCCCATAGACAGTCGACAACGGCGCCGAACTCTGCCTCTGTGGTTACTTCTTTGACGATAACGGCCATTGTGTAAGTGGTTGTAGATTCCCTGTAATTGGAGGAAAAAGTCTTTTTTTGATTCTGATAATAGATGTGGTTGATAAAGCGATGATTGATTCGTACTGAGCGCGGATAGCGTGAGTGCTTTCAAATGAATGATATCCTACCCTTCGATCATAATGTACCAGACAGGGCAAAGATGTTCTGGAAGTCGTATGTTGGTCCATTTATCCGGATGCATACCGGTAGGTTGTGTAACGGCCCGAACAACGTTGCAAAGACGTTTTATTGGTATACTGTACGACGCATGACTGAGGCGCAGCGACACGAAGGTGATGGGAGATCCAACGTTGGTGAAATCAAACAAGAACGGCAATTCTTGTGACCGTTACAACTCCAAAGCAATTGGCTACCCCGCAGTTTTGCATACAGCTTATGTGAGATAAACGTTCACACTGCCAGGATGGCCAGGGTGCGGTAGTCCAGAAATGGTAGCTCTGGATATCGAAGTCAACGTCAGGTACAAAGATATGCGTTGGACCCTGTTGGCAACATTAAAAGCTTATGCAGGTCTGTCTGCTTTAAAACTAGTTTCAGGGGTGGTTGACGACCTATGGTGGATGCGGCACAGTCAAACTCAAATTCTTATCAATGATCCGGGATATGTCCACCTGCAGCTGATATCTTGCATACTTCTTTGCACTATTATTCGCAAGGGCCGAATCAGTATTTCGGCAGTCGTCGTATGCGAGCCGCTGCACTAAGCGACGCACGGCCAAGCCACTCTCTGCTTGACTCCCCTGTATCCGGTACGCGCCCTCTCTATTCCCGTTGTGGGGTTAAAAAAAAGGCCAGTATGACGGAACATACGTTCTCGTCGATGGAAAAGGCTCCAGAGCCCGTACAGATGGTTTGAGTCTTGTTTTGGCTCGTCAATTCTAACTCATACATTTCTCAACATCACTTTTCTGTCAAGTGAAACATACTCTGACTTTTTGTCACAACTAAGACTAGCCATTATGGAGAAGGACTCAAAAGAGTATCTTCTTGTCCAAGACGGCGACGAATCTGACGATGGACATATCTACCAGAGTAGAAGTTCGTCCAACCTGGGCTCTAAGCTGAAATGGACCTCCCTTGTACTCCTTGCTTTGTCTATTTTGTTGAACATCTGCCTGGTCATGAAGATGTCCATTTTGAAAACTGCACTAGATACCAGAGGACGCTCCAAATATGGTGAAAATAGAACAACCTTTTCTCGGATTTGGGAAGACTAACGATGTGAGATAGCTGGCCTCGAATTTTCTGAGCGGATCCTCTACCATACAGAAACGGAATACTCGCACAAAAATGAGACTTATGCCGAAGAGTTGTGGGAGACCATTGATACCAATCCAGTTGCAAGTGAGTAGTAAATCCCATCTTTCCTCCTCTTGATTGTTCTTCCTTATAATCAAGACTAACCGGCTGCAGTCACTCTCTCTTATGAGTATGCCAGAGAGAACGATCTCCTCGAGCCCAGACCGTTTCCATGGGATGAAAGCAAAGGTCTTTTCTACATTAATGGATTTCATCAGCTCCATTGCCTGGTAAGCATTGAGAAATGTCCAACCTCTCTGTGCAACCCTAACATTTTCGCCAGAAATTGATTAAACGAAGTCTTAGCGAATATCGGCTGGATCTCCCTCAAACCTTAGAGCGACAGCACATTAGTCACTGTCTGGATGCGCTACGTCAAAATGTTCTGTGCGCAGCTGATGACACTCCGATGCCTACACTCCACAGTCACGCTACAGGAGATAACCAAGCAATGCAATGTCGAAGCTGGGACAAATTGATTGAATGGGCCAGAGACCCAGAGAAGGACGCTTGTTACAGAATTGTGGACGAGTATAAAGATCCAGTGCATAACTTGGAACGGTTTGCGTACTGTTCGGAGGATTCTCGTTATTACGAGACAATGACCAATTACTTTGCCAAGTGGGGTCACAAGAACTTGTTCGACGACTAGGAAGATGTAGCATATCTGTTTTCGAGGACTTGATCCTATGTCAAGATCTCTTTGGAGTTTCCTTGAGCACAATACCTTTGTAGTTTACATGAATTCAATCAGTATCTAGAGCTCGCAAGATCATAGTGATACAAGTTTACTTGGTTGGATCGGCAGAGTCTATGGACTTGCTATACGTCTGTCACTTCAAAGACCAGAAGAATCTCACAGCTAGTGATATGGAATCTTCAGACATGTACTTGAATTGAAATAGAGTACAATAACAGCCAGCACATCTTATGCATCTTAATGGTACCCAAGCCCTCAATCTTCGTAATCATCCATCACAGATGAGCCTAATTCCCTAGTACAGAGATTATCATCGAGATCTCTCTGTAACTTCCACGTCTAAGTGAGGACGTCCGGATCCGGAATCTCCCCTCCATCTCTGACCACAGAAGTGGATTGTATAGGAATCGCAGTGCCGAAAGCCAGCAAGGTGGCTAATCCAGCAAAGACGTACTGGATGAGACGCATGTTTGTTTAGAGATAGCTTGATATTGCTTTTAGCATCCAATACTAGCATTACTGGAGTTGCTCATACTAACGTGATAGAGTTTGTGATGGACTGAGATGGTAGAAGGGCGGAGGATATGGGAGGTGAGGACGGATGTGCAAATCTGCTGAGGTGATGTCCTGAATTGCAGAGCTGTGTGGCCAGAGAAATGCAGAGGGAGATATAGATTCACAAATCAACACAGCCGAAGCATGTAGGTGCATTCTGTGACGACTGTTCGGGATATCACCCTTTAGGAATTACCGAGATGCACGATGGGCTTCTGCGGAGGATAGTCAGCCGCAGATCTGGCCAGCTGTAACGTGGGTCTACGACAATCACAACTGATAGGAAGATATAAACGCCATGAGTGGATAATGATTTTACGTGAATTGTATGTGTTGCGGCACAGTCGTGAACCTGAATTCCAAAGATGAAGATCCATGTTCCATGTCAGTCCACTGCGCATTCGTCTACCCTCAACCTTGACATTTATTTTGCCTCCGGCGACATGGATTGTACATACATTTGCTGCATGGTAACGATCTGGTCATAGATACAAGCAACATTCGACCGATTTCTGGTCACCATATCTTGCATACTGGTCACTGGGTACAGTATCAAAAAATGCTAGGACAAGAAATTTCAACTTTGATGACTCTGTATTACCACCTCCAGCGATCGACTCCCGGCAATTGGTTATCTTTGCATTTGAGATGAAGACGCGGCCCCCAAACTAGCTGTGCCACATTTGGGTGGCACAGCATGCCTTTAGCCTGCATGTTGGTATCAAAGTGTATATGAAATTCGTCACTTCGATGTTTCCAGCTATGCCATTGGCCAACTTCCTCCCAGCCGAGTCGCAAAGATGCCTCGAGGATGCCAAAGACAGCGGAGTTTTCAAATCCCGGTTGACGCTCAAGCAGGGTTCATCTGCATTCTGTTCCATATGGGAGTGACCTTGCACTAGCCAGACGTTACACTTTTCCTTGTGCATTTGGCTGATGGGCAGTAAATGTAACTCTGCAAAAGATATGTATACGATCGAGCCAAAGAGATCCAGCGATTTGGCGCGATACCAAACATGCCCACCGCGATAAAAGCAGCCTCCAGTATATTCCGGCGCACCTTCCATTTTCAGCCTGGATAAATTCTCGGCTCCGACGCTTCAATACACCACGAGGCGGGGGCAGATCTTCGCCGTTGTGGCTGCGTTTAAGCTTTGATGCCTGTCGTTGCTGCCGGATCCCCAAAATCTACTCTTTGATTTTGTGTTGATGCGCCCAACGTTGCTTTTCTGGTTCTACAAAGAACTCTCAGGCAACACTGCCGATAGCCACTGAGAGGTCTTCGCGAATTACCCAGGAGGGACTTAAGGATTGTTGGAGAGCAGATTCCATAAGTCCAACAACCACACCTCAATATGGACTCAAGCAACTCCACTCGTCCCGATATATCAAGCCAACATCTGGGTCCGGCAGTTAGTATCGTGACGTTCATCTTACTGGTCACGTCGACTCTGGCTCTAATCGCGCGGCTGTCAACGAAATGGGCCGTGTCACACAGAGTTAACCTCGATGATCTTCTCCTTGGAATTGCTCTGGCAAGTGACTTAGAGCCTTGGTATGTTTGATCACTTTCACTAACTAGTCCTCAAAGATATTCTCAATTGGAAATGGTATATCCACGTTCTACGAAGCATCGAACGGGCTCGGCTCTCCAACGACCTCTTCTTCCGGGGCGCAACTCTTGGTTGCCCAGAAGGTTTGACCCAACTCCAAAGCTATACATCGTCAAGTCTAAACGTTGCCAGGCAAGCTATGCAGCCGAGCTTTTCTACATTGCCAGCTTATGCTTCACGAAGCTATCGGCTGTTGCATTCCTCTACATGCTTACACCGATCTCATCGAATGAAATTCTGTGCATCTCCTATGGGATCTTCACCATTGTCTGGACTTTGACAACGTTTGCTTCGAGTGCATTACAATGCAGCGCTCCTAAGGTTTGGCTAATCTTTGGGAACAAATGCTTCAATCAAGTAAGTGTAATACTTGATCCACATGGAGTTCAGTCGATTGATAACCCTGTTACCAAAGCAAGCATTTTGGACTACCTATCTAGTCATTGAGATGATTTTGAACTTTTTACTTGTGGTTTACCCAATTTATATGCTATGGAACCTCCATGTTCGCCGAGCTCAAAAGATTGCAGTATGGTGTTGCTTCGCATTCCGAGTATTGTAAGTTAAAGATCCTTCTACATAGGGAATTCACAATGCTAATGAAGTTCAAAGTGTGGTGGCAGCACTCATTGTACAGCTTGCCCTGTACCGACATGCGTACGAGTCTTCCGACTTTCTGTTTAAATCATGGGGTGCAGTTACTGCTTCTGAAATCGTTCTTTGTCTGTCTTACGTGGCGCCTTGTCTGCCGTACCTTCGACCATTCCTCGAAAGCCTAGACTCTGGAATGTTGAGGAATGATGGTATACGCCGACTTGGACATGGCGAGGCTGAATCGAAGGCATCCGGCTCTAAAGGTAGTGGGTCTTCGTACGGATTGCAACCAGTCAGCAACAGTGCAGAGAAGAAGTCGCCACCTAGCACGACGGTCGGACTTGGACCGGAAGTGGCCACGCTTTGGACAGAGGGTTGGCAGGTACGCGGTCAGCACTAGGTGCCAGGATGGATGGGTTATATGACAAGGCGGGGACGGATGGGAAGTGTAGATAGACAGACAAGTAAGTTTAAACAATACGTAATTCGATGTTCGACGAAGAATTTTGACGCTGGTAGTGTACAGCAGTCTTAGCAACTTAATGACTTTATGAGAACGATTATAGTCACATTAAGGTTGAGTCTCCTCAAACGTAATTAAGATTCCCCGCGAGATCCGACACTTTTGCTCATATGATAGTATTGCCTTTCCGGTCAGTGACCACATTCAGGAGAAGCGCTTTTCATTCTATGAAGTTCATTTCAGCTTGTGAGATCGCTCTGTTCTGGAAACGCTTGTCCCGTGGAATTGAAAAGTAACCTTCAGAATTCATGGAATTCACAAAGCAGAAGCGATAAAAACATTCCGTTCTTTACAAAGTACAGATTTACCATGTCCAATCACTCGCTTCAACAGTCTGAATCGTAGCACATGGAGACATGCACTCGCGGAGTACATTGGCGCTCTCGGTCCACTTGACGGCAATTCCCACAAAATCTCCTGTCTGTGCGATGTACTCGATGGAGATTTTGCGAAGCCGAGCCGGCACGCCGCTCCTGGAGAAGCAAATTAACAAGCTTGAAGCCTTGTTTGTTCGCTTGGCCCTATCGAGGAATCGGTATCCTAAATTCTTTAGCCTCATAAATAGTACGATGTCTCGGATTTTCTTTTGTATGATTCAAAGAATGCGTTGTCGTACTACGTATGGGACGACAGTTGTGACGACGGTAAATCGACAACTCGCTGCTGATAAATTCTTCTCTCTGAGAATAAGCAGAACTCCTGCTCTTGGTGGATAACTTCGAACTGGATTCTTGAAGACCTCAGATCGAGCTGAGACAAGCGACATAATATCTCCCACACAGTTGCTCAGACGCCATAAACATGGATTCTATCCACTCCATTCCATACACTCTCGAGCAAACGCAAAATCTACAACTCGAAAGCACGACCGAAGAAACGATGTCGAAAACTGAAGAAATCCCTCCGCCAGCTTACACCCCTCCTCAATGCCAGCCTGATCAAGGCGGCCAAGCAGCGAACGACAACGGCCATCCTCCTCAGCAACAACCTCATACTACGAACACATCTCAGGGTCCGTCTCAACAAGCACAACCATAATACCAAGAACAAATGAAAGGAAATGGGATGAGGATAGTCGATGTAATGGAGGAGAGACTATAATCTTCTAGAGGGGTTGCTTTGCTTGGATGCTGCACTGGTTGTGCGGCGTGTGCAGCATGCTATTGCTGCCCCTGCTTCTGCGTCTGGAACTTGTTGGTGCGGCTTCTGACATGTAATTGCGATTGTCTTGAGGTGAGGGAGACCACTGAAATAAGTTACGGTCGCAATACCATGCAATGGTAGCCTGGGTACAGTCCTCTAGCTTTGAATGGTCGAGAGGGGATGAAGCCCCAACATGGTCGAGAGCCGAAACATGTATCAGATTGTTACGGTCGTGGTTATTGAATTAGCAAAGCAGATGTTCTTGTTCAGAGCAATGATGCTATCATGCTCACAATATAAACTCGTTATTGTCTGAACGCCCTTTCCTGGCGTACATATACAAAATCCATTGAAAGAAAAGAGTCAATACTTCCATACAAATTATTTAAAGTAGTATTTAAATCCAATTGATTATGGAATGTCGAAGCCGGATGCTGACGGAAGCCGCTGCAGATATGACACGTGATTTTGGAAAGTTTGAACCTTCCCGAGGTCCACCTCCTTCACCCTGCTACTATTCTTCGAGACTCTGGAGTGCCGTATTCTTTCTCTCTTAATGGACAGTACATGAAGCGGACAACGATGGAAGGGTGTGAAAAGTACCTTCCGCGGACACGGAAGGCATTAACCTTAAATGCAGCGACCATGCCTTTTGTGGACAAGCGCTTATGTATCTCATCCGCGGCATCAAAACATCCCAGCATTCACGAAAATCCTCGTTCAACAACATCCTGTCGTCTCGTCCGATCTCGTTGGACTGTCATGCAGAGCAAATCCTTTCTCAATTGCTCTCACCTTCCAGATTAATATCATCGTTAGATACGATGACAGAAAGGCGTCAATTCCCTATCAAATGACGAAATATATGATGTCTTCTCGCAGACTCATCTATTGCTTCTGGAACAATATGCGGTACTTTTTCCAGGTCCCGGATATATACGAACCTTGTTCGGTCCCCCACTAAGCCGCATCCCCATGACCATATCGGTGTATCTCACCTTCTGTTTCCAGACCCTATCGGAACGGAATAACGAATCAATTTGCTGTTTTGCCAGATTGGACCGGATGCGTGGAACGAATCATTGTGGAGCTGTCGGATTGATCTCCAGGTCGGAGTGAGAAAACAGCACTTTGATCGAATATGCGCGCATATGCAAGGTCAGTGGCAATGCAGCGCGGGGTCAATAAGATAGAAGATAAGGTGGCTCTTGTGAGCTCTTTTTTTGTGTTCCTGTTTTGAAACTTTTCTCGAGTTAAATTCGTTGATTGAGATTCTTCACTATGCGGTTCCACTTAGACAAAGCTTTTCTTTTGACTGCAGCGCTGTTTTCGTTCTCAGCTCAAGTGTCTGGAAGTCCTGCACCACATTTGAAAGGGAAAGGATCAATTGAAATCCGAGATGGAGTTACTCACACAATTTTTGAGCATGAAGCTACAGGTGCATCCTTGGACTTCGTTAAGAACTCTGGATTCTGTGAAACGACTCCTGGTGTGAATCAGTACTCTGGTTATTTTTCCGTTGGACGTGAGTCTCACTCTTCAATGGAGAAAAACGCCATCTCCCCTCTCACTAGAAAGAAAATGCTAATTTCAAAATTAGAAAACATGAGCATGTGGTTCTGGTTCTTCGAATCTCGCCACCATCCCCACTCCGCTCCTCTCGCCATTTGGCTGAACGGTGGTCCAGGTTGCTCCTCCATGATCGGCCTCTTCCAAGAAAATGGTCCCTGCCAATTCTACAACGGATCCAGCACCCCATCCCTAAATCCCTACAGCTGGAACGAATACGCTAACATGCTCTACGTCGACGAACCAATTGGTACCGGGTTCTCGTACGGAACCGATATCGTGAACGGGACGGTCTCTGCGGCTCCTTTTGTGTGGACGTTACTTCAGGCTTTCTTTGCCCAGTTTCCAGAGTACGAATGTAGAGACTTTGGCCTATTCACAGAGTCTTACGGCGGGCATTATGGCCCTGGTGAGCTCCTCCCATTCTATAAATCGAATTCTAGCACTGATCACAAACCCAGAATTCGCATACTACATCCAACAACAAAACGACCTAATCGACTCGGGAGACCTCGACGCCGAAGAAATCAACCTCGTAGCCCTCGGTATCAACAACGGGTAGTTACTCCTCTCTATCTCCCCTCTCCCCCCCAATTAATGACTCCTGCACAGATGGTACGACGCCATAATCCAAGAACGAGAATACATTTCCTTCTCGATAAACAACACCTACTACCCACTAATAAACACCACCATCGCCGACGCCTACATGGCGAGCTACTACAACAGCTGCTTGCCGGCTCTCATCCCCTGTAACTCCACCACGGGCGAACTCACCGAATGCCACGCTGCCCACGTAGCGTGTAACGCCATGGACAAGTACTTCCCCTTTCCTCTCCCTCCCAATTCCCCAATCCCCAATCCCTCCTCCCCCAACTATGTCTGACGCCCACTAGCTACTACGGACAATTCTACAACCAAACCACCGACCCCTACGACATCCGCCAATCAGGCGATAACGTCTTCCCCCCCGAAACCTATCTCAATTACCTCTACGACCCGGAGATCCAGAAGCGGATCGGAGCGAAGAGTAATTACAGCGAGTGTTCCGACGCGGCCGATGCGCCTTTCGAGGATTTTGCCGATTGTTTGTCCCCCCTCCCCCCATCCTCTCCCTTCTCCCTCCCTTCTTTTCTTCCTCCCTTCTCTATAGAAATTAACTGAACTGAACTGACGGAAATGAAAACAAAAAAGCACAACGATCATTCCTCCCCGCCCTCTCCTCGGTCGTGCAATCAGGGATCCAAGTCTTGATCTGGGCCGGGGACGCGGATTCAGTTTGGTATATATTTCCCACCTTCCCCTTTCCCTCCCTACCTTCTATCCTTCTATCCCTCCCTCCCCACTTCCCTCCTCAAAAGGAACGCTAACACCCCACCCAGCGACTGGTTCGGCGGCTTCGCCTCCGTAAACGCCATCGATTTCGACGGCCAAGACGAGTTCGTCGATACCGACGTGCAGAACTACACCGTTGACGGCGTTGCTAGTGGTTTGTCTTCTCCCTCCCTCCCCCCTTATTCATTCTTCCTGCACAGCTAGGAGATAGAAAGCTAATGAGAATGGCGTGAAAGGGACGTATAAAACGGTAGATAATCTGAGCTGGATCCGAGTTTTTGCGTCGGGACATGAGATCCCTGCGTTTCAGCCTAAGCTTGCGTTGCAGGCTTTTATACAGACGATGAAAGGAGAGAGTGTTACTCCTACTTGAGGGTGGCATCTTAGAAGAGTAAGAGGCATATGAGGAGAAGAACGCATAATGTCTAGACAGATCATTAATGCGATGTCATGATGAGATGCTATGCAGGTCACAGCGATGCATGTTCATGATGAAAATTATGAATTACTCGTGGTATAGTGATGAACTCCTCTCCTGTTTTGCTTTCTTCCACAACACAGAAGCATTAACCAAAAAAGCCTCCTTTCCCCGAAGAAAAGACACAAGCATCGACTATATATACAACAAACCAACTTCCGCACATCACATGCTTACAAGAAGAGAGCAGCAAGACCACCAGCAACGGCAGCAAAGCTCATTCCAACAGTGGCAGCAGCAGCCTTGGAGATGGTGGCAGGCATCGAACTAGTGGATGTGCTCGTACCACTGGTCGTGCTGGCATTTCCTCCTGAAGTGGTAGTGGAGTTGGGGACCAAAGTGCTGTTAGCAATGGCTGGCTTCATGGCGGTTGCATAGCTGGAGCAAGTGGCATTTGCTGCAAGTGGGCAAGTGCTGTCAATGCAGATGCTCTCAAGTTGAGGACCTTGAGATGGGACGACAGTCATCGGAGGTTCGCATCTGTATCCGAAGAGTGTGGTGAGAGCAGTTCCGACCGCAGTGAGATCGTCTTTGGCAACACCAAAGGACATGGCAGAAAGAGCGACTTGGTCAATGAAGTAGGTAACCTCGGCATATGAGAGATCCATGAACCTGAAGCTGTTAGCAGTTGTTCCGAGTAGCTGATGAAAGACTTACTTGTGAACACTGTACATGGAAGCATGTCCAGCGTAGGCAGGGTAAGCAGCACCACCTTGCATGGAGCAACCAAGGAGAACACCAAAGTACTCATACAAATGAGTCAAGAGGATGCTGCATCTTGTTAGTGGGGTCTCGACTGCAATGCTGGACAACATACTATTGAGCAGAGGTGTTATCATTGGCAGGCATGTTCTTCATGAGAGGAGCAGCTCCACCACCGTCAAGGAAGTTGACGGCCATACCAGCAGAACCACCAGTATTCGTGGAAGCGAAACCACCATCGAAGTATGGGAGGAGGTTGACCGCGATACCGTTGACCTCTCCAGGAGCGAGGATACCTGGGACAGAGACACCGACGTTTGGTTGCGTGTCTTATCTCGTCAGTCGAAGACTTCGGTGCGATGCAGGAGAGGAATACTTACAGTTACCGATGACAGCAGTGTTGACGACGAGAGTCAAGAGAGTCGCCTGGTTTGCAGCAGTGTTGTTCGTCAACAGAGCAGTGGTGTAGTAGTCGCAGATGGACATATTGGCAGGACGCTGAGCAACGGCCGAGCCCACGGCGGCGGCGAAAGCAAGAGTTCTGAAAAACATGCTTGCGATATTTGGATATCAGAAGAAGTGATTGGGTTGATGGAAGAGAAAGAAGAGCAAGCAAAATGTGGTTGTGTTGATGCTTTGGAATGAAAGAAGAAAGTCAACAGAATGTTGGGAGGAAGCCACTTTATTACCTATTGGCGACAAGTGAAAGGAGAAGGAGCAAAGGGGGTGATTGCTTGCATCTCGGCGGGCCGTGGAGCTCGAGGAGAAGATGGCCGGAAGAAGGCAAGTACGATCCTAAGCTTGTATTCACCCGCATGGCCAACATCAAAACACCGTTCTCGATCTTGGAGCTTGTAATGAAATTGCATCTTCATGATTCGCCGCCTCTCGAGCTGTACCTGACTTGATCGGGAAGACCAGCTCCCGGCGCACATAGAACAAGGGTTGCAGCTTGACCTACAGTCCAGATGCGTGACCATCGACTTTGACATCGGGGTTAACTCAGCACTACTGCACATACACCCAATTATAAGCATCCAATTTCTCATGCTCGAACTAAAGATAATCTCACAACGAGCGACGGCGTCAATACCAAAAAGCTTGGTCTTTCCAACGCTCGATGGTCTGTCTGGAATGGGGAATTGAGCATGCTGCCTCATCTGCACTCGAGAGAATTCTTCAGATACAAAGTAAACAATTTTCAATCGTGTCTCATTCCACTGTCTCACAAACCAAGAAATGTAAGTATCGTCATCATGTCTCTCATTTGTGCCTGTACCCGGCTCTCTGGAATCGCCGCCCCACCACATGAGCAGCCGCCGATCTCAAGGACCCTCCACATCCGCATTCGTACATCGTCTTTTTATGATTGGACACTAGAAATTAAGCTTCCCCATACTCAGCCGAAAGAAGTAAAGATTCCTCTCTAGCTCGCCAAGAGCATTTGAGATGATAGACCGGAACATGACATCTCCGACGGATGAGATGAGATGGATTCCTGGAGCGAGTGAAAAATTTGTTTGTTGTGCAGCCAGAAAAGGGAGAATATGTGTACAGGTATGCCGGCTATCCGATGGCTCAAGATGACTTTTGGCCTGCGATATTTTCCCCTGAGAATCGCGCATCTGAGGTAAGTTGTACGAAGATCTTGCAATGCGAGGAAAGAGACTTCCGTTGGTAATTCTTGTATTCGACCATATTCTACAAATCCTCGCCAATCTCGGCTTTCACCCATTTCTCCAAGCCCCCCCTCGCGATAATCTCCTGCACATTGGGTGGCAACTCTCCAACTTTTTGACTCCAAGTCTCTCCCCCGTCACCCTCTGTGATGATAACTTTGCTCCTCCTGACATCCCATACAAACTTCCACCCTGTTCTTCTGGTCAACATCTTCTCTGCCGTTGGGCTGGCTTGTTGTGCTGGTGGAGGACTATCCAAACTATCCTTGTTCTGCGATGGCTCCTTCACATCAGTCTGCTCTAACACCTCTTTGTTGGAGAAATGTGCTCGTAATCTCTGCACCAAGCGAGGTACCTCGACTCCCATCAAGGCATTGTTGATGCTGTTTCTGGCAAAAATGTTCCCAAAGCTGCCTGATACAACCAGAGGAATCTTCTTAGCGAGGATAGCTGTCGCGGCCTGTTCTCTCGAGCTACCGCATCCGAAGTTGAAACCGGAGACGAGAATATCCCCTTCGCGAGCAATAGATCCGAATGCAGGATCATAGTTCTCCATACATACTTCGGCCATCTTCTCAACTGGGACATTGTCTTGGTAGGTGTATTTTCCTGGATAGATACCATCTGTGTTGATGTTGTCTGCGTCGCAAAATACGATCTCGCCTTCAACTTTCTCTGGGAAGCCTGGAAGGATAGCAGTCAACTGTTCGTCCTCAGATTCCTCTTTAGCTTCGGCTTCACCAAACATTTTCTGTTCGGCAGATTCGATGATAGAATCTGCTTGTGAAATCAGCTTGTCGAGAGCCTCCTCGATACTTATGGCTTTATCCTCCTCTGGAATACCATTGCCTTCACCGAGAACGACCTTCTCAACACCAACTGGCTTCTCATACCATCCTGGTCCACTGATCTTCCCACTCAGTGCGCTTGCAGCGACGACTTCTGGACTGGCAAGATAAGCTTTTGCGTCCGGTGATCCCATTCGCCCCTTGAAGTTTCTGTTGCTTGCACTGATCCCTACTTCTCCTGGCTCTAATAACCCAGTCCCTAGACCAATACATGGCCCACAGCCAGCAGGTAATGGCTTGGCTCCAGCATCCAGAAGTGCTTGCCAGTCGCCAGCATCTTCTGCGGCTTCTTGCTCTGGTATTGATGCTGCTGCGATGTAGAACTCAACTCCTGGTGCAATCTTCGCTGGCGTTCCATCTTTAGCAGCATCTTTGAAGACTTTGGCTGCTGCTGCAAGATCAGATGCTCGAGAATTTGTGCATGAGACAAGGTAAGCCTTGTTCAGCTTGATGTTCTTCGCTTCCAGATCTCTCAGGGGTGTAGCAACCTTGACGGAATTTGGTCCTGAAACATAGGGAGAAAGAGTCGAAAGGTTCAAATACAGCGACTTGGCGTAGGTAGCTCCTTTGTCGGCTTGTAATTGATTCTGGATCAAATCATCGATTCGCGCATGTGTGAATCGTGGCTCAGCATCTTTCGAATCGAACAAAGCAGAAGTTGTAGCCTTCGCCCTCATCCAAGCCTGTAGCATCCCATCAATAGGGAATAACCCTGTCAATGCCCCCCACTCGGTCGTCATATTCGCAATCGCCAGTCGATCGTCTACAGGCAGACTTCGCATCGTTTGCTCCGACCCGGTAAATTCGATTGCATGATTCAGGACTTCGTCATTGTTGAATAGTCCACACAGAGCCACGATGACATCCTTACCAGTAACACCCTTTGGCAGAACTCCAGTAAATGTAACTTTCGCAATCGGAGGGATTTGCCACCATGTCTTGCCTGTCGCCCATATGCTGGCAGCATCTGTCCTTACCATTGCTGTGCCTAGGGAGCCCACTCCTCCATACATGTTGCTGTGAGAGTCACTTGCAACTGTCATTGTGCCTGGCCATGCATAGCCCTCTTCCACCATAATTTGATGTCCAATTCCTCGTCCAGCAGGGTAGAAGTCGACGCCTTGCTTCTTCGCAAACTCTTCAATCTGCTTATATTTCTTGAGATTAGTTTCGCTTTTGTTCTGCACATCGTGATCGAGGGTCATAACAATCTGCTTCGGGTCGTGAATCTTGCTGGCACCAATTGACATGAATTTCAAAGCGACGGGCCACGAATTGTCGTGTGTCATACAGTGGTGTGGAGAGAGAGTGACATAGTCTCCAGATTTCACGACCTTGCCTTCTGGCAGGCCCAGCGAATATCTCTGGACAATCTTCTCGGTCAAAGTTTGTGGTATTCGAGAGGGCGTCTTCAATGAGTTTAGGATGGCAGAAGAGGTAGGTTCGGTAGTTTGAGCGTGGAAGACATCCTGGAATCGTTGCGCCGTGGCTGTCAATGCTCGGACTGTTGATCGAGCGGTACGTAGAGGTAGAAGATTTCGAGAAGGTCGAACCCGTAGGCCTTGCAGACCAAGTCGAGTCTGTATTCTATGTCAGTGGTGAGGTGTGAGAAGGGTTGGAGAGCATACGGGTATCATCTTGTGTCCATTGACTCGCAAAGTCAATGTTGGTGCAATGTTGGAGCTGGGGATGAAATTCTGCCCCGGATTTTTTTTGGTCAAAAGACTCAACTCGCTTGTAATTGGTTGGCTGCAGGATCCAAGACACCGCGATCGGACGTTTAAGACCGTGAACTTGCAGCAGTAGGTGAGATTATAGACTTTTTCGATAAGACTTGATGAAATGTAGAATCCTAGTAAATTTATTTATCGTCAGAACAACCTTCACGAGGACGATAAAAATGTTTGTTTCTCGCTCTCACATCTCCGGACCCCTGTAAGTAAATGTCTTAGTGGCTGCCGCATAAAGATCGCCAAGGAAGCGAATCTATCTGCAGCACGTCAGTCTTCGTGTCCCTGTACATAACTCCCAACTCCTATTACATTCACTCGTTACTGCATCATGAAGCTGGTGATGCTTCATCTTTCAGAAATTGTTCAAAGCCCCTCCAGTTTCTGCATGTCTTAAGCACCGGCAACTCACTTTCAGCGATGCTGCAACCTCCCGGCCGGATATCCAGGCGCCTGTGAAAGAACACCTCAAACACCTCACAACCCCGAATACTTTGACCTAAAATGATGCCGAACACTCTCCTTTCCTCAAGAACTCCAGTCCGCGCGCTATTTTGAACAATGTGGAAGATTGGCAACGATCCAGAAGATACTAACCTACAGCCAAAACCATGGACAACTCACCACTCCTCTCTCCCAATGGACCGCGATTCGCGCCTCCACGAATGCATGTCCGAAATGCTTCACAATCCCCTACTCGAAAACGATTCGCAGATGATCTGCTCTCTGATCTATCCCCCGCGACCACACTCGAAGCCTTCACAAATCCGTCCGGCAAGTTAAAAGCCAGTGTTGAAGCTGCCACTCCCAGCGAACGCGCGTTTGGGATAAGAGCTACAATAGCGTCTAAGAACATCCAGGAATGGGTTGATGAATTATCGAATTGGCCATGGCCCGCAGAAGGAGGCTCAGTTGGGTTCGAGATGCCAGCTACGAAGAGAAGGAAGCTTTCGGATCCTTTTGTTGATCACAATAGGTCCCATACCTACGAAAACTCTGGCATGACAAATGGAGATGAACCCCAGTATATTGGCAGTCTTTTGGCCGATGAAGTGGATCGCTACGAGGATCGAATCGATGAAATTCAAGCAGATATGGAAGACCTGAACGTAGAGGAGATCAAGCGTCAAGTACTTGATACCCATTTCTCTCCTCGATCACGACCCTCCTCCTCGGCTTCCAACGCGCCTCCGATGCCTCAATTCTTGTCATCGTACACAAAAATGGATGATTTCACGGCGATCGTTACCTCTACCGTCCTCCAGTCCTTACCAAACCTCAGTAGGTTGATGCGCTTGATGGATGTGTGGAGCATACGACTTAGTGTATTGCGAAAAGTATCTCCTCTTCTGTTGGCTTTGGAAGACACCGAGATTGCCCTGAAAAGCGGATGGAATGCGATTCGAAACCCTACTGAAGAAGAATGTCTGTCCCGAGAGACTTTTAATATTATGCGAGATGTTTTGAGAGAGAAAGTCACAACACTAGGCCGAGATTTGGATTACTTGCTTGATACATTGGAGGGAAGGCCGGATACTCTTCCCGATGGCTGGTTGGACAGGATGGAGGTCATTGAGAACGATTACGGGTCATGGGATGTGGCCGGCGATCGAAAAGTCCGTGAAGGAGAGTGGGCGAAATTGGCCAAGAGAAGAAAAGAGGAGGAAGATGCCCGACGATTACAAGAAGCGGAAGAAGCTGAAGTTGCGAGACAGAAAGCAGAGAGAGAAGCAAGGGCGGAGGCCGAACGCTTAGCTCAACAACAAGCCGAGGATGAGGCTAGGAGGAAGGCTGAACGGGAAGCCGAGGAGGCTAGATTGGCCGAACATGCCCATTTGCAAGCCATCCAAGAGGCGGAGGAAGCTGCGAAAGTCAAAGCTCAGATGGAAGCGGAAGCTCTAGAAGCTTCAAGGCTCAGATCAGAGCGTGAAGCAGCCGATCTCGAAGCTGCTCGGATACGAGCCGACCGAGAAACTGCTCAACGCCAAGCAGAGAAAGAGGCTCAGGATCTGGCAAGGAGACAAGCTGAAGAGGATGCTCGATTAAAGGCGCAACATGAGGCCACGCAAGAAGCGATGCGGTTAAAAGCCTTGAAAGACGCAGAAGAAGCGGCCATCCGGAAAGTACAGGTCGACGCAGAGCTTGCCGAGGTCGCCAGGCTGAAGGCAGAGCAAGAGGCCCAAGATACAGCGGAACGACAGGCCGAGCGAGAAGCTCAAGAACTGGCATCACGAAAAGCCCAACAGGAAGCTGCAAAGGCAGAAGCGGCAAGAATCGAAGCAGAGAAGGCTTCTCAAGAAGCTGCTGTTCGAAAAGCCCAGCTTGATTCAGAAGCTGCTGAGATCGCGCGACTCCGGGCTCAAAGTGAAAGCGAAGAACAAGCTAGACTGAATTCCGAGAAAGATGCGCTCGAGGCTCAGCTTGCAGAACAGGAGGCCAGAAAACATGCTGAGACCCTTGCCTTAGAGGCTACGCGAATCCAAGCCGAAGCAGATGCTGCCAATCTCAGATCGGAGAAAGATGCAGAGGATGCTGAGACGGCTAAGCTCCATGCTCAGCGCGAGGCTGATGGGCCGTTCGCCAAAGAGATTAGGCAAAATGCTTCAGATGATGTATGGAACAAAGTCGAAGAAGAGATTAATGCTACTGGGCTGAAAGAACCCCAGATTTCGCAAGCTGTCACAACTACTAGAGATGCAGAAGGTGAAACGACAAGCCAATCACCAGGATGCCCTACATGTGCCGAGCTTCAGGATGTTGACGAAACTGCTTCACTGAGGAATGGCGCCAGAGTTCCAATGGGGTCTGCTACAAGCACACAAGTTGCGCCACAGAGTTCGAATTTCTTCGATGCTGTTAAGCCCAGTATATCAGCATATGCTCCGTTTGATGGTATCGATGAATCTTTTACGCCTCCCGTACTTTCGAGCTCCAATGACACACGATTGGAAGAACCTCATGGCTCAAATGAACCTGTTTTGGACTCACCAATACATCTCGACGACAGCCGTCTACATCAAGAAAGCCCTGCATCGACCAGCCCTATCAGGAATACAGCTGCTGAATCCGAAGACCCTATCACTCCACAGAGCCAAAAAATTCCTCGTTTTGGGCATGCATTTGCTAATGCATTGCGCCGGGCATCATCGTCGCCACAGTCGTCGATCGTGGAAAGACCACAGTTTTCAGATCCTACTCAACGCGATCAGTCTTTCAGTGCATATGAGTTTAGATCTCCTAAAACCCATATTGTATCTACCCCCACCAATCTCCTGTTTCCTGGAGATGGTGCAGAAGACTTGCTCCAGTCGAACCAGACCTTTTCCATGAAATCTAACGAGGAAGGGTGGGTTGTCATCAGTTCTTCCGATGACGAGGATGCACAGGACTCTCAAAGATCGTCCGTGGAGGAGACGGATTCACTTCGACGGTCGCCATCCAAGACACGAAACAGTGCTTCTTCAATGGTGCTTGGCTATTCGACAACAGACCCAACGCCAGAAATACAGGAAGCCGAGCCCGCTGAGTATTTTCAACCAGTTCTCTCACCTATCAAAAGCGCTTGGTCTCCGAGCAATGGCAGCGAGCCAGTCAGCCCTTCAAAGGATTTCGAGGAGTCGCCTGCAATAGAAATTCATCATTTGCCAACTGTCGATGGACCTACTTCTCCGGTCTCGCCGTTTCTGTCTGCATTCCATGGCTTGCAAGCGCTTCGGACAAAGAGCGTGTCTCCGAGTCAGCTAGAACGTGGTGGGGATGAATGTGAACCCTGCGATAAAGTTGCTCCAGAGAAAGATATCGAGCGGCCTTCATCGGTACCTATTCTTGCCCGCAAGCAATCTATTTCGCGAATGAGCGCTGCTGTCCGAAGTATCACCATTCCCCGAAGAGATAGTACAGCATCCGAAGCATCTACTGTTATCACAGGTCATGTTGGGGAACCTCCATCCTCACCAATGACTTTCTCAGCTACAGATAGTTTTCTCGAGTCATCTCCTGCCAATGGAGATACTTCTCCATCTGCTGGCCGCATAGGACACCGTGCCAAGAAGTCCTACGACTTCAGTCCTCCGGGTTCCCCTCACCGTAGCTCTAGACTGTCTCCTCAACGCTCATTACAGATTCTCAAAAGCCCCAATTTGTCTCCACCAGATTCCAGCATGCCTTCTACACCGATCGAAGCACCATCCTTCGCGAACCTTGATGTTACTACAACACCTATCATCTCCAGCCCTAAGAAGGCTACTACAGATGATCAGATACAGCAACAAATTAGCTCTCTTCTTGAGAGTATACCCGCCAGAATCCGATTGACTACAGCCCCGCAGAGTCCAGCATTCACTTCACAGACTTTACGACCGGAGAAGACGAGGCGCTCTATAACACCCAATGCTCGTCCCAGCTCAACCATGAGCAATTATAGCACCAACACATCTTATTCTCGTGCTGCCACCCCTGGACCACAGTTCACTCTTGCACCTGCATTTGCCAAGACTGGTCAGCGCACTCGAACACATAATGGCAACCCTGAAATCAAATTGTATCACCTCTCACGCTCTACTGGCGAGGCGCCCATCAAGCTTTTCGTTCGTCTCGTTGGCGAGCACGGTGAAAGAGTCATGGTTCGCGTTGGTGGCGGCTGGGCAGATTTGGGCGAGTACTTGAAAGAATACGCCAGCCACCACGGTCGCCGCTCAGCAGCAGACGCTAATGACAAGGTCGAGATTCAGGACCTACCACCACGAGCCGTCTCCAATTCATCCACAACCTATACATTCCGCGGTAGTGGAAGAGATACTCCCGTACCAAGACCATTTAGTGTGCTAGAACGTGAACGCCCTTCCAGCAGTCTCAATGTGCGCAAGACTCGCAAGTCAATTGGAGATCAAGATCCTTCCCACCTCCAATCCCGCCTCAACGATACTCGTAGTCCATCCACACCATTGCCCATGGCTAGCCGCCTCGCTTACGAAACCCCACCTTCCGTCGCAAGTGCTGCCAGCGTAAACAGCTCCAACAGCGGCAATGGCTCGAACGGTCGAAGTTCACGCATGAGCTGGACCGAAGAAGACAGCAGTCTCGGCCTCGCCGGCCCGAAGAGCAAAAAGGTAGTAATTAGCGAACGAGACCAAGAATGGGTCGAGAGCATGAAAGAAAAGGTCAGGTTAGCCAGTGCTGAGAAGGAGAAGAAGGATCGAAAGACTAGTTTTGGGGAAATGGATAAGGTGGGCGGGACGAAGAGGTTGTTTAGGAAAGGAGTTTGAGCATAAGCATATATTTCATTTTTCTTTGTCGTTTCTTGCTGGTAGGTAGCATAGGGTTGGATTGCTAGGATGAAATGGAATAAGGGAAAATGCGAACAATACCCAATTTTTCTTGTACTTGGTTATTTCTGAAGGGAAGAGGGGCTAGATTGTTGTCCTGATAGCAGGTTCGCTGGAGAAAGAAATTCAATTCTCAGATTCATATTCCATTTGAAGATGTCGTCAAGTGCCTTGCGTGTTCTTCTAGCATCCATCTCATTCGCCCAAAGCACCTGACTGTACAGGCGAACAACCATACGCATATCCACCATCCTATCATCTCTGATTAGCTTTATATGCTGCCGAACCTCTACTCTCAATACTCACCACAACGCCCTGGCAGCACAGGAGTGGGAACTCGCTACCGTTCCCACAATTATTACTTGGCTCAAAGGTCGTCCCGCATCCAATCCCGATATCACCTTGCCTTGCATCAAGGGGAAGCTTGAGCTCCTCGGCTAATCTATATGCTTCGCGGCCGGTGGCGAAGTTGGTGCAGCATGTTGTTTGTGCAACACAAGTTGAGGCTGAGCCTTGAGGAAAGGGGTGGGCGATAGTGAAGGTGGTTAGGAAGGCGAGCAGCGCTGTGATGGTGAGGGGCTGCATTTTGGATATTATGCTGCTTGAGGTTTATATGGAAGGATTTGGAGAAGTTGCATGTGCAGGTAGATGTGTGTTTTTATAGACTTCCTCGCATCATGGCACGAGGTAGTACGACATATTTACACGATCTTCTAAGGGTGTTACTCAAGTACTAGCTTCCTTGCTTCATGTTAATACAAGGGTACAATTGTACGCATATCCACCAGCACCAGCACGTCGGCTTTCGGCTTTTCCCGATTTCTCTTTTTCTCTATTAGACTCGCGATTTCAATCGTGCAATACAAGGGCCCTCAAACTCCACGCCTTTCAAGCAGGTCATTACACAAGCCAATGTTAAAGAAGAAATGAGATTCGTGACACCACCCACAGCTCACACTGGATATGAAGTTGCAAAAGTAAGTAACGCTGAACACAAATCGAGCTCAAGTAAGGTAGAAGCTGAGATTTCGATAACACCAAGATATTCATCACCAAATGAAAGTCTCTCAACAAAACGCATTCATTCAACCTTACTCTAAAGCATCTATCATACAGCCCTTACTTCCCATCTCCGTGCTCACTCTTCTAGTCTAAGCTACAAAAGCATAGCAACCCCCGCAGCAACAGCAAACATACCACCGAATCCAACAGCCAACTTCCCAGCCCCACTTCCCTTCGTCGAGCTCGTAATAGTCTGAGTAGCAACCGCTCCAAAACTAGTCGTCGCCCCAGCAGAATTGACAAGCACACTACTCGTCACGCCATTGACAACCGTAACCGAAGTTGTAAAGCCAGCAGGGACACCCGTCGATATCGAGGTAACAGTCACGTTTGCTCCTCCAGCGGGAGCAGTCGAAGAAGATTTGAAAGACGTGGTCACGCTGCCGAAGGACGTGGAGCCCGAGGTTATGGAGGAGGATGATAGAGTTCCAGAACAAGATCCAGAAACGCAAGTGTTGAACGCACATTGAGAGTCAGAGGAACATGTTGCGCCCTGATTACCGCAGCGGAGGACTTCCTGGGAGTTCACTGAGTAGCAGGATGCGCCGTTCGCACATTGAGAGGAGGTAGTACAGGTTCCTCCCAAGGCGACAGCGGTGGCTGTTGAAGATGGGACTGAAGTGGTTGAGACAGGGGTGCTTGAAACTGCGGCAGATGAGGAGGAGAGGGTTCCGGAGCAAGATCCAGAGATACAGGTGTTGAATGCACATTCGGAGTCGGAAGAGCACGTTGCGCCTTGGTTACCGCATCGAAGGATGCCATGGAGTTGACGGCATAACATTCGACGCCAGTGCCGCATTGGCTGGAGGAAGTGCAGGTTGAGCCTAGAGAGAGGGGAGATTGTGCCTAGGATTTGTTAGTAGGATTCTTCAAAGCAAGATGAACATTCATACCAACGCGGTAACAAGGACTGCTGAGAGGAGAATGATTGAGGAGTGCATTCTGAAGATCGGATGAAGTGATTGAGTTGAAAATAGGAGGTAGTAATCGTAATGTTAATCAGAAATTGAAACGATTGAATCGAGAGTGATGATTGAAGAACCAAAGAAAGCAAAGAAATATCTAAGAGATAAGAGACGATTGAAAGGCGTTGATGATGGATTGAGATGAGGAATGTAACTCCAAGACAGACTCCTACTTCATATATACTTTTCACACTTCACCCATAAGCTGCCGTTGATGTCAAAAACTCACGATGCCTCACTGCTCATGCCCGAACAATCTCCCATGAAACTTCCACATCTCGTATGCTGAAAGTATTTTCGGTGCGGCAGTACATTCCCCAAGCTGAAGCAGAATGTCACTCGTCTCTCTACCAATCGTCGCCGTTCACGATACTTATCGACAAGCAAAGGTCTGGACCCCGAGGTCACCGCTGACCTCCGAGACACAATCATGGCTGAATGGCAGGGCTGAGCGAAAGTAACGTTGAGATGTGGAAGAAGCTAAAGTCGCTTCAGCTGGGTGGTTGTAATGATGTGGAGGCTGAGGCGGTCCGTTCCTGCATGCAACCGAGATTCGATGAGGTAAAAGAAACAGCAAAGAAGCCCCTGCAAAGAAGCTTTTGGTTACACCAACGACGTGCAACGAAAATGTGAATTGGAAATGCATTTATGCCATTACTCCGTACGTTCTACAAGTAGGCTGCTCCTTTGAACCTTTACAGTGCTTTGGATACAACTTGGAAGCTATTGCTGCACGTGACCAGATCGCTACCCCTGACGGATAGCAAAAATATCTATTCACAATGTGTTACACATGGGCCAAACGTCATGATTCTTCTAATTGAGATATTCTAAATTGACTTTGTATGAATATCATAAGACGTACAAACCAGAAGTAGATATTTGGGTGATACATTATGTCATCTTACCCCGCTACCCCGCTTCCGATGAGCATTTCGAACACTACGCAACACACATCTTATACGCAGTAACATTATAAACTTGGTCTTGGCAATTGCCAAGCAATTCGGACAACTTCAAAGTCTTATCGGTCAAATATGGCTTCCAGGCAACTCATAAAGCACGCCACTGATTGGGCCGTCATTCTGTGAGCATAAAATCCCTCATCGTTTTATCAAGTAATAACGAGCACCAAGGATATCAATAATCGCGGCTCTTCTTCTATCAGATGTCAATCCAGATTTCCACACATTTTGCGTCCTCGACATGAACCTGTCATACCCTTTCCGCCCCTCAAAACTTAGCCTTCCTGTCTTTATCCTGCTTTCCATCATCCTTCCCGTAATCACCATCATTTTGGTCACTATTTTCACCCCATTCCCGTCTATTCAGAATAGCGAAAGAAATTCTCGAGCGCGGATTCGGAAATTAAGATCTCTGAATGCAGCGCTCTTGGGTCTCGGCGTCAGCTTAGGAACCTCGACAGTAGTTTTCACAGGTGTGAAAAGTCTGACAGGGAAACCTCGTCCCAACATGTTGTCCATATGCGACCCAGACCTGGAGAATATTGTAAAGTACACTGTTGGTGGCGTTGGTGTGGAGTTCAATAGGTTGTGGGTCATGGTTACACTTGATATTTGTCGGCAGAGAGACACAGCGGCCTTGAGGGATGCATTTCGAAGTTTCCCTAGTGGATATGCAACTAGTGAGTTTCACTGAAGATGAGAGTATATGCACTGTACTAAGCTGGTATGAAAAGTTGCATTCGCAGGGCTATGGTACTTGTCTCTTTTTCTCTGCCACAGATTCGGCGTCGAGATCCTGCCCTCATCATCACCACGCAACATCCAAAACATTCCCAGGCTCGAAAACGATGAGCAGCATGAACCACTTTTGCCGAGTGAGGCGCAACTCAATGATCGTGCTTCGAGGCCAGATAGCAATCAACTAGAAGCGTTGCCAGTCTATAAGTTGCTGTTGCCGTACGTTCCACTTGGGCTTGCTATTTTTATTGCCGGAACGAGGTACTTTGATTTCAGGAATCACGGTTTTGATGTTCTGGCGGGCGCTTTTGTTGGGTCTGTTACTTCCTATGTTGGGTTTAAGATGTACTCCACGGGTAATCTCCTCACTTGATTGGTCACATCCAATACGGATTGTGATCAGAGAAGATGAACTGCATCCTTGTCGAAGAGTGTCTTTCAATAGTCCTCGTTATAAGTGTGGTATAGATCACGTGCATAGTCTCATCAATTGACTAGAACAGTGAGTCACATCAAAACAGACATAAAAGTCATCGATTCTTGCCAAAGGCGCTCCCTAATTTATAACTTTCAACACACGACCCATGTCTACAATGGATCTCCAAATTCGCAAAGCAACACTCCAAGACGCTCCTGGAATTGCCCGCGTCCACGTCCTTGCTTGGCAGGAAGCTTACCACGGCATCGTACCGCAACCCTATCTCGCCTCCCTAGATATTGCCGCACGCACCGAAATCTGGAAGTCACGGTTAGACCAAAGTACCATTGAGGTTTTTGTGGCTATTCTAGATAATCAAATATGCGGGTTTGCAAGTGGTGGTCCAGCACGCGAACCAATCCATGGTTTTGACGGCGAGTTCCATGCGATTTATCTCTTCCAAACAGCCAAGGGCAAGGGGATCGGCAGGCTGCTGATGCGTCGTGTTGCAGAAGCACTTCAGGCCAGAGGATTTTCTAGGGCAATGCTGTGGGTCCTTAAAGACAACTCTTCACGCGGTTTCTATGAGCGGTTAAGTGGGAAGGAATTTGCGCAGAAGATCGATTCTATTGGCGGTGCCAACCTAGTAGAAGTCGCCTATGGCTGGGAAGATCTTCAAGTCTTCTAGCTCCAATGATCACGACTTGGGTGTGCAGGTGTGGTCGGTCTAAAAATGGCAGATTCCGGTCCAGGTCTTGTTGTATCAGCCAGCCTTGAGCCTCAATCTAGCTTCGTCTTAGCTTCGGATACGCCTTTCTCGGTAGTGGAATAAGTGGTTGCCTATGTTAAGATATACATTGTTTTAAGTTTGATGGTACACAAAGTTCTCGCACAATACTATTTTCCCTCTTCTCCTTGCGCTTCCCTCTTGCATCTTGCGCACAAGCAATCTCCAGAGAGCCGGCTGAGTTGCAAGTTATAGTTCCAAACCGCACGACTCTGACCTAAAGTTTCTCCATTGGCGTATGATATGAATAATTCCTCTCCTGCTTTGATGTTCTTTCTTGCAAAGATGGCTAGGGCAGACGAGCACACGACAGGTGCAGTTTGGGGAGGATAAGTTTCCGAGAGGTCTTCCGCTTCGGCATTCGGTTCGCAGCTGTGATTGATAAACGAGAAAAGTTGATGGACTGAGCGTGATACAACGGGGCCGTTCAACCCTTTTTCGATCTCGCCACGCTGGTTGTTGGTCATTCGAGCCCAGATTGTTTGGAGAACCCAAGTATCGTATCTGAGATCCTTGAAGATATCAACGCCGAGAGTTGTAAGTATTCTTTGCGGCACATCAATATTGAAAGCTAAGGACCAGCGTCTGGAGATTCGATCGTCACTCTCGTAATTCGCAGTCAGAGCAGCGATGGATGGATGCTCTAGAGGATGAAGGCCGCTCTGTACGCATGTCGCTAGTATTCGTAACCACATTGATCCAATGGTATCAGAGAGGCCAGGATCAGTCTGCCGCCCTCCACTCTGTGGCTTGTTCGTGATCCAGGAGAAGTCTTTCCCACAGAGAACTTGGTGATAAGTTGCCTTTGCCGTCTTCAGACAGCTGTCACTGCAATACGTTGTGTTGCAACATTTGGATTGGTGGACGACGCTGTTCCAGGGAGGCGTTATGCCACAACAATTGTCGCACCGAGGCATAGGATGTGCTCGACCTTGATACTTGAAATACACTACTGCTGGTTCAGTGTTTGTACCCCATGTTGTTGTATCTTTCAATATGACATCTCCTTTCTTTATATCTGAAGTGGCAAACAGGCCCAAAGTGCGGCTCACAGTGTTGGACTCATGTGTGAAGCCAAGAAAGCTTTGGAACTACTTCCACGGGCCAAGAATCCGAAGCGGAGGCTCAGGGATTGCAGCGGAGGAGCCGAGACTGCTAGCCCGGACAACACAAGCTGCGCCCATCTCGACGAGTCTAGTGTTAGCACTTGTGATGCGTTCGGCACTTCTCTGAAGGTATTGCGGCGGCATGAAAGGGTATAGTCGGAATGATATCCTCCCAAATTTCAGCTGCTCATCAACATTCGTCTGGCTACGCCCAAGCGCATGTGACTGCTGGATATTGCGCCTTAAGCTTTTGAGAGCAACATCTGAAGAAGCTAGCCCGCTTGAGAGGACATCATCTGCTGGATACATAGCCCGTGCTTCTGCGTATTGTTAGAATAGGCTTACCGATAGATACTTCAATTACCTAGGCACATTTCTCGAAAGCTATGAAAAGCACCTGCCTGAGACAACGCTCGGCTAAGAACCATAAAACTCCGGAAACGGAGCTGCTTGACTGTTTCCGTCCAAAGTGGTTGATATTGCAAAGGCTCAGGGATTGCAGCTGTGTTTGTTGAAGGGTCATCAAGTAGTAATTGCTTCCTTGCCGCAAGACTTAGTCCTTTTCCTTCGAGCATGGCAGTGCAGAGTATCTGAGACTTTCTCGCATCTCCTGCAGCCAACTGGACAAATAATTTATCAGCTTGAGCGAGGACCAAAGAGTTTTGAACTGGTTGCTAGTGACGAACCTCGGGGTACCCAACCATGGTGAGCAGTTCCGCTCGTGCGCCCCAATGGCCTGCATTGTACGGTTGTTGGACAAGCTGAGCGGTCTTACTTGCAATCTCGTCAAATACCTTGAATGATGTTCAATATTGTCAGCGTTTTCACAGACACAGAACGGTGCCGGGGTCAGATTGTACCTTCGTGAGTCCCTCAGTTGGGGCTTGAACTGGATCATTATGGCCGGTCTGGCGCCACCGCCCGGGAATCCATTTCCCATCCATATCTAGAAATGCTAAAGTCTCTTACGGGCAAGCAACATGTAAAGCAAGAGTGATGGTGGTCCCCAAGTCCAGTGCGTGCTGAGGGAGCCTTCTTGTAATGCGTGGCCGCGTCAAGAGAAAATTTCAGCTTGTTGGAGGTGTGGCTTTTCTTTTTTCTGACAGGGATATTGAGTTGAGACATTGGACGTGCTGAGGTTACACCAACATTTTGTCGTCTACCTTTGTACATGGAAAAAGGATGTGGAAATTGACACTGTATCGCTCATAGGTACTTGTTGTCAATAGCACAACACTTGTGAAATATAAGACTCTTTGTGATAGCTATGTTCAATGGGCAGCTCTAAGAAATGAAAAGGGATTTTAAGAACAGTTGTGAAGATAATCAAACGAATCAAGAGGTGTTTTCAAGTGGTTTGCATCGCACTGCTAAGCGAGATATTGCCCCATCTTACCATCCCAGAACCAGGAATTTCGTGTTGACGGTTTTTATTACTGGGCTTCGATCCATTTTCTATTAGAGCTAGAAACCAAACTCACTCTTAAGCAATGCACAAAAGTCTCACGACGCCTGGTTCAAGAGCGGAGGAGTCACATGACATACTCCTAAAGCCAGCTCATAATAGGCTTAGCGCGTGACTTGAACTCACAATACCTATTTTCAACCTCTTACTTCCTCTTCTATAATCAATCAATTATCAAACGACGAATCCACCAGTACATGCTGTTTACTTTACACGACGCGATATCTAGTGATTCAGTTCCGATACATTTGTCTCTTGCTCCATGTTATCTACCCTCTTCGGGAAGTGAATTGCAATGTCCGCCCCGCCTGACTTTTACAACGTTTCAGATGTTCCAAGAATTTGAAGGCGCATCAGGTTCTAAGAAAAATACATGTCAAGTATGTGGATGGATGCCAAGTGAATGGTGAATCAACATATGAGCCGGGAGTACATTATACCGAAGTGTTCAGCTTTTACATGAATCTTCGTGTTCTCATCCGAGATCGACAGCCGTCCCGCTTTGAGGCTCATTACCCCATTACCCCGCTACGAGAATGTCTATGAACAAGGTTTTAGAAACGGGTCAGATTTGCCGATTTCAATTCCGTTTGAAAATTTTGATCGACGAAGAGGAGAAAACGTTGATACTTCGGCGACAGACGGATAAATATGCTCCTCGTGTTTCATGAATATAAGATAGGCGTGTTGTACCTCCGATTTAGCAATCAGGATAGGGTCAGAAAAGGTACGGAATAAATCAAAACATTGCTGTTCATCTTCTGTCTTATGATTGGCATTGGTCAGCAATCATGATTTTCAAACCATTCAAGAGTCTATTCAAGAGTCTATTTTGCATTGTTATATTTGGCTCGATCGTTGCAGGACACATCCATTCGGAATCAAGAACCCGCGATGAAAGTCGTTGTTCATCCTCCTTCCTTTCAACAGGTGTTTCATTGCTCAACAATGCAGAGATTTTGAATCTCTCGGCCAACACTGTGTCGAATGCGACCATTGTGGGGTTGAATGCCACATTCAGTTACTGTAATGTCACGGTCACCTACACCCATCCCGGCTGGAACGACACCATCCATATCACCATATACTTGCCACCGAATAGTACCTGGAATGGTCGATTCCAAGGCGTTGGCGGTGGTGGATGGGCAGCCAGTTCTGGCGCAGTGTCTCTGCTTAGTCCCGTTGCCAGTAACTATGCAGCAGGAAACACGGACGCAGGGCACCCAGTCAATACTGCATCTTCAGCCTCTTGGGCATTCAACGCAAGAAACGATCTCAACATTCCTCTCCTCACCGACTTCGCATCAGTAGCTTTGAATGACCTCGCCGTCGCGGGCAAACAACTCTCGAATGCCTACTACGGCTATGGGCCTCGGCATTCCTACTGGAGTGGCTGCAGCACTGGCGGGAGGCAAGGTCTCATGATGGCTCAGAGATATCCGACCGCATATGATGGCATTTATGCTGGGAGTCCTGCAATCCACTGGCCAACTTTCCAGGTTGCACAGTATTGGGGTCAGTTCGTGATGAATCAACTCGATTATCATCCGCCGACTTGCATTTTCGATGCCATCACTGCAGCGGCTGTTTCTGCATGCGACAATCTAGATGGCGTCGAGGACGGCGTTATCTCTGCACTCTCTCTTTGCAACTTTGATCCCATGACCATTGTCAATACCACGGCCAACTGCAGCGGCACGCCTGTCACGATCAGAGTGAAAGATGCTGAGATTGTCCAGAAGGTATGGGAGGGCCCGCGCACGTCGGATGGGACATTCCTCTATTGGGGTTTGAATCGAGGAGCTCCATTCGAAGGCTTGACAAACACGTCTTGTACAAGCTTAACCAATTGCACAGGAGCACCTTTCTCGATTACCCCAGACTGGATCAACAACTGGGTCCTGGCAAACCCAACCTTCAACCTTAGCGCCATCACCCTCGACGAATTCACAAGCATATTCTATCGCGCTTATACCCTGTATGACTACCTGATCGGCACCGACAATCCTGATCTCTCGGAATTCAAGCGAGCAGGCGGCAAGATGATTGCCTGGCACGGTTTGGCTGATCAGCTAATCTACCCAAACGGCACGGTGGACTATTATCAGAAAGTTGAGGCTCGAGACCCTGCTGTACGTGACTTCTACCGGTTCTATGAGGCTCCTGGAGTTCAACATTGCGGTGGCGGCGTTGGTGCAGCTCCTAGTGACCAATTGGATGCAGTGGTTGACTGGGTTGAGAAGGGATTGAAACCTGACACGTTGGCCGCTGTGACGACGGATGGCGAGAAGCATCGGAACCTCTGCCAATTTCCTTTAGTCTCTGTTTATAAAGGAGGGAATACTTCTCTCGCAACTAGCTTTGCGTGTGAAACAAGCTTTTGATTCTTTCTATGTTGGTATGTCGGCCAATTGAGGTTTCATCAAGCCAGAAATCTGAATACCTCATGTTTAGTATCAGTGCTCATACAAAAAAACCAGGAACTCTACAATAAAGTCCGAAATCAACTTAAGAAAACATAGAAGAAGCTGTCTTCCCTAGCATGCCAAAGCAATCATGCTTCAGGTATAATGTTTCTAGCATATGCGATCTTTATTTTGGAAAGCAACGATCTTCATTTGTCAAAATGTCTATGTAATCTCTCAAGGATACAATCGTCCGTGCATAATACGGTTATGTTGTAACCTATATGCCTCATTCTGAGTTACAACCCCGCAGATGTCACAGGTGAATCCGGTAGCCGGAAACTGAGCACTGGTGTCGGTCCACCGGGCGCTCGATAACCCCCTTGGACGGCTGAACCCTTCCCTAGGATCTACTACATATCTTGCCATGTTTTCTACCAAGAATCCCTGGCGGAACTCGCCATCCCCCACTGACTGCCTCGTTGGTTCTGCTATCTGGCCCGAGCCAAAGTCAAGGTACCCCCCGCGGCCTCCATACAGGTGGGGACCTAACTGGCGATACCGGCCAGCACCAGTGCCAACTAGGTTGCTGTGGACTTGTTGTTGTTGTGCGGCAAGCTGAAGAGCTTCTTCTTGAACGGCAGCATAGCCAGCCTGGTTGCCTTGAATTTGTTCTTGTAGTGCAGCACGTTGAAGAGCTTCATCTTGAGCAGCAATATAGCCAGCCTCGTTACCCTGTTCCTGTAGTGCGGCAAGCTGACGAGCTTCTTCTTGAGTAGCGCCATAGCCAGCTAGGTTGCCATAAACTTGTTCTTGTAATGCGGCAAGCTGAAGGGCATCTTCTTCTGCAGCACGTTGCATGAATTCGCGCTCTAGGTCAGTAACCTCGCTGAGTGAATGTTGATCCATGGCGGTGATTAGTGTTATCGTTATATCTTCTAAGTTTTGGCTCGTGGTTTGTTGGTGGTAATTGCTTGCACTGAAGCTCTGCTCTGAGGGTTTGAAATGGTTTGATGGGAAAATGAAATACAAGACGCAATTCAAATACTGAAGATGTTTTTATAGATCCTAGAAGCTCTCCTGAGTCCCTAGCTGCTTGAATAACAAGTCAAGGTGAGATATTCAGTTAACTCACTTGAGAAAAGAATGACGGAGAACGGAATCAAGTTATCCTTCAAAGAACTAATGCCGTAGGTATTATTCAATGATGAAACACCATACAGAATGCCATGATATACCTACGCACTTTCTCGCTGCATCTCAATCATCAAATGAGTGGGACAGACCAATATCTCGAGAAACGTACCCGAGAACCCACGTGCTCTGTAAGTCCTCATGCCCATCCGCGCAATAACACCGAAATTTACATGTCTTTCTACTTTCTGCTGCTTCTATGACTAGATACGTAAGCTTAACAGTACTAGTGAGGCAAGGTTACCCGTAAATTTGCCAACTGACACCAGTATATTCAACACATCATCACGTGTCTCAATTTCTGTTGCATAAGGTGGTCTCAGACATCACCCAGTTACGTAGCCATGCTCAGTATAAAAACCCACAAGCAAGTCTATTAGATTGGTTATAATTAGGTGATACTTATAGCTAGGTACCTATTAAGCAATCAAAAGATCATCACGTGCTCCGATGAAATGACTTTGTGCTACATGAGCAAACGGAGAAAGATAAACGGCGAGTATTTCTAGAACCGTTCTTGCAAAAATTTTCTCGACCAGAACTCACCTGCCCACCAAGATGTCTTTGGACGCCGACGCGACCAAGAAATACTTGGCGGCTTGTTTTATATGTGCAGGCAAGGAGTTGGCGCAAAAATCACTGGAAAAGTACTCGACTTTCGAATCGCCTCAAATTCAAACCAGAACCAGTCACCTTCGCTCTACAACCACCTCGATACGAAAACCCACAAATATGGGATGTCCAATCACTCAACTCCCTTCTGAAATCTTGAACGAAATCCTTGACATAGCTGTTGCGGATGGCAGTTGGAAGCATGGAGTCTACACAATTTCGAGTATCTGCAGGGCCTTCCATGAGTATTCTCAGTTGTTTCGTTTCAGAGAAATCTCTCTCCTTCGATACTACGGCCACAGCCTTGCTCCCGCCTGCGAACGAGTCAAAAAGCTTTACGCTCTCGTCCACGCGGACGCAGCTCTGGCAGGACATTGCAAGAGATTTAGCTTTGGCCTGCCTTCGATACGTGCACCAAGCGATCAGTACTATTTCAACTCTATACCGTCGGATTATGTTTTGGGGGATAAACTTATGAAGTTGCTCCCGAATATTGCAAAGCTCGAGATACAAGGCGGATTCTCGCATAAACTCACCTGGCCATTCCTGAAACAGGCTCTCTGTTCTATGAAATACCTCGACAGCGTCAAATTCGAATGCTCCGAAGACAACGACTCGGAGCCTGATTTGTTTCTCCCCGAAGCTTGGGATTGTGTTCAGGGGTTGCTTAAGTTGGAACGCTTAGAGCTTCGTAATATTCGGTTGCCAAAGAACGGAAGCATTTGGAAGCTCTCAGAGGTCAGTCAACGATTCAATCTTTCCTTTGTCGCTATAGTTTCTAACCTCTTGTACTACAGAACGCCATTAGTACCTCTCCCATCAGAAATATCCTCCTTACAGATTTCGGCGAAACACCAGATCCTCTAGGACGGCTCTTAAATCAACCAAAGGCTCTGGAGCATTTCAGTTTGCATATAACTATCGAGAACCGTGATTCTGGAGTCTGGTCATTGGAAACGATTCGAGGTTTACTCTACAATCGCCGTGCTTCTCTGAAAAGTATTACACTTGGTGCTTTGTCCAAACGAGACAGCTTTAGTATATCCAGTCTTTTGTGTCTCCAAGACTTCTCGCAACTAAAAAGCCTTGCTCTCTCGCGCTGGGACATGGGTGCTGATGTCACTCCCGAAGTCGCATGTAACACTCTCCTTGGTCCAAGCCTCGAGTCTTTTCAATGGGACTTTACCAATCCCGAACGAGAGTGCTGGGGCTCCTTCGGGACTGAACAGAAAGACTGGCTTCTAAGATTTGCAAAGCTTGCAATCGACCTGAAATCCAAGCTCAAGAAGATAAGAATCGTCTTCAATCCTCCCTCAGACGATGAGGAACACGGCCGCGCAATCTGGGAGCAAATGTTCCGCTTTTGGCCCTGGGATTTGATGGATGAGGTGAGAGATGCTGTGAGCCCGGACATCGAAGTCACTTATAATGGCCATGTTACCGAGCAAGAATGTGAATGGCTTATCGATCCTTACCAGCGAGAACTTTTTGGGATCAACGATACATCTAGCGAGGACGATGAGGAAGATGAAAATGAGGAAGAGGATGCTTGAGATAGTGTAGAATTTGCGTCATAACTCTTAGAAGATCTCTTTCGATTTATCATTTCTCAGCGTAAACACTGATCACCTCTTGAATAAACAACCTCCTGGCAGTTAAACCAATATAAGGAAGGTATAATTCAAGTCTATTCATATTTCTTTCTTTCATGCAGATAACAACACTAAGAGACAGATTCAGAATCTCTTTGCGAACTTTGAACAAACTTCACATCTCATACAGCATTCGTCCCGTCAAGGCAAGCTTGTGGTTCATCATCGACGGTACTCTTTTGACTCGTCAAACTGACTAGGTTGAAATATTGTGCATATTTTCGATCCGTAGATCTCAACAAGTCTTCGGCATTTAGTACTTCTGGTTGAGGATGAGATGCGGATATCTGATCTTGGTTTAAGCCCGAGCTTCCGGATTTTGATGCCTTTTTCGAGGCTATCAGTGTCGACTTCAGAGAGATGAAGTTGGTTGAAAGGCTGTTGAGAACTTTCAGGTAGATCGAGCCACTGTGGCGGCTCGCCGCAGCAGCGGATGGCATGCAGGCACAGATTATACCGGCGAACATTTCACAAAGCCTAGAAGCAATAGATACCGGTTAGCGCTCATGTGAATCGTAGTAGAAGATTTAATTATATCTGAAGACATACGTGGCAATGTTGACCGGCATCAAAGCCCAGGTGGTATCCACGGTATGGTCGAGAATTCTACGGTAGTGAATGCTTACAGCGGAGCAGACACATGCCCTAGAAAAGTCAGAATGAAGTCACTCCTTGGAAATCTGAAGATGCTGTCTTACATCAATCCTGAGAGAAAAATAAGCATGACGCTGAACTTCCTCTTTGTTGATACGTGTAGTCTAGAGACGCCGATTATGGGGATGAACAAGATATACAGATCGATGCATAGACCGAATATGGATTGAGGAACAGACATGGTAGCGTCTCGGTTCTCGAGTTTTGATACCGCGGCGACAAGCCATGTTTCGCCCTTTCTAGAGGTCGTGAAAGAAAGGCGAGGATCCCAAAGGTGCTATATGTTAGAGTTGTAAATGCTAAACCAATCCAAGAACATATGCATAGCCAAGGAATCGCGTTGAAAAGTTGAAGATATAGAATGAAGAACGTTGATTTCAAGAAGAGGAAGGTGATTGGTGTTAGGACACTAAGCAGCCAGCAAGGCTGGAGGGCGTCAGCTTTTCTATTTTGCAGTATCGAAACAGCGAGAAGTTACAAGCAAGAGGTCAAGGCTCTCCACTTGTAGAATGTTTATATCCCACTCATGCCATCCTATCATCCCTCTTTGGGCACCTATTAACAGAAATCAGTGCGGATACTGAGCGTAATCACCGGTGTGAACTTACCCCAAGTGCAAGCAATGTAGTATGCAACGACACCAAGCTACGATGCATGAGTTCTATTCTGAGGCAATGGTAGAAAGTAAATTACCAGAGCAAGAGTAAAGGTACCTGAAAGCAACCATTTGTTAGCAACAGAAAGTGACTTTTAGAGAGTCTCATGCAGATAGCACTCACAGTCATCCCAAGTGGCTTTCCTGATTTTTATTAAATAAAATTAATTAAAATATAATAAATTATCGAAATATATTAAAATAATTTTAAAATTTTTAATTCAATAATAATGTTAATAAAAAATAAAAAATAATTTTTTTTATTTATATATAAATATTTACGTTAATAAAATTTTAAAATTTTTATTAATTACTGTTACGACTACGTGCACGTGAACTCGCTGAGTCATCTCAGTGAGCTCTGGGTCACGTGGAGGAGCACTGAGGAGCGGACGGGGCTCCTAAGAACTCCTGCGCTCCATCTTGGCCCACCACTGAGGGCAGTATATATGACTGGCACTTCTGCCGTAGAGTAGGAGCTTCGTGCTCAACTTGATTAAGTTTTCCTAACTACAATATCATTGCCTTATCTTACTTCATTCACCATACCAACCCACGTGACCTTACCAGGGTAAGGAGAGAGTCGTGACAATTACGAAGTTAAAATAATTATTATACGCGTTACGTGTATAATATATTAATTATTCAATCAATTAATTTAAAATTACTTAAATTATAATCGAGTTAAATATTGCCTTCTACGATATAAAAGCAATAAAGTACGATATTATATCGGAAAAAGCGGAGCCGAAGCCTGGTCGGGTTGGACTTGGGTCTCGTAATTAGAGCCTGCGCATTTATCACCAACATGATTTAGCCGGAATCATCAGGATATGATCCATGTTCTTTTAACGGGCCGTGCCTTTGTGTTACTGTCATGCACTGTACTCGTTATATAGGAGCAGGCTAGATCTGCCATCCATCGACTGCAGCTCGAACGGCGTCCTTTCGACTACATCCGTCATCGTCTACAATAGCGATCCCAGGTGTTTCAAGGAAAATGTCGTCGTACATATTGAACGCCGTGTGGATGGACGTGGAACAAGTGAGATCGGCGTGAAATGGGAATATGTGCTTTAGTGGTAGATGCTTTAGTGGTAGATTGCGTACCTTTCCAACATCTACACCGAGATCCATGTCGTATCTCTGACCCCCGTAGTTCATGCACGTTGTTCTACAGCTCGGCACGAAGCTTTCACGGCTAAAGCATTTCGGCGCCTTAACCCTAGAACGCGCATATAAATATGTTGGATTGCTTACATCGAGTCAAAATCACTGTGTTACCGTCAGCTCGACGGGTAAAGCTTGCCTTTGTAAGATCCCGATTCTAGATTGCAAAAAAGAGCAAGCAAGCCCAAGGCGATACACTTTCATAGGTTGATCGCAATGAACAGTACGAGAATCTATCTACATTCTTCATGGAAAGCTTGAAATATATCCTGCGATTCGTGATACTGCCTACCACAGCCCGTAGTCCCCATTTTAGCTGGCCTGATAATCGCTGATATTGAAATCATTCGTCACTTGTCGGCGTCGTGCAGCCTGATTAGTTTGAATTCTACTTTTTAATTTCTTTAGTCGCAGATCAGTCAGAAGTCGGAATGTTTGCAATTTGTATCCTTCTTACACAAGGTGTTATATGTTTACTCATTGTTGGATGACTTGTGCATATCACTCAGATCTCTGGTAGTCAACATTGTTACACCTCAACGTTGCTCCACGTTTTTGAGCTAAAGCGCGGCTTTCTCAAACACAATATCGCATCATACTTGCACTTCAGTATGGATTCAATCGACGAAGAAGATGCCATTCAGAAATGGATCCAGTACGTACAGCAGCAGCACCAGCGCTTTCGTCGTTCCTTTGGAATTTGTTTCGAGAACCTCACAACTGAGGGCGTGCAAACGGATTCAGACTACCAGAATACATTTGGAAGTTATCTCCTCGCCATCCCAGAATACTTTGGAAAGGTTCTGTCGGGACGTAAGCAGAGAAGAGTCCGCAATTTGGAGCGCATGGATGGTCTTGTGAAAGGAGGGGAGATGCTGCTCGTGCTCGGACGGCCTGGAAGTGGTTGTTCAACCTTTCTGAAGACAATTGCAGGGGCCATGCACGGACTCTACATTGGTGATGGTTCAAATATTAACTACCAAGGTACTTTGTTCTTTGGATCAGTCTGTATGACTTGTATCTGCGGCGACTAATACCTTATAGGCCTGTCATATGATGAAAGGCACAACAGTTGCAAAGTCGAATCCATCTACGTCGCAGAGCTCGACATTCATTTCCCCGAGTTGACACTTGGGAAAACACTCGAATTTGCTGCTAGCACACGGTCAAGCAGTTCGGGAAAGGACTACACTCCTCGACTCATCAGCCAGTTGGCAGCCTCTATGTTCAACCTGCAAGAGGCATTCAACACTCCCGTGGGCGATGACATGATCAGGGGCATCAGCGGTGGAGAGAAGAAGAGAACCAGTATTGCTGAGGCTTTTATGAGTGGATCTCAGATACAATGTTGGGATAACAGTACACGAGGGCTTGATAGCTCGACTGCACTAGACCTCGTTGCCATGCTTAGGGCCGTGGCAAGCGAACTGGGCTCGTTGATCTTGGTCAGTGTTTATCAGGCGTCTGATACTATCTACAATGTGAGAATGGTCTAGCCGTGTCAAGATCACAGGATCCTAACCGATTGCAGAAGTTCGACAAGGTCATGTTGCTATACGAAGGCAGACAGATATTCTTTGGTTCGAGTCATCTAGCAGTTTCATACTTCACTTCCCTCGGATTCATCAAACCGGCCAAGATTACCAGTGCCGACTTCCTTACGTCAATCACAAACCCTATAGAGCGTATCATTGCTCCTGGATACGAACGCCGGGTTCCATTATCACCAGAAGAGTTTGCTCTCGCTTGGAAGCAAAGCAAAGAGCGCAAGTCTATACAGAACAGTATAATCGATTACAATTACATACATCCTATGAAGCCGGAGAATCTTGCCAACTATCAGCAAGACAGAAATCGCCTTGCAGGATTCTCTAAGTACGATTTGTCGAAAAGCAAGGTAAGAAGTATGTTTTGCTAACAGCTATGACAGACATCATACTTCGCAATACTCTCTTTCAATTATACAACAAATCGGTATTTGCCTATCACGAGCTTACCAGAGACTGATGAGGAACCCCACACCAACAATCTCTGCTATCACTGGAAATGCTATCATGGGTATCGTACTTGGAAGCGTTTTTTACAACCTTGATGACTCGAATGCCAGCATGGACCGCCGAAGCATTCTTCTGTTCTTCTCCATCATGCTCAACGCATGCACCAGTGCGTACGAGGTTAGTTCTCAGCCTCAAAAGCGCTCTCATTGTAATTAATAAGCTTTTTCCAAATCCTTACCATCTGGGTTCAAAGGCCGATTGTCGAGAAGCACTCCCTATATTCATTCTGCCATCCTTTTACCGATGCCTGTGGCTCCATGATCTGCGACTTGCCAAATAAGCTTCTGACTTCCATTCTCTTTAACTTGGCTCTTTACTTCATGTCTAACCTCAGGCGAACCGCATCAGCATTTTTGACTTATTATCTGTTCTGCTTTGCAACCTTACTAACGATGTCTATGGTATTTCGGATGATGGGAAGTTTGTCGAAAAGAATAGAGCAGTCGATGGCTCCAGGATCGATACTGGTTCTTAGTTTCATCATCTATACTGGATTTGTGATACCGATACCTTACATGGTTCCCTGGTTTGGATGGATCAGGTAGATCAATCCAATTGCCTACGCTTATGAGAGTGTGATGATCAATGAGGTCAGTATCATAATCACAGCTCTCATCTAGATAATAGTTAACCTCTTTATCATTTCAAGGGCAGATCGTTTGTATGCTCTTCCATCATTCCTATAGGCCCAAGCTATGTGGACATTTGAAGCAACACCACCACGTGTTCATCAATCGGTGCCAAGCCTGGTCAGAGCTTTATTGAAGGAATCGAGTATCTCTGGGTCAAGTACAGATACCCGCCAGATCATCTGTGGAGGTGAGATCATGGGATTGTTGCTACAAATTTCACACTAAGCTGATATTGCAGAAATGTTGGGTTTCTTTTCGTCTTCATGATTGGATATTGCGCCGTATATCTCCTTGCCGTGGAATATATACCAACAAAACGATTGGAGGGAGAAATTCTACTTTTCAAGAGAAAGAATCTCTCAAAAAGTAAGCTTTTGGATGATGAAGAAGGAAATGCCGCCGATGTACCTAAATTCGGAGAAAAGAAGGAAGACACGTGTCCTACTGTAACAGTATTACAAGACACCAATACTGAGATTTTCTTGCATAAGTTGCCACCTCAAACAGGACAATTTCACTGGAATAATGTTAGCTACGACGTTCAAGTTGACAAAGGCGATACCAAGCGAATCCTAAATGAGGTTGATGGTTGGGTAAAGCCAGGGACAGTTACTGCGCTGATGGTGAATCATCTCACTTTCACCTTTACCGAACTATCTAACCTTGACTTCAGGGTGCTACCAGAGCAGGGAAGACTACTCTCCTTGATGTCCTAGCCGCTCGTACGTCGGTTGGGATTGTGTCGGGAGATATCTACGTAAATGGCAAACGGAGTGACAGAAGCTTGCAGCGTCAGACTGGATATGTCCAGCAAGCAGATATTCACGTGCCGACTGCAACGGTACGTGAAGCCTTGGTGTTCAGTGCAGTTTTGAGGCAACCCGGTAGGACACGATCCACAGATGAGAAGCGAGAATACGTTGAGCAGGTCTTGAACGTGCTTGAAATGCAGTCATATGCGGACGCAGTAGTTGGGGTCCCAGGCGAGGGTGGGTGAGTTATGCTACTTGTTGATACAAATATTGACACAACTAGGCTTGAACATAGAGCAACGGAGGAGGTTGAGCATTGCTGTGGAAATGATTGCCAAGCCAGGACTTCTCTTATTCTTTGGTGGGACTATCATAGCTCCTCGTTGAATCAAGGCTAACTTTAGCCAAGACGAGCCAACATCCGGGCTTGACAGCCAGACAGCTTGGTCCATATGTACGCTTCTCAGAAGACTTGCAGATCATGGTCAAGCAGTTCTCTGTACCATTCATCAACCATCCGCTCAACTTTTTGAAGTCTTTGACCAGCTTCTGTTAGAAAGAGGTGGCTGTACACTTTATTTTGGCGAGATCGGTCGAAATGAGTCTACAATGATCCGCTACTTCGAGATGCATGGAGCCCGAGCATGCCAACCCTCCGAGAATCCAGCCGAGTGGATGCTGGATGTGACGGGTGCGACCCCTAGGTCCAAAAACACGATTTCATGGGCAGAGAATTGGAAGGAAAGTGCAGAGAGAAGAGAAGTAAAGCGCCAGCTCGAAGCTCTGCTGGATGTAGATCCCGCGAATCTGTCGCTAGAATCTTGCTCCAGCGACAACGATGATTACGCGGCATCGCACCTAAATCAGCTGTTAATTGTCACGCATCGCGCATTCCAAGAGTATTGGCGTACTCCTTCATACCTGTACTCAAAGTTGGCACTCTGTGTTGGGGCTGTAAGCTACTCCTTGATTTATTCTGTGGGTCGCTTGCTGACATCTTGAAGGCAATTTTCAACGGCTTTTCTTTCTACATGAGCCCCTACGACATCCAAGGCCTCACTAACATCGTATTTTCTATTTTTCTTCTAACAAATATCTTTGCGAGCGTTGATCAGCAAATAATCCCTCGATTCATTGAGAGTCGCAGCCGATTTGAAGCGCGAGAAAGGAAATCAAAAAGCTACTCATGGATCGTTTTTGTCGCTTCTCAACTCCTAGTAAAAACCGCTTGGCAGACACTTACAGCAATTCTAGAGTTTGTGGCGTGGTACAATTTTACGGGAGTTTGGAGAAATGGTGGCCCGGGTTTCAATATGAATGAGCGAGCAGGTCTATCATTCGTGTTCATCTGGCTCTTTTGTGTGTTCGCGTCCACATTTTCACAGGCCGTGGCTGCAACAAATGAACACGCAGAGACAGCTGTTAATATCGCTCAATTGTTCTTCTACCTATGTGTAATATTCTGCGGGTATGCACCATTCTTGTCCTTGGTATCTTGTTTGTAGAAGCTAACATTCATTACTCTCTAGGGTCATCGTTCAACCGGCTCAGCTGCCTGGCTTTTGGAAATTCATGTACCGTGTCTCGCCTCTCACGTATCTCATCCATGGCATGGCCTCCGCGACTCTCGGTAATGCCAATATTACATGTTCGTCCATCGAGCTCGTCCTGATATCACCTCCTTCCAACACCAGTTGCCGCGAGTATCTCTCCAGCTACATTCTTTCAGCCGGCGGGTATCTCGTGGATCCAATGTCTGAGCTATCATGCCTTTTCTGCCCAATCACAGAAGCAAATCCGGTTTTGGCAAGCTTTGGAATCCATGTCCATGATCGATGGAGAGATTATGGAATTTTTTGCGTGTACTCCGCTATTAATGTAGTTGCGACTTTCATTCTTTACCGACGGAAGAAGAAATAAGCTTGCAAGGTATCAAGTAGGGGTTTTCATAGACATAGTCATAAAAACGTTTCTTTCTAGCCTGAATGATCTTAGTAGACGTGATATGTATACTAGATTTGGAGAGATTACAAAAGTTCGAGCCAGTGTCTTTGCATCCACAGTCCGAGGAAGGCCAATTAAATAGTATTATCTGTGTGACATGTGACTTTTGGACTTTATGCATGGGTACACAATACATCGGGAGGCAATCCAAGTCTTGGCTTGGGTATGATTCATGCAACATAGCCGATTGCCACATTGGTATGAAAGTCGTCTGGAAACGAAAAATCTGTGTGAGATTGCATGATAATCCTATTCTTTAGATATTAATTGTGAAACTTAAACGGATTGATGTGTGCCGTGCCAATTCTAAATGAGATTGGGTTGAAGTACAACACCAGCAAAGAACCTCAAGATTACGTAAGATTATATCAGAAACAGAGAGGTGATCACATGTCTCAAATCTGACATCGCTTTTCCTTCCTTGTCCTACTGCAACATCATCAACATCATTGCTTAGCAGCGCTCGGAGTATGCAGCACTCATTAGCATACTGAGTCTTATGATGATTTCTATGACAGCTTACATACTAATCCACAATATGCTGAGTGCGGACAGCGGGGCGGATTACGTTCGATGAGATTGCGGTTGTCTACGTTTCCCTGCTCAATTCGCCATGGACAAAGTCTATGTTCCGCTGAAGAGAAAGCTTGAATTGGTTTCCCGAAGCCATGAGAGCGGTCACGCAAGTCAGTCCAATCAAACAAATGATGGACCTCAGGCAAGCGGCTCGTTCGAGGACAGCGGGGTAGAGGAAGGCGAGATAATTGAAGGTGGTCGAGCTTCACCATGGACAACAAACTCAAGAACGACCACCCCAAGTCTTGCAACACACGGCTATCCATCAGCATCTCCAGGCCAACATTTATGTAAATCATGTTCATCAATTGATTTCAACAAAATTAAACCTGGACCAGCCATCTGGAAGAACACAGCTTTGGAGCTTGGCACCCTCTCTCAATTTACCGTGGATCCAGATTGTCCCTTATGTTCATTGTTCGCTTCAATGGCAAGTCTAGCGTACGCACCAAACACCAGCGACAGTCGAACTATAAACGATGTCAAATTCTATCTGTGCTCATTTTATACATCTGCGATGTACAGTCACAATTGGAGAAACTCTCGCACTCTCCGTGGATTACAAAAGTCGATTTCTTTTGCTGTCATTGATGAAGACGTTCTGAATGACAGAGATGAGTCCATTTCAAAGGAAAGAAAGATGTCTCATGCCCTCTGGCCTTCAAGGACATCAATTGAACGCAGCGGCTGGTTGAGCCCTGTGCAGAGGATAGGGGAGTACAAAAGTTTTGCAGCTATCGTCTTGAAGCCTCAGGCTGAGTTAGACATTGTTAGCAAATGGCTTAACTTTTGCCTCGAGCATCATGGAGAGACTTGTGATCCGATCGACAGGAGATCGATACCTGCTCTTCGGGTTGTGGATTGTGATGCTGGGCTGGTCGTGTCCGCCGAACCAGGATGCAAGTATCTTGCAATGAGTTATGTGTGGGGCAGCTCTCCTTCAGAGGAGCTCAAGGATGGCGAGAGCCTCCTTGCAGACAGTACTCCGACCTTGATCAAAGATGCGATTTCGGCTACCAAGATGCTAGGGTATCGCTACTTATGGATTGACAAATACTGCATACCTCAAGAAGACGGAAAAGAACGCCACTCGCAGATCCAGCAGATGGATTTGGTATATAGAAAAGCCCAAGCTACCATCATTGCTATCGCAAGTCCGGATCCCAGCTATGGCCTCTCTAGCCTGGAAAATCGGGAAAGAGCACCATCCGTCACGATTAGGATTGGCAACGAGCTGCACGCCTACGTACCATCTCATCCAACTGCCGAAGTGTATGGCTCTGTGTGGAACAGTAGAGGTTGGACACATCAAGAGACCATCCTGTCGAGACGACGCATCTTCTTCTGCAAGTATCAGATCTACTTTGAATGTGCCGGCATGCGCTGTCACGACACCATGATGGCGCCTTTGGAGCTCCTTCATACAAAAGAATTGCGAATGTTCTCCAAATGGAACAGACCTGGCCTATTCACAAGAGTCCGGCAGACCAAAGATCCTTTCAATGCGGTGTTCGACCACATTACAGTATATACTCGCCGTAATCTGACTCGACCGGAAGATATCTTGAACGGAATCATGGGGACATTCCATGCTTTTGAGAGTATCTATGACTCTTTCCGGCATTACTTAGGCATTCCAATGGTCCCAGACAGTACCTACACTTCTTTCGACGACCAGAATGTCCGACGATCAACTCGCACAGAGCAGTTCCTCACGGGTCTCTGCTGGCACTTGTCCGGATCATGGAAACGTCGTCCAGGCTTTCCGAGCTGGTCTTGGGCAGGCTGGTACGGGACACTACAACCACACTCTGAAGAAAAAGGTTACGCAAAGAACAGATACGGAGTTAAGATCTGGATCGACTCGATTTTCACCTCGCAAATGGATCTCGGAACATTCTGCGACACTACTTCAATGGAAGTGTTTCCCAAAGATCCAGAACCATTTATCTTCATCGAAGCTGAGTTCTTCAATGTGAGATTTCGTTTGGCAACACGCAGAGATGTGAAGACGGAGTCTAAGTGGGAAGCTGTGTTCGAAACTACGAATGGGGAGCTATTCTGTGCACCTTTTCACATCACGAGACATACGTCCGTTGGAGATGACTTCTATACGAGGATGTTAAATGACTCTTGGTGTGCATTCGTCCTTGGGGATCGGATGAAAACTCGAATTCACGCCGCGTCCAAGAGAAAGATCTTAAGCAACGAAACTCCGCATGCCATCGTCGTTGTGGTTGAAGAGCTTAATAAGGAGATGATTGAACGTATTGGCATAATCGAACTTGACAATCCGAACGATCGCGCACGCATGGTAGACATATCGAAGCATAGATCTCTTCGCAAATTTGGGTGATAGCTCCGAAACTTCCATGGTGCTGGTGGAATTGTGACTTTCCGCACTCGTTGCGATACTGAACATCAGCCAGGAGCCGTGGTCAAGTCCATTTAATTTAGACGTAAACGGCTTAGTTCGATAGGAAGTCGTCGCTGCCATCTTAACAAGGCAGCAGCAATGCACAAAAAGCTGTATAAGAAGTACAACCCCGCGTGGAACCAGGTTCGTAAACCCAACAATGTCAGTCCGCTACAAACCTAAACATCTACGTAGCCTCTATATGAGTTCAAAACATATTCAGCAGCGAAGCTGAGTTCTTCGGTTTGAGCGTTGGGGTCGTGAAGTGGGCTTCGTCACAAGAAACCACGTCTACTACATCGGCATTGTCCTTTTGTTCTTCTTGTCATGGCTGCTGGCTACGGGACCAACGACATTGAGCGCCAGTTCGTTCTGCACCTGAGATCCAAGATTCCGCGACGGTGCAACGATACTGGTCAGAGCGGCCTGAGGAATATTAGTGTTCTTGGTCCAGACAAATTTCGGCTTGGAGCGACAATCATGCTAGCGCGACGATGCACAACATTTCACTCGATATGGAGAGGCTGCAGCACATCTTTATTTGATGGCATACGGTGGATGTTGATGCTTACATAGCTGTGGATTGGAAAGCTAAAATCAAAAGCTCGTGTCTGCAGCGCTAGCTAGAAGTTTTGCGCGGTATTCCTTCCTGAACATGTTTTGCCCCTCTGCCCCAATGGAAATATCCTCCAAGTCCTAGCAAACATCCCTCAATCAGCATCCCCTCAACCTCTTGACGAGATGCAATGTAGCGCCGTGGTTGATGCCATAGTTCAGAAGCATCCTACCATCTTCCAATTGCCTACCTGCGAAGATCAACCGTTGTTGGTCGCTGGGCATACCTGTGAGGTCCTGAAGCACGCTCTTCACATTGTCAATAGTAGCATTTCTTTCGACCATAATACCGTAGGTATCTCCGTCCAGAAGATCTCTAATAACTAAGGGAATTGGATCTTGAAGGCGCATATCTGGCTGAGGGAGGTTGAGTTGAAGAGGAGGAGATGCAATTGGATCAGCTGAGAAAAAGGCACGGTAAAGAGCCCTCATGGCAGTCAATCGTTGTTGACGCGAAACCGATTCCTCGTTGCTTGCTCCAGACGGTCGGTGGTGAAGGACAACCCCAAGGGCGCTTTGCAGTTCTGCATAGAACTTTGTGTCAAGAATCGCGGCGTGCCAAACCTCATCCACTGTTTCACAAGTCAGCATGAAGTGCGCAGGATAGTCTTCGGAACTGGACTGACTGAGTGGCGTGGGACTGATCTTGTCAGCATCGGTATCAACTGTGAACATCTTGATAGCCAGAAGTCGACGGAACTCCTCAATCGCCAATGCTCCGGTAGTTCGGTACAGCATAGCAGCGCGCTCTGCAGGTACCTGAAGGGCATCAGAGAATCGTGAACCGAAGAGAAATGCGACAGCTTCAGCTTTATTTAGCACGATTTGTCGATAGATAGGAGGTACAACCGTGGCGGCTGGGCTGGCGTTCATGGCGGCGACGGACATGTTTGGAATTGCGTTCGAGGAAGGTGTAGACTCTAGACGCTGGCGCTTTACTGGACCTGCTGCTGCTCTCGAGTCAAAGATAATACTTCCACCCGAAGAACTTTCGCTCCTGGAAGCTCCGCGCTTAAGAGCTCTCCGAGATCTGGATGACATTTGGTGGGGAAGGACAGATCGGAAGGTGGAGGGAAAGAAAACGAGGAAGAGGCTAGAAGGTTCAGAAGACTAGAAGTAGAAGAGATACGGAGGCTGAGGCAGTAGACTCAGACCGCCTTAGGGGAGCCATCTCGATTAGGCATAACCGACTTGTATTGCCCTGGGCAAGTGAACAAATCGTCTTGCCTCACTATAACAGGCGTGAAACAAGACTCAATCACCAAATCTTCTTCAAAGCTTCCTAGAATCTTTGTTCCAAGGTCATCTTGAAGACAAGGAGACGTGAAGAGCGCTTCCTGTCTTGCGTGTGGAAGAACCTTTCTTTCTGCCATGCGGTTAAACGCGGAACTCGTCAACACGTGATCGAGAAAGTCACCTGGGCAAGACCTCAGATTCACATTCTCTGTCAGTTTCGTACATCATGGCTCAGAAAATTGTATCACGAGGCCTTCAGTCTTTGTTGTCTAAATAAAGCCCTTGGAAACAGTTGATAGCTACTCATGAATGGTGCTGGACATGTCAAGAACAGCACGTCCTCTACGCAGATACATCGCATTATGTTTGGTGACGTTGCGGGCACAGAAGTAGAGCTGTCCTGCAATCTCTTTTTGGGGCAGGAAGAATTAGCTGTATCTGATCAGATGTAACTTCTTCTGCGTATCCCTTCTATTCTCAACGGCATTTCAAAATTTGAGGACTTGGTAGTTTGTTCCAAGTCTTCTGCGTACTTCATATTGCATTGAGTTGCTTTGATCTTCTCTGTAAATAAATCTTTTTACTTGGTGTTCTGTTTCTTAGACATTAGTTGGGATTCTTCGAGACAGTTTCGGAAGATCCGGTGACATCTCCTGTCCAGCGCCAATGATAATTTTATATAGACCTACCACAATGTATTTGAAGAATTTATACTTTTATTGCACACACTACCTGGTTGATAGATGCTCATATCCTTTCTGTGCGAATTCAAGGAGAGGCCCGAAGGTGACGAGAAAGCCACCTGGTCGACTTTAATTTACTATATTTCAGAAGCACTCGTGGTCACAAGCAGCGATAATTTGTATTTCAGTACGTCATGTACTTCCTCATTATTTACATGTAGAGTAGAGATGTTTCTATAAGCCATGCTCGTAACACAATATGTTCTCTCAAAATCCTTCTTCAGTACGCAGTGTGCCTTTAAGAATATCCTCCAGCACATCCTTCAGGGTCATGACACGGTCCCGGGATCAGAACTTTCTTGATGGACCACAAATGCCTACCCCAAAGCGGGCAACTGTGCCTTGTGCGGGGAATTTCGGAATTTCCCACACAAGGCACAGTGGTAGCGCGTATCGACGCACATTTGTTTTGATGTAATAGTAGAGGTTTGGTGTCTGTTTTCGCGTGTTCTTGTTTGGTGTAGCAGCTGCTATGTGTGGTCGAAGTTGAAGAAATTTGACTTTTACGAAAGATTGCGGGGCTTTTATGACTTCCTATAATTTTGAATAACACTTAGCAGATTGTATCAAAATGATCTCATTTTATTCAAAAAAGGCTTGAATCACGCACTGAATGGCGTGAAGCCAAAGACCAGGGGCAAGTGGGAGAGCTAGGATATGAACATTGTAGAACATGCAGGAAGGTCATCTTCAGGAAGTAATGCTACCGACATGGCATTTCTGATATTTGAAATGTCAATCCAATTTCGCACGAAGCTCAAGATCTGTATGGGCAAAGCTTGGGACCCGCCTTTGTAGGTAGTCGAGGCAGAGCAGCAGGCAATTGTACTGGTTCTATGAGCTCAAAGTTTATTGGATTGCTATCAATATTTACAGTCTTTTGAATCTGTCAGTGCTCCAAAGAGTCTATTGCACACGGCTCTCTTTCTGAGAACGTGAGAGGTTCAAACATTCATGATCACGTGGACCCCTATTCATGTTCTGAACTCGCTTTCTAATGCAAGGATACCATTTCATAAAGCCATGCCTAGCATACTTCTCATCTTCATCGCTTTCAAACTTCTCCCTGCATCCATAATACCCATTTCAATATCATAACCAAGGACTTCGCCTGCCAGGTTGCTAAACTTTTCAGCTGTAGGTAGTTTCGGAAACAAGCATCTACCAGCCCATCTGAGCATAGATACAAAAAGGTCCCAAAAGCGAGTCCGACAGTGGGAATGGTGTATGCACCGATCTGCTGTGCGGGTGAAGCAATATCCAGAAGACGGAGAATGGTAGCGAAGCACCCCATCACCATGCTTACTGCAAGAATCAGATGAATTCTGATTGTTGACCGAAAGGACTCCGGCACGAAGAGGTCCCGATGCGGTTCCATATGAAGCCAGCTTGCTCGGTCGCTCCGGATCAAGACGTTGCCATGTTCTACGTCAAGCAATATCCCCACTTGTTCAAGCTCGTTGCTCGAGTTCCCGATATTACTGAAATCCACATAATGTCTCCAAATGACAGGGCAAAGGTAACTGGTGTGGGTTATATTCTTTTGCTTCCTCTTGACGAGTAGGCAACATCCAAGCCGAGCAGGTCCTGCTGTAGCAAAAGCCATAGAGGAGGTATCAAGAATCAAAATGTTATCCGAGTTATCTTCAAGATTGTTTGGTGTTGTCCGTCGAGATTCTGCAACTCAACCTAGATCTTCTCCTCTAAATGATTATTGTCGCTCGGAACAATTGAGTTCCACTGGTGCCCACTTGTTTTGTTGACTTGGACTGCCATCACGTTACATCCTTGTTTCTTGCTATCCTCCTCCCTGAAATGACTTGAGGGAATCAGGACTCTAGATGGAGTAAGCACAATTTGCAATGTCCGTTCCCATAATGGCTCCCCACCTTTCGGGAAGCACGGTATCCAACGGTCATCCTCTACATCCAAATACCGTTTCGTTGAGATGAAGAACAAATCCAAGGGCAGCTGTATATGCGACCCTAAAACAGCTTTCTTCTCGTCTTTGGTAGACAATCCTAGTTAGATCTCCTGCCCTGAGCTCGAGCAGATTAGCCAAGATCTCGAGCGACTCGTAGTTGTGTGTAATGTTTTTCCGAGATAAATCATTCCACACTCTGATAAGTCTGAGTTCAGGTTGACATTCGAGATCTTCGGGAAACGAGCTTGTGTATCCGATCCTTTCTTCCAAACACATTGGACGAACGGAATATTGCTACTATCGATGATATCTAGGTTGGTAGTAGGCGCAAGTATGTTTGAGATTGTGTTACGAGGTACGAACGCCTTAAAAATCTTTCACGACCAAGCTAGCAATGTTAAGTGCCAAAAAATCTTTTACTTCCATCATCGCTACATTCTAGGCAGAAGAGTGCGTGTGAAACGTGCAAGACAGAGCAAACTAATAGAACATTCAAGCCGAGCGTTTAGCAAAACATGATCTAGAAGAGCCAAAGTTATACCAGTAAAGCTACTATAACATTGACAGCGATCTGTAACGAGGCTGCAGATCTCAATCTAGTCATATGGAAGATACACAATATCCGCTCCTTCAACCGAGTTCTGATCTAAAATACGGGCTTGAATGAACCCGTAGCCTCAACGATCCTCTTCTCCGCTTTTCTAGAAGATTCTCTTGCCGCCATTCTCTGCAAATAGTCATGAAGCTTCGGATGAGTGCCTTTCGATAGACCAGCCCATTCAATAGCTGCCTGGAGTGGGAAAACGATCATAATGTCCGCGACGGTCAAATTTTCCCTAGCGAGATACTCCCCATGATTCGGTGAACTCGCCAGTTGGCTCTCAAGGAAGTTAAAGTGCCGTTTGAAGTTGGGATCGAGGAAGCTTTCGCTGATCTTGCCTGATATCATCCGAGTGATGGGTTTGATGAAGAATGGCACGGGAGCGTTCTGTATGTCTACACATTGTTAGACTCGTGACCGAGTAACAGACATGGAAGGAGTAAGAATGAAGAGTCGAGAATTAACATACTTCGAATCACAGCCGCAATACCCAACAATGACATCAAGCTACCCTCAATGTAATGCGAAAAGTAACGAAACCTCATCCACTCCTCAGTCTCTCAATGAAAAAGACCCTCCTTTCCTGGAGTCCATTTGTCTGGAATCAAATGCTTGCCCCAGTGCTCAGCCAGGTATTCGCATATAACAGCTGACTCGGCGAGAACAAGAGGTTGCTCGTTGGGAGTTTCGATCACGACTGTTGGCGATTTGCCCAGTGGATGGATATTTTGAAGTTCGCTTGGCGCAAGCCCGTCTTTGTCTCGTTTGTAGGCTTGAATGTCATATTTCAGGTTCAGTTCTTCCAAGAGAACTAAAACTCGCTGAGCTCGAGAGCTTTCTAGCCTGGGTGGAAATGATTAGCAAGATTCTTTTGTGTGATGAACATGCAGAGAGTCTTACCAATGAATGGTTACTTTGAAGTCCTGCTCTTGGGTAGGCATAATTTTATGTGATGCGCGAATATCGCAAGCCTGGGACGTGATAGGAAAACAGATAGTCTTCAAGGTAATGTTGAGAAGCTGGCCAGAAGACAATTATATAGAAAATAAAAAAACTCGATTGAAATATTGATCGTACCTCTAGATGCAGATTACCCCTGCCACTTCAATGACATGAATATGCACTTTATCGCCAACAATCCGTGAAATTCCAAATACTATGCGTTAGGCTATAGGCTATAGGCTATAGCTATTGCCGCATTCTCCGAGCGTGTTTTCGGTGTAGTTCCCACTTTTTAAAGCTCCGAAAGCTCCTGCCCAATTAATGGTTAATAATTTATGGGTCGAGACACATCGTATTGTATCGGCCAATGAGGGTTTGGAGAGTATGATTGCAAAAACGCAAAGTAAGCGCAACTACGCGACAACGAATCTCTCAATCGCATCAGCGAGTAATAGTAATAAAGAGCAAGATCATATAACTCCAAGTTAGACAACGATACAGCTCGTGATTACGAATTCAGAAATCAAAAACAACCACAGACCACCTCCCAACAATCAAATCAACCTCGCAGCCTCTTCACTTCCCACTCCTAAGCTCCTCCAACTCTCCGTCCTCCAGGCCCTCATCGCCCTCCTCTTCATCCTCGCCATCCAAAACACCCTCACCCTCACCCTCCATATCCACATCATCATCCTCCTCCTCATCATCCTCATCCCCCCAACTTGGCTCATCAAGCGGCTTAGTGTAATCCGGTCTTTCCCGGACTAGTTAGCCAAGGTTCTCATTTAGGATGACAACGTCTGAAAGAAGCAAACAATCGGGCAGTTACTTGAGCAAAGGCTTGACACCAAGGGCTTTCAGTTCCCGCATCAGCTCTTGCTTATGCTCCACCACATCCATGACATCGATCTCGGAATCGGTGTCTGCGCCATCGAGGACACCTTCTTTGTTATCCCCGACACTCATAGCGGTGGCTTGATCGTCGTTGATTGTGAGGGTGGTGACTCTTTCGTTGAGGGGAGTCTGTTGTTAGGTCAGCGAGGAAGTGAAAGCGACAATAAAGTTTGACTTACAACAACACCATCCATCTCCATTTTCATCGGGTTTTCTGGACCTCCTCCCATGATTCTTATCAAGATATCTCAATATTCGACTTGTTATTATACCAAATTTCTCCAGAACCAAAAATCCGTGATAAGAAAGAAAGAAGAACAGACTTTCTCTCATGAAGCCTTTATATACCCCCTCGCTTAACAAACGCGACACAATACACGCTTCAGCCTAACCAATCAACTTGCAACTCTCTTTCTATCAACCAATGAAAGGAGAGAGTGTGCGGCACAGTTTTTAGGCAGCAGAAGTGGAGATAGAGGGAGGAGGTGATTGGGTGTATGTCACGTGAATTTATGCTTGGGGGCCAATGAGGGGAGGGAGAGCGGTGTTGTTTATGGGGGTACAGAGGGTGAAGTAAGGTTTGAGATAGAGAGGTGAGGGTAGGGATCAGGGGACGAGGGTGAATATTTGACTTTGGTACACCGAAAGATTGTCCACACTTTTCTAACCTCGTGGAAAGGTGTAAATGTTCAGCTGAAGTGCACCCAGATCAGATAACCACAATGACCCCATAATAAAAACACTTAACAAAACCACAGCATTCCAAAAAAGCAGGGACATTGGCACTCGCCAGATATTCATTCAATTTGAACGATAAGATGATGATATTAGGTACCATGGATTCAATCCAATTAAGCTCGTAGTACATATCTATCTCCTACGCCAAACGCCAATCGCTATGCCGCGAGCCCAGAACCAAACCCCTCTCCAATATCGGACATTCATATCGCTTGCACCTTTCTGTAATTCGGCGGTTTCACTGCCCGTCTGATCAACTTACCAGCGTAAGGAGGAATGAGTGAAATTGCGCCAATGGCGAGAACGCGCCACACGAAGCCCCTGCTTCACGTTAGTATTGTTTCCATTTGAATGGAAGGAAATGATACATACCATGTAACGATGAACGCCAAATCGTAGTACCTGCCCAGGAACGGTATGCTGCCTACATACAGGAGGAATGTCCCAACCAAGCTGATGATCATTACTGGATGCCAAGTCGTAACCTCGAATGCCACCATGCAGAGTTCGTTCAGGACTAGGACTGTGAAGGAGACTGAGACCATTTTTGGACCATCGACTTCAGTGAGAATTTGAGACAAGCCTTGGATCATGCCACCTTGGTAAATGGAGACGAAAACCCAGACGAAGAATGTGCGGTATGAAAGAGCCGCGCCAGAGGTCAACTCTTTGTAGAGTTCCGGGTATAGATTCGCGAGATTCTCATCGACGTCTTTATCGAGGACAAGGGAGAAGACTGGAGCCATAGTGTAGACAGTAGCATATCCGACCATTAGCCAATCTTTGTACAGACCCTCTGGCTCGAACTTGATGGCAATGCTGTACATTGTCTGGCAGACGCTGATGATCAGACCTCTGTGAATGACGAATTGAGCAAGCTTGGCTGAGCGTTTATAGCTGTTCCTTCCATGCCAGACGAGAAGCTTGGTAAGATGGCAGAATTGCGTGATAGAGAAATCGGCAGCTAGGGAAGCTTGTCGTCCTTCTTTGCCAACGATACCGACCCCGACATCTGCGGCCTGAATCATGCTCACATCATTTCCTCCATCGCCAATACAGCAGACGCGCTTTTTGGTGAACTCGCGGATGAGAAGAGCGACGTCTGCTTTTTGTGTGGGTGAACACCGGCAGGCTATGACGGCAGGCAAGAGAACCGCCAGGCTGATGAATTCGGTTCGGAAGTGAGTTAGAAGTAGAGCTAGCGACTCGCCGTCGATGAGCAGAGCAGAGTCTTTCTTGCCACGAAGGAAATCAAGATGATCTTGGGCATTGTCCTTCCGTTTCAGCTTGGCGATGGTATGGATATATTGTCCTCTGGCAACAAGCTTGGCGGACACAGCGACACAACGAGCAGTCTCCACTTTGTCACCAGTCAACATCCAGATCTTGATGCCAGCATTTCGGAGGAGTTCGAGTGAAGGTTTGACATCTCGCTGAAGCTTATCTTCCACGCCAGTAACGCCAAGTAACTCAAGATCACGTTCCAGATAATGGCTGACGACACGTGCCATTCCAGCATCTCGTCCATTGATTGCGACAGAGGCTTCCTTGAAATTTGCAGCGAACTCTTGATATTGCTGAACAGACAATCGTTTGCGACCAACAACCAACGTTCGTAGTCCCTCACGAGCCATGTTTGAAGTCTCTTCATCAAGCCAATCATTCGCTACCACGATGGAGGTCATGACTGTGTCGGCTCCCTTCTGGTAAAACCATATTTCACCAGCTTCAACACCAGTTGGGGCTTTAGCGTCCATGCTTTCCAAGAATTGCACGACAACACCCATCCGTTTGCCATCTGAAGTAAAAGGGAAAATTTCGAGAATTCGGACTCGCACCACCGGCAGACCTGTGTCTGTAGATTGTAGCGTCATACCCTTGCGATCGCGGTGGATCAATTTCAAACCAACTGCTTCTGTCCATTTTACGATAGCAATTTCATCGGGCGAAGATGCTTGGTAGGAAGTGATAGTTTGTCCATTCTCTTCTTCGGTGGTAGGCGTCACGTTGTGGCAAACAGCCAACGCCAGAACGACATCACGCACACGCGATCCGATTTCTCGGCGAGTGCGAGTAGCAGTGGTTGTGGCGGGTGCTGTGAAGGTCGATGATGGCGTGATAAGCATCCCTGATTGACTTGAATCTGTAGAGGCTGGCAGGGAGAAGCCTTGCTTGATGTACGTAGCTACTTCATCCATTGCTTCATTGGCGTATGAGACTGTTCCCACATGGATTTTCTTCATCTCCATCTCATTTTGTGTCAAAGTTCCAGTCTTGTCGCTGAGCAGGTATTCGATTCGACCAAGCTCCTCTGGAATTGTACTGGTCCTAACAACAGCTCCCGCGATTCCAGGATCTCGATGAATGAACCAAGAGTATGCACTCTTACCCATATCCAGGTTGACTCGAAGACTGATTGGAACAATGGTCGAGAAAAGGACCAAGAAGCGCATAATCTTGACATACCACTTGATCCCTTCGACACCTTTCAAACTTTCAAGTGCAACCAGAACCACAGACAAGGTCAGGGTAAGAGCGCAGAGAATTTTGGTGAGCGAGTTAATTTCATACTCCAGAAGGCCAGTTTTAGAACGAGAAGGAGATGTAGAAAGTGCAGACCGAGTCTGAGGACCCGTATACACAATGACAGCAAGAGTCGTGGCATTTGAAGCGAGGATGGTATTGCACCATGCGGTATTGTCAATGCTCAACGAAGCCGAATTGGGCTTGGTTGATGGTTCGTCCTGGGTTACTTCGCGGCTTAAGGGCGATGATTTTGGAAGATTTGGATCATACCCATTACTCCTGGGTAGTAGTTCTACAGTGCCAATAAATTCATTGACCTTCTTGTCGGGTTTGCCAGCCACCACTCGTAGACGTACGAATTCTGATGGATTTAGAGATTGGGTGAGAGGCGATGCCAAACGAAGCTTCCAATCCGTTTCGCCGTCCAATTGGTCCGTCCGTATGAATGTCTCTCCGACACCAGCGGCATCAGCAGCAGGTGTATTCCCTTGTTCAGAAGTCGACTCGTGACCTTCAGCAACGGTTGTAGATCTCTGTTCGATAGGAGGATCAGATATCGGTTCGACAAGCAGTGATTCTGAGACCACCGGCCGCTCTTCTTCGTGTGGCGCCACCGCTGATTCATTGCTGTAGCTCTTCAATATCACAACGTCTGCCGGGACACGCTGGTCCTTTCCCAACTTTAGAACGTCGCCAACTTTCAAATTGCGAGACTTCTTAATGATTTCATGAACTTCTGTTGAGGGTCTCGCTCGTCCTTGGCCTTCTGCACTTTCTTCTTCTTCTTGGATGTCCGACAGCCTGTCTGCCTCCACCAAAGACCGTCGCTTCGATTTGGCGTTTGCTTTCGATTTCAGCTTCTTCTTTGCATTGAATTTGTCCGAACCACTTTCTCCCGGCCTATCAAATGATAGCACAGTGTAGCCTTCCGAGTTCGCTTCGTTGTCCCTTCTCCTTCGTTCAATGTCATCATATGCTTCCTTCCCTAACGTAATGGCTAAAACACAGACCAATGGTACAATGTAAGTCGAAATGTACCCTATTCGTAAAGGGGGAATCGCTTGCGAAAGTGCGACGAGCAAAAAGTACATGTTAAAAAAGAAAGAGAATTCGTTATACAAAGTGACTGGTAAGAAACTGATGGGGGTATATTTCGCATTCGAGACAGCATTTAGAGGGAAGCGTGCGGATTGTAATGTGCCAACTGACACTGTACGTGACGATGCCGGATCATGTTCTTCTTCTTGGGTTTCATCATCGCTCGACACTGGCTGGTTGCTGTTCGCAGAGAGAAAGCTGGGAAGCCGTATGTGTGATCCTAATTTATTGAAAGCTTCGACACTTGGCCGCCGGCGATGGCCGTTCGCTGCCAGGAGGGGCGCGCTGTCTTCCTGCCCATCTACGCTCCCAAAGCTTCCTGCTGAAGGTCGACTTGGTTCATCGTTCAACATTCCATGTAGGTCTTCATTGTTCGCATCCCTGTCCTTCCCCAGATCACCATATCCTCTATTCCGCTTGCCTAGCCCTCTCAACCCGCTCATGCGTAAATTCCTCAGCGGTATATGCGGCACTCTGCGCTCGTCTTGTGGTTTGCGATCCTTGCGGGAAGATGAGGGCCCAGCTGGACTCGAGGTTGTGATCGGGTCGAGCTCCTGGATGTCGAGGTCGAGGTCTGAATCCGAGTCATCCGCAGGAGAATTGGGGGCTTCTGGTTGATGATAATCTCTCGAAGGCATGCCTCATTGATGCGGTGGTCTTCTTGCGGGTGTGTGGAAGAGCGTGGGAAGAAGGAAGTTCAAGGGAAGGGAATCTGCAGCATGCAAGAGAAGACTGTAGCCTTGCCTGTCTGTCTCAGCCACGGAACATTGACACGCGGTTGTTCCGCTGATGCAGCCAAAATTCCTCGGTCGATCCCGGTCGCCGTACCAGATGACCTGCGTACCAGAAGAAAGATGCCGAGGACAACAACAAAATAATCTCTGGATGGTGAAAGAACAAACAAAGCAGAAAGGGCTTCAGATGTTATGGTATGATCAATTTATTACTATTGTATACATCTTTACCTAGAATAGTTACAAATTCCGTGCCAATGATTCACTATCAAATATGTATTGTCATCGTCCTGTCTTGATGGTGTCTGCAGTTTACCCTATCGAAAGCTGGCCTCAATGCTAATCCTCGCCTCGTTCCGTCGCTCGAAACTCCAGATTCAGAATCTTTGTCCGATCATCTAAATACCTGCTTCCTGAATTCTTCACAGCTGTGGCAGATGGCTTCAGTCCTCCAGCTTCGATATTTAATCTGATTTTGTCTTTTAGCGGATATCCTTGTATAAGTGAGTCTGAGTCTCTTGCTCCCAATCCGGCAATCTGGGGAATGACGCAGGCTGGAGAAAGGAAGGAATAAGGGGAGGTTGATATGCTGACAACAACCAGTATTCAGTTCTTTTCCGCCCGGCACACAGTTGTCGCAATGCCATCGGAATCCTCGAGTCCTTGGCATCCTGCCTTTATGCCAAATTCCGAAGCCGATCTAATTGCGACGAAGAAGTCCGCAGAGTCAACACATGCGAGCTCGCAGCCAGAGCCCACTCCCGAGTCTCCCAAAGCAGAGCCCGTTACGTCTCCATTAACGGTGGACACTGAGCATGGCCTGGAAGAGCAGGTAGAAGAGATAGAGCATAATGGGGCGGATAATGATGGACATCCTGAGCTATCAAATCTCCGAGATGCTCTTGCAACATCTCTAGCCAGCCCCGGTGGTGTCGAGCTCGAGGAAAGCCCATTGCACAATGAAGTGCAACCACCGGAACCCGAGGAGCAGGAAAGGGCAGATTTCCCGTCAGAAGAACCTTCGAATGAAAGCAAGCATTTGAGCACAATGTCCTTCACTCGGACAGTTTCGCATGAGGTGAACTGGGGAGAAGACGACGAGGTTGATCCGGAATGGAATCTTCATCGAACAGATACTGACCCTTTCAAATTTATGGCAAAATCAGACCGAACCAATTCTTTTCCTGCGGTCCCACCAGCACACTCCGCGTTTAGTCATCCAGAGGAACAGCTCTCCCATTCTCAAGCGGAGGAGATTATGAATGAGGTCGAGCACGAAGGCAAAGATCTTTTTAGCGATCATGGTGACAATGACGAAGCAGATTTCTTCAATGGCACTTCTGGTCAGCAGCATACCGGTGAAGAGTTTCTGCATGATGCGGAAGATGGTGGAGCCTCAACTTTTGCGCCAGCATATGGGGGAGACATCAGACGGGAAGAGGACGAAGAAGAAGCCCGCTTTGAAGAGGGCCTTCCGCTTGTACAACATACCGATCACCCAGAAACGGGCCAGGAAGCTCCGAATACAAATCATGGTGCTTTCGAGGATGATGCGAATGAGGACCACGACTTTTTTGCTCATGTTAGCAAAGAGGAAGACACGCAACCAGAGCCACACCTCGAAAGGAAGTCTACGATGCAAGTCATGGATTCCTTGGATTTTCAACCTCATTATCAAGCTCATGAGGACACTATTGAGGAAGAAAACGAAACAATGCAAAGCTCACAAAGTTCGCTAGATAGGTCCATTGGTGGTGGAATCGGTGTCTCCACAAGCACAGTGCTATCCCAAGTCCTGGGCGACCCTAATGCTCCTATTCATAACCAACCCGAAATACTGGCCGCTCTCGAATCAGACTCCGGTGAAGGCGATTTGGCAGCGAAATGGAAGGCGGCACTAGCTTGTGACGAATTTCTGGACGACGATGATGAATTGTTGCCAGACGAAGATGAAGCAGTCGAAAATGGTGGTGAAAATAAGACAATCGATCCGTCTGACCTCTTTGGAAGTGACGATGAAGGCTTCCTGGAAGATACCGAAGATCAAAGCGGTTCAGACCCCTTTCCCCAACAGATCAGCCCCCCTATTCCAGCTCCCGTAACTTCGCCAAATGGTCACGTGGTTGGATTTGACAGTCTCACTGGCGCCGTTCATGGAAGTCGACCAGGAAGCAGTGGTACCAGCAGTAGCCGGTATCTTCCGGCTGGAGCAGTTGCAAGCGCTCCCAAGCCAGCAAATACGTACGCGCCCGCGGCACCACTCCTAACAGACTTCAGTCGGCCAGCCACAACAACTTCTGTTCCATCTCCTTACATGGCACCTCCGGTCTCAAGCTTTCCCCCTCAGCAGCAACGACCTGAGCTTCCCAAAGCCCAGAGTTTTGCAGACAAGTCAAAGGGCGGCTATGCTTCACCATACGACCTGCCCATGGAAGTTGTGAAGCCTAGAAAGCGTATAAGCATGCAGCAAATGAATCGACAACCCTCTCCTGCAAATGCCCCCGCTCCTCCCAGGAGTAGTAGCATGTTTACACAGCCACCACCTCCGCCTAGATCAGCGAGTGCCAGTATGTCGCCTCCCACAAGTAGCCACGGCGTTCCCCAAAATCAACCCAGGCCCTCTGCTACCCCTACTCTTCCCCAGCCTCCAACTTTGGTAAAGCAAAGCTCAAGCGGCTTCTTTGAGGAACTACCAATGGCTCACAGGCCGAAGCCAGCACCACGACATCCGGGATCATTTGGGTCACCCGCTCAAAGTACCTTCATCCACCCAGTGGCCGCTCCCCCACCCCCAATGGCCCCTCCTCCTGCTCCTCGAGGATCTTATGCAGCACCACCTTTACAACAACCAGTTCAACAGCCAAGCAGCCAAACTCTGGTTGCTCCTGAACGCGTCAGTCCTTATGCAGCACTTCCCACCGCAACTGGACCTCCACCAGCTACTGCAACACGGTACTCCCCATCGCCGTCTCAGCCAACACTTCAAGCAGCTATACCTCCCCCTGCTGCTCAATCTCGGTACTCCCCAGCACCACCAAACCCTCGCCAACACACCCCCTCCTACAGTTCGCCTGCAAATGCTCCACCACCGGTGCTCGCTCATCAACCCAGGACCTCGAGTCCGTTAGCACACTTCGAGAGAAATCAGGACCCCCGACATGGATTTCACTCGGAAACTGCAGGCTATGACCGCCGAAGCAGCTCGTCTGGTTACGAGTCTAATCTCAGGCATCAACATCTTCCTCCTACTAGAGAGGTAGATGAGAATGAACAGGCTGTTGTGAATGGGAATAGGAAGTATGGCGATCTACAGAATCAAAACATACCCCAGCCTCGATCTGTAGCTCAGACTCCTCCACCACCACCGCAAAATCTTGCCTCCAGACTAGTGAGCTCGCCGCCCAAGCGCATAGCATCCAATTACCAACCTCAGCAGCCTGCTACTGGACCGCCGCAAACATTTGCGCCTCCGAAGAGGTCACAAACACAATCGCCAGGAAGTGGATTTGGTGTGGTGAGACGAGATATAAGCCCGATAGATCCCTATCAACGACCTGCTTCTGTGGAAGGCCCGACATCCCCCAGAGCAGTCAGTGGCTACTCGGCACCATCTGTTACATCTTCTTATTCCCGAAAGCGGGGGTTCTCACAAGGTTACAACTATATCGCACCCACCGATGGACGAGAACACGATCCGCTTCAAAGGTGGAAAGGAGCACCAGTCTTTGCTTGGGGAGTCGGAGGAACAATCATGACCTCTTTTCCGAAAGATGTGCCTCGGTACGGCATAGGTCAGACCGCACCGATGGTTGTTCGAAGTCCTGGTGAAGTCAAGCTTCGAAACATCAAAGACGTGGATCCGCTTCCAGAACGCCTCTCAACTTTCCCAGGCCCATTGAAAAGCAAAGCAAAGAAAAAAGAGGTCATGTCGTGGCTCACATCGGGCATTGCCATACTAGAGCAAAGTGCTTCATACCTCCGCACAACCTCGCATCTATCGCATGAGGACAAGCGCATCGAGGAGAGAATATTGCTTTGGAAAATCCTTCGAGTTTTCATTGAGAACGATGGTTTGCTGGAGGGCAGTCCACCTGTTGAAAAGGCGGTGCGAGCTGTATTGTCGCCTGGCCTGGACGATAAAGGGTCATCAACAACGCCTCTCTATGCTACCGGTGCGGAGCTTTCGGGAATCTCGGCATCCTCGGCTCCAAAGGCCGATGCTGTCGATCCTAGTGCTGTTGACGAGTTGAGGAAGCACTTACTCCGTGGCGAACGCGAAAAGGCCGTCTGGGAAGCTGTCGACAAGAGGCTTTGGGCACACGCAATGCTCATCTCGAATACGGTGTCGAAAGACTTGTACAAAAGAGTAGCTCAAGAATTTGTCCAGAAGGAGGTCAAGAACATTGGTGACAACACGCAACCACTGGCAGCATTGTATGAGATATTCGCAGGAAACTTCGAAGAAAGTGTGGATGAACTTGTACCTCCATCTGCCCGCGCTGGTTACCAATTGGTCAGCACCTCCAATGCTGCGGGTCCTTCTAAAGACGCCCTCGAAGGGCTTGATAGATGGCGGGAGACTTTGGGTCTCGTCCTTAGCAATCGTAGCCCTGATGACAATCAAGCTCTTAATGCTTTGGGCAAGCTCCTGTCTGGTTATGGACGCGCTGAAGCAGCTCATATTTGCTTCCTCTTTGCGAGGAGTCTATCGATCTTCGGAGGTGTCGATGATCCCCAGGCAAGCATTGTCCTCGTTGGATCTGATCAACTCCGACAGCCATATGACTTCGACAGAGAAATGGAGCCTATACTGCTAAGCGAAGTATTTGAGTATGGGATGTCTCTTGCAAATCCAGCCGCCATCGCTGCGTCAACTCCTCACTTGGCTGTGTACAAGCTGCAACATGCAAAGATCCTCGCTGAAAATGGCTTCAGAGACAAGGCCCTACAGTATTGCGAAAGCATCGCAACCGCGATCAGTTCGCAGACGAGGAGGTCGCCATATCACCACAATCTATTAGTTGCCGAACTTGATGACCTTAGTAAGCGCCTGAAGTCGTCGCCCAAGGATGAGACTTCTTCTTGGATCTCCAAGCCAAGCATCGATAAAGCTAAAGGATCGGTGTGGGCCACATTCAACAAATTTGTCGCTGGTGATGATAATGATACACCAGCTACCGTATCAAGCGCCGGGAGTGCCAACGATGTGGGGCCATTTGCCAGGATTGCTGGCGGAACACCAACGATCAGTCGATCTCCCTCAAATTCGGACATTTATAGTTCATACAATAATGGTCTTGCAATTCCAGGCAGTGCTACCAAGACTAACTCGAGGTATGCACCTGGCGGCTCATATGGCGCGTCGACTCATGAACCTCTTTCAAGCTCTTATGGATCTCAACCACGGACCTCACTTGAAGAAAGGTCCTCGAACGAGTTCCGAAGATATGAACCACAACGGCAGATGTCTGACTACAGGCCCGCGTCCCAAGCGAGCAATTCTATCAACAACTATAGTCCTCAGACGTCGTCCACTTACACTCCTCAGAACTCGTCCACCCCGTACGGCAATAACGGCTCGCCGTATGAGCCTACCTCAGCTTATGCTCCTCCCCAAACTCCAGTGACTAACCCAGCTACGAACAACTTCTACTCATCACCACAGCCGCTGAATAACTCAAATACTCATCAGCCGCCTTACGAGTCATCTCAACCACCCCCCAGCTTTGAACAACCTACAAACAACTACCAGTCATTCTCCAACAGCTACGAACCTTCTGCTGGAAATAGCTACGAGCCCTCCACGTCTAGTGGTTACGAAGCGAGTGGTGGCTACGAGCCCCCATCGAGCAGTTACGAACCTCCAGCCTACGTACCAACAACAATGGACGATGAGCCTGACTCCCCTGTCGACACTCGACCACAGAAGAAGTCGTTCATGGACGACGATGACGATGATATCCCTGGGCTGAAACAGCAACCGGTTGGGGGCGAGAAGACAAAAGCAGAAAAGGACCGCGAAGCCGATGAGGCGTTCCGGAAGGCGGCAGAAGCTGACGGTAAGTAGTCTATGTTATTTTTATTGGCGTTTCACTAACAGATAATCAGCACAAAAAGCAAAAGAATCTGCTCCAGCAAAGAAAGGCTGGGGTCTGGGAGGCTGGTTCGGAGGCAGCAAGAAAGAAGCGGATATGGGCGCTCAACCTAACAAACCCATCCGCGCCAAACTTGGTGAAGCATCATCTTTTGTTTACGATCCTGAGTTGAAGCGATGGGTAAACAAGAAAGGTGGAGCAGAGGCTACAGAAACCAAGAGTGCCACACCTCCACCACCTAGAGCTGGTCCACCACGAACAGCGAGCATGCCTCCCTCCACAAGTGCGCCAAGACCAATGAGCATGGGTAGCGTGCCACCACCGATGGCACAACGAGCCGTAAGTGAGTCTGTTCCAGGACCATCTCAGTCAGATGGCCAAAGTGAAGCAAGCCATCCAACCCTCGCACCACCATCCATGGCCAGAAGCGCAAGTAACGGCTCCATCGGCCTGAACGGCGGCCCTCCATCAAGTGGTCCACCGAGCAGACCAGGCACGGGAATGAGTAACGCGAGCAGTATCGACGATCTGTTAGGACCGGCTATGCCAAGAAAGGGAGCAGCGGTGAAGAAAGCAGCGAAGAAGAAGGGGAGGGGGTACGTGGATGTTATGGGGGAGAAGTAATTTGTTGCCCCGAGTTGTATTATAGATAGGGTGGATGGGAATATCATGTTGTAATATGTATCATATGCCGTTGCTTCGGAAGCTATTCTCTGGTGTGTAAGGAAGGGCGCGGGTTCGTTGCTTGCTTGGTTGCATGGTTTGCGGTGGTAGAGAGGGTGAGGAAGCAGGGAATTGATGAATAATGAAAGTCGTTCGCCTGTCTGACTTTTGATGCACTGTTTGCAGCGTGTCATTCATTGTGCGCAGGATGTCTTGTTCTCTGAAGATACTTCGTCTTTTGTCGATGTTTGATCGTGGGTTGCAAGTGCAAGTCGTGGTAATTCTGCCTTGGGTTTTCTTCCCATATTGGCTAGACACCGGCAAAAGCAACTTATCCGAAGAGTCTTGAGCCAGAAGAATACCACGCGTTTGGTTTCTAAGTAATTATGAGTGCATAAAATACTGGAATTGGTTGTAAGGTGCTGCTCTACCCTGACGAGAGTTATCATCCTCTCGGCCCGAATCTCACTAGCCTACAACTCCGTGCTATTCCAACGGGGTTCGTTCTGTCATAAGCAAATCAGAGTAGGAAGAGTGCTTGCTATCCCCTCAACAGCCAGAGTGAATTTTAGCGTAGAATCCAAGTGCACGCCCTCCCATTCGAGGAGTGGGGTCATCCCAAGGATGTGATTGGCAACAATAAAATTCACAAGCGAGCGGCCATTGGGATAGTATTTTCTCAGAATTAAGGCTACCAAAGAATTAGGAAAAGCACGCAAAATGATTGTAAACTCGAAGCACCGGATACTAAAGCCGCAAAAGATAGAGATCCAGCCAGGTGTTGAAGTCATCCACCTGGTGATATTAGAGACAGTCCAATATCACTACTCTAAAATCACCTCTTGAATCTTGGCCTCATCCCAGTTAATCCATGGGCACCATCCATCATAGCATCCAACACGTTGATATTTCCCATTTTCTTGCTTTCGAATAACGATGCACACATCTCGTGATATAAAATATCTACCGAGGTGCATTAGGTAGCAGTTCTCATCCACTATGGAGGAAGTGTAATCCAGACTCAGTTGGAATTGAGACGCCTCCCATGATCCCCAACACGTCAAAAGTTTCTTTGGTATTTCACTCACTTTTGCCGATATATGTAAAGTTGCCGCAGTGACGTTTCCAAAGGGAGCTTCCTCTGACTCCAGACTCACGTTATAATCACATAGCATAGCGAGCTCACTAACAGGCTCGTCGGTATCAAATGAGGTGACTCCGAAGGGAGCACAACTTCCAAAACCAAGTAGGTAAACCGATCCGCTTATCGGTGCCAATGTGCTCGAATTGCTTGAAACGTGAGTCGCTGTTGTGTCGGCGCTATGCGAGTTGCAAGGGCAAGTCACTCTTCCAATAGCCTGCGATATAGTCGTCTTCCCACAGCAGACTAAATTCCATGGCAATCCCAGATATGGCAGGAAGTCTATCTTCAAAGAATGTCAAGTCACGAGAGGAGTATTCGTTGATAAGAGTTGCCCATAATCTTGATCTTCCGCCTTTATAAGTTGAGTGTCGTCGGCTTTCGAGTATAGAGCCGAAGGTTAACTTCTCTGGATGATTATAATCGATGTAACCTGGTACTAGGGCTCGAAAAGACTCGGAGTAGCAATGCCATGTGGGCTGAACGTCGTCAAAGAGTATAACCCGTGGGCTAAGCATGAATTCTTGGAAGGCCCAGCCACGGGTGAATAAACGTTGATCACGTGCTGACCATTTTGTTTGCTGTGCAAAATGGATGGTACCAGAAGAGTCCTCGTCAAGATAGAGCGGAAGTCTGCATATGTCCCAAGGTATTTTATCATCCAAGAAGCCTTCGAAAACACTTTCCGTAGAAGAAGCAGCAATTGTGACCGTTGAGTTCTTGTATATGTCACCCATTGAAGCAATTTCTGACAATTTGTCGTAGCCGGCATCTTGGATAATGCAAAGAGAATCTATCCATAAATATCTGATTCCGAGCTTTTTTGTTACCTGAATAGCATCTCTTATTGTCTTGGGGACCGAGTTTAGCGCAATCCCTGCTATCATCGAATCTATCGTGGTCGTGGTGGTTGTCATCTGCTGGGGGCCACCCCAACAATAACTGAGAGCCACGTATCGACCATGCTGCAAGGGTACACTGATATGAAGCTTTATCTTTTCGCAAGTGTCGCTCTCACCGAGATCTAGGACTCTCGTTGGAAGTGCGGGTTCATCGACCCTTGGACAGCCCATGTGCGCTTTGTCACAATCATGCAGCCATGCCGCCATGCTGTTGAAGATTGACTTCCACGAAAGATCTTCAAGGCGTATGACATTCATAACGCACGATAGGCAAGGTTCGGCTTCTCATATTGTTAGCAGGCAGTATCTCTCAAGTAGGGATAATTATGGACTCACAGTACAAAGTATATGCTCTTAGTCTCAGAACTTTCTCTTGTGTCCTTTGCGAGTATGTCTCAATACCATAGATACAATGGTACTCAAGATCCTGTCTCAGCGTACTGTACTCGGCATCCGAAAAACGATGATCGAATTTGAATATCCATCCTTCTTTCTCTACTAGATCCCAAGTCTTCTGCAGGCCCCGAATACCTAGAACCAGTGCACACATAGGGCAATCACTACTAGTCCCAGCATCTTTGCCAGGATGACTATATCCATCGCTCGACATAAGTGCCTTCACACCCGAAGACGTTTTAGTCATCCGCCAACAGTGGTCACAGAATAAACCTTGATCAGATAGCGGTCCCCGTAGCACAAGCGCTGATTCTGCCATTCTAAGAATCGATCTGTAGGATGTCTGCTAGAGGCTCATATATCTTGGAATGTCGAAAAGTATGTTAGTTGAAGTTTTCGAGAAAGCATAGATTTTCAAGCCACCATAAGACAATGCATGAGCACAGCTCACGGCGTGGAAGTTCTATTTTCCCCAAGCCACCACTGGATGAATGGCTGAAAGGTGAAACATGAACAATCACCGGCGCTTTGTGAGACAGAGCTCCATACGAGCATTTGACACACGTGTAAAAAAGGTAACAAAAAAACAACAGCTATATCAATGCTACCTATCCTATCGACAACCCATCATAGCCAAAAGGGCCTCAACCTTCCTTGAAAAGATGCTTGATGCTTTTCAAAATTCGATCCGCTTTCCCTTCGTGATGATAGGGAAGTTTGATATGGATCTGTGGTATTATTTTACGAACCCCCTTCTTCACTTGCGTCTCGAATCGCCTAGTCAAATCGTCTCGACAAGAGGCTGCCATTCTATAAGTATTCGAGTAAATTGCCGTACCCGATGTTCGATGTGTAGAGGTGCATTTGCACGTCATTGGGGCGCACAAGATGACCAAGTCTTCCATGCTCTTGAACTCTTCGAGGACCCGCGGACGGTAGCGGAAATCCCGCGTCCGACTATCGAACAACTCTTCGACGACTATGATGAGCTTCTTTGCGACTGCGAAGCATTCTTCAACGACTATAGAGCTTGCACTGTAGTACTTAAGCTCCCATCTCTCCATCCAGTAAAGCATCTCGCCGCAAAGCCGCACAGTATCGAGATCTTTGTTGAAGAACGTTAGTTTACATATGAAGGATTCCGGTATCGCATATAGTTGGTGGACTTCATAGTAGAAGAGGAAGCACTCCCAGTCGCTTTCGCGGTTGATGCGCCGTGTGATTGGAATCGGCGTCAAAGAGAAAGGAGGCCAGAATTCAATATCATGAATAACGGGCTCGAACGTCTCTCGCCCTATCATCAAATTCCGTTGTTAGTATAGCTTTTTATTACATGGTACCAGCATAAATATTGAGCCTGAGAATTTCACTAAGTGCTAGGAGGACTTCAAGGATAGAATAAACAACAAAAATAGCTAAGGACGGATATTGACCTACATATTTTGCATCGTAGTTCTGCGGGCAAAAATTGGAAGAGTGGAAATGATGAAGGGCCTCGTTGCAGGGAAAATAGACGGATATCAGAGTCCGGAAGCTCAGCATAAAGATCTTTTCGTCGTTGCTCCTCCTTGTCCCATTCCGCCATGTAGAGCTCATGAAAATGGAGGCTCATGTCGATGTCAGTTCTCCAAGGTCTGCAGGGAAGCAGGTTAGTATAGTGTATTATCATGGGCAAGGCATTCTTACATCATTAAAAGTACTCTCTGGACTCCTATAAGCGCTCTATTCTTCGCGTATTAACACATCCTTCGTACTGGTGGTATGCGAAGTTTTGTTTTCTAAACTGGAAAGAATAGTATATGCGACGAAGAGAAGAACGGATGTGAATCTGACTCTGTTTTCGAGAATTGAGAATGTAACATTAAGATGTGACTGAGATATGGAAAACAATTGCGATTCTGGCTGGTGCTGTCCTAAGCACGGAGGCTAGGCTAGGATCCAAACTTCTCGCTCCCCTAAGTCACGAGATTATTCAAATAAGCGAGACCCCCATTCGAAAGAAGAGTTCGAATTTCGGCGGCAGGGTAGCCTCTTTTGATATCATTGAAAGTATCCTATATCGATTAGATAGCCTGCTTAAGTTTTGAGTCGTATGAAGGAGGGAAAGACGAAGTCACGTGTCTCTTTACACACGATCTGTTCAGCTCTTCTGAATAGTACGGTGGCAATATGAACCTTCAGCGTTGAATTTCCACACTGCTACTGCCACAGAATTGTAAGTGAAGCAGAACTATCTTATGTTTAGCACAGAAAGAACTTCTTCAGGTTCGAGATCAAGAGACTTGGACTATCCTTCATAAGTACACTTCCATCAGTCCACGTGTATCGTGTATACTTAGAATCTTCTTGAACTTTTGAGCTTGGTTCGTTTCGATGTGCAACTGTGAATTGTAAGCACGTCTAGACAAAGTCCGAAAGAACGCCCCGTGCAATGCATACGGCTCTCTATTTCGGAAGGCGTCCAGTACCAAGTCGCGAAAATGAAGTGCGGCTGACTTGAAACGGGACCACCACTCACAGAGCTCTAATAATGTCTCAGAGACCTTTGAAGTTTCTTTTTCAGCTGGAACTGACAAGCTTTGGATGCAACGCGGGCCATAAATACTTCGTGAGCCCCACGATTACAATACTCTTCCCGATTCCGCTTCGAATGATCCTCAAGTCCTAAGGCAACCGTGATTATTCCCCAGAACAGGAATTCCTAGATAATCGCATAGTTGATACTTCGAGAATGTCTGCACCACTCTCTGCACCACCTGTCGCTGCGTTGCACCCAAATATTCCTGCTGGTTGGAGGTTGGAGTGGAGTGCGCAGTACCATACAAAGTATGATATCCAAATCTCCACTCACATGACATTTCAAGTTTAACAATCTCAGCTACTATCTCAATGTCTATACCGGTGCATCAACCTGGACTGTACCTGTGGAACCTGCGCTCGACATTGTGAGACACGTGCAACAATACTCGACGGAGGAAGCTGTCCCTCAGCAAAGTTTGAACGTCCAGCCCACTTCTAGAAGATGCGTATCATCACCATCGCCGGTTTCTGCTATCTCGGAGCATGAAAAGCACTTTGCACAGCAAACACAGACTGTAGTGTATACGCAACCAGAAGCCCCGGCTCTTTTCTTTCCACCTCCTCCAGGGTCAAGTGGGAGCGAGCCGACCTCCACGGGGCCAGCCTCCGTTCAACAATTTCTACCTCCTCCAGACTCAAGTCACAGCCAATCAGGACATATCTCACAGCACACCCTCGAATATTCTCCATCTCCTCTAGGGGCGCATCAAAAAGATGACCAGCTGTTCCAGCCCCTACAAAACAATGCTCTTCAATCCTTCCCTCCACCACCGCTACTACCGCCTCGGTCTTCTCCTCGGCCCTTGTCTAGTTTCCTGCCTCCTCCTCCTCCTCATGCTGATAGCAACGCACTTCAGCAACTGGATGTACAGGTACAAAATACACATGCAACGCTCGACGATCTTCACTTGCAAACCCGGCCAATACCTTTGACCTCCAAACCAAGACCACGATCATTCATCGGCCAAATGGAGATGATGAAAATGCAAGTCAGCGAGCAATCCCACATCTACGGCTCGAAAGTCATGGAGACCAAACTCGGCACCAAAGTCAGCACCAAAGTTGGAAAGCTAATCCCGAATTCGAAATCCGAGAGCAAAGAGACCGATCCTCTCCTCGACGTGAAAGACAAAGTGGAAAAGAAACTCTGGGACGACCGTACAGAAGAAGAGAAGAAAGAGTCGTACAAGAAATGGGGCAAACGAGCCGCGATTGGAGCTGGCGTTGTAGCAGCTGTTGTGATTGGTGCAGAAGCTATTGAGCATGTAGCGAATGCGAGTGATGCTGCCAGCTCTGTGGGCAATGGATTCAGTTCCGCCAACAGTGCGATGAACTCTGCTGCCGCTAACGCAGCAAGCATTAACGCTGCCTCTAATGCAAGTATGATGGCTCTTGCATCAGCTCAGGCTAATGCTGCAGCTGTATCGGCGGGCTTTGCTGCGATGGCCGTGGCAATCATTTGAGGATTTAAGCTCACTGCTTAGTTTTATGCGTGGATTTTTAAAGAGTGCACTAGAACAATTGACCTTGAGAAATGTTTGACGATTTCGAGACATGCGCACAGTTTCCATACATTTCTACTATGAACATTTTCAAGCTTTGATATTCTTTCGAACAATCCCATAACCATCAGTTGTAACTCCAAAATTATCCGCCTCGGATTCCTTTCTAACGATACCGTAGCCGTCAGTTGTAACTGAATTGGCTTCATCTCTTGTAATGCCACTCTACACCCTCTGTTTTCATGGAACCATCGGTCTCATCTTCAGCTGAGAAACCATATGCCTCGCGAGTAGTGACTGGATTGTCGCCTTCATCTTCAGCTGGAAATCCGTATGGATTGCGAGTAATGACAGTGTTGGCGACTTCAGCATTTGAAATAGCTGGGGATAACATTGTGAGAATATGTTTCAGAACTTGATGTCGTTGCGGTGACTTGCCAACAGGAGCAGCACATGCTGTCATGGCAAGCTGAAAGATAACAGCAACGATGGGTGAAGAGATCTTCATAATGAATTCTTTATGTACGATGTATGATTGAAAGTTCGCGGATCTTTTTCCGGTTTGAAGCAGATTCTAAGAATGCGTTGAATAGTCGGTTTTGACTGGAAGACAAGCTGGCGACGCAATGTTGAGTTTGAAAATTTGGCACGACATTTCCTCCTACTTATACCCATTTTCTAATTCAGACCGCTCCTTACTTGTCTCGCAGTCAGGAATCTTGCTGACTCAAAACCGAAGATAGATGTTGAAATATGGATTCTGGGAGATAGTTGTATGACCCGCGTCATGTCTATTGCTCAGCAAGGCATAAGAAGTACATCAACTGTGTAAAACTATTGGCTTGCTCGTGTCACACAAATAAATGTGGCTTAGAATTGTATTTGAAACCCATATATGGAATGTAAAACATTTTCAGGCGCCTGCTTTGCCGCGGGGGCGAATGCTACGCTGTGCCCCTCTTGCACAGTATAGCTTCGTACCTGGGACATTTTTTGTCTCATCGCCGCTAACTTCAATGACACAGAAGCGATCATCGTACGCACAAGCCAATTGAAGGACCTTTCTAGAAAGTCGTCATTCTCAAGACAGAGAGAGAGAAAGAGCGCGAAATCACCCATACTCTGGATTCTTATATGTATTGTTTTTGTTTCGTTTGCCACGATAGGGGTACGTGCAGGGCTTTTCAGCCCTACTGCCCCAAATTAAAGCAAAGCGCATGGCCGATCAAGAATGAACGTACTTGTTAGTCGAAACGCCATTGTTGTCTTGCCAGCCAAGTTATGCCATTCTAATCGACAGAGACCCTATCTATAGAAAAAATGAACGTGCACGAATCAATAGATTGAACAACACTCAAAGACATTGAATGTAAGAAGAGCTGAGACCTCTTCCAGAGGCATCAGCATGAGCTGCTCCCGACCATAGCTAAACTTCAATGCGCAGAGCTCTCGAGCGTCAAATATGTATTCATGGCCAGATACTATATACAAAAGGGTCAACATAAGGGTAATCAGCTGTCATACCCATTATGATGCTATACTCATCTCTCATCAAATCTGAGCCTTCATTCGCAATGCCCTTATACCTACTAAGCTCATGCCTCCGCAACGCCACTGTCCACGGGAAGCTAGAATGAGCAACACCCATAAATGCGCTCGCTTTAAACATAACCAAAAAGTCGACCAAACCCCGTTGGTCGAACGTCATATTATCGAGCATTCGGCGATCATCTCCTGTGAGCAAATCTTCCTTTGTTACCACCGAAATAGGCATGTTTCTCATCCTTGCGCTCTCGGCAAACACATCCACCACGGTTCGGTTTCCCGAAGCCACATACACGACTTCAAGACCGGTACGCTGCAAATTCTTGAACTGCTCATCAAATTGTGTGTTCATTGCCCCGAATACCCATCCTTCTTCCGGTGGCCAGGCCCATAGAGCATCCTGCTCTAATCGCAAATGCGCCCCGTAAAAAGTATTCGAATTGATAGCTTGAGTGGGGTCAATCTCAATGTCGAACGTCTCCATCAATTCCCAGAGGATCTTGGCCGCAAGAGCCCGCGTGTCACTCCGGAACGATAGTATCTTGCCGAACTCATGGACGAAAGCTTCCCCGTCGTCGATAACGGGATACTCGAGGAAGGATTGGCCCATGTGGATGTGTACTGGGGCTTCTGTTTGGATGGAGATCGATCGTCCGTCTAACCACCAGTCGAAGAAGTGTCGCCATTCGCGGGGGTGCCTTAATCCTTCTCGTGGATAATCTAGCTCGAATTGGCTGTGAAGAGGCTGAAGTCAGTATCATCTTCTGGAGACAATGTTGAAATTTTAAGTTTTTGCAGGAAGAAAAATGAAGATTTTTCCAAAAACCACTTACCTGCCAATCAAAGTCAAAGGCTCCCCAGTACGCACCCGCTGCTCGTAGAAGGGGAAATCTTCCGCCCGCTCATAGATGCGCATTCCAGGGCATCCATTCAGCAGATGCGTATCAAAAGCCTCACGATCAAAGAGATATTCCAGCCCCATCTCAGTCTTTGTCTCAATATCCCACAACTCCTTAGCATTTCGTAACGCTATTGTTGGTACAACCAGTGCCGCCCCTGCATGAATGGCATATCGTATGCATTTGAGAATTTGATTTCGAAGCATCCCGACCCCGCCGTGTTGTCCTTCGCAACTGAATAAAAGACCAGGGCGAAAAGTTGTGCGAGCACAGATTTCTTGGATGGGTGCATAGTTTATGGGCGCTGGGAATTCGACTTTCATGGCTACATCCAAGAAATCTCTTTCTGGTTGGTCTTCTGGGGGTTCCCCGTATAGCAAGAAGACAGCTTCATCGTGGACCTGGAAACCAAAAGTCCACTATAACAAATCAGCAGACATTCTTGCTTAGACGTTTTGAGGATTTGAATATCTTAGAGAAGCATACAATTAATACAAGAGAGACAATCAGAATGAATGCCAATCCTGGTCGTTCTGGCCAAAGCATCGTCCCTGCGAGCTTGACGAGAAAGCGAATGAATCTCGACAGGCTGGTCAAATTAAATGAGAAGTATCTTGAAATCCATCACCCTCTCGATCAATCCTCCCAAAAACAAATATATGGATTTAAGGTAGACCTCAACATTCAGACGATATAGATTGGCGAGTAGATTCGAGACAAGGGGTGAAACGATGGCGAAACTGCGCACGTGAATCTGACACCTCGCTTCTGCACTCCTTTTTGCCAAGGATTTCAGACGGTGAGACGCCTGAAACATGAAGCAGAACCAAAACAAGATGCAGAGATCGGATGAACTCCCACGCCAAAGCATAATGATGGTATTGAGATACAGTAATGGGAAAGGGGGCGTCGTTTAAGGTCGTGCACGTCCCTTCAGTGCGAGCCGAGCCGCCCCTTATTTAGCGAATTTATTCAGAACTGCTAGCTACATTCAATGAGAATTCATAGCACACAATGAACACTGCTTTGCGTGTTCGTCGTGGTTATGCACATTGCCGCAGTCGTCCTTTGATGTTAAGAAGACGTACATTGTCGATCAGAAGACCAAGTGTTTACCAATTGTGTAGATTTATGTGCAATATGATCTATATTCTGTCCATGATGAGAATCTCATCGCTAGATCTCCAGATGAAGTCCTTCCCAAGCTCCGAAATTCAGCGAAACCTGTCAGATTCAGGTTATAACTCTACGGCTGAAATCGAGGACCGTCATTGGCCGACCTAAAAGTGCGGCTTGACCCTTCCCCACAAAATCAATTGCTCGAATTCTTTTTCAGCCTCCACCATCCAAATCCCAACAACCTTCCAAACTCTTCCCCAACCGCCTCCTGGCATCAATTGATATTCGGACTCGATCGTGGTCAGGCCTATCACCAGTTACACGAGACAGAAGAAGACGAACAGCCGTGTGGCAGAATTGGAGAAGAAGATCGATGCCCTAACTCGATCCCTCGCGCAAAAGTCTGCAGGAATTGCGCCTACAACAGCTGAACCAATAATTCAATTGGATAAGCCCCGCTACTCTGCAGCCATCTTTCAGTGGGTCACGATATCCGATTGCTCCCATTCTCCTCACCATCAGTTATCTACTCGTAAGTCCATCCGGCGAATAGATATTTGGCTTGCTAACATGCGTGCTAATTCTTAGAAGCATACCTAGTTCCTGCCACTACAGCTGCAGACTTCGAGCCGAACCCTACCGATGGACCGAAATTCAAGTGCGAATAAACACTTCTTCTACACACAACTGGGGCCATATCTTCTCCCCTCTCGAGGAGAGCAGAAGACTTGTCTTGTCTTCCAGAAAGGAAAGCATGGTAGCACATGCACTGTATGGCCAAGAGATCCTTATAGTTCTCGATACTTGCCAGGTAATTCTGATCCGCTCCCTCGACATTCCTCTTACTGAACTGACCGATCTAGGATTGGCGATTTAAGAGGAACCATCATGGAGAGCCCCTAGATGGAGTCTAACGAAATGTTTTCCTATGCAAATCCCTGCGCTGGGACCAAAATTGAAGTGCGAATGAACAGATGTTGCACAAAGGAGTTTATCGCTTCGTTGCGGGGCTAAGGTATTGTCCTTAATTCTCATTGGAATGAAAGGCTGCTAATCATGTAGGACCCAAGATCATCGGTGGAAAGGATGGCATGAAAGGCGGTCCTAGACTCAGACCCGCTGGTACTACCAAACTCACAAAGTATGCCCCCAAGAGCAAAGTCTCTCCCGCCAAGAGCTAATTATGCGACCAGGGCAGAATGTAGAGTGTTTGATCTATTTTGCCGACTTCCCTTATCTACATTGTTCTATCAACTAGAGGCTGTTCACCTTGGAGACCTGCTGCGGTTATGAGTACGACCTGGCGTGAAAGCTATTCCTTCCTGCGGATTTTCAAGGAATGTCGAGAGCGCACCAGTAACGGAGCAACGGGTGGGGGGTGGCATCCCTGTCTTCATATATCAGGCCGTCCCAGTTCAGGCCTTCCTTGCGAACCAGGCCGTCCTTGAGAATCAGGCCGTTTCTCAGACGGTGAATTCGCCAAAGCCCTCATCTCCGCTCCTTGACTAGAGATTCAAGAGGAACCCAATGGGTTCCTTGGTAGAGTCCAATGAACTCTCCCTCCGTTCCCTGCTGAGCGACCAAAATTCAAGTGCGAATAAACATACAGCGTGAGTTATCCCAAGATACCACCGCAGTGGTATAATGCTGCCTATTACCTTCTCATCTTCAATTTTACTGACCCGTCAAGTGTCCCAGCTACCGAGGAGCCACCCAAGGCCCTATACCTGATTGCTACCAACGGCACCCCTCGTCTGAAGTCCCCAGAGAAACTCTCAAAGGAGCTTAAGGTATTCTTGTCGGTCTATCTCTGCGTGGACATTCGTAGCCGAGCTACCGCCGCCGAACTCTTGCAACACGACTTCTTGAAGCATGGCTGCCGCAAGCACGCCAAGTAAGCGCAGTAGCAGACTTAATGATAACGTTGACGACATGAAAATGCCTCCCGGCATCCTCAAGATCAAGCGGTTGGGAGGCTTAGATCAGGCCTAGAAGTCACCGTTCCTGGCGAATGAGGCTGCGACATAGAGGATTTTGATGAAGAGACAGCTATTAGGGCCCAAACGCGGTTTTCCCATAGACAAAGGGCCATAGAAGTTCTGTACTGTAGTTCTTGAAGCATCATCTCATTTAACCCAAATAAGGAGAAATGGAACACATCTCATTTCTTCATTCCCTTCGCGGAGCTTGATAAAAGTCTTGGCTCAAAATGAACTTCTTTACGCACTTGCTCGCACCCCTTCCCTCGATTAACACTTTCTCCACAACTCAGCAATCGCGCTGATACGTTTCAGACAAGGAAGTTCGGCGACAGCAGAAAAGATGTACATATGCCTACACTTCAGAATTACCAACTATAACTCCAAACAATCACAGCCCAGTACCCCTCCTCTTTCCCTTCCCTACCCCATCCCCTTCCCTCCCGATTATCACCTCTCCCTCACCCACTCCCCCACCCTCCCCGCAAACAAAACACACCTCTCATCAACCCACCTCGTAAACAGATCCCCCGCCCACACAACCACCACTGTATTCCACACCGCCGCCCAGCAGAACCGCCTCACATACTTCCCAATATCGCTCTCGGCCTCCCACTCCGCCCACGCGGGGCCCATGAACCGGGTTCCGAGACAGAAGAGCACGGGTCCGTGGACGAGGTACAGGCCGAAGGAGATGCGGCCTAGGTAGCGGGAGAGGGAGTTCGTGAACAGGGTTTGGAGTGCGAATGTCCTTGTCCTTTCTATCAGGGCGCTGAGGATGTTGGTGGTGGGAGAGGCAGATGGGGAAGTAGGGTGAGAGGAAGACAGAGAAATCGAATACGCGAGTAAGGCGGCGCCGATGCAGCGCCAGGCTTGCGGTTTCAGACCGTTTGCCGGGTGCATATTCTCCCATGTGTTGGGCGTCCAGGATAAAAGGAGGTCGACACCCCAGGGGACTTCTTCGAAAGAGAGTAGGTACATGGATAGGAAGAAGAGGATGTATGGCCATACAGTGTGGATGACGAGGAGGAGGGGGTAGATGTGCGAGAGGATTTGGGTTTGGGAGGTTGGTTTCAGGTCCGTGGTGCTGGACCAGGGGCTTTGTGGTGAGGGACCGGCGGTGGTGGAAGGGGCGTGGGTTGACATTTCGATCATGGGTTGCGAGGAGGGGATGGTGGCTGTGATTATGGATTTGTTATGGCGCGCGACGTCGAGGGACGCGATTAAGATGCCGGAAGCGAAGAGGAAGAGGTCCCATTTCCCCATGACCCAGAGGTAGATCGCCCAAGTGACGAAGAACGCGAGACGCCATATGGGAGTCAGATTTGCGGAGATGAGCACCGTGCCGTATGTGACCCACGAGCCTCGGACTTCGAAGGGGATCGTCCAGAGGTGACCGTTATAACGGGGACTGAAGGGCGCGCCTTCGACGTAGATGAAGGGGTAGATGAGGATTTTGAGCTGCTCCCACCAGTCCCAGAGTTGAGCGTTGAGGGTTGGGAGACTGGGTGGGATCGCGTGCCAGTTTAGGGGATCGTGTCTGAACATCCCGTAATAGGCGAGGAGGGCGCAGATAAGTGTATCTGCAGCACAAGGAAGGTATAACCTCATACATCTTCGAAAAGCGGAGCTGGAAAGAGTATCGAAAGCTTCGGCTCGCTGGCCCTTGTGGATTTTCGTCAGGGCGCTGTAGGATAAGGCGTACCCTGATACGACGAAGAATGTTGCGACGGCGGCTCGACCGGAGAAGAAGACGCGGATGATAGGCATTTGGAGGATAAAGACGTCGCTGGCTTGGGCTCCGTATCGAGCTAAGAGGATTGGAAACCAGTTGACGGCGAAATGCGTCAGGTATACCACGACGGTGGCGATTCCACGTAGTCCGTCCATGTATGCTGTTGGAGTGTTCTTCCTGATCGACACCGTCTCTTTGGCTGCAGAAGCCCATCGCGGGATGAAACTTGGTAAGAGTACATCGAGGATCGCCAGCGATATCGATATTATCATGGGCTGGTATTCTTCAAGGAAATCTGGCAGGCAGAGAATCTTGAAATCTCTCTTAGGTCTCCGATTTTCCGGAGGTGGAGGAAAGATAGTCGATTCGTCATCCTCGTAGAAATCTTCGAGTAATGAAACTTCCTCATCGCAGCTTTTGCGATCTAGATTTGTGCCGAGTTCCTCTTTGTCCTGTGCATCTGCCATCATCAATGAGGGGTCATGAGAATGAAGTTGGGATCATGAGCATCAAGGGGATTCTTCGAAGGGGGAGTGCGGAGATTCCTCGACTACGTATGGTCCTTTCATTCGCCACATGGCCTTCGGTGGTCTTGGCAGGAATGTGGGAATTTCAATAACTTCAAATTGGAGAACGTGATCAGTGATTGGAAAAGATGCTATTGAGTCTCTGAAAATTGACTTTGTGTAGGATTGATCTCTGAATCCATAATCATCAGTCTTTACATCCTCGACGAGGCAGTAAGGTTTGTGCTTGAAAAGGATATTTTGTAGCTGACCACAACGAGAATGCGGCAGGGAGTGGGTATCTTCACATTCGCGATAAAAACATCGCATCCTCATCAGATCGGATTTCAATGCCAATGAGAGAATTGAGATCATCCCAACAATTATTTGACGCTGTATCTCAGTAGTTGCGACAACCAAAAAGGGTTCAGATGCAGATGTAAGGGAGGGCGACTCCTGTGAAGTGATGCACTTGACCCTTTGAACTTAGGAGAACAAATCGAGCAAAACAGTACAAAATCACAGCGCAACACGAAGGAAAAGAAACATCCTGCAACTCCGTACCGAGGTTCCTCCAGACCCTGTTCAATTTGTGTGATTGAAGTTTGGCAAGGGCAAGAGGCTGTGTTATAACAAGGCAGATGTAAGTGTGTTGACCTTGCAAACGGCCATTATTGAATATCCGCAGCAGTCGAAAACAGGAGAGTTGTCCTGCATATGAAAGATGTATATCATGTCGAGATCATTTGTTGATTCTCGAGAGGTAAGAATATCAGTCATGACTCTGAAGCGGAATCGTGAGGTCGCAGATATCTTCGGTAATCTCAGACGACACTTTTTCGAATTCGCTCCGAACACGGTTAGTTAGCATCGTCGCTCTACTTAGGCGCTACTCACCCTCGCCTCACCCTCTGCTCAGGTTACTCAGTCACGTTCCTGCTCTCCCTTCCAGTAACGAATCATAATTTACTTCCTATTTGGCTCTGCCGTACGAAATTTATCAACTCTACACGACTATATTCAAGGGGACTAAGTCGGCTCCTAGGGAACCTAAACAAGACCCCCCCCTAAAAATACATCCTTTAATCTCAAGGCAAATTCTTCTGGCAGCATAGCGTGGCCCTGGCTCTTTCCAAAGAGAATCTGCCCTCGCGCCACCCTATTCTCTCAACGCCATGCGGCCATCAGCTCGCCCAATTGCCGGCTCGACCAGCCACCAAAGCGGCAGAAAAAATTCTCACCGCTTCGTGGTGGGACGACCATGTCATCGTTCCTCATCGTTCTCTCTCCCGTCCTTCCAGCCGTTCTGAGCGTTCTTTCAAGCTTGCCTATCGTTGCGATTCAGCTTTGTGACCGCCACGCCTCCGACTCTCTCGTTCTTCGCCAGAATTTCCGCAGCGAAGCGCTCGGGCAATGTATTCCTGAGTTGGGTCCAGATCAAATTGGAAGACATCCGAAACGCTAGTGTGGTCTTCAGCTTGCTGTCCACGAATGATCTCTAATCGAAATCTCGAAAGCGTACACTGCATGTGGCGCGTCTCCGTCCAGCCTTGTCTACGGGTCGCGCCGGTCCTTATCCACGCCAATCTTGGAAAGCTGTCTTATTTTAATCACAATCAGCCAGCCCCGAGCGGATGGCGTACGATTCCTCAGCTCGATCTGCGCCCTGCGCTTTCGTTGATGTCTAACGCAACACAAATCCACAGCACTGAATGCACAACGGCAGGAAGGTATGCATCAAGCCGAATTGAAAACACGAGGCTTGCATTGAATTCCGCTCATCCTCTTCACAATACCACTCATCAAGAAACAAGGCTGGCTGATTGCCACACGCTAGATGATATCGAGCTGAAACATCTACATTGCAGGGTGGTCGTCGCGATGCTGTGTCGGACTCGCGGTGGCGAGCCGAGCTAGAATTTCGACTCCCATTCCATACTCGCTGAATTTGATCGAACCTCAGGCTGTTATTAGGATTTAAATAGGAGCATCGCCCTCATCCTCATTTCATTTTCATTTCTAACCTGAAAGCAGAAGCCAATAATTCCGGCAAATCAATTGCAAATTCGAAAATTCTTGATAAAGACCGCAAGTAAGCAGCACCTAGTATGATATGAACATTCTGAAGCCGCTTCTAATCATAACAGTGCCTACACCGACACCCGTGACTCATTTCATCGACGTCGAGATGGAAAATGTCCTCAATCCGCCATGTACTATGATGTTCGCTCCTGTTCCTTTTGGTCTCAATCCTGGCCAAACAAGTGTGATCACGGAGGATGTAACTTCTATTGGTCTCATTGGTGTGCCCAATCCAGCTATGACTGGACCATATCTGCCCACAGATGAGACCACAGTCCAGGATGTATATGGCATGTGGCTCGGTAAGGCTGTTTTTACTTGTGGGCATGTCTCATGGTCGAGAAAACTGACGTCTGTCACTTAGGGCCAACCCCAGAAGCCGGCGGGTTCAGCATTGAATTCAACATTGTCGGGCCTTACCCGCCTGCGGAGGGAGAGGATCGAGCGAGTAAAGCCGCCGCTACGGACACCAAAACCAAATCTGTCAAGTGGAAACGTGTCGACTTCAAAGCTTTATCTCTGAGCGAGCTTAATTGTGCTGAGAGACAGCTCAACGAAGCTAAAGAAACATTCCAGGACAACGATGAGGTGAGTAAGGCTCTGTTGAGTATTGAACCTTGATCGATGACTTAGACCCTAACATCTTATATTTATGTGTAGGCTTCCAAGCTGATAAAAAGCTGGCTTGATGAGGTGGCGGACGAGAAGAAGAAATATGAGCCTAAGGAAGAGAGCAAGGGTTCTTCGTAGCGCTCATCCTGGAATGCGCAGAAAAGTACGTAACAACTTCTGCGAAAAGCGTCTGGGAAACTGTGCTTGATATGGAATCTGTAATTTGAGGTACATATATACCTATAATATCCTATGCCACGATTGAATACTTCCCTGCGGCTCGTTACAGTAGTAAGCGCCGACTTTGGTTTGTGATGAGCCGACCCGTTGTCCTGTATAATAATCAATCATTAAAGTGCGCCGCGCCTTTACCATTTTCCCACTATATATACCACTAGGGAAAAGAAGGCTACTGCCGGTTCAAGGGTTGTTTACGACTTCTGTCATAAATGAAGAACGCTCTGAAGAGCATGAATTTGGGTGGGGTAAGCCCTTATATATACACGTGGAAGGGGCCCTAGGGGTAGTCCCCTAGAGCCCCTGAAACTGGCTTCCTAAGGCACCATAAGGCACCCCTTTTTCTGCGACAACTTCTATCTAAATTTCTATCTTACAGGCCAAAATACTATATCCGCCACTTCCATATCTTATATATTCCCCGGCTGGTAGTCGAGTTCGACGAAACGTACTCCCTAATTACCTTGCGCAGCTTATCTCGGACCTTATTAACAGAAACTGAAGAAATTAGTATAGTCACAGGACTTAACGGTAAGTGGACGCACTAGTCACGAGCATCTGACTTGTTTCACTCGTTCTACCTATGCATACTATACGGTACTACAGTACTAGTGGTTGGCAAGCCCCCGCTAGCAGGCCCACAAATATGGGGTAAGCAGCCATTTCCAGCAGCTCCTTGCAGGGAGTAAAGAGAGCTTAATCAGACGTCTAGTGGCATTTCTGGCAGGCTGTCTAATCTTCAGGGTTAAATTAATCCCCACGTTCCCTACGATCTCTTCATTAATATCCTCGCAGGAAAGGATACTCTAGACTTCTTAGAAGTATCCACTATCACCGCTGCATACCCAGAGGTCCTCTTTCCCGAAGTCATCCACTATGACGAAACGGAGCACGTCCTCTGGTTATCTAGAATGTAGAAGGAGCTGGGAATCTAGACGTTAAGGGATGCTAGGATTCGTAGTGCCGTTTTTTTCCTTTGTAAACAACTATATAAAATCATTTTGTCGCGCGCGAATTCTTGTAGTATCTAAGTTAAATAAGCTCTTAGAACATTGAAGTCGTATAGTTATATGCAAGTTGGGTTGTTTGAGGGAAGTTGAGGAGAGGTTGAGAGGGACCCAAATCGGCTCTGATAAGGACTCTTGATAAATGTGACAGGGGACTGAGAATGGCCACCGTAAAGGATCTGCAAAATTCTATGTATAGATAATATAGAAACTATAGCCGATTCTCGAGGGAGCCAGAAGAGAACCCTCCCTGAGCAGAATCCAGCTGACTCACTTGCGTGCTCAGAGGCTCAGGGCTCGGCTCAGGTTAGAGCGGCGACTGCTCAGGTTCAGAGACGGAAGCGGACTTTGGTGGTCTAAAGTGTTGTCTGAGATTGTAGTGGAAAAAGAAACAAATTCGCAATCAGACCTCGGGCAGTGGCTTCAGTGGCCCGTGCGTGGACGCCAACCCGATTCGAATTGACAACAACGCCTTCTCTCCTCTCAAGAACCTCATGGAGATTCTGTATCTTGTGACTCGGAGCACGTCTCTTAGTACGACCCTCCATACTGTTTTCGTGTGACATTACATGATCTCTCAATCTACTCTCGTCCATCAACCTCGCACAGCATCTCGCTCGTCCCGTTCCACTGAAATAAGTATTACGAGACCTTGCATGTATTTCAAGTCCCAATTCCAACTTTCCCACCCAAACCATCGGGATCATTGGCCCAGCGGGTCGGATATTCTTCTTTGGACTCCAAAATTCTTGTCTCCTTCCTCTCTGCACGTTGTGGCTTTCCCAGAGATATAATTGATTGGAGGCTCGCCGTTTATCCGTTTGCTGTGCCCTGTTGGAGTTGGTTTGTGGATAAACGATTAGGCTCGTTCAGGAAGCTCAGGGATGTTAGGACGCCCTAAGCTTATCACCAGCCTTCCCCGCCTTTAGCGTGCGGACCCAACCTACGAACCCTGTGGACTGACTGAACCGAACCCAGTGGAGGAGGAGTGGGATGATAAGGGTGGGGAGAGGATCCGAAGTACGAGTGATGCAGGTTACCTACTGTACATGCCGAAGAGTCTGATGCAAGAGATGGAATTATTTCTTGGGGATATGTTGTGTTACCTACAGTTCCTTCACAACGTGTTTGCTGCACGGTGCCTGAATTGCATGAGCCATAGATACGGAACAGATTGGATGTTGATAAACGAAGTAGATTGTCATGCGGTGCCATGTCAGGATGTTGTGATGCTCTCACCAATGATGGCACGGTGCCTGAATACGTCCCTGCCTGTTCCTGGTTGAAATGCTGTCCATCGACCATGAGCTGCCTCTTCGGGCCAAGCGCCAACCCACGGTTCCTGCCCTGGTTGATTAACAGCTCGGATCGACGATGCAGCTTCCCACCTGGTCCAAGAGCTCAGAGCTCCAGCAGGATAAAATGAAGAGCTGCGCATCCCCGCGTCTTTCTTCTCTCTCTTTTTTTGCTCCAAGCAAAGCTTCTCCCATTCGAGCTTCATCATGTTTGCCAAGTTGTCGGTTGTCGTTGGCCTCGCTGCCCTGATCAATGCTGCTCCTGCTCCCGTCAAGCATGTTCTCCATGAGGCGAGAGATGTTGCGAGCAGAGATTGGGTGAAGGGTGCTCGCATTGAGAAGGATGCCATCATTCCTATGCGAATTGGTCTGACGCAGACAAATCTTGAGAAGGGATATGATTATCTCATGGAGGTGTAAGTTACATGTTTCTGCAGACACTGTTTATTAGAATCAATTGGAGCTCTTTTGCTGACAATAGCACAAACAGCTCTCATCCCGACTCTGAGAACTACGGCAAGCATTGGACCGCCGAGCAAGTTCATGATGCCTTTGCTCCAGAAGAAGAGACAGTTGCCAATATCAAGGAATGGCTCACTGACTTTGGCATTCATGGTGGTCGCATTGTCCACTCTGAGAACAAAGGATGGATCGCCGTGGATGTGACGGTTGAGGAAGCCGAGTCACTGCTGTTGACTGAATTCCACGAGCATGAACACAAGCTTACTTCCAAGATTCGAGTTGGCTGTGACAAGTATGCATCATCCTTCACTTCCGAGATATTGAGCTAACAAAAAGTAGATACCATGTTCCAGAGCATCTCCAATCTCACATCGACTACATCACTCCTGGTATCAAGCTCATCCCTGTTAAGAAGCGTACCATCAAGCGTGAGGTCAAGGCCAAGCGAGAGAGCCACGCTGTGAAGGCCCCTATTCACGTGGATGCTTCAGCAGACACAACCATCTCCGTCGCTGCAGCAGCTCTTCCACCTTCGCTCCAGAACTGCAGTACCGCCATGACACCAACTTGTATCCAGGCCCTTTATGGTATTCCCAGCACCAATGCAGCTGTTGAAGGCAACTCTCTCGGACTCTACCAGCAAGGATCCTACTTCTCGGAGTCGGACGTGAATTTGTTCTTCGCAAACTGGGCTTCATACATCCCTCAGAATACTTTCCCAATCAATGCCTCGATTGATGGTGGGTCCTATTCCGTGCCTGCCGACAGCCCCTTGAACTCAGGGGAAGCCGACATTGATATTGAGATGTCGTACGTACCAAGAAACTCCTTTTACATATTTGTGACTAACACAATACAGCACCTCTCTCATCTATCCTCAAACAGTTGTTCTATATCAGACAGATGACGATATCTACGAGCCACAGGAAGTTGCTACAACCAACCTTTTCAACACCTTCCTCGACGCACTCGACGGATCTTACTGCACATATACCGCAGATGGAGAGACTGGAGACGACCCAGCCATCGATCCCCTCTACCCCGATCCAGCACCTGGTGGTTATAAGGGAACACTTGAGTGTGGTATCTACAAGCCTGTAAGTGCATTCATATGGAAAAGAATCTCCGCTGACCATGAAACTAGACCAATGTCATCTCCGCCTCCTATGGCCAAGCAGAGGCTGATCTTCCATCTCCATACGTACTCCGTCAATGCAATGAGTTTATGAAGCTTGGTCTCCAAGGCCACTCCATTCTGTTCGCTTCCGGAGATTATGGTGTCACCTCCTTCCCAGGAGATGGCTCCGCATCTGGATGTCTCGGCCCCGACCAACTCATCTTCAACCCACAATACCCATCGGGCTGCCCCTATGTCACCTCAGTTGGTGGTTCCCAACTTGCCCCCAACGGCACCGTCTACGACCCGGAAGTCGTGATGGCAGATAACCTTGGAGGAACCGCCGTCAACTTCTCTTCCTCTGGTGGTTTCTCCAATTACTTCGCTCGTCCAACTTACCAAGATGGTCACGTCGAGACCTATTTCCACCGCGCTCATATCACTTATCCATATTACTCCGAACTCGACGTCAATGTCAACACCACGACTGGAATCTACAACAGAATTGGCCGTGCTTACCCAGACGTATCTGCCAACGGAGCACACTTCCCAGCTTACATCGACGGTGAACTCTTCCACTTCTACGGCTCCAGTCTCGCCTCACCACTCTTCGCCTCAGTCATCACTCTCCTCAACCAAGAGCGAGCCACAGCCGGCAAGGGCCCCATTGGGTTCATCAACCCAACCTTATACCGCAACGACGATGTCTTGAATGATATCACTGCGGGTACGAATTTTGGCTGCGGTACGCAAGGTTTCCATGCCGTGGAAGGATGGGATCCTGCTACTGGACTGGGAACGCCAAATTATCCTAAGATGAAGGCGTTGTTCTTATCTCTTCCGTAAATATCGAAGATAGATGAAATTCGTTGGAGGTGTACATAAATACATACAAACATAGCTCACGTAATGATTGCAAAATGTTTGCATTAATGAATATAGTTCATAATCATGCTTAGTTTTTGATTTGAGATGTGATAGTCATTAATCATTAATAAACGAATTCTCAATAAGTCTCTGGCATTATTATCTAACTTACGTTTCAAAACAGACGGTTTCTGGCTCTAATATTCAAGCGGACTATTTCAGTGAGCAGATCTAGCGCATTCAGCGCAATCAGCGCATTTCGCGGGATGGGCGCTGTACCTTGGATTTTCTCTTTACGTTACGAACATGGGGACAAAAGTCCGTGCGTTCAGGGCATCAGAATCATGAATTTTATTAATTAATTAGCTGTAGACCAGCCACATCGCTTAATTAAGTCGTGTACCCAGAAGTCCTGCTGCTCAATAAGCCCATTGATCCATTCCTGAGGAATTTTGTCCCATTCTTCTAATACTGCTACAACCATTTGAACCTCAGTTGTTGGCTGCCTTAGGCGCCTATGGAGAGCTTGTTTTATTCTCCTCCAGCACTTCTCAATAGGAT